CAAACCCAAACCCAAACCCAAACCCAAACCCAAACCCAACCCAAACCCAAACCCAAACCCAAACCCAAACCCAAACCCAAAACTCCAACCCAAACCCAAACCCAAACTCCAAACCCAAACCCAAACCCAAACCCAAACCCAAACCCAAACCCAAACCCAAACCCAAACCCAAACCCAAACCCAAACCCAAACCCAAACCCAAACCCAAACCCAAACCCAAACCCAAACCCAAACCCAAACCCAAACCCAAACCCAAACCCAAACCCAAACCCAAACCCAAACCCAAACCCAAACCCAAACCCAAACCCAAACCCAAACCCAAACCCAAACCCAAACCCAAACCCAAACCCAAACCCAAACCCAAACCCAAACCCAAACCCAAAACCCAAACCCAAACCCAAACCCAAACCCAAACCCAAACCCAAACCCAAACCCAAACCCAAACCCAAACCCAAACCCAAACCCAAACCCAAACCCAAACCCAAACCCAAACCCAAACCCAAACCCAAACCCAAACCCAAACCCAAACCCAAACCCAAACCCAAACCCAAACCCAAACCCAAACCCAAACCCAAACCCAAACCCAAACCCAAACCCAAACCCAAACCCAAACCCAAACCCAAACCCAAACCCAAACCCAAACCCAAACCCAAACCCAAACCCAAACCCAAACCCAAACCCAAACCCAAACCCAAACCCAAACCCAAACCCAAACCCAAACCCAAACCCAAACCCAAACCCAAACCCAAACCCAAACCCAAACCCAAACCCAAACCCAAACCCAAACCCAAACCCAAACCCAAACCCAAACCCAAACCCAAACCCAAACCCAAACCCAAACCCAAACCCAAACCCAAACCCAAACCCAAACCCAAACCCAAACCCAAACCCAAACCCAAACCCAAACCCAAACCCAAACCCAAACCCAAACCCAAACCCAAACCCAAACCCAAACCCAAACCCAAACCCAAACCCAAACCCAAACCCAAACCCAAACCCAAACCCAAACCCAAACCCAAACCCAAACCCAAACCCAAACCCAAACCCAAACCCAAACCCAAACCCAAACCCAAACCCAAACCCAAACCCAAACCCAAACCCAAACCCAAACCCAAACCCAAACCCAAACCCAAACCCAAACCCAAACCCAAACCCAAACCCAAACCCAAACCCAAACCCAAACCCAAACCCAAACCCAAACCCAAACCCAAACCCAAACCCAAACCCAAACCCAAACCCAAACCCAAACCCAAACCCAAACCCAAACCCAAACCCAAACCCAAACCCAAACCCAAACCCAAACCCAAACCCAAACCCAAACCCAAACCCAAACCCAAACCCAAACCCAAACCCAAACCCAAACCCAAACCCAAACCCAAACCCAAACCCAAACCCAAACCCAAACCCAAACCCAAACCCAAACCCAAACCCAAACCCAAACCCAAACCCAAACCCAAACCCAAACCCAAACCCAAACCCAAACCCAAACCCAAACCCAAACCCAAACCCAAACCCAAACCCAAACCCAAACCCAAACCCAAACCCAAACCCAAACCCAAACCCAAACCCAAACCCAAACCCAAACCCAAACCCAAACCCAAACCCAAACCCAAACCCAAACCCAAACCCAAACCCAAACCCAAACCCAAACCCAAACCCAAACCCAAACCCAAACCCAAACCCAAACCCAAACCCAAACCCAAACCCAAACCCAAACCCAAACCCAAACCCAAACCCAAACCCAAACCCAAACCCAAACCCAAACCCAAACCCAAACCCAAACCCAAACCCAAACCCAAACCCAAACCCAAACCCAAACCCAAACCCAAACCCAAACCCAAACCCAAACCCAAACCCAAACCCAAACCCAAACCCAAACCCAAACCCAAACCCAAACCCAAACCCAAACCCAAACCCAAACCCAAACCCAAACCCAAACCCAAACCCAAACCCAAACCCAAACCCAAACCCAAACCCAAACCCAAACCCAAACCCAAACCCAAACCCAAACCCAAACCCAAACCCAAACCCAAACCCAAACCCAAACCCAAACCCAAACCCAAACCCAAACCCAAACCCAAACCCAAACCCAAACCCAAACCCAAACCCAAACCCAAACCCAAACCCAAACCCAAACCCAAACCCAAACCCAAACCCAAACCCAAACCCAAACCCAAACCCAAACCCAAACCCAAACCCAAACCCAAACCCAAACCCAAACCCAAACCCAAACCCAAACCCAAACCCAAACCCAAACCCAAACCCAAACCCAAACCCAAACCCAAACCCAAACCCAAACCCAAACCCAAACCCAAACCCAAACCCAAACCCAAACCCAAACCCAAACCCAAACCCAAACCCAAACCCAAACCCAAACCCAAACCCAAACCCAAACCCAAAACCCCAAACCCAAACCCAACCACCAAAAACCCAACCACCAAAAACCCAAACCCAAAACCCCAAACCCAAACCCAAACCCAAACCCAAACCCAAACCCAAACCCAAACCCAAACCCAAACCCAAACCCAAACCCTGAATATCATGCTGGCGCTCAACCAAGTTAATATGGACATCTTTGAGAAATTTTCAAATTGAAAAACTCAACAAAATATTATTGAATTAAACCACAAAAACAAGGAGAGTAATAGTTTTAGACAAGAACAACAACAATAATGTGGTCAAATTCACTCCATGATCACTACATCAAAAAGGAGACATTCAAAAATTTTCAATTCAAATTCAATTAATCTTGATGATACTTCATCACATACACTCGATGTTGAATACTATTGATTGATCATGTAGAGATGAAGTGGATCAAATTCCGAATTTTAAATAATGATGATTAAATCATCGCTGATGATCCTGAGCCGTTTTTTCACAGAGAGAAACAATAGAATGATTCAACGCAATACTCAGCTGATACATCTGGCTTCCAAGTCAACAGGGAAATTCAAGAAATTCAGCAACGGTGCACCCTATTGTGAACAACATGACATAATAAACAGATTGGTTGTTGAAGAGCCTTGAGATTCATTCTTACTTGAACTTTGATTCAAAAAGCCTTTCGTCATCGCCATTTTTGGAACTGAAAAATATTTTTGAATTTGTGAAAAAATATTTAAACATGGAGGCCAACAACATTCGTTTCTTTCTGTCTCGACTCAAATTTCAGGACAACCCTCTGTCCAGAACGACATTTTTACTCACAGCAGCAGCAATCACCTTGTCGTTTGCTGGAAATAGTTCCGCATCATCTAAAAAATCGGAACGTGTGGTTGCAGGTAAAAACGCATTTGATTTGTTGAGAGAGGTCGATAGTGATATTCAAGATTCGGTCAAAAAACTCTCCGCTGATGATTTTAAGAATAGAGAGGAATTGATCAATGTTGTTTGTTCGAAGCAACTTCCAATACTTCAACCAGCTTGCAAATCACTCTTTGATAGATACTATCATTCCTACAAGGTCGGAAAGAGTGCTGATTTGGAAGAATATAAAAGAGTTGTATTGAAGAAGTAGATTTCTCAAATTCACTATCAAATATATCATCGTCAATCATCATCACTGTAGATTTTAATAGGAAATTTTATAAGAAGCAAACAATCTGTCTTCATCATATTTTGAAGAAAAAATAAATTGGAGATTTATTATCATTTCACACACATCGAGTGATAGATAACATTCTTGAAATTTATTGGTTTCAAGAATTTTCACGACATTCTTAAATTTGCAGAACAGGGAACCCAATCGTCGAGACGTCACTTACGGTCGACGACGACAGGACACTCAAGGTTGTACCTGAATCAGCTGATGCAGAAGATGAGTCCACTAATGCAATATCACTCTGTAAGGAAAATCGCATAAAGGTATCTTTGAACATCATGGCTTTTACCACTCGCTCAAGATTGTCGAACAAATCAATTTGTGCGTAACCATTCGAAATTTTAGTCACCTCTGTCTCTTTAACTTTTTGAGAAATATTGATGGGAGTGGGTGAAGTGTCAAGAAGATATTTCTGAATAATTTCAGATTGCTTTTTGGATCTGTCAGCCGTTCTTTTGATGGCCTTGTAGGCAGTAACATCTTCAAGGAATGAAAAGTTCTCTTCTGAACATTCTTTTTCGCAAAAGGCCTTGAAGGATGATGATGGCATGACATCAAGTATTTGAATATCATTTTGTAAACATAAATATATATATATTTCAAAAATGTTTCACCATCAATTTAGCAACCTCACCTACCTTAAACTTTTCTTTTAGTACTGGATGGAACATGACTCGTTCAAATTCCAAGTTTTGCTTGAATTGCTGCATTTGTTGTTGGTGATGTTTGACAGCTTGTCTCAACTCTTGTTGTTCACTCAAATTTCTTGCAACAATCACAAAAACATCGCTAATTTTACCCTCTTCAAGCATCATGTTTACATGGCTGGCCGAAACAGAAACTGGTATTTCTATATTAAGCGAAGATTTCAGATGAATTTCCCATCTTGTTTTAGATTCTGTGAGTTGGTCTAATTTGGAGAGAAAATATTCAACCTTAGTAGAATTGAAATTTGTAGTGACACTTGTTTCAGATGAGTCATAAATGTTGAGGGTATCTGTTGATACTGATCGACGTGACTCTGTTACAAAATAATCCACTATATTTGTTGAATTCTTTTTCAAAATCTTGGACTCGAAAATTGTATTGTAAGAAATGATCGATCCATTCTTACAATTAACAACAATAATAAAATCGTCAATGCCATTCATAATCACACGTGATTGTTGCTCAGAAAGTGAAGTTTTCTCTAATAATCGTTGCATGAGTAAATTATCATCTGTGAGAGCGGATTGCGAATTATCGAGAGCAGTAAGCATATCATTTACGTCGTCAGAGAGCATTCCCAATTCGTCTGAACCACTGTGTGGAACTCGTTGCTTAATGTCGTTGTTGTTGGTGATAGATCTCACCGAGTTGGTCAAGCGAAGCACTCGTCGAATAACGAAAAATTCCAAGAAAATAATGACTGACACTGACAGTAAAATAATCATAAAGGTCATGACAGCCCATGTGATCACGAATGAAGTAATACCAAGTGTATAAATATCTCTTGGAAAATCGGTTCGTATCACAAGATTATTCTTTCCAGTGAGATCGTTGTAAAGTTGAAAAACGGCCATTCGTTCTCCAGTAATACTATCAGAATCGGCACATTGGCGATCTTTTACAATTGGAATCATGTCATCAAAATCGGATGGAATAGAAAGCTGTTGAACAAATTGACCTGAATTATTTCCCCAATTACTTTGTGAATTAATTCCATTAATGAATGTTGGTTGCCAGTTCTTTGTACTTTTTGCAATAAAATTGGAAAGTGTGGTTTCATCTTTACCATAAAATGTTGATTCTGTGAAATTAGAAAAATCATTAGCGACAGATGCTGCGAATGTTTGCCTATCTTTGATTATGTCTAAATTGTACATGGTAATGCATAATTGTGTTCGGTCTGACATGTCATAAACATAGTCAATTAGTTCATATCTTCCAAAAACGAGGAGTCCATAGCTTTTTTTATAATCCGTATCTGAGGGGTTTGTTTTGAGGAAAGGTTTTGGGCGAATGTGACATTTGTCAATTCATTCAATCCAGAATTCAAAAAACAAAACAATTTGGTTTTACGAACCTTGAATAGGCATTGCACTCAACATTAACACGTTTGAAACATCATTAGATGAGGTAATGGAAAAATTCTTTGCAAGTATCGCACTCGTGTCTGGATTTGTCACGAGGTCAAGTAATTTTTCAGAGGGAGAGAAATATCCAACATTTCTCACAGCTATCAAGGCATCATTTTGGAGTTCACGACCATACGATTATGACAGTCACATTGAAATTTGTAACAAAGGGTTGAATTTTTTCAAATAACCAGATCATACATTCTTCAAACAATCCAATTTCACATACCTGGATTTTCAATATTCCTTCTTAATTGTCTTCCTACCTGTGTGTCCAGACTCAACAATTCTTGTGGAATTTTATCCAATTTGATCCCTCGAAAACATCCAAGGCCCTTCAACAAAGTCCCATTCAAATAATAAATCAGAGCAAAATTAACCTTCGTTGATAACTGATATTGACAATGTAAATAATAATCCAAATAGGCTTGTGCAGCATAGGACGCATTTTGGGAAGTGTTCAACACGACATTAATGGTATCTCCAAATGCAGCATATTCAAACACTCTCGATGTCAAGTAGTAAAAGTCATCAAAGAACGCTCGAGTTGATCTTCTAGCAGATTCCATTGCCATTGCATTCTCCACTTTCAAAAACGACAAATTGAAAGCTGTCAACAATGTCGCCAAGCACAAGGCCATCAACAAAATAAATAATAATACTAATACAGTGAGCGTTTTAAATCGGAGACTCTTATAGATTTGAACCGATGAGGAAGAAGACTGAGAAGGCTCATTCGGATTGGTTTGAGAATACTTTTGATGATCCTTGTTTGCTTTTTCAATATGTTTTCGTAGTCTAATGACGTGAGGTTTGAGAATGGGTTGTTGTTGTTGTTGAAGATGAGAGGCGAGTTCAAAAGGTCCATGAAGGAAAGCAGAGTCTTCAACGACCGATGAATCGCGTGATCGGGTGAGTTTCATCATTTTGTTCGTGTGGGTCAATTAATTTCAAGTGTGAGAAATTGATGCGCAGCCTTTCGTGAGACGAGATGGGCCACCTCTTTGTTTTTTGAAAGGAACTCTCTTTTGGATTGACAAATTCAGCAAATTTGGTTTCCGATCATTGCCAAAAAATAGATGAATGAACCTTGTTCGTTTTTTTCACCATTTTTAAAATCAATCGAGTCTGAATAATAACTCTTATCAGTGACTGGCTAGCATGGATTTTCATTGAGTTCTTGGGTTTATTCTGTGTGCTTGATTGTTGTCTTTGTTTAACCATTAAGACATTTTCACTTTATTTACATTCATGCAATTCTTTGAGTCATTCAACTGCGCTTGAGAGTTTCATCAAACAATCGATTGACAGAATCCGTCGTAACAGTGAGGACAAGACTACCGTCAAGATTCATCCAAATGAGTTCAAATATATAAATTGTGCAAGGTTCTCTCGACCATCCATTCAAGATCCCCTGTTGCAGCATCATCAGTTGTCAGTCCATGGTTTGGACATCAATAAGCAACCTATCACGCTGGTTGACAAAAAAGGATCGCCTTTTGGTGCATAACCGTGTATTGTAGTTCATGCCACCAAATTGTATTTCAAAATTTCAACCGACAAAAAAAACCATCCACACCCTAACACGTTCGGGAAATCGAATGGCCTCTCAAAGCAACACGAGTCAAGAAACAAAAGAAATCTACGACAAAATTTCCTCCAAATACGATCTCGTTCAGTTTCACCCAAGTTACAAGTACATCAAAGCTCCAACGTTTTTGAAGCTTTTTGAAAATTCCTTACAACGACTCTCCAGTACTTCGACCTTTCCCAAGATCAAGTTACTGAATCTTGCATGTGGATCGGGAAAAGATACATTTTCATTATGGAATCGATTTCAATCACGACTCGAAATGATTCTTGCTGTGGACATTTCACCTGAAATGATCAATATTGCAAATCAAAGCAAACAACAACGAATGCTAAAGGAAAATATCTCTCAATTACCCATTCATTTCATTGTGGGAGATGTTTTGGAATTGGATAAGAATGAACAGATATCTCAATAGATCTCCAATCTAAACATCGAAAACAATGAACCTTCAAATATTAGCAATTGCGTTTCATGCACTCCTTGTTTTGATTTGGTGAGTGCTTGTTTCCTTCTGCATTACTCGTCGAATGTGGAAGAATTGGAGAGAATGTGTGAACAAATTTCTCGAGTTCTGAAACCAGGAGGTTCTTTTGTCACATTAAATTCAGATCCATTCAATAATGAAACCATTGTTTGTGAAAAACAAAAATCATTTGGAAGCTTTAGATCGAGATTTCCAACAGCAGAAAAAGAAGGGAGGTTTGTCTTGAAGGATGGAGATCGGTTTGAGATTTCCATTGATTTGAATATGAATGAAGACAATAGACATGAGGATTATGTGATCAAGTTTTTCAATCAATATTTCACTCCTGAAACGTATGAAAAGGCATTGAAGAAAGCAGGTTTTCACACTGTGAAATTTCATCGAATGGAAATGATTGGAAATCTTCAAAGAACCGATTTGAAAGATTTTGGCAAATATATGGATTACACAGGACTAGTTTGTATTGAGGCCATCAAGTAATTTGTAATCAAGTAAGACATGCTGCAGGATGAAAATGTAAATATTTCAAAATAAAAAAAGGTGACTTCTGTGTTACCATTTTGTGAAGATTATTTGGGATTTAATTAGACACCTCTTTTAGAATTACTACCAGCTGCTTTGATGCACTTGTCATAACCAGAATATTGCATATTTCCCATTGCGCATATTCTTTTTGTTTTACATTCTTCATGGAATGAACACAAGCCATGATAAGGATAACCACCTGTGAATCTCAAAGCAAACTTATTCCAATACGATTCCACAGCATTTAATTTGTTGTACAACAAACCAGTCATTGTCTGTGGTGAAAGATCTGGAATTCCATAACCTGTCAAAGCATCATATTCCAATGTCCATGTTAATTTATCTTTAGCATCTGTCAAATTGGCTGTGAATGTGTACAAATTCTCAAGTTCAAGTGTTTTCTTGTTGTATTGAATAAGACGGAATGCAGGATTGTGATATAACCACTGAGTAATGGCAGGTGTTACCCAGGCCACACCTGTTGGTGCATTTGTTTTTGGGTCTTGGAATAACTTAAAATGATCATTGTGAGTGTGACCATAAAATTGACCAACAAGGATGGAGCTGTATTTGGCCACGAGATTGCTAAAGTCATCATTGTAATTTCCTGTAGATTCTTCCATAAAATCTCCAGTATCAATTCCTAAACGGGGTATGAATTTTGTTCATAATGGAATAGATGTTTAAACATGAAAAATAATAATTCAAATGACCAAATAATAATACAAATCATATTCAACGTCAATTCAACATCACATCTCTATCTATAATAGAACTCACCTGGTGGGATATGTCCCAAAATGACAACCTTCTCATTAGCTTGTTGTGCCTTTCCTAAAACTTGATCGAGCCATGCTAATTGTTTTCCTGGGTCTCTATCTGGAGTGGATAAGAGCCAGAAATTAAGTGGGTTTTGGAATTGAGTATTTAACACAACAGCTCTGAATCCTGGTTCAATAAGGAGTGTAAAATATCCAGAAGTTTTAAAAGAAGCAAGAGCTGCATCTCCGTCTGGGAAACTACTAAAAGAAAACTGGAAAGCGTCACCAACAGGATGTAAATACCATTCATTCATTTTGGGATCAAGAGGATACATATTAATAGGTGCCAAGTCATGATTTCCTTTTTTGTTGAGTGAATGAAAAGGCAAACATTATGATAAAATTGAAGCAAAGTTTCAACAAATAAAGATTGATGACTCCTACCAATGCGTCACAATTACCTACCGATTGCAGGAATGACTCGATTTTGATATCTCGATCCTTGCAAAGTCACTCTCAATGCATTTGCAACAAGAATGGCATAATTCAAATTATATTCTTTTGAATAATTCCAATCATCATGAACCAAATTGTCTCTATCGTCACAAATTAACTCTAAATTTTAACATCCATCACATCATGATTACCTACCCTCCATAAAAAACAAAATCACCCTCTACTGGAAAATTCTTGATAAATTCCAACGCACTCACAAATGTCTCCAAAGGAACGTCACACGGTGCATACGTTCCAAATCTTTCTGCATATTGAACTGTCTGTGTTTCCATTCATTCATTATTCATTCATTTGAAAATGCATAATGTTCTTCCACATGATCAGAACAACACACATTGATGACTTACACCATTCGTTCTTGGAGAATTCTTTCTGCAACACACCAACTGTCCACAATTCGCAACACTTCCCACCACATATTCGGAATCAAGATGCGGATCTGTAATTTGCCAAAAGTACCCACTTGTGTTGGAGAGTTTTGGAAATTGATTCTTGAGTGATGCCAACGACAAGCCTTCAACTTTCATTACGATCGTCATTACCACCACCACAAGAACAATGGCTCTCATCATACAGGATCCTAACCTTCTAAGAGCAGTTATGGTCGTCATGATCTTTGTTTGCCACCACCAACAACAATTTTTTAATTTTTTTAATTCTGAAATTTCGAACATACGTCCGATAGGAATGAAACGAATCCTAATGTCTTATTTTTGAAGGCTCGTAATGAGAAACGAACGGTGACTTTCAACTCCGAGAGAGGTCTTCTTCTTTTCTCAAATATTTTACATGTTGTTGTTGTTGTTCTTCTTCTTCTAGAATTGAAGCATCATTCCGTATCTTTTTCAATATTATATAATAATAATTCGTTGATGATGAAAAATATCGTAAATATTTCAACTCTGTGCAATGATTATTGTATAATATTACATCCGGAATGTTGAATCTGTTGTCATTGACGAAAGCAATCACTCAGAGCTGAAGATTTTCATCACTGAAATTATTCGGTGGGGTGCTCTTCGGACCATTAATCTTTCGAACAGCCTAAAAACACACAATTGCCAATCACTTGCCAAATAACGAAAAGAAGTTTTTTATATAAAAAAGAAAAATGGGAAGATGGAATCGTTGGTTTCAAAAGGTCTTTCGAAAGCAGCAAAAAGACCACTCCTCATCACCACTTTCGTCCCTAGTGGAGGAAACCACTGAGTCCACCAGTGATCCAAACTTTTCGGAAGAAATCAATTCATCATCATCGGAGAAGGAAATTTCAATTGTTCATGCAGACAAGTCATGGCTGAAACATATGAGGTCATCCAATCATCCAACAACATCATCCTGTCAATTCATCTTCGATTCTGATGTTCTCTTCATCGTTTTTCAATTTCTGAGAGATGACTATAAATTCTTGCTCTCCAAATGTAAGCTCGTTTGTAAACAATGGTATGAATGTGTCACTCGTGTGCCATTATCCCTCAAACTTGGCTATGACCATTTTAATCAATACAAGAAGGCTCTATTCTCAAACTATTTAAAACCTTCCACTTTTTACAATACCAATGTGACGGAACTGTTTCTAAGTACGAACAGGGTGCTCACTGCCAATCATTTCAAATGTTTGGTGAACAATTTAAGTTCCAGGAGGCCCTTGACTTTTGAAGAAGGTTCCACCGGAGGCGCCAATCCCAACAACACAACCCCTCAAAAAATCGTTCACTTCTCCTGCAGCGATGAACTTGGAGTGAACCATATTCGAGCTCTTTTTCATACCTATCCAAGTCTTTGGAATCACCTCAAACATTTGGATTTATTTTCAAACAAGTTGAGTGAAAATCACATTGAGGTCTTTGTGAGCAGTGGATTTTCTTTTTCACATCTTGAGACTTTGTACCTTAGTCATAATGCCATTAATGATGAGGGGGTGAAAATTTTGATGGAACGAGGCTTTAGATCTTTAGGCATGTCTTACTCTTTAAAAAAATTGGCACTAGATAGTAACGAAATAAGTAAGGAAGCAGTGAAGGTCATTGCTGAGAATCCAAACATGAAAAATCTGACATGTTTAAAATTGGGAATGAACATGATTGGTGATGCAGGAATACAAAGCTTGACATCAAGTGAAAATTTACAGAATTTAACAGAATTGAATCTTGGGCTTTGCAAGTTTACCACAGAAGGTGCCAAACTTCTTTCAACCAGCGTTTACTTGCGCAGTTTACGATCTTTATCAATTTCAGCCAATAATATTAATCAAGAAGGAGCTCAATATCTTTCACAACCAGGAACTAGTTTACAAAATTTAACCGAGCTTGATTTGAACTTTTGTAAAATAGGAGATGATGGATTAGAAAAACTCATGAGTGGTCATTGCATTCAGAATGTAACTGACCTCTCATTGAGAGGAAATGACATCTCAGAGAGAGGAATTGAATTCCTCGCTCATCCCAAAAAACGTCCTTTTCAAATTTATGCCAAGCTACAATTTTTGGATTTGAGTCAAAATTCAATAGGAGACACAGGTGTGAAAAAGTTGGTCAACTTTTCAAACGAGCAATTGTCACACTTGAGAGATTTGAATTTATTTGGTACTGATATTGGTGATGAGGGCATGCAAGCTGTGATGAATTGTGAGCAGTGGAAAAAATCTTTACAATATTGCAGAATTGGTAAAAATCCAAACATTTCAGCAAAAGTGAGAGGATTGAATCACCAAAGATTTCTTTGAACAGAGGAAGTTACTCTACCTATCAATTAAAAGATCAATTCTTGGATGCAAGCATGACAACGCTCGTCCTTACTAAAACGCTTGCGGCCACACTCAAACGGAACCAGTGATCGAACTCGAAACACTCCATCATGTTCATTTGTTTGATTCACATTATAATTAACCGAACAATTTAACGTTTTTTTAATGAATTCCGACGAATTTTGAATGGAGAATATTTCACAAATTGGTTACGGTAAAAAGGACGAATTAGACACATGTCATTTCCTTATTAGTACAAAAGGGATATTAAGAGAGGTTGTTTCTTTAACAAGTTCATGGAAATGGAAAGAAACAACCCAAGACTTCTCTCAATCCACAACAAATTAGTGGTCCTTCTTTCATTCATTGGCATTTTCTTGGGCACTCAAACTCCAAAATTTTGACGGTTGGCATTTTTGAATCCTAAATTGTTGCAATCCTAACTTGCCTCAGTTCCCATCACAAAAAATCCTCTCGATATCCAGATAACATGCACCATATCATCCTTCCAAAATCTACACCATTGTCATCCTTCAAGTGGTGTCTGTTGACTCTTTCCACAATGATAATTTTTCTCTCTCAATTTCATCTCTCTTCGCAACGACATCCTCGTCCAAGCTCAATCGACCAATTCCTCCACAAGTAACGTCACCACTTATTACATTCCATCAGAATTTGCAAATGCTGTCGATGCTGGAATCAATGAAATGCTCTCTGATTCTGAATTTATTTCGGGAATGGCACAATTGGGAGTTTTCTTCCCAGTGCCAACCTGTGCCAAATTACCGAATTCTGGAAATGCAATTCCTTCATGGCCAAACAATTTGATTTTGCCAAGAGGAATGAATTCCAAGTTGGTGTTGTGTTATGAAGTGGATGCGTTGTTGAACTGGCCGCAAGTTCATGAATTGGTAAGTTGGTTAAAACGTGGAAATGACATCAAGTAATAATATTTATTGGTGAATGAATGATTAATGAATATAATGGTGATGTCTGTGTTCGAATAATATTATCGATTATCAACCGGTGATGATCTTGCGTGTTGTGGTTTGAATGGTTTTGACTCGAATGTACCAAAATGGAAACTTTAACAACATTTCACAACGCATTACGCCTCTCACAACAAACTCTGTCCAACACACACCACAGGCAGGAAATGTCTTGATGAGAATTATCAACACACATTACAAACTTACCATTCCTTACCAGTTCACCAAGGTCAACACTTCCAAATTAGGATATTTTGCCACAATGAAAGGAATTGTGGATACTGGAGATTGTGACGTTGCCATTGCCTCCACAAACTTGGACGCAAATCGCTTGCCACAAGTGCATTTCAATTGTCCTTACGGAACCTCGTCTCCAGTAAGTATTTTGATAGCTACTCTTGCTGATCCTCTTCTCTGTCACTTGTCAAACACACATTTCCTCAACACAGGGCTACTTGCGTTCTGCCTTAGATCAAAACAATGTTACCATTTCCAAGCCAGAAGACATCAACAACCCTAATATCACCATTGTCACTTACGGTGGAAGTTTTTATGCCACTTATGCCAAAAACAATTTTCCACTCGCCAAACTTATTGGACTTCCATCAGGTTACTCTGAATGCTTTACTTATATTTTAGAAAAGAAGGCACATATCATGTTAGGGGACGCCATTGATTTGAAGGTAAGTGAAAAGTTAAGGATATTCATGAATGAAATTTTTTTCGACATGTTCACAACATTTCTAGACATGGGTCAAACAAAATGCGAACCAGTGTCCAGGTTGTGATTCAAAGGCTTTTGGAGATCCATTTAATTATGGAAGTTTTATCACCAATAATATTCTACAGTCGAGTGCTATAAAATTGAATCAAGTTGGAATGTTGACTTCTCTTTTGATCGCAGTTATCATGATGATGCTTTTGACTTTTGGTGTTTTGCATTAAACCTTCACCCATTTTCAAAATAGTTCAAATCGAAAAATAAATTCACTCTTGTGGCGATTTGTTGCTTGATATTCCACTTACACAAAAAAATGGACTACACACAGTACGATACAGAACTCAGCACACTCATGAGCGAGGTCGTGCTTCAACTCCCCCAGGTCGATATGGCAACTGTAGATCCTCTCATTCCATGCCAACCCGGAAAAATTCCCTTCTCACGATTGGATAGCACTTTATTGAGTGTGAGCTACAAGTTACGAGATCCCAAAATCAGTTTCTATCAGAAAATGATTTTTCTCAATTCCATCGTGATGAATAATTTAGATTTGGTCTATTTATTGTTTGGAGGTGATCCAAGACATTCCGGTTATTTACCTTCTTCTTCGTTGTGGTCGATCATGAAAGAAAATTTATGTATTCCGAAAAATCAAGCGAGTATGATGGACGGAAGATTGAGTACTTTTCATATCATGTATACCTTGTTGTCTTATTCTGTAGATCGAATGTTGTTTTATTTTCCGGATGTTATCTTTGATTTGTTGTTGGTGAGTCCTTCTTCATCGCTTTTGAATGAAGGTTCAAATCATGATTTGGCAGCATCAACAAATGATCATTTAGTCATGTCCACTATCTATGATACTCCTAATGCTGTAGGATTGGCAGTTTCCATTGCACAAAATTTGACAGGTTGGTATCAAGGAGCTCTTGAAGATCGACAAGAAAAGGCCAAGTATTTTGAGTGTAATTTGGAGACCTTTGATTTGATGTTGGACTTGATGAAGGATCGTTTATTCATGTTTATTGTGGCATGTATCAAATGTACAGAGAAGGATCGTTTGATGGTGGTTTGTTTTTTGGATAATTTATGTGATTTGTTTGGTACAATGAGATTGAATGAACGTGAAGAATTTGTATTCGATCAACAAAAGAGTGTACAAAGCTCATTCAACAGTCAAGTGAGTTCATTGGATACAAAAGAAACAAATGGTTCGAAAAAGTTATCAAATCTTTTGAGTTCCTTGTACATGACTGAGGCCTACGATCGACAGGAATATGTCGAATATTTAGTGGACACTTTTTCAAATCATTCATCCAAGAAAATAAGAGATTCGATCACCTCCTTTTTGGGTCTCAATCTCATTCGTAAAGTGAAACAGAAAATTCAACAAAAGAAATTGAACAAGTTGAAATTGAATTCAAAGCTTGCTAAAGATGCATCTATTGAGGAATATTTTGCAATTGTGTGTGAATTTGGTGGAAGAAAGCGTAAATTTAGAGTTAGCAATGTGAATTCAATTGCTGAGCTACAAGACAAAATTACACAAGAATACTCACAACGAAAGAGAAGTTCTCAAGCACTTTCAACATCCAACGATCAAAAGAATGTATTACAACTTTTCCTTTCCTCAGAAAATGCAGATGCAAAAACAGATAATTCCGAACCAACAATTGGACAACGTGGAGATTGGGTCGATCTCGATGATTTCAACTATTTACAAGTCTCTCAAAGAAATATTCAATCCAAAAAGGTCATTAATGAAGTCATCAATCAACTTCGATTGGTCAAGAAAGTGGTCACAAAAATTGCAGAAGTGTCTGGAACTTCCTTCATGGACAAATCTTCCTTTTTATCTGAATCATTTGTTCCATCAAGATTTGAAGAGGATGACAGTGCTCTTGCAACTAAAGGATCCTCAGAAGGAAATACTTCCCGACAACTCTCTGATAAGACCAACAGCTCTGGAGGTTCACTTGAATTTTCAAACAATACCTTATTGAGTAGTATCAATGATGGCTCTCAAATGTCAAGCGACATGTTTAACAAACCTCAATCACAACCAACTCAACAACAACCAATTCAAAATAGTGGCATCGAGCTGAGTGGAATTGAGATGAGTGGAATCGAAGGAAGCCAATTCATGTCTTCACTCGAAAATTTATCATTTGTAGACACTGGAGATCATCCTGTTTTCTCCTCCGATGAAGAAGATAATTAACAATGTGTTGAATTTAAACAAAACATTTCAAAACACGGAAATGCGAGCTGTGAATCTCATAGCATCTCATGATTTGATTATTTTGGGTCATTCATCTCCTGCAAATGTCAAACGTTAAATCTTCAAACCAAAAAAAATGGGCAAGAAGGACACAAAGGTCAAGGTATGTGTTCAATAACGTTCAGTCTTCTCAACAATGTGTCATGCTACCAACTGAATTCTCCCACCAACGATGTCTTGATCATTTTCTCACTCGAAACGATTTTTAACAATGAATTTAATTTATTTCAATTTCAAAATAATGATTCTGTTGCTTGTTTTATACAACAACGATATAATAATGATTTCGTGATGATGATGGAATGGGATGAATAGGTCGTGGCCGTTGGAGATGGTGCTGTCGGTAAGTGTTGTGATACTTTTTTCCTAATTTGTGTTGTTGTCAATTATTATCGATAGGAAAGACATGTTTGTTGATGGTCTACGTAGGTATTGAATGATGATTACGTTTTAATTTCGGAACAACAACTGAATTCAACATCATCATCATGTATTCATCCTTGATGGTCAAATGACACTTGACATTTCATAAACACGTTCACTTAAAGGTGAACAATGAATTTCCTGAGGAATACATTCCAACTGTTTTTGACAACTATGACACTAATGTAAAATATAAATCACAAAATGTGACGCTTTCCGTTTGGGATACTGTACGTAATATTTTGATTTTAAAATCAATGTTCAATGAGACATGCCATTTATCAACATGACAATTCATTGATAATAATCATTTCAATATGAATACTACCTTGCCTCATTAGGCCGGACAAGAAGATTAGTAAGTGTTCATATTCTCTTGAACTGACTCATTGATTGAAACTCATCCATTCTTCGAATTGAATGTCTTCCTACTCGGCATCCTCCTTTTTCTTCGTTAATGATTATTTTCGGAATTTACACATCGACATGAACATTTCTTCTAAACAACAACATTTCACAACAGTGATGAACTGAGACATCTTTCCTATCCCAATGCCAACTGTTTCTTACTTTGTTTTTCAATCAACAGCAACACTTCATTCAACAATATCAAAACCAAATGGATACCAGAAATTACAAAATTCTCTCCAAAAACTCCATTCATTCTTGTGGGAACAAAAGGAGATATGAGATCAAGAGGAGGTTCGGATTTAGTAAAAATTGAAGAAGCAGAGAAATTGGCAAAAGAAATTGGAGCACTTGCATATATTGAAACATCAGCGCGTACAAGAAAAGGAGTTGATGAAGTGTTTCATAAAGCGATGGATTCGAATTTGAAGAAAGGTTGTACAATTATGTGATCGGTGTTCCTTAATGAATATTTATTAAAGTGCAATTAAATATTACAATGTTTCTTGAAACGGAAAAGATGACAGCTGTAAATATTTATTAAATTGGACAATCAAAATGATACGCCGCTTAGAACATAGTGACGGAGAATCGTGCCAAGTAAATACCGTCAGAATCATTAATTTTTTCCATGTTGGGACATTCGGCTGAATTAGGCGGCGACATGATACCGGTATAAATCTCTTTCTGACATCTGGCAGCCATCATCAAAACAAAACACATCAACACTAACGAATACAAATACTTGCAATCTTACAATTCTCTCATAATGCTTCCAACAGAATTCAACACCTTCTCTTACTTTGCCAGAAAGCCAGGCAAACAATTCTTCTTAGTGTCATCTGTCATCTTGAGTGCTTTCATTATCAACAGAACACACAATGCTCAACAAGGACGAGCCTTTGAAAACCATCTTCCAACCCAAGAAATGTGGGCCTGGTACGATAAACATTGTGCACGACAAGGTGAAAATCAAGATATTGTCATGAAAGATCATTCTGTAAATATTCCTCACATGATGGGGAAATTCGATAAACGAGAAGAAGTCGAGTCGAATCCATTCTACCAAGCACTTCACAAACAATAAATTTAATAATAGTTCATAAATACATAAAGAGTCATAAACTTTTACGTCTTTTCTGTTTATACAATTATTATTATTATTATTTCCAAATTCATACAAATGTTTTGTGTTGCTAAAGAGCAAACGATCCAAAAAGCACAAAAGATGCACTTTAATGTCGCCTGAAAATTGAAAATAATAAAACTTTGGTCATTCATGCAGTTGCTTAATATTTTTGACCTGGTCATTCCAGGTTAGGAATTTTTGGTGGTCTTATTGAGGGAATATTTGAATGTAGTTTGTTTTGGCCGTTTGTGTGAAAAGGAACCCTCCTGATTGTCAATTAACTTGGGATGTCCTTTCTGAACCTTGACATCGTTTTTGAGAAAATCAAAGTTTGGATGAGATTCAATTCTACCCTTTGATTCTTGTTATGTGCTTGCACTTGTAATTTTGGTTTATTTGAACATGAGTGGCGACAAATACACCTTCAACGAACAAATGGCAACCCTTAATGAAACAACAATTCTGTCGAATGTTGAAGATGTATCATAGTATACAATTGATCAAATCTCAACAGAACTAAACGACGAACATCCATGAAGTTCTTTGTCATCCATGTATCATTTGGTGCAGATGAGAGCAGATCTCTTGCATTATCTAATTCAAGTTTTGACCTTTTTAAAAATAATCAACTTTTTTTGATCAACATCTAAATCATCATTGCCAAAAACTGCCAAAAGAGAATATGTGTTTGAAACAAAGTTCATTGACCTTCACCTCTCCAATTGGTGTATTTCCTTTTTAAATCTTAAAATTCCTAAATAAATTGCAAGAAACATTTCAACTCACCATTCAACAATCAAACAAAAATTCAAAATGTTATCATTGAGAAGAAATACAATTGTTAAAGCTTTTGGCTTTTGCTTGCTCTTACTCACCTTTGCATTAGCTCTTACCATCACTGTCAATGGTGAACAGGCTGAGGATAAAACCCACACACCAGCTCATCGCTTCATCTTACCAAAATGCAAAAGATTCTTTTGTCACAACCGTTGCAGATATGGCTATTGGACTGACAAATGTGGATGTCAAAAACGTTGCAAATGTCGTCCTAGACCATGTAGAAAACTCCTTTGCAGAAAATTCTGTAAATATGGATACAAGAGAAATGGATATGGATGTCCAATCTGTGTGTGTTTGAGAAAAAAATGTAAATCTTCTTTGACCCTTCCTCATTAATTGGCTATTTGTATCAGTTTTCATGTTTAATGGTGTATGTACAGTATTATAATAAATAACAGTGACTCGAGTGGTTATTGTTGTGAACATTAATTTGAGAATTGTTGGGTCTCAATATTAATATTCTGGCTCTTCAATAGTGGACGATGAGGGTGGTTGAGTAGGGTTGGGAGTACTGGACGATCCGTCTTCGGTTTTAAGGAAATTCCACAAGCGGTGATAAAAGTTGGGATGATTTTGAAGTTTTTGCGCAATGGTGGACATGACCTGCACCAAATCCATGTTTGGACTTGGAAATGCATTTAGATATTGTTTCAAAACTTCAATAATCTCTGGGGCTGCCTTGTGAATAGCTTCTTTCACAGCGAAATCATGAACGGAGGGAGTAGAACTCGACACTTGAATGAGATCGGATTTATCCACTATTTCCTTAATTGATTTGCTTAATGGCTGATTCTTCGAAATGTCAGTTTTACCATGATGTGTTTTTCTTCGTTGATGACCAGGCGTCGGATGATAGTTCTCAGACGTGGAAGTATCAAACATGGTCTGCCTTCTTTTTAACTTGAGTTTTTTAATCTTCTTGAGTTCTTTCAGGAATTTTCTTTGCTCTCTTAATTTGACTGAGCCTGAAGTGATAACGGAAATCTTTTGTTTTTTCGAATTTTGCTCAAGTTTGTTATTGGAAGTGTCTTCTTCTTCCTCTAACTCTTCGTCGAAGTTATAGGATATTTCATCTTCCTCTAATGTTTGTTGTGGAGTGTTTATGTCACCTGTTCCAAATGGGATGGTTTTGCTTGGAGGAGTAGAGTTTTCCAACACTGGGTCTTGTGATAGCTCAATTTGATTTTGTGACATTGGAAATAATGAATCTCTTGAAGGTTGTTGTTCATGTGTTGTTTGTTCTGTTTCTCCTGTTGTTCTTGTGTCCTGACAAGATTCCTGTGTAGGTGCTTCTTTTGTGGAAGGAGGAAGTGAGGACATATTGGCCTCAATTAAAATCACATCTTCGCATGTTTGTGAGTTTTGTGGTGATGGATTGAGAATGAGCTCTTTCCATTCATTCATCGTTTCATTACTTAAATTTGGCTGTAGTTTGGAGAGAACTTGAAACAATTTTTCAAGGTCGTCTCGTTCTGGATTTTCTTCCACAAAGAAGTTGTTTTCATAGAAATTTTGCTCACTTTCCAACCCCTTGAATGCTTGAGAAAATGTTCTCGGGCTCACGAATGATAACGCAATAGAGGGAATCCTTGAACATAACAAACTAAGGGCAAGAGAATTAAATTCATCTTTGGATACTTTCACTTTTAGAGAGGAGACCTTCTTCCATTCATTCACAATATCAAATCCTGATGAGATGGTTTGGCTCAGCAATCCAATTACGTTAAACACTGCATTGTGGAGAACCTTCTTTTTTGGAATGCATTTACAATGGGAACCAATCTCAGGAACATTGAGAGCTTTGCGTAAAAACCTGCTAAAATCAATCAGAGAATATGAAACTTGTGGTTGTGCAGTCATATGTTGTTGTTGAATGTTTTGAAAAACTGAGTAAATATTCACCACAAATTGACAATATGAAACAATTTCTTTTCTGTACTTTCTATAGTTTTTAGTGGCTTCGGTAGCCCATTCATGAACAGCATTTTCACGCTTATTGAAAAAACATTGAGAGGATTGAATTTTTTCTTTTTTTGCGATTCAAGGGACCTCCAGGAGATTCTGTCTCTGAAGATGAAGAAGAAATGACGATTGGTGAGGCTTGTTGAGGAGGAAGTGGCAAAGATTGCTTTTGTTGTTCACGCCTTGCGGAGGATCGAGTTTTTGGCTTATTCATTTCTTGTTGTTGTGGTGGTAGTTCAGAAAAGGTCTTTGATTGATCATGTTCATCATGATCCTCAGTGTTGATGCGAGGAGGAGCACTTTCTTCTTCATCAAACGACAAATTCATATCGTCATGATCGTCCGACGAAGAAAGTTCTTCCGTTTCATCATCTTGATCCTTGTAAGCCTTTTTGATTCGTCTTGTTCTTCTTTTCGGATCCACTCGGGGAGGTTTTTCAGTCTTCTTGTTACTTCTGAGGTTCCGAGAAAGAGGGCGAGATTGATCTTCTTCATCACTACTTTCCTCATCAAAGAAAAGATTGTCTTCATCATCAAGAAGTCGTCTTTTGGTTGATGATTTTCTCTCTTCTTGTGTTTTACTTCGAGTAATGACCATAGTTGACCGTAGTAGTTGAAATAATTATCAATAATTTAAATATTATTTATACAAATATAGGATGCTCATAAGAGAAGTAGAATGGATGGTCTTGGACTGATGCGTTTGATGGATGGTAACGTTGTTGATGCTGTACTATTTTTCTATGTTTTACAAACACCTTTTACGCAATAACAATTAAAACAAATGCTCCGACCACGAACAAAATTTTTTGCTTTTAAACAAACAAAAATTGAATGAGCGAGTGGATGAAGGTAAGAAAAAGATCGAATGGAATCCACCACTTTATTGTGCCTTCTTGCTTTCCTTGATTCGTTTTCTTTCTTTAGAGACTGCAGCAAACCAATCGCCAAACATATTTCTGTGGAGTAAAGTGGTGGTGGTGAGTAGCGATGAAGCAAGAGCTCCTGCCACACCCAACGAAAAGATGTCTTGACCTGTGAGATAGAGTCCTTCAATTGGAGTTTCTGGTCTGCCAACCTCCAAATTGGTAAAATAATCTGCATCCATCTTTCGACCATAAGCTTCTCCAAATGGACATGCCAAATAATGTTGACAGGTGAGAGGGGTGGAGGAATCCAAAACATCTGGTGTGAAAATTTTCAATTGAGGGTATGCGATGTGTAGTAATTCGAGTGCTCTCTCTGTCAATTGTTGTTTGATTTCGAGATAACCTGCTCCTCGTTTCTTACATCGTTGATGTTCCCATTCCTTGAACCATTCATATTTGGTCTCAAAACAGCATGTAATATAAGTATTGTTCTTTTGAGGCTTAATTGAGAAGAGTAAATCTGGTATGTCAATACCTTGCTTGGGATCAATGGATCCATCTTCAGTGTGAATGTATCGTTCACGTTGTCCATCCAAATCATCGCTTGTGGAGAGCCAACAATTTTGATACCTTAAACCAAGTTCCTCAGCTGACTTGTCGTATCCAATAAAGACACAGTTCAATTGTTGACTTGGACGGTAATTGTCAATTTGATTCCTCAAATTGTACTTGGTTTGATCTGATTCTGTAATCAAATTCTTGAAAGTATTATAAAGACCTGCATTTGAAATGACTGTCTTCGCCTGTGCAATCACACCATTACTCATTTGCACTCCAGTGGCCTTTCCATTCTTAATGATAATGGATGCCACTTTTGCTTTAGTAAAGACGTCACCTCCGCTCTTTCGAATGACCTTAATTAAACTTTCAACAATATCCACTGCTCCCTTCTTTGGGAAGTAAGCTCCTTCCATGTAGTGAGATTGAACACTGTAATGTACATTGAACGGACATTCCTTTGGTTGCATACCATAATCACCATAGAAATAAGCCAAGCAACTCTGAAGTGTCTTATTCTTGGTGCATGATTCGAGAACACTTTTCACAGTTGTGTTGACAAGCTTGAAATAAGGCGCACAAAGAACGGGTGCAGCTAATTTGGCAATCCAAACAGGTAAGAGTTTGAGAAATAGATATGGCACTCGATAATCATTCAAAGTTTTTGCAGTCTCTTCGTATTGTTGCATGTACTTGTCAATGGCTTGCTTCTCTTCTGGAAATGCATTTTTGAGACAATTGACATAATTTTTCTTTCCTTTTGGAATTTCAATCCGTTTCAATAATTGATTCTTTGAAGTGTCATAAATGACAACATCGTCGTACTCACTGCATAATTCATCCATTTCTATTTTCTTGTCACACAAGGTATCGAGAAGAACCTTTAAGGCTCCACCTTCTTCGAAATTGCCAATATAATGAATTCCGGCTTCGAATGGAAATCCTCCTCTCTTGAACGTGTGCAGAGAACCACCTGCTGTCTTGTTTTGTTCCAAAACAATCACTTTCTTTCCAGCTTTTGACAAAATGGCTCCGCAAGCCAATCCACCAATTCCACTTCCAATGATGATGGCATCAATATCTTTCACATCATTCAGTGAATTCTGGGAAAAGATGTTTTTTGTAATTTTCTTCTTTTTGACCTCTTTTGGAGATATCGAGTCGACCTCTGTTGTTGAAAAAGAACTAGTCTGTTGTGGTTGTGTCGATGATGATGCATCATGATTGTCCTTTAAAACTGAGGTCGAGTCAAGAGTGTACTTTGGATTTTCGAACACACTGTCGGGATACCTTCCGAAAACAAATAAATTCAAAAACCATTTACCAATAATGCCTAGAGGAATGAAGAAGATCACAGCTATTACACCAAAGAGGAATACGCTCGAAATCATGATGATTTTGGCGATATGTTGCCGTGGCGTGGATTATTTTTTTTGATTGTCTCTTCGATTTGAACCTTTTTAAGGTGGAAGGATTTGGTGAATCAAGCAGAAAGAAGCAAAAAGACGGACGTACTATTTTCGCGGAATCATGCACGATGGTGAACCATGCAAAAGGTTTCATTCCGTTTCATTCCGTGCAACAAATGGAAGAACATTGTAAAAGACAACCAAGGACAACATTCTCTGTTTTTTTATTTTACTTGGAACTTTCTTTTTACCTGAAAAATGAAGCTTATGAAAATGATGAACCTTTCCCTCTTAGATGTTGAGTGACATCTGACGGTAAGGCTTCAACAAAAAAAAGTTGCTAACGTTGTGAACTCGAATTATCAACCAACAACACTTCATATATAGACACCTTCACATAACAGCGACATCACATGGGAATTAAAATTTCAACACCCGATATTCATTCGTCCCTCTCCGAAGATGACGAATCAACACAAAATACCAGCAATGGCATTGAAGTCTTATTGAGAGGAAGCAACCATCAGTTGTTATCAGGAGTTGATTTGGTCAAGTCATCCCCACAACAACAACAATTAAATTTGGCCAGCTCGTCAACGCAAAATCTTTGTCATCACAAGATCAATGCTGCTGTGAGTAGTAATAACATGCTTCATGATGATTCATCATCGTCATCATTCTTGCAGAGGAAAAGGTCAAAAAGCGTTTCTGAAACCACCAACGCTACAGAACCTCATCATCAGCAGCCCTGCTCAACCCGATTAACCATCCCTGATTTTACTCTTTCCGCTCCTCCTCCGAATTCAAGCCATGGCTTGGCCAATCACTCAACCAATTCCACACACAACAATATCACCACTACTCTCTCTACAAGCACTCAAAACATCATCATCAACAACAACATTAGTACCCACGTGATAGCCTCATCCTTCACATCCTCGCCCATCTCTAGCGATAGAAAAAAACATTCCCGTAGTCATTCTTTCAATTTTTTCAAAAGTAGCACAAAGGAAAACAATGATGAGGATGAAGAAGAAAACAATGATGAGATAATTTCCACGCTAAAGAGTGCTTCGGGAAAGAGCTTTCTTCAAAATAATAATACGCCATCTTTGAATCATCATCACCAAGTGGTCATTCCGCCCCTTCAAATTACCATGAATGATCGTCCATATCAGCAAGAACAAAACGATAATAAGGCATCTCCTCACTCTATTAGTAGTAGTAGTATGAATAGAAGTAAGAGTTTCAGATCCCTCTCGATTGCTTCCTTATTAAGCATTGGAATGAACAACAATAGTTCTTCTCAACAACAACTACAACAACAACTGAATAATGGAGGATTGCCGCCTTCCGTTACTGGAGAAAAAACACCACGAGGAGCACAGTATAGTATTTATTCAAAAGCAATGGCCAATATGGTGAGTCCGAGAGAGAAGAATTTAAATAGAATTGAAAATTGTAGACTTGTGGTACTTGTTGGAGGTATTGACAGTGGAAAAAGTAAGTGAGACCCTCTCTTTTTGGTGAGCTCATACAATATTATGTTCCTTATATGTTATTATATTTTCCTTAACATGTCAAAATGTCATGGAATCGTATTACTATGGATGCTTAATGTATTTTCAACAACAACAGCCACACTCCTTCAACAAATGAGAAGTCACAATTTTACCTCCTCAGAATTGAAATCCATTCGTGATTCGATTCTCATTTATTGTATATATTATTTGAAAGTCTTGGTCTCATCTCAACACGAAGTGAATTTGAATCATTTACTTCACAACTCTTCTCCTGAATTTGTGGAAAATTTCTCAAACTTGTATCAACAATTCCAAAACATGATTTCGCCCAAGAACGTGAATTATCCACACCACCATCATCAAGATTCCATTTCTCCTAGAGTTTCTCCACAAATTTCTAGTCCTAACAATTCATCATCCTCTGATGCATTCTCTCACGTCCATTCTACCCATACCTCGGATACAAGTATCGGCATTTCCAATTCACAGACTACCTCACAACAACTTGCCATTATTTCTCGTCTATGGAAACAAAAGGAAATTTTCAAAGTTATGCAAGCACTTTGGAAACATCCACTCGTTCAAAAGTCATATCGAGAACGAAATTTAAGAAAAATTCCAACGCCTCTATTAGGAGAAAATATCGAATATTTCTTACAAGATGGAAGAATTGAGCAATTTAAAAAAGTCAACACTATCACTACTCAAGATATCATACGAGCCAAGACGCTTACTATTGAAAGTATGCCAGTGGTCGACTTTACACATATCAATTTAGAGTATGATGGTTCGTTCAAAACTCGAAAATTTCTCTTATTTGAAACCTTGGGTTGGAGAGAGAAGCGTGACACTCTACTTTTGCAACAAACCTTTCTAGAGAAATCCAACTTGGATTGTGTTGTATTTATGGTTCCTCTATCAGAAATTGATTTAGTCTGTTTTGAGGATTTAATTTCTCCAGGTAGCAGAGATTCTGTGGTGAAATTGGGGAATTCTAATCGATTACTCGATAGTTTGCAATATTTTGAACAAGTCCTAACGAAAATCAAGACCATACCAGATGCACAGAGGCAACAACAAATTCGTAAAGTTCTTCTTTTCACCAAAGTCGATGTGTTCATTCAGAAAATTACAAACGGCGACGCGATCCAAGCACTTTCGAAATTCTTCTCAGATTTTTCTGGCAACAAGACGAACCCTCAACAAGTGTTTAATTATATTCGTGATCGATTTGTATCAGTTCACAAACGTTGTATTCAGAGTGAAAATGGTAATTCCTTACATGTACCTGAGTTGGCCGTGCATGTGGTGAATACTTTGGACTCATTTGATCTTAAAGAAGTGTTCGATTCCATCACAATGAACGTGAAAGAAATGTTTGTCAATTCTGAATTAAGCTCCCTCTTCCAAAAAGAATTCATTTTCAACAGAAGAATTCTGTACAAATGGGAGCACACACAATTCACGGATATTATGATAAGATGTGTCGCCACATACTCTGATTTGGACTATATCTGACAGATATACCATTGAATTCTTTCTGTGACACTTGATAAATTGTTATTTTAGAAGTTCTATGTTTGTGACATTGGGCTAAAAAGGACTGTATCGGGTAAAAACAGACCTCACTAGCTCTGATAATCCACTTCAACATTTCAACTTCAACACGTATAAGTGATCTCTTCCCTTAAAAACACCACAAGTGCACAAATACATAAACGTGTTTTCACATCATAGCCAAAAGCACAAACAAAAAAAAGCAAACCAACACAAAGAATAACAACAACAAGAACCATGGCCTCTCAAAACACCAGTCAAGAAACAAAGGAAATCTATGACAACATTTCCTCCAAATACGACCTCATTCAATATCATCCCAATTACAAACACGTGACTATTCCCACGTTTTTGAAACATTTCAAAAGCACTCTACAAAGACTTTCCACCACCTCCACAATTACTCCACACAACAAGATCAAGTTATTGAACTTGGCATGTGGATCAGGACATGACAGTTTTTCATTGTGGAAACAATTTCATTCTCAACTTGAAATGATTCTTGCAGTGGATCTTTCTCCTGAAATGATCAACATTGCAAATCAAAGCAAACAACAATTCATGGAACAGGAAAACATGACACAGTTGCCCATTCATTTTGTGGTTGGAGATGTCTTGGAATTGGACAAGAATGAACAAGTCAATCAATTCACAGAATTGTGCCCCTTATGCACACCTTGTTTTGATTTGGTGAGTGCTTGTTTCCTCCTTCATTACTCGTCGAATGTGGAAGAATTGGAGAGAATGTGTGAACAAATATCTCGAGTTTTGAAACCAGGAGGTTCTTTTGTCACACTGAATACTGATCCTTTCTTGAATCAAGCTTTTGTCAGTGAACAGCAAAAATCTTTTGGTTGCTTTAGATCTCAATTTCCAACGGCTGAGAAAGAACATAGAAAAGTCATGAAGGATGGAGATCGATTCGAATTCTCCATTGATTTGAATTTCAATGAAGATAACAAACAGGAGGATTATGTGGTTAAGTTTTATAATCAATATTTCACTCCTGAAACGTATGAAAAGGCATTGAAGAAAGCAGGTTTTCACACTGTGAAATTTCATCGAGTGGAAATGCTTGGCACACTGCAAAGAACTGATTTGAAAGATTTTGGAAAAGAATTGGAATTCAATGGAATGATTTGCATGGAGGCTCTAAAGTAAATCGAGCTTAATGAATCCCTTCTTGTTATTATTAAAAGCCCAAAAAAATTTATTCTTAACAATTATATTGTAAAGTCATATTTCGACAAATTTGATGAAAAAAAATGTTCATTCTTCAAGATGGATCCATTCCGAAGGCTACAAGTTCAATGCTCATCAAACACCACCACAACCACACCCGGCTATTACCATGCATGAATATATTCTTTTTCCTTCAACATAAATTATTGTTGTTCATCATCCTCTCATCCATCATATTTTCTTTCTTTGATCTTGCAATGATTACTGGTTCCGAAATTTCATCGTCCTTGTTCCTTTCCAAAACACATCATCAACAGCACCAGGTTACCACAAGAACCAATACTCTTGCTACCAACAAAAGGCTATCCGCCCAAAAACAACACATTCATTCTGCTCAAGATCGAGCTCCAAAGAATTGGGAAGATTTTGTCTTTGATCATACGTGGAGAGGTTTTTTAGACGATGATGCTCAAAGTTATGAGAGCGAGATCTTTACAATTAAATTGGATAATACAACCAATAGTGTGGATGTTCATATTTTGAAAACTTCGGACTATGAACATAGTATCCGACAATATCCAATTTTCATTCATTTGACTGGAAAATATGAAATTCAGAAAAACCTTACCACACAATTTGATTTTATTGTGAATCAATTGAGCTGTGAAAATTTATTGTTGCCAAATGGATTAATGGATCCTTCTGGATGTAAAACATATTCTGAATTGTGGACACCAGAGAAAAATTACTCGTACTCATTATATGATGTCGACGAAGATGGAGAGAACTTGAATTTTTATTGGTCTATTGAATATTCAATGCCAGACAAACAATTTCCAGTATTTTGGAAAGGATTAGTTTACCCTGTTGACAGATTTTCATCATGTTCATTTTCATCATCCATGTGGAGAATGGATCGAATGGATATTTTTCCAAATTTTGCCCAAAATGCATTTTTGCGTCTCGCAGATCAAACATTTGTGTTGCAAGTGAATCAAAATATTGATTACTCCACAGCACGAACGATATGCAAATTACAAGATAACTTTTTATCCTTAAACATTTCTGGAAAATATTCAATGATTCCAGAACTTGGTATTATGGTCGCAACCAAATCTACTTGCGAAGACTTACAATTTTGGGTACAGGACATTACTGACTGTAATTTGTGTCCAAAAATTGGGCGAGCTTTTGGTCTTACATCACTGGTGTTTTTTGGCGTACAAAATCAAGGATGCAACACCATCAAGTTGCAAGCAGAACAGACGGGTAATACCATGCAGGGATACAGAATACAAAATGTGGAGACTCCTAAACCCAAACAATGGGTTAATCCTATCATTTGTGACAACAATCACAATGTAATCATTGCAGTGAGTGTCTCGGTTATTTCAGGTATTATGATTGCCATCATTTCTTTTGGAATATGCACATGGTGCTTCTTTTGGAGAAAAAACAGAAGACCTGCATATCGACCTCTCGAGTAATTGAGATGTGCTTTTACTACTCTCGAAATGTGCATTAATAATGATCTTTCATAAACGTTAATCCAGCGGCTGTGGTTGGATCTCCGAAAGGACATGTTGTTCCTTGTTGATGGGATTGATCAGAGATTGGGGAGAAAGTTTCATCATCATTGTCATGCAAATGACCAACCCAGAAACATCGATCAATACATCTCAGTATGGCATATTCGAATGGAAACTTTTCTTTCAGTTTTGGATCTTTGCAGAGTAAATGCCGGACAAACTCGTCTAGTTCTTGATGATTCGAAAATTCCATTGTCTTTCCAAGAATTGACAATTCAAAATGTTCACGAAATAGTTCTGAAACTGGAAATTTCAATGAAATTGAGTCTCCTCCATCGTACAACTTGCTTGGTGGTAATGTTGAAGTTTCATGCAATAATTCCTTCACCAATATGGAACTACATGATTCAGTTTCTGGGAAAAATAGTTGTGCAATTTCATCTTCACAATTGATTGTACTGGTGTGGTTGGATGTTGTTGTCATTGCTCCAGGTAACATTTCAGCACCATTCTTCTTTGAACAATGCTTTACAATAGCATTCAATAAATCATATGTAAAATAAATGGCAGAACAATCCTGCGTTCGATCCTTATTCTCAAAAATTTCACCAGCTGCTGATGACGGAATGGACTGTTTTCGTCCACTAATGCTTTGTGCTCGTTGTTGTAAATGATGAGCACAAGTGAATAGGGATGGTTTTGTCGAATTCCACTCACATACGACATTACACACCACATCCAACACTTCCTCCGTATTAATATGATTGTTGTAATAAATGCAATTTTCGGTGGCCAGCATTCTGGAGAGCTGTAAACAATATCTAGGCACACATAAGCCAACGCTTGAATCCCATTCGAATAAGATGGAACCTATTGCAACCACTGGTTTCATATAAATGTCTTCTCGTATGTCAAATGTTAAATCCACTCCAAGAGGTGACAATAAATGTCGCATGGTCCGTGCTAATGGCTCGTCGTGCAAGTGAGTGTTCACTTTTGTATTCTGAGGAATGGTTGGATACGTAGGTAATAACAGTAATCTCACTCCACTAAAATTCTTACTCAAATTGATCATTTGTGTCACATCAGCCAGGTCAAATTCTGGCACATCAATCAGTTGCCACATGTCTGAAGATTTTGAAACTCCATTAAAATCATCACTGCTATCATTGGTAGCATCAAAACTACCAAATCGTTTCAACACTGGTTTAAATTCTTCTTCCAAGTCATCAAGTATAGGTTTCAATGCCAAAAAGGCTCTCTCATGACCTTCCAAGTACTTTTGTTTCAATTTCGAAGGCGTACTCAAAACTGTCCATATCAGGGATTGCTTCAAAATGGTTCTCCATAATTCTTGCTCTTCAGGAATTGTTCGATCCTTATAATAAGGATTCGATTTTAAAAAGGTAAGTAATTTTTGCGAAATAAAGGCCTCAATTTGATTGTCCATGAATGTTTGATGTGTGGTTGTAGTGGTTGGAGAAGCACCACATGACCCTTCGGATGTATTTCGAATTAAATTCTTTCCCATACTTCCAGTTCGTGATGAGAGAGAAGTCAAACGTTGACGAGGAGATGGAATTTCTTTGAGACATTTATCGGAACAGTTTGAAACCGCGAGACCCATTTGTTGTTGTTCTTCTTATTCTTGTTGTTCTTAATGTGGTTGTTGTTTTGTTTCGGATTTATGATTGAAAATTCGAATTGAAAATCTCTTCTTGTAAGAATGAATGAACCAATGAGCGAAAGGCTTGCGAAATTGTGGTCGTAGTGGTGGGCGCAATGTTGTGATGCTTTTTTTTCTTTTAAAATACCCAAGTTACAGGCGATAAGGCTTTACATCAGCAGCATAAACATATTGTGACAGGTGGCAGACGGCGCATCAAATCCATAAGAATATATATGACATGTTGGAGATAATCCTGTCTTGAGACATCATCATCTCCTTCTTTTTCGTATATCGTCCGTACGGCATAAATACCTCTCCATGCTCTCTACAAATGAATATAGAAAAACCTAATAAATATTCCAACGACACTCTTGCATCTTGTCATTCTCACAAAACAGGAGTATTCTCTTTCTCAAAATGTACAAAAGAGATTGTCTCTGTGAAATAGTTGAGATAAATCTTGTTGTTGTGTGAAGGGCTTTAAATGAATATTCTTCTGTTATTGTGAAAAAAGTATGATTGGATTCACAAAAAAAGAAATGGACAAAGAAGGGTTTGTTGCCTCACAGAGTTGTTGTTTGAAGATCCACATCTACAGTTGAGTTTGAATTGAGACTGCAACTACTACCATTGCTCAGAATTAGTCCAATAGGAAGATGATCACTTCCATAATAGTCATCCAAAATGTAACAATCCTCAATGAAAGGTTTTAAGGATTCGCTACAAATAAAATAGTCAATTCGACAACCTTCCTTCTTGTCACGCTTGTTATTACGATATCCATAATATGTGTAGCAGAATTTCTTGCTGCCGTGAATGAGTCGAAATGCATCAATGAAGGGAGGATTTGTTTTTGTGACAATTGGAGTACTTGCACGTTCTTGAGGTGTATAGCAAGCACATTTTTCATTGCCTTCTGGATTGTATATATCAATGGGTGTGAGAGCAACATTTAAATCTCCTGTCCATATCACTGGAAATGATGATCATGATGGTGAAATGAGTTTGGAAGAAAACGATGATGGTGAAATGATATGAGTTTCAGAAGAGACACCAACCTGGTTTTTTCTTTTCCAATTTTTCAAAGTATTTCAATAAATCCACATCCCATTCTTTTGTTCTGTATTCTAAGCGTTCGAGGTTTTGTCCAGAATTGGGGCAATAAGTACTGTTGAAATTGCATAAAAAATGATTTGAATGCAAATTTCGAAATTTCGATCATTCAAGGAATGATTAGTGTTGTTATTGTCGTTACTTTTCGATCATCTCCATGCAAAATACATACTTGACCAAATAAAATTTGTCAAACTCCACAGTAATGCATCTCCCTTCTTGATCATGTTTTTCAATTCCAATTCCAAACTTTACACGAAGAACTCGATAAGGGCTCTTTTTCAAAATATACACTGCAGTCCCTGAATAACCCTTTTTTGCCTCTGATGTGTTGAAATGACTTTCATAACCTTTGAAATGAAATTTTTGCATGTCAGCAATCTTAATATCTGTAGATAATTTTGTTTCTTGTAGACAAACACAAATTGGCATTTCATTCTCGAAAATTCTTTTTAGATAATTGGGTTGTTTTCGAACAATGGCAGAAATTCCATTTACATTCCAACTAATAAATTTGAATTGCTTGTTCGTGTCATAGGGATGATCAGTTCCGAGTATTGTAGATAATTCAGAAAAAGATGATGATGAATTAATACTCTCTAAAGAATTTGAAAATCGTGACAACATGTTCGAAGAAGTTGCACTAAGAATGCCAATCGAATTGGGCAAATGTTTGTTACTTTCAAGAATTGAATTTTCAGATTGTTCACCCTCCTCATCTAGCACCACTACGACATCGTTATTCTTCATATTATTTGTTTGTGCCTTTTCCGAATCCTCACCATCACTGCTGCTAGGTTCTTTCTTTATTACCAAAACCGTTCCGAAATTTAATCTTGATTGTTTCATGGGTTTTTTAGGCCCTTTGAAAGTTGCAGTAGGAGCAGAACCTGAAGAAGAAGAGCCTTTTCCTGCGGCATTGCTTGAACCCGAAACGGAATTCAACTTTCTTTTCATTTTTTTTACTGATTTTGCTGCCCGCATATGGCCGAGTGGTTTTTCTGGAACTGTGGCAGCCAACTGGTCCAGCGTTCGAATCCCAGGGGTTGCTGCTGTTATCGTGAGCAGTTTAAACACCTTTACTTCCGGGGTGCCTGCTAGGAAGTCACTACGTATCTTACGTTCGGCTTGTAAATAATGTACATAAAACCATCGAACAACGTTTATCATCGAATAAACCCATCCCTGAATTTTTTTTACTGATTTTTTTACAAAAAATATATTTAAATACTTTGAGCTGTGTAGTTTGGTGAAATACATTGTTGTGATGATGATTGTTGTAGTGGTTGCTGTGAATGATGAGCGTCATCTCATGTGAATTCAATTTGCTGAATCTCGAATTTTTATAATACAATTAAGACAACTGAATTTCAAAGTGATAATTGTGCCTTCTATAAAATTCCACAGTGAAGCTTTGAAAATATATAACATTAAATTAAGTATTTTCGACATTATTTTTAAAATTCGATAAACAATTTTCAACACAAAGTGAAGGATGATGTTCTTGACGATTTGGAAACATTTTCGTCCGAAACTCAAAAGCTTCCAATTCGGTCGACTCTAAAAAAATCTTTCTTGTTGTTCTTGACCTTGCCAAATGGTGTTGCCTTTACTTCGCCATCTGATAATACAACTACAAGAGCAACCACAACAACAACAACAACAACAACATTATGGATGGCTCTTCACGTTTGGTGCAAATCTATTTGATTGGATCATTCAGATAAATCATTCAATAAGTTCTGCAACAACAAATCGGATGTTAGACACCAACAACACCCTTTTTCATCATCCGATGATGAATCATTTCCTTCAACAACCCATCCCTTCACCAACAATTATTTCATCATCACCACCATCATCAATTTTAATCACCCAAACCCAAACAACAACCACCAATCATAGTGCTGAGGATATTGCTCTTGTAAGAGGCTTTATTCTCACATTTGATATTTGCTTTCTGTTGGTTCCGCTTGTACTGACCATTCTCATTCCATTGCTTTATGAAATATTTGTGGTTCGTAAAATTCTGGAAAAACTAAAAACAACATTTCATAGGAGGAGAAGTAGACGAAAAACACCCTCCATGTACTACTCAAAATATGGACAGTTTGAGGATAGTATTGAAGCGTTTGCAGTCGAGGAACAAGATAAGGAGGATCATCAGAGAAGTTCCTTGGTTTGGAGAATGATGTGCTTTTTCGGATGGAGAAATTTCAAGAATTTTGCCTTGTCGACACCGTTGGGAAGTGACAACTCTTTGGCATCTATTAATGAGAATGGCTGTTTTGCCATGTATCATTCGACACCTTTTCAGATATTGGATCGACTGTGTTCGAGTTGTTCAACCATTAGATCCTACTCTACCAGTGAGCACGATCCTCTCATTACCGATACTAATGTTTCAGTGAAAATTCGATCTGTGACACCAAAAAGTGTGCACAAGTACAATGTTTCGTGCTGGATTTCAAGTGCAATATTATTGTTCATTCGGATAGGAAATTTAACGCTTGCAATAGTCACTGCTGCTTATATTTATCAGTTTGAAAGTAGAGGAGATGGAAGTGTCACAGACAAATGGCTTCATTACACCAAATATCTCACGAATAATACCTTTAATTTATTTTTACTTTATTCCATGCTAGTCACAGTCTATCATGTGGCACTCTTAGTGCTGGCCTTCATTTATACAAGGAAGAGAAGAGGCATTGGAAGCGGTAATACAGATACAGTCACCTTTCCTTATGTAGATATTATGCCAAAATGGTTAGAAAAATTATTGAACTGGAGCGGAAATGTTGTGTGGATAATTTCGGAAATGAATTTGGTAGCAAGTGGAGTAGTAACAATTGGATTTTGGACAGTTATTATACCAACAGGAATTTTTCCAATTGATCGAATTACCTTCATCATCATTTCAGCACATGCCTTAACTTTTTCGGGAAGTATCATTGAAGCACTTTGTTCAGATTTCTACTTAAAATTTTGGCATATATTTATTGTGGGCTTATATTGCCCATCCTATCTTTTATATGTCATTGGATTGAAAGAGACCAATCTTATTCGAACACTTCCATATGGTGACTTGCTAGATTACAATAAGGGAGATACTGCATTTCTCGGACATTTAGGATTTTTAATTGGATTTTATGTCATTTTTATTGTCTTGTGGTTATTATTGACCTTGTGCAAGAAACTGATCACCATCAAGTGTTGCGGTATTTATGCATTTCCATCTCATATTGAAAACAGAGCTCAAGCAGCTCCTGCCGCCTTCAACAATAGCAAACTATCAAATCCTGTTGAATTTTACCAGTCCAGTTTTGTAGCAGCAGGTCGTGTGGATGTTGCTTCCATTCGTCACTCACGAAGCATTAGTCTTTCAAGTAGTATTGGTGAAGACGAGGCAGAACAATTCACCACTCTTCCAAAGAGTTATCAAAATAATTCTGAAGTAGAGAGTTCAGGTTGGAATGCTGGATCTCATTTGTAGATATTTTCTCGTATGACAATTATTTCCTACAATTTCATTTTCATTCAAAAAGAAAGTTTAAAAGAATTCATTAAAAAAATGAAGAAATTCACTCCATTAGGAAGAAGAGCTTTCTTTTCATCGTTTGTATCGGAACAACACAACCACCAATACACGAAATGTAATCATCTTTGGAGTGGTGGTTTTCATCCTTTTTATAATTTATTGTTCAACCATAAGAATATTCTATCGGTGGTTTCCATTTCATCCAACAACTCCAATTTTTTGAAACAATTTCATACGCTCCATTACAAACAACATGCGAAAGCCTCATCTTCAAGTTCTAAAAAACTTTCACCCGAAGATTATTTAAAACCCGAATCACCATATTTTACACCCGATAGAATTATTGAAGGACAGTACTCTGTGATAAATGCATTCAACCGTGTGGATACCACTAAAATTCAAGTTCCACGCTATTATGAAACAATGAAAGAAGAATATTCTATGAATTTGGAAATTCACAATAATGAAGAGGATTTACAAAAAATTAGAAGAGTAAACAAATTAGCTGCCGAAGTACTGAGATATGCTGGATCGTTGGTGAGAGAGGGAGTGACAACGGAGGAAATTGATGAAAAAGTTTTTGAGTATATTGTGAGTGTTTGTTGATTCAAGATGGAGCGAACTTTTGACCTTTAATTATTTATTGGAATTACGTTATGATCAATGATTTAAATGCTTATATATTGATTTAAATTCCCAATTATATTATATTGACATTTATTTGGGTGGAATTATAACGAAACGAAACAACAAAATTAATGGAATGAATTACCCTGTTGAACGAATTTATCATCAACAACAACAGACTTCACGTGGCGCTTACCCATCTCCACTTCGATATAACAATTTCCCAAAATCTCTTTGCACATCCATTAATGAAGTTTTGGTACATGGAATTCCAGATACACGACCTCTCAAATACTCTGACATTATCAATTTAGATATCACTGTTTATTTGGATGGTTTTCATGGTGACACCAATACCACCTATATTGTTGGAGCGAACAGAGAGACACCAGAACGACCGATTAAGGAAGAATATAAAACTCTCGTGAAAGTAACAAAACAAGCTTTGTGGGAAGCTATCAAAGTTTGTGGACCTGGAGAGCCCATGTACAGTAAGTATTGTACCTTTTGATCAACATTTCTTTTATCATCATTGAATCCATAATATTTTCTTTACAAATGTATTGTTTTGATATTCTTTACGAAACAATTTCTTCTTTGTGTTAACACTGTATTTAGGAATTGGAAATGCGATTGATAATTTTCTTTCAAAATACAATCAAGCTCATGGAACGTCATTCAAATCGAGTCCTGACTATGTTGGACATGGAATTGGTCGCTCTTTTCATTCACTTCCTCAAGTGATCATGGTTAAAAACAAATATGGAAAAGAGTTTATTGGAACAGATGTCATGCAACCAGGAATGATTTTCACCATTGAACCAGTCATTTGTTCTGGCTCAACGAAGAGTAAGACTTGGAAAAGCGATGGATGGACAGTGTATGCTCGAGATGGATGTGTGAGTGCACAGTTTGAGCATACGTTGAGAATCAAAGATGAATCAGAGTTGAGAGACTTTCGAGAATTGGGTTGTGAAGTGTTGACTCTGGATGAGCAAAATGTGGAGGATGTTGAATTGGTGAAAAGTTTCCAAAAAGATTTGTATTGATGCTGCGTTTGGTAAGAACGACTCGTTTGGATGACAACTGTCACATTAAAGACATACGACTCGAGCATGTTTGTGGCTTTGTCTATTAACATTTCTTTTCACATACAATATTAAGGTCATGATGAATCGAACTTATCTCAATGACCCATGCATCACGTACATTTAATTGTTGTCAACCATATTTGTTTCAACAACATTCATGAACAATTAATTCTCTCAAGGAAATTAATGACAGAGAGAGATTTTCCACGAAATGACCATAAACACCACAATTGTGACTGTGTTTCAAAGGAGATGTTTCTTTAAAGTCCTTTAGACAAGTTAACAACATCCTCAAAATGCTTGATTTGGCCATTTAAAACCAATTTCGAGTTTCTTTGAACCATTTCAAGCATTTTACATATAATGTTGCCTAATGACAATATTTGGGACCTCTCTCCTGAAATGGACCTCACGCCAACTGTCCTCTCCCACTCTCAAATATTTGCTGAAATTCTTTTAAGAACTCGAGATTCTCTGCACTTTCCAAAAACAACAATTCTGGCCATTCAAAAATATTTTAAAGGCAAATTTGGTGGAGTGCATGACCATTTGGTGCGATTCAATTGCTTGCAACACGAACAATCGCACGATTCGATGCATGGTTCTCATCGAATTTCGTATCAGCACCCCAACAGAACTGCACTTCTGTTCTTGCTTGAAAATTTCTCCATCAAAGAAGAATAACAAAAAAACGTTTTCAACGACACTCCTTCCTCGGAGCACCTCTCATTTTGTTTCTTTCTGGGTACAGAACACTTTTTCCACAACTCTCATTGTCACCGCGGACCCTCTCACAGTGAAAAGTGCGGTGATAAAAATTGTATATTGTTCAATCTCGTTATCCAAAACTACTGCTACTACCACTACCAACAACAACAACAACAGTTCATCATTGACCCTCCCAAATTGAATACAATTCATCATCAACATGGTGTTATCCTCTTCTTCCATCATCAAGAGTGGATATTTACAACAAAAGGAAGGAAGTTTATTTAATCGATGGAAACGGTAAGTCTTGTTCTCTTGACAAAATACATGAAGAACATATGTGTCCTCTCTCTCTCTGCGATCTGTCTACGATCGAATCTTTTATGAATACCAATATATTAGCTATTGGTTTGTGTTGACACGAGAGGGAAAATTATTGAAATTCAAAAAAGAGTTGGAGGAGAAGGAGGATTCTCATCGGAGTGCTTCTCCGCAGCCTCTTCAAGAATATGATTTAACGAGCAACATGAACAGCAGTCATGGAGAGTCGACAACAACTCAACCGTTGTCGTTAAGGAATGAAATACAAAGTGCGAGAAATATTTGCGGAAAGAATTATAGTATGGCGATTACGGTGGTGGAACATCATGACAGCTGTCAAAGATCGAGTACACAAACGACCTCATCTTCTAGCTTAATCATGTTGGTAGCTGAAAATGAAATGGAATATGAAGAATGGTTTAATGTTATATACAGAACAATTTGCGGGTCACACAATTCCAATTTTGGTAATGTGTCAAAAGAATGTCAAAACTCAGTGAGCTATCACATGGAAACTATCCTGAGCGCAATTTTGGATGCTGCCGTTATTTCAGATTCTATAGGAACCATTCTCTCTGTCAACGATGCCATGACGACTTTATTTGGCTTCTCCAGAGAGGAACTCATTGGACAAAGTGTCAACATTCTAATGCCCTCTCAACTCGCACGAGTTCACGACGATTACATGAAGCGTTATCTTCAACGGAGAGATAAGAAATTAATTGGAAAACCAAGAACTCTTCTCGGAAAACGATCGAATGGTGTCACATTCCCAGTCGAACTCTCTTTGGGTGAAATGACCAATTCGACGTTGGAGAAATCAACACCTGCTTACATTGCAGTGTTTCGATCGAAAATTGAAAATGATCAGTTTGTGAGTCATGCCATCGATGAACCATTCAATGCTGCTGAAATGTCAAAACAAGCATCCAATGAGGATGGTGACAACATCAATTCATTTGACAAACAGAGTCCCAAATCACCTAAATCACCAAAATCATCCGTCTCAACTTTGGATTCAGTATGGACATCCACTCCACACCAACCTCCACACAAAAACTCCTTAACGAACCATACCAATTATATAGAATACGATGACCTTGATGATGATCCCATGCACTACACACGTCCTCACAGTGGTCATCACAAAAATGGTAAAATTTCAGATGAAGCTACTGCAACCAATTCAACCAATAGTTCATCTCCGTCGAGTGCCTCAACAACACCCTCTTCTCCACAACAACACCATCTCTCACCTCACCACCATGGTGACGAAATTCTTCATGACATGGAACAATGGGTTGTGGAGTCGAGAAAGATGAATTCTTTCCAACATGAACACGACGGAAAGGATTTTGAGCTTGTGGATTCACTTCTTCAGGAATTGGATTCACATCAAACACAATTTGCACAGAGATTGCACTCTATGGAATTTTCTTGTCAAAAAACATACGAAAAGGAATTTAAAGAACTTGAATTGAAATATCAAACGTTAAAACATCATTACAAATTCATGGAAGATGAAAATAAGACTCTTCAACAACATTTGGACTGTTTTCATGAATCTCTTCGACTTTATCAAGCTGAAATGAGTATTTTACAAATTGGCAATGATTACATGGATGGAATCATGTTGAAGGATCTTGTCAAAGAAGATGTCATTTATCGTAGTGTGTTAAAAACCATTGCCAAAGAAGAGCATCAATTGAATTTACTGAAATTCTTGAGAAAAGTATTGAAATATCAAGAACAATATTCACCCTCGATGGAAGATGGTGGTGAGGACAGAACATTAATGGAGAAACCCAAGTCAGAAAAAATGTATGATTTTACCAACAATTGTGAAACAGAATATTTAGAGAAAAAGAAACGAATGAGACAAGATGCTACTTCAATTCTTGAAAAATTCTTTTCTTTTTCCTCAATGGTTCAAAATAATGACACTCCTCATGAACACTCACAAGAATTGAATCATGCTCAATCCATGCCTTTATTGAGTCATTCAAAAAAGGATACACCAAATCAAAGCAACAACACCAACTCAACCAAGATTAACCTCTCCTCCACCTGTGAAGATTTGTTACAACTTCATTCTCAATTTCCAACCTTTGGAATGTTTGACATGGCCATTTCGGAAGTGATGGATCGATTGAAAGGTAAAACTTTTAAACGATACATTGGTGAATTTCATGGAAAGACTGACAAGAATATCAAACGAACATTCAAATGATCCTTCTCGATAATAGGAAGGATGACTTTGGTAATTTTCCATATATATGGAGACGTTCCTTTCAAAACAATTTTTTCAATTTTCACACAATTTACCTAACCTTCACAAATTGCAAAAAACAATTCTCACTCCTCAATAATTGTGTTTTTCTTCACCGACAAGAAGAATAACAACATCAATAATAACAATTAAAACATCATTAAACATTTCATCATCACCATGAACAAGGAATTTTACCAAAGCAGCTGACATTCTCAAACAAACCGAATCTGAGAAACAACAAGAACCTTCACAAAAAGAGACAGCCTCAAATTTACAAGAAAAATCCAGTGGCACTGTTGGTGACTCTGAATTGCATTACAAAGAAGACATTCAAAGTGGAAATAAGAGTTACACTTCAAATGTGGACAAGGAAATGAAACAAGCAAAAGATATTGATAGTAATATTGGCAGTAACTCTCCAGCACCTCAATGGAGACTTTAAGTGTGATGAGTGACAAATCAAGTGTGATTCATTCTCAAGGATCATTCAACGTATGTGTAAAAATAAATGAGAGTTGGATGAGTGTTTACGCAATTAAATATTTTTTTCAGGGGAGAATGTAACGGGACGAAAAAGTGGTTGACAAGAAACATGAACTTTTCCGATTGAGTCATCCAGTTGCCAAATGCATTTTCGTTTCGATTTAACCAAATTTGGAATTTCAACTGTAGCACACACAACAGCTTTTGAAGACGTATGGGTTTATTATAAAGTCATCCCTTTCTTATAAATAAAGGGAGAGATTTAGTCAAAACTAACTATCAATTAAATACCACAATGAAAGTCCAAAAACAGATTATTACCAAGAATATTAATATAGTCAACGGAGCGTGTTTGTGTCGGTAGTCGTTGAAGCATCAATGAGAAGTGAATTGGCTAACAAACTTTTTAAAAAGAAAGACTTGAAACCAACGAACACCATTGTGCGATTTGACCTAAAGTGACACTCATACTATTGTTCCACCAATTTATTTCTAATTATTTTTATTGCTACTGTTATTTGAAATTGTTTACAACAATAATTGTGTAGTTTCAAGTAAATTACATCCACAGAGCATTGAAATTTTCTCTTGAATCACTCGCTGATATATGCCATTTCAACATGCTCGATTTCCCTTCCGAATCAGAAGACCAAACTTCCAACTACGATGAACAATTCTCTCGTGTGTGTTATTACATTAGCGGAGCCGGAGGAGGAGGAACGGATCCTACATTGGCCACTCCGGTCAGAGGTCTTCCTCTCTCCAATGACGACTATTCCTCCAAACCCTCCTTTCGACTCAAAGAAAGTGAAGAATACGACCAAGTCATTCGCCTCACTCGTCAATGTACCTTTCTAGCCATCGGGAGTTGGCTTCTATGCTGTGGCTGTTTCTATTCCTGTTTTTGTTTTTTACCTCTCTTGAGAAAGAATTTCATCTTTCATAACCATGAATGTTCCTTCTTGGAAGATGCACGATGGAAATACGTGAGAAGCTTCCGAGGGAATCGATACAAAGACTCGCCGTATCGGAGAGTGAGAAAAATTGCAGAACGAGCAGTGGAGTTTGGATTTGTGGGATGCTGTGCTGTGAATGTGTTGATTTTGTTTTGGGTTTTTGCGTTGGGAATTGCTGCGTTGGTGGTTACTTTGGTCATGTTGTTCGGACATTTGAGATGAAGATGATAGGAAGATGAGGAAGAAGAATTGGTTTTTTGATTTTCAAAAAGATTCTTTTTTCAAAGTGTCCATCCATCGGAGAAGAAGCAAATTCAAGTTTTGGAGAATTGAGGTACAGAATGGACAATACTGTGCTATGTATTGTACATTTATGTTGAATTACTGTGTGTACATTTCAAACTTTTTTAAAAAACCTCTCGAGTTCGATAGCCTTCATCAGAACAAGTGTAAGGCTTTTCCTTAATGAAAACGTTTGAGTGAATTTTTTTCTCTAAAAAAATAATAATGAAGTGGCTTCAAGGTGAGGGATCTCCACACACCTCAGAGAGGTCTCTCTTGACGAGATCTTTGTCGGGTGATTGGTCGTATCGGGATGAAAAGATCAAGAACAATGAAGAAAAGGAATGGATGTTTATGAAAAATTATTTAAATGGGTTTCCTTCAAGGAAAGACTCTTTTTCAAAGAATACTTCTTTTCTACTGGATTATTCAAAAATTGATGATTATTTGCAATTTTCTAGGGAGGAGATACAATTTGAGGGTACTCAGCAAAATTCAAGTTTTTCCGATGCGAATTTTAATCCGGAGAGCGAAGGAGCATCGCCTTCCATTGAAAATGAAATTCTACAATGTAATTATTCAGATACCATCGATGAATTATTAAAGTTAGCTCAGCATGAAATATCGGAGGAAGAAGAGCTTTCCGATGATGAGCTGCTGATGAACAATTTTGAATTCAAGGAGAACAACCACTCAGACACTCCACAAAATATGTACCATCACAAAAACACAACAACACAACAACCCTTTGAAAATAATGTGAATTATTTGGAAAGCACAAAATCTATTCAATGGCTTTGGGATACAATTTTCGACATTTATGAGTATTGTTATCATTTATTTATGAACAAAGGAAGTCAAATCATAACAACACCAGGATATTCAACAGCACTGATCATTCACAGCATGATTTCAACCAAATACAATATTAAAATCATCGTTGACATGGTAGGTTTGATTGAATGCTCAATAATTAATATGGGAAATTGCATCAAAATATTTTTGTGAATGATTTTCAAACAATTTTTAGACCTGGAAAGCTATACTCAAATCTGTCAATTCTTACAAACGTACCTACGAGAGCATTGCAATTTTCGACAAGTTTTTGATTGGGGAATATTCTTTGAAAGCCTTTTATTCTTTTATATTGCATCGAGAGTTCGAAAATCAAAAGTCACAATATAGACCAAGCCAGTTGGAAACTCCCTCTTCAGCATGCTTTTTCGAAGAACCATTACTTACCCCAAGAAAATCAAGTATAATATCGGAAATAATTCACCAGAAGAGAACAAAACTTGGAAATATTCAGGAGTTTAATGAAGTGAATCACTCACCGTCCATTCTAGAAACAATATCTCATAGTGTAATTACCCTCGATCATGTGGTTACAACCATTTACAAGCTACTATCAAAGGAACTTGTGAAAATAGATGAATTTAAAAGTGTACCTTCTCGAGAGAAAAATATATGAATACTGCACAAGAAAATTTAATATTCACCCCAATAACAAGGTCGTGTCTCTGTCAGAATTTATTGCACACCTTGTGAATGTCAAAACATGTAAATTAGAACTAATCATTAATGAACTCGATCCATATATCATGACGTCTAATTCCATTCCAGCAAGCAGCACACCAACATTATCCATCACCAATGCTTCTCCAACCAGATTCCCTTCAAGTGCCTCCAACAACCATACTGTGATAGAAATAATGCAAAACATTGAAACTGATCATTTAATTGATAATGAAATTTTTAGTAGTAGTGACATGAACGACTTTAATCATAACCATGAAGACGAGGACGTTGACGCATTAAGCAAGCTTGAAAACTATCTTCTTCAAAATCCAATATCTCCAACACCTTCATCTCCCAAAAATTCACCAAAAATCAACAACACTTACTCTTTATCAGAATGTTTCGACATTATTTTAGAATTACATGAAAGAATTCACCAATCCATTCAAACCGAACAACAGTTGAAAGATTTTGAAAGCTTTCTCGAAGAGAGAATTCACAAACTCTTCATGGTCAAAACCCATCTCCAACGCAGCAAAGATGGTCGTCATATTTTCACTCTCCTTCATGATGCCTTAATCAAAATTAGAACTTTCATTACGTCATGTCCTGTTCAATCTCTTCGAACACGAATGCTGCTACGAAAAATAGAAGACTGGAAACAGCAATCCCAATGAGGCTCATTTCTCCACACGATTTCGCAACAATTCAGAATCGCCACCACAATAGTCCACACACTCTCTCACCATTGTGGACACACTCTTCAACATGAGACGGCGATAGGAACAAATTTAGATCCACACGACCTTCCTTCTTTATTTGGTCCAACACACACTCAAAAAAATGTAAGTATTAAGCACAATGATGATCATCAATGCCTTGTTCATCCAACAATAATAACTTCCGATTGTATGGTTGGTTGCGGATCGTGATGGATGTTGCCCCTCCTCCTCCATCGATACATGTAAAAATCAATGAAATTCATTGAACAACAAGATCACAACAAGAATACAATCATCACAAGATGGACAAACTCTACACCCAACCTGGTTACACTCTTCACGATCATTCCACAAATTTTACTTTCAACATTTCGGGTTTCCTCTCACAAACTGCCTCTCCAACCACAACCATTCAAAGCTTGTTGAAGGAAAATTATGCTCATGCTGTGAAAGTTGCTGCAGAAAAGATTCGTGGTATTGAGTCTGGAAAAGTCGTAAACAAGACTGTGATCGTATCGGAATCTGAAAATCGTTGCGTCGATCACTACAATTTACGTTTGAAGAATTCATCTGTTGCTGGAAAGTCCCTCGATGAAAGCTTAAAGTTGTGGAATGATATTGTCGAAAAAGTTGATGCCATCACAAGTGGAAAATTCAAAAATCCACAAAATGGCAAAGCTTACAAGAATGTAATTTTCAATGGAATTGGTGGATCTTATTTGGGTCCACTGTTGTTGTGTGTGGCTATCAAGGGAATTTATTACAATGATTTACAACAACGTGATGGTCTTCCAAAATTATACTTTGTCAGTAATACAGATGCTGAAAGCTTTGATCAATTATTTGGTGAAAAGGGTGTTTTGGATTTGAGTGAAAGTTTGCTTGTCAACATGTCAAAGAGTGGTGGTACAGCAGAGACCAAGGGAAACATGAATTCCTTCAATCGTTTGCTTGTTGATAGAGGAATTGCACAGAACGGAAACATTGGACCTTACAACATTGCCATTACTACCAAGAATAGCAACTTTGACAAATTTGCTCAAAAGAACCAATTTTTACATACTTTCTATATGAATGAAGAAACTGGTGGTAGAACTAGTGTTGGTAGTGCCATTGGTATGGTTCCAGCTGCATTTGCCAAACTGGATTTTGCTGAATTCTTGAGAGGACAATCCTACATGGATGAAATGACAAGAAGGTTTGACACCTTGGAACACCAATTGAAAAATCCAGCTCTCATCACTGCAATTCTTTTGGATCATTATCAAAAGAGACATGGAAGAAAGAACTTGATTGTTCTTGGTTATTCTGATTCTTTACGTGAATTTGCACACTACTTGCAACAATTGTATATGGAAAGCTTGGGAAAGCAATTTTTAGAGAATTCTGGTGTTGAAAATCCAGAAGGTCAAACTGTCTTTGGAGGTGTTGGAACAGGTGAACAACATGCTTTCATGCAACAAGTTCAAAAGGGTATCAATGATTGCATTGTCAAGTTTGTCCACTTTTTAAAGAGATCTTCCGACTATTCAGTGCTTGATCCAACCGATAAGCAAGAACTTAGGGGAGAACATGTCGAAGCAAGTGAATTGACAGAATTCACCAAGAAAGGAACCAGCTATTTGAGCATGGGAAGACAAATGCTTGGATTTATTAAGGGTACTGAAAATGCCTTGTATAAGAACGGAAAACCATTCTTGACATGTACCTATGAGAAAGCTGACATGTTTAATATGGGTATGATGATTGCACTTGAGGAAAGAATTGTCTCAATTTTGGCTGCTTTCAGAGGAATCAATGCCTATGATCAACCAGGTGTTCAAGATGGTAAAATCAGCGCCAATGACATGAACAAATTTGGTGACATTCTTGAAAGAAAGATGGTCAGCGTGATTTTGCAAAATAAGGGATGGAAAGGAAGTGCAAGTGTTGCTATTAAGGAATTCGAGAAGGACTTGACCGGTGCTCCAATCTGGTATGTCGATTCAATCTTGAGTGACATGTATGGAAATTGGAATGTTGAATGGGCCTATCCTCGATTGAAACAAGTGGTCTCTGACGTCAAACGAGAATGGAGCGAGCAAGAAGGAAGAACAGAATTTGTCTACCAATTTATTTCCAAATTGTAAATGGAAAACGTTAGTTTCCAAAATATGGTATTAAATATTATTATTCATGTTGTGAACTTTCGGTAGTGTCATTGTCACTTGCAGTTGGTACTGTCTGGTCGGTTGAGATCACTGCTTCACTTTGTGTTAGTGCCTCGTTTTGGGATGTGCTTGGTGGCGTTGGTTCTTGAGACGTCGGAGTAGGTGTTGTTGCATTTTGAGTTGCCACAGGTTCTTCGATGGTTGCTGGAGTGGTTGTTCCATCATTGCTGACCTCAATTGTTGTTGTCTTACTTCCATTCTCCTCAACAGCAGCACTACCAGTGGCAGAAGTGCTACTAGAAGTACTGCTTGGAACTGCTGCCATGTCAGGTGGTGAATTACTCTTCTCTTGAGGTTGTACCACATATTGAATATCTACCTCGTCACCAGCTGCTTCTTGCAAAGGTTTAAATTGTGCCGATTGTTGTCTTTGGAATGGCAACAAGACTTGATTGGGAGGAATCTGTTGTTGTGATTGTTGAGGAGAAACAGTCGAGGTGGCACCTGCTTGTTGTGACGCCATTGCTGTCTGCTGTTGTTGTTGCACTTTCATTCGATACGAATCCACAAGTACTTTCATAGCTGGCAATAGCAATTTCGAAACCGTTTTGGAGGAATCAGCAAGTTTTAACTTGAAGCTTCCTCTTGCATGAACAGTCACAACATAATAGGCAGCCCGATTCAAACCAGAAATATCAGTAGGCATGACTGGAATAATTTGATATTCACCAGCTCTCAAAGAGAGTGGTTCAGTAAAATTGTAGTGATGAGTATTAATGGGCATGGCACAAGTTACTTTTTGTTTCTTGTTGGCAATGATAAATCCTTATTATGGAAAATAAATCATTTATCGTTCGACCACAAATTGGAATTGTCAAAACGATGAAGAGGTCATTCACAAATAATGATAATTCAAATAATGACAAATGCTTCATCACAAATACTTACCAATGGCTGACTTTCCTGAAAATCCTCTAACATTCTCATGAAGTTGGTGAAGTCCAATATACATTTCCTTTTGATCATTTTCTATGATTAAATCAAAAACAAATACTTCATTGGTAGGTGATCGAATAAAATGTCTTGCAAAGAGAGGATCGTATTTGCATGCCGAAATTGTAGAGAAATATTTCATAAAATCTGTTAGTGACATGAAAATGCATCCCTCATTGGTTGCAGACTCAACACTTAGGGCGTTTCTAAATTCAGGAGTCCAGTTGACTTTATCAGTGACAGACCAAGCGCCCTTCCATTCTGCTTTTCCTCTCAATGATTTCAATTTGAATACTTTTTTGCCACTAATTTCCACACATCCAAGTAGGGCAAAGGTCTGATGAGGTAATAAACCTTGAGGATCAATTTTTTGTTGAGCTAGAGTAGTAAAATCTGAAGTGGTACAGGCTGCGATGTATCTTAACTCGCCAAATTGGGTAACTCTTCTCCACAGACGTTCAGAAGGTTCATGTTTGGTATTGATCGAGTAAGTTGGACATCCTGAGAGCAACTCAAATGCGTCACTAATGGTCAATCCTGAAGATATTTTGTGGTAACATCCAAAAATTTTGGCAACTGCCTTCTCGATTGCCATAATCCACATATCACCCATTTTGCTTGAAGCATAGAGCGGTTTACCATCTTTTCCTAATGGGAAGTAATCATCAATGACAACTTTACACCACTCTCCAGCAATGCATAAATTCAATTCATAGATACCAGCTTCATTCACTTGTTTGACAGCGAATAATCTTTCAATGAGAGCAGGTTTGACTCCCAAGAGGCATAAAGCAGAGCACAACCATGCATCATTAATCATATTAGTCGAATAAATATCATTGCTTAAAATGGTCTCTGGACTGAACACTTTGAAATTATTTCCTAAAATATCGGGAGCTCTTGCCCACAATACAATTTGATGTTCAATCGTTGGATCAATAGAAATATTGAGAGGTGGGAACTGTTGATCGGAAAATCGATTTTTAACTTCAATGTTCTTTTTTACACCATCTGAAATAAAGTTTAAATATTCGTAACTCTGAGATGCCAATCGCTGCATTCGCTTATATTCTGACTCTTGAGAAATACTGCTCTTGTTTTCATTGATTGCAGCTTTGGTTGCTTTGATAAATTCTGAGAATTCTGATTCTTCATTTAATTGTGCAACCTTATTATCGATAGCTCCAGATTGTTCAATTACCATTTTAGCTGTGTTGACTTGAATTGTATTGAAACGAGAAATCATTTCTTTCATGTATCTGAATCTCTTTCGATCGATGAATTCCAAATGAGAAAGAATGTTCTTCAATTTTGTGTCATACTCACTGCTCACTTCTTTGACTTTTCGTTTGGCAACATCAGCATCCCTGTCTAGTTTGGACACGTATTCTTCACTATAGTTAATTTTTGAATCACCAGATGATGTGAAGGAACACAATTTGCATGGTCGCAAATTTTCTTCGATCGAGACAATCAGTAAACTTACCTTTGCGCAATTTTCTTGACAAGATCTTGAACTTTCTTTTCCGTCACCTCTGTCACAAGAATACTTGCTTGTGTTTCCTGAATGTATTGTTTCTCATCAAAATATTTATCACGAATTTTGTCTTCCTCTTTACGCGTAGCGACGAGTCGTGAGCTCAACTGTTTCTCCTCTTTCTTTGCCATGATAATATAGTTCTCCAATTCCTTTTTCACTTCATCGACATCTTTTGCAAGATTTTCCAATTCGTTGCAAGTGGTGACATAATTTTGAGCCATCACTTCAAGACCCGAATATAATTTATCCAACACTTCTGTTGGTTTCCGTGTGCTGTTTTCGAGAAGAGGAGTCAATTGTCGTCAGCATCATCATGAGAGGTCAACATCGTGTGACAGTTTCCATAAAAGTATTTAAAAATTATGTTCATCAATAATAATTATAATAATCATTACGGATGATTCAATAAATCAACATGATCAACCGCTACTACTTACTCGGAAGATGATGCTTCTTTCTTTCTCAATGTTGAAAATTTCTTGATCAAAGCCTTGTAATGCGCTGAAAGATCATCCAACAACTTTTCAAAATTTTCCAACTCTACGACACCACTCTCCAACTTTTCAATCACAATTGGAAAGACTTCAAATAAATCCTCCCGATAGGAATTTGCAGCTAAAAAGTCTATCTCAGAGTTTGGTTCTTCTCCGAGTGTTTTTGTTGCCTTATTTCCCATCTTGCAAGTTTTTCCAAATTATGGAGTATTTTCTCGTTTTTTAATCAATATTATTAAATTCAGAATTGATGATGACGAATTGCAATCAATTCAAAACAAAATTTCTCACAAAAATTCTTTGAATATTTTTTTTTCTCATAATGAGAATTTAAATTCAAACATTTTACAGAAACCCAAACAACACAAACAACACAAACAACACAAACAACAATAAATCAACAAAATCTCACACGTGTACTCTCATCTAAAATTTAACCCACACTCTCCACCGTCACCATCACCACCACTACTACAAGTATACATCAATTTAAAGAGCTTTCTCACATTTTCAACTCCTGAAAATTTAAAGACAAAAACTCCTCAAAAAAAATGAACCTTTTCAGAGCCTTGCTGCCAGTGCTGTTGTTGTTGTTGGTGATCGAGTTCTCGGCATTTGTAGTTTTCGGAAAGATTGTTCAGATTCAAGTCTTATCGAGACACTGCGACCGTTCACCTGTTTCATTGTATCAAATTCCGAATGATAAGTGGGATTGGCAGAATGATTTGGCCATGTATTCGTATGCGGGTAGGTGGTAGGCACGGACAGTGGAAGCTTTTTCATCATTTATGGTTGATGTTTGTTTGAATGAATATACTTTCAATTTTTGAATTTTGTTGAATTTTTTTTTCTAATTATGGAATGTGGATAACGAAAAAATCATGTTGAATGTACTACTATTAATTTTTAAAAAATTCATATCATACAATAGGTGGAAAACAGCCCTCTGTGAAGGTACCATTTGGTCAGGGTCAGCTCACTGGACTTGGACTTCAACAATGTTTCCAGGTTGGACAACAATTCAATCAAAGATATCTTTCGAGAGTGATGAATTCCAATGGAGGTGTGTACATGGATTTTTTCAACATTCTTTGAAACCATTTATTCTGAATATGCTGAATATTTCCATGCACCATCGAATTTGTTAAATTATTTTGAAAATTGAACTCTTTGATATTTAAAAATCAATATATTGAAATTGAATTGCCTAATGAAAATCTCTACGCAGCAAACGTAGCAAATCCCAATGTCATTGATGGTCTTGTGTATCCAATGGATAACGATGCAACTTCAACTGCACACTGGAATCCTCAACATTTTAGATTCTATGCCACAGATTATGATCGAACTTTATTTTCAGTTTTTAGTATTGCACAGGCCATGTTTCCACTGGGAACAGGTCCTGCCACTGATATTTCACTCAATGGTAAGTGGGATCGGTATTTTTGTGAAAACTTTTGTGATTTCAAAAACAATCATTATTATATTTCAAATAATTTTTGTCTCACTGAAATCACTCTATATTTTACAAATCCAAAACCCACAGGTCAACAAAGTTCATTACCAAACTTTCTACAACCCATTCCAGTACATACACAAACCTCCATCAACGAGTTGTGGATGAGTGCCTATGGAAAGTGTCCAGCCATCGATCAGAGAAATGAAGAGAATGAACAATCACAAGAATATTTGGACAAAATGCAAAAATTTAAACCATACCTTACCAAACTTTCGAACTGGACAGGAATTCCATTTCAAAATGACCTTATTTCAAGCAGCTCTGTCACATCATCACACTCGAAATCAAAGAATACAGGATTGTTATCTTTCTGGTTTTCTGAATCCAACAATGAGGTTCGTAATTTCTTTTCAATGTTGAACATTGTTTTTTAATATTTTCATTGTTGTGAACATAACACAAATGTATGTCCAATCATCCATAATATCAGAACAATGAAAAGGTCATTCCTTTCTACAAATTAATTTCAGACCCTTCCTTAATGAACCAACGCGGCGACATTCAGGACTATCCTGTCTTCAAAAAACCCATTGACTATTCTTCCTTATACATTGTCTATGATCTTCTCACCGTTCAAAAATCTCACAACAAACTCACTCTTCAACCCATTCTTGACTCGTGGGATCAAGTCAATGCTATTGGAAATATTGCCACACTCGAAACCTTCTCACGAAAAGTTCAAGGAAAACTAGGAGGTGGACCACTCGTTCAGAAAATGATTGTCGAGATGGACAAGATGGTGGCTTCTCTCACTGGTAGTGGTGGCGCTGTTCCACGAAAACCCTATCCCTATGGTGAAGATCCTGATGAACCCTCAAACATTCCTTACAAGTATGTTCATTACAGTGCTCATGATGTGAGTATTTTGTCGCTGATGGCAGCGCTTCGACTCACGGAAGATTACTCAGAGTTACGAAAAATTCCAAATTATGGAGCACACATCATTGTGGAATTACATCAAAGTGACACTGTTACTACTCAAAAACCCACGGAAAAAGATTTCTATGTGAGAATTCGATACAATAGTGGATTCAATGAAACCTCTTTTAGGGAATATTCATTGTTGTCATTGGGAGGAACGGGTTGTCAAATGGGATCAGACACTTCCTTCAATTGTTCCTTCTCAAGTTTTAAGGATGTCTGTTATGCAGATGCCATTCCACATGATTGGTGCATGGAATGTCGAAATAACAAGGCAGATATTTGTGTGAGAGCATTATATGAAGCAAAGAGAAGTGAGAATACGATTTTGATGATTATGCTGCCCATTCTTGGAGGTTTTTCATTCATTTTGTTGTGTTTTGTGGCTGTCATTTGTTTGAGAAGTAGTAAGCTGTCGAGATATGTTCGAGGAGGGTCTTCAGCGAATTCAACTCCGTTAGCAGGTAGTGAGGGTATTAATTATGGAGGAGGATCTTATTATAATTCTCTGAAATAATTGTTTCAGTCAAAATTTTGTCAATTATAATTCTTAATACTGTGATCCACAGAGTTTCATTAAATCATCTTTTTGAAAATTCGATTGTCAATATTGAAACTCTTTCAGTTTTTCCACAAGTGAGTTTGAATTGATGCGTAATTTAGGATCTAATTGAAGACATTTGTCAAATATTGGTATAAGGATTTGATATTTCTAATTTCGTGCATGGTATGGAATGGGCTCTCGATCATTTTTGTTGCAATGCCAATGAAATACTCACCTCTGGAAGTGATTTGAAAATCTGTTGCTTGAATTCCTCTTGAAATAATTCCTCACTCGAAATACTTGTGTGACCATTATGTGACTCGTCGTTGCTCTTACGCATCAACAATAATACCAATTGCAGCATGGAAACTCCTAAACTCCACACGTCGGATTGAGAGGTCCAAATGTGTTGAGAACTTTCTGGCGGCTTGTAAGTTTCAGATCCAAATGAACGATAGCTTTCCATGTCTTCAACTTGTTCATTCTCACTCATTTTAATAAAACATCCAAAATCTCCAAGTTTCACTCGAATACTCTCATCAAGTTCAAAACTCTCTACAAAAATATTTTGCAATTTAACATCTCTATGAATGAGTCCGTGAGAATGAATATCACAAAGAGCCCTTCCAATTTGATAGAAAATACTCAACAATTGCTTGGGTGTCAGTGAATGTTGTTTCGAAATGAAATGTAGCAAATCTTTAAAGTGATAATAAGGCATGAGAATGTACAATTCGTCATCTAGAATACCAAAGTCCTCAATTTGAACAAGATAATCGCTCTTAATGTTATAAAATTCTTTACACTGATAATGTGAAATCATATGCAAGTTCGTGTAAAATACATGATTCAATCACAAATTTAGTCATTAGTAGAAACGCACGATATGAAACGGCAATTACCACTTACGGCACTCCATTCAGATTCAATATCAGTGGAAACAATTTTTAGAATTTTCCACTGTTGTTGTGCTTTGTCAAAGCATTTATACACAGTACTGAATCCACCCTCTCCTACTTTGTGGAACTCATCTCTCATAAAGTCCAGATGTTCAATATTAAACTCTTGTTCGATCAAAGAATAATCCTCTGCTTCATGATCATTTTGGATTCCTAAATGATAATTGCTATTATCAACCAGCTCAAAAACCTGATCGAGAGGCATGTAATCGACTTCGGTGACAACATTTGTCAGGTGTTTTGATTCATCAACAAGAGTGTTGAGCTCGATAATAGTTTCCAATTTTTCGAATTTACACTCTTTTCCAAATGTGAACATTAAGAGTTGTTCTTGCATTTTCACAGAAATACTCTCCCATAATTGAAGCTTTTTAAGTAAATAGATGCAAAAATGTCCACTATTGTATGATGTTGATGAAACTTTGCAATTCCAATTACAACTCGTCTCACTAATACTTCGAGCAAACTTTTGCATAGATATTCCACTTTCCATGTTTGTTGGATTTGAACTTTCAAAGACACAACATAACAAGTTTTTAGGCTTGTCACAAAATGGGGCGACGGTCACAAGCAATGAAGATTCATCCCACACAAGAAAATTACCTCCAAAAATTATACCCAAACGGTGACTCTCTAAATCAAATGCCAAAAAGAGGCCTTTTGCTTCTTCTCTAAAGTGGCTTGCCAAAAAACAAGTAGCGTTCAAATAATTTTGTAATCGTATGGAAGTTCTCTCATCCAAATCACAAGTTTCTAATGAGAGTTTTTTCATATTTGTTCGAAATCTTTCTGGCAATGAAGGGTCCTTATTCAGGTCTCTTAACGAATTGATGCAATAGTTGGACCAACATTGAAGCAGATACTTGTGATCTAACTTGGAGAAATTATTCTGTGAATTCGTAGTGCTATACGAACTCCATGTGAATGCATTCATTCTGCTAATGGGGTTTTGTGAGCTGGGATCAAATCCCATTCGTTCAATCAGAAAAGCAACATGCTCTTTCAACCTCAAACACAGTACCGTTTCAAGAAGTGTAAAACCCATAATATCTCTCTTATTGACATGATGTAGGGCAATGTTCATAAATTCGTGGCTGATATGATGCGTGATGACATGGTGAGATTGTAATATCTCCAGATATGAATGGTTTTCTGGGCTTTCTTGCATTGAGAAAGTTGTAAGATGTATGCTATCTCTAATATTCTTGAGGTCAGTGCTCGAAAATGTATGAATAAACGCCACATTAACATATAAAGTGTAACTTTCATTGGAGAAAACGTCTTGACTTTGTCCAGTGTCGCCAATAACTCTAAAGCTCATAGTAACGTTGCTTGCGTTTTCTTGTATGGAATGCAAGGAAAATTGCGAACCTTTTAGTGTGAGTGTTGGCGTTCCCGAGATGGGAGTGAAACAGAATTTTTCGTGGCATTTCTTTTCAAAATGAATAAGTATCCGTCGATTGGAATCTGCCTCATAAATTACTTCCTCATGCATGGTCACATCTGCTATGGTAAAGAAATTTTCGTTCCTTATATTCACACAAAAATTTGAAGTCTCACTCTTTGAAAAATCTCTCTGTTCTGAATGAATATCGTCATTAGTTAGAGATTTCATTTCGATATATTTCAATAAGCCCTCACGTTTTTCATTTTCAAATGAAAATGCATTATGAGTCACTCGAATATTGTTATTGACATCGGTTGAAATGTCCACCAATAATAATCCCAAATAAATGACATGTTGTTGAATTTTAACTGGAATGACCAGTAAGCGGCGCGTCTCCTCTTCTCTCTTTTTAACTAAGCTCATTTCAATTTCATTTTCCAAAAAAGAAATACTGTCCGCACTATCCAGAATATTTGTTATTTTCAAAAAACTTTCACCTCGTGTTAAAATGGTGTACTCAAAAACTCTAACAAAATCTCGCAAAAAATCGTATTGAATTCGAGAATTAATTAATGTTCCACAACATTCATCGATTTGAATGCAACATTTCAATTTATCGTCACCTTGATAAGGATTAATGGTAATTTGATAATGATAATCGTTGTTCAGAGTGGATTTGATCAATGGTTCTTCTGACGATGAGAACAATTCATTCTCACTATTCTCTCTAGAGTCTTTCAAGTTGTTGCTTGAAAGTAATTTGTCAAGTTGTGTGGATGATGGTGCCACTTCAAGAGGAAAACACAAAAAAGTCATATTACTCATAATTCCTTCTCCATAGCCAATATCATCACAGCTTTCCTTACTAAAATAGGATCCCTCCGAATATGACGATTGATCTTCACGCCACAAGAAATCATCTTCTCCAATTAACTCTCTCAACAAAACAAGTACATTCGTGTTGAGATGATGATCGGAAGTGTCTGCCAATGATAACTCTTGATCTTCAAAATCGTAGGCATTATATTCATCGTTTCTCATCCCAACCGAGGAGGATCCTTGCATTACATCATTGTCAAACCCTTCATCACTACTACCTTCTTCATTCTCGGAACCATCACAACCTCCCGATGATGATGATGATGAATTCCAACAAGTGCTGCGACTTTCCATTTTTTGGTTTGGCGCCTTTTTAAAATTGTTTGATAAAAAACAAAATATAGAAAGCACAGACTCAGACAACGTTGTGAGAGGATCATCATACTGCTCTAATCATCACGATAAGCTCCATGGATGATCTTTCTTCACATGAAAAACAAGAAAATATTGTAAGCTTTTTTCAAGAGGAATTCATTCCTCCTTGTCATCATTGAGAGAGGTAGGAATGAAAAACAGCTCTTCTTCCCGTAAGCCGAACGTCTCGGCTTTATCACACCCAACATGCTCCGAAATTCAATCACCACGAAAACAGCAATAGCAACAACAACAACAACAACATCATTACTGCGTTCCACGTTATCCAGCACACCAAAAACTTCCAAAGTAGGAAAAAAATTCAAAGTCTTTCATCACGGAGTTGAATCATTTTCTTGCTGCACCATCATCCGTCCTCTCTAGAGATTATTTTCAGCGAGCTTCTGAGCGTGTTTTGTTCACTTGAACCATATCCATAGTATTCGTGTTATTATTATCCATCATCATTAGGACCCTAACGAAAAACCTTTTTTCTATTTGTAACATACATTTCCTCTCTAACGAAAATATATCAACTCTAACTTAGTTTGAAAATGATGATGATGATTTCTCAACCACCAAGCCAAACCTGCACAACCACATCACCCGTAGCCTCTTCTTCAAAATACAACCATCCTATGACCATAGAACCTTCTTCAAACACTCCATCATCTTCATCGGGACAATGGAACCCTGCAGATATGAGCGATATTCCATTTGCTGCGACTTTGTATCCTACCGAAGAGGAGTTTTTAAAGCCCATTGAATATGTTGAATCAATCAGACACATTGGAGAAAAGTACGGTATTGTAAAGATTGTACCTCCAGAGAAATACAAGCTAGAGCCAGCAGAAGACTTTTCTGATCTAGAAGTTAGTGCGAGTGCATTTAAATTCATATGCAAAATTCAAAATATTAATCAACTACAATTTAGAAATTTAGAACAAAAACGAAAATTTGAAAAGATGGTTAGAAATGGAGAGTTTCCTTCAAATAATGATAACAACATCATCCAACCAGTTGAAGAAACTTCAAAAGATATTCTGGTATCTGACGATGCCACTCAAAACTTGAAACGAAAAATCGAAGAACTCTTTCCAAACACCGAAACTCCTGAAAAGAGGCTTAAGAATAGCCCCACATCACACATAAAGACTGAATCAGAATCAGTAACACAAGCCTCTTCAAGCACTACCGAAACTGGAAACACCTCAGCTAAAGACGACTTGTTTGGATTTGAAAGAACAAAGAAGCCAATTTCATTGAAAAAGTATAAGGAAATGGCAGATAAATTCTTTAGAGATTATTTCACGGAAAGAATTCAGAGGGGTACAACTGTAACCTTACCACAGAAAGAAAAAAAGAAGCTTGCTAAAAATGGAGGGTTTAAGAAAGTGGAAGGAGTAAACTATTTCGAAGATATCAATCACATCACAGCAGATGATATCGAACGTGAATATTGGAGAATAGTCCATAATCCCGAAGAACAAATTCAAGTACAGTACGGAAATGATTTACCAGTGTCTGAGCACAAGTCATTCTTTCCACCAAGTTGGAAATGTGGCTGGGATGCTAACTTGCTGCCCAAGCTTCCTGACTCATTGCTTTCTTTCCTTAATATTGATATTCCTGGTGTGAACATTCCAATGCTTTATATAGGCATGTTATTCAGCTCGTTTTGTTGGCACGTGGAGGATCACTTTATGTATGCTCTCAATTTCATACATCATGGTGCAGGCAAACAATGGTATGGCATTCCTGCGTGTGGGGCCGATAAGTTCGAGCAAGTCTTTCGCAAACTGTTTCCTCACTTGATTGATGGCCAACCAGCCATTCTCCACATGCTTGTGACACAAATCTCACCAACCATTCTCGCAAGAGAGGGTGTACCTGTCTACAAACTTCACCACGAACCTGGTACCATCGTGGTAACATTTCCACGGGCTTATCATGCTGGATTCAATCAAGGATTCAACATTGCAGAATCTGTAAACTTTACATCATACTCATGGCTCCAATATAACAGATTGGCCATGTCCAAGTACTATGAGTGCAAACGACAAACTACATTCCCATCAGAGCAATTAATAATTTCTGCCGCTACATCCATTCTTTCAGGAAAGAGACAAAAGGGCTCATCTAAATTCTTTGATACAACTTGTAAATTCATGAAGGAAGAGCTGGAACATATTTTCAACAACGAGAAAGAGTTTAGAACGGAGCTACTCCAACTTATTTCTGAAAAAGAAGCACGCCAAATGCCATGCATTTCGAACCGAAATATTGAAAAGTTGAGGACATGCTCCCAGAAGGACAATAATATTCGATGCTGTGAATGCAACTCTGATTGCTATATTAGCGCTGTAACGATGAAGGAAAAGAAGAAGGAGAATCATTATTGTTTGCGTTGTGCTATCAAACGAGCCATGCAAGATAAGACATTTGCAGCTAAGTGTTACATTATTGAAAGATTGAGTGTTGAAGGCTTGGCTCAGCTTCATGAAAAATTTGAAAAATTGGTGCAATCACTCTCGATATCAAGCGAAAAGTAGGTTGTGTTCAAGTGGCAGATTATAAAGTACGAAGTTTGTGAAGGTCCATAAATTTTTTGTTCCAAGTCAACCAAAAGCTTTTATTTTACACCTTTATTTCATTCAACGAAAGCTTCCTCAATCTTTTTCCGAATAAATTCCAAGCAGAAAGCTCTTTTGGAGTGACGTTTGTTTAGTTACAAGTTAATGATAAGCTTGCGGTTTCCAACCATGATTGCATCTGTGGAAGGAGCATCTTTTCTGATTTCTTCATACATGTTCATGTCGATCATTCCTAGCGCTCCATTCTTTTGCTGTTGAGCAAAAATTTCCTTATGTTCGGAAAGTAGTTTTTGGGAATTGTCAAATGAGTTGTAAATTTCTGTCAACGGTTTTGGTTCGTGGCAATCAATCACAGCTTTTGGAGTGTGAGGCACCCTCTTGTGAATTCTTGTTAAATTGGAATTCTTTTCTTTGGTGGCAGTGACAAGGACAGTTTCATTTGTGTCATGAGAATAGAAAGTAACAGGCTGTGTTATAACTGGAATAGAAGGGTGTTGTGGCTGTACCAGCGAAGAAGAAGTCGAATTCTCAAAGATGCTATGATCTTGAGCGGTCCTGTGTTGAGAGAAATCAAAATATCGCCCGAGCTTTGAAAGATGTGAAACATTTGAAGGTGGCTCTTCCTTAATTGTTGAGTCATGCATCTTTTCAACCAAATTACAAGTCTTTTCCAATTCTTCCTTTTCTAAAGTGTGATGGGAAGTATGTCCCTCTGCCTCTTCAACGTGAATCTCTTGTTCATTATCTGACATTGGATCTAAGCCACCCAAGTTCATTAATTCTGTGTCTTCTTCATCGATTTCAATGTTCTCTTGATTCAACAGATGCTGTCCTTTTCGATGAGCAAAAATATCCAAGCTGTCAAAATTCAGTTCAGACCGTTGTTTCAAAGGACCCATTCCATTCACCACCAAATTCAATGTTGGTGGGAAATTTAAATCGAATCGATTGGTGGACGGATTTTCCTTTTCACCAAATGTCACAAATATAAACTTTTGATCTGATCTTGTTTTTTTCAAATGATAGGTTCCCTGGTTGGTTCCTTGCTTTTTATCTTTCTTTAGAAAATTCGTATTTAACTTTCCTTGACAGGTGTTCATTTTCAGAGTTCTGTCGAGGAAGTGGCGCGTTTTCAAGATGATGCGACACAACAAATAACCTTTCCTTGACAGAAAAAGAAATGATACAATCAAACAATGGTTTGTTATCTTGACATCTCTGAATAGTAAGTCTTAAATGTTGATCCAACAGTCTGCTCACCGTACTCTCATTCAACCATGGCAAACTTTCGGCGCATGAAAATATACATTCCTCATCATCGTATTCTGGTATTATATATCCGTTTTCGTTCACCTGATATTGATAGTTACAATAGTTCTGTTTTGAAATGGTATTATTAGTAACACTTACGGATTGATTGTAAAGTGTGACAAATAAATTAGTATTAAAGGTATCGATATCAATAAAGTGGTGAGAACGTAGTTGCGAGATGGTAATATTGAATTTTGTTTTTTGAAGCTGAAACTCAGAGTTGGAGTAATTCAATAATCTCAACTGTCAGAAAGTGATGAGAACAACCAGAGGGTTAGTTATCTCGGAATTACATCATTCAATAAACCTACTCTGAAAACATAAAACAAGGGATTGGAAGGATCAATTCCCCTCGATGGTAAAATTGATTTCTTTGACATGTTACGAATCGACAATCTTTTTCTTTTCATGACTTCCTCGTCTGGAGTTGAGACTTGAATAGACTCATTTAGGGAAGCATCTTTTGGTATCATCTTTCCAAAATTTGATAAACTTTGATATACAGATGGTATGTTGCATATTATGTTATCAGAAATCGACGAAGATCTTTGTTTCTTCATTGGCAAATCTTTTTGTTTTCTTAAAAGGTCTCTATCTATTTGATCTCTTGTTTTTTTGTCAAGAGTAAGCAACATCTCGAATAAGTTAGGATTTTTTGTATATTCTTCTTTCATTTCCTTTGATTTGTTTTCGGTTTTTCGTTTCGTAAGAAGAGATCCCCCTCTAGGTGTAGTATCATTAAGGAAAATATTGTTGGAAGTGGAAGTTAATCTGGGTGACGGAGAGACGGGACCATCTGTTTGAGATGTCACATCCGGAGGCTGTTTTTCTCGTACAAATTTTAAATAATCGCTTAAAGATAAATCAAATGGCATGTCCACAATTACTTCTGTTTTTGGTGCCTCTTCTATTGCTTTGAAAACCCGTTCTGAGGGCTTTCTTTTCAGCATACCGTTAGGGGATACCTGAAGTAAATTGTTTTGAGATGTAACCGAAGGTAAGTTCTCTATACTCATGGAAGGAACACGCGAAGGTACTTTTACCTTTCCAAACATTCTAAAACGATAGCCAACGGCAATCTGTTGTTCTTCCTCTTTTCGTAAATCTTTCTTGTGTTTTTCGGCTCGAACTAAATTCTTTTCGATCAAAACAAATCGCGTATTGCAGTCGTCCAGGTGGCTCAAATCTTTCCAAAACCTGTATTCAATAACAATGAGGTTAGATAAAAATGTGTTACGAACAACAAAAAGTGTGCTTTTTTCGTCATGCAGCACCTACCTATGTCTTGTTTTTAAGGGTATTGGAGCATGTGATTTTTCAGTGTCACTCCAATCGAACTGTTGTTGTAGAGCTTGAAGCGTTGTTGAAACTCCTTCAACTTCATAGGTCCTTGAAATTGTGGCATGCTTGTCCTCGACACATTTCCATTTTCTATCCACTTCTTTAAAATTAATAGGGAGAGGAATTTTTGATTTTCTAGTGTCCCTTGTTCCCAATAACTTGCTCGGATCATTACTAGATCTACTTTTTCCATATTGTTTCAAAGTTGACAATTCGTTCGTGCTAGTACTTGTTCTTCTATTTTGTAAATTTCTAATAGAATCAACATCTCCTTGTGTTTTTAAATTTCGTGTTGGTGGGCTTCCTCTCCGTAACTGATGAGCCTGACTTCCAATCGAGTCCTCTTCTCCTCCTTCCGATGTGATCCGATCCTGTTGCAACACTTGTGGATGTACGGTTGGACAAGAACTACTCGTCTGGTACGATGTTGTTGCTGTAGTGGTTGTGGTCGATGTTGATGCTGATGCCGATCGTGAAGTATTCAATACTCCTTGTATCGTAGAAGAAGGAAGAGCAGTACTGCTGTTGCTCACTTCCGACATTTCGGCCTTGATTGAGGTTCTCTTTCTGAACCACTTGCTGAATCAAAAAAATAATAACGGCTTATTTTTTGGCGCTTATTCGTTACGGTTATTCGGAGGATTTTTTTGGAAAATTTACAGTCGGAAGTTCGTTAAATGAGAGCATCCATATCAGGAAAAATCACAATGACTTCATGAAACTCTCGAGAAAGCCGGGGACATGACACTCTCCCTTTTTTTCTGTTGGACCAACTGAGGACGACTTGTGGGGGTGATGTTCTCACGAGGAAATATCGTTCCCTAGAAATACGACAATTGAACTCTTAGTACCAAGAGAACCCGTTGCTTGTAAACTGTGCACATTGCCAAACCTTCATTGTTGAAAGGCGTTGAACAATTTCAAAAAAAAATTGGCGTCGATTCAAACATGGAAAAGCTGAAGGGTGAAACCTCTTAACGAGCGATATCGATTGATATCCTCATGAACACTTTCAAGATATCAATTTCAAATTAAGCAAGAACATTCCGACAATTTCCCAGAATGTTGCAACCCTGTCATCTGTCCGTTCTGATAAAGGATTCCCGAATTAGTATTTCAACGAAACATCATGCACCATCTCATCTCACAAATATAATACAAGACAAAAAACATTGATGTCAACAATCAGAGATGAAACCACCTTCTCAACAACAACTCTTGGGTATTTGTCTCCTTCTCCTCTTCGTCATGTTGTGGATTCTTTTAGAAGGAAACGAACTTGCATATCCTCATGTTCATGCATCGTCAGTGCAAGCCATTCCCTTCGTTTCGCTTATTCACGAAGAGAATCGTGATCATTCCTCTTTGATTGAAGAAGAGACTCTTTCCTTTCCACTCTCTCATGAAAATAATTTGATGAACCAGTTGAATCGATTGCAAACACTCATGAATCGAAGAGAAATGATTCATTCGTTTTCTGCTGTGAATCGTTTGAAACAAGTGGACTACAATGAACAAGTTCAAATTGTGAAACAATTGAATGAACCTCGAAGTCAGTTTATTGTCAAGTTGAAGGAATTTACAAATGAATTCAATGAGGATGAACCATTCATGGCAAAGTTGAATGCAACTGATAGAGACTGGAATGGCTACAATCCATGGTTATGAAATCTGGAAAACCTTTGAGATTTTCAAATGTCTTTGCAGTGGTGGCCAAAACGTCAGAAATCATTTCATCTTTCAAAGCTATTGAATGGATTGATGAATATGAACCAAGATTCAAAAGTGCTTTGAATTTTCAAAAAATTCAACAACTCGCTCAACGACAACTTGGCGAGACATTTCACACTTCCAGTAGTTCTGTTAATAAGAATGACAGCACGAACAAGATTCTGATACATGTCATTATTACCATTCTCCCATCTCTTGATGCCATTCTTGTCAATCAAGAACTCGAAGAAGCTCATCTCATTGCCAATGAATTGAATTCCAAACTCACAGAATGGTTTTCCCAACAACGACAACAGCAATGGAAAACAACACCCAAAAGAATCCTTCAATAATTTCTCGAATTCAAGTTTCTTCAAAGGATAAACTGGAAATGAGTTTCTCTCCACTGGTGGCTCAACATGTGGGTGAAATTTTGAAAGAATATGCACATGTTCATTTCATTGAAAGAAAACACGACTATCAATGGATGAATAAGAGATCGAGTGTCATGATGCAAGGATTTGGTCCTTCTCCAAGTATTGAAATGTCTGCCTCCATTCTATGACATGGGAATTTTAGGAAATGGACAAATTGTTGGACTTTCTGATTCAGGAATTGATTGGGACAATTGTTTATTTAGAGATGCAAACAATCCCATTGTGAAAACCAACAGTGTCAACATGAATCATCGTAAAATTGTTGGATACGATACAGTGTCTGCTTATTCTGAATCTGGTTTCATATCCTCGGATGGTCAAGACGAAGTGGATGGACATGGAACTCACGTAGCTGGTTCTATTTGTGGAAGAATTCAAAATTTGGCTTTCAATTCCAATGCCAATCCAATCAATGAATATCACGGAATAGCTCCAAATTCAAGACTTTATTTTGTGGATTTAAAAAAAACTGGAAATCCATTTGTCATGATTCCTAATTCATATCGAAATGACATTTTCAAACCTGCCTACAATAGTGGAGCAAGAATTTTTTCAAATTCATGGGCAAACTTACCACCTGATTATTTTTTTTAATGTCGATACGATTGTAAAGATTGCGTGTGGAAGAATCCAAAGGACGGTTACAAAGAAGGTCAAAATGTGTCAGACGAAACTTGCCATGCATTGTTTGGAAGCGACTCTTGTTGCTCTATTTCTAATCAATATAATTCTCTCTGTCAAGATGTGGATCAAACCTTGTGGGATTATCAAGATAGTGTCATTCTTTTTTGCTGTGGTAAGTGTGAGAGTTTGCAAAGTTGTAAAATTGTACATGCCACTTCATTTCTTGTTGAAAGGGAAATTCAGGAGGAATATCTTCGAAAGGAAATACTGAATCTCCTGCAACAGCAAAGAATGTAATCGCTGTGGGTGCAAGTTTGACCTCAAATTCTGCATTCGAGGAATCTGTGTATTATGAAGATTTTAAAAACAACATTCAAAATGCTAAATTACCATTCTCAACTCCTGACGAATGTTGTGCCTATACTGGAAAAAATCAAGAATTTGGTAAGTTTATCTTTTGTCTTCTTTTCAAATTTTTTTTGTAATGTATTAAATGGAATCGTTTGGAATTCTTTTTTTGGAACCTTATTGGAATAATCTCTTATTGTTTTGAATAAGAATAGTTCGAGCTGTCTGCTGTCCAAGTGCATGGAAGAACTTATACACGAGCAATCCATCCACCTTCAATGAGTTCAATTTGGCCTTTTGTAAGTATTCCTTTCATCCCCTTTCGATTTGAATCATCCTTTTTGCTTGTCATAGTCTCTTCCAAAGGTCCAGCAGTGGGTAATAGTATCAAACCTGATGTGACAGGAATTAGTTACAATGTAGTGAGTGCTCATTCCGATGGAGACACGACCACTAATCAATGTGGAACCATTTCACCAGCCCTTGGAAATTCAGCTGCTTTAATGACCTCTATGGGTATGTAATTTTAGAACTATTGTGTTTGTTAAATATTTCAAATCACCATTCCCTATTGATACTCCATTCATTGAAAATATCAATTAAACCATTTTAAAATTATATTAATATTATGTCAATCCTAGGAACCTCCATGGCCACTCCATTGATTGCTGGAGCCGCTGCTTTATTGAGAGAGTTTTTCCAAACCAAAATGAACATTTCGAACCCTTCAGGCCCCTTATTAAAAGCTGCTCTTGTTCATAGCTCCATTCCCATGAGTGGAATTGTGGTCTCCAAAAATTGGCAAATCAAACTCTCAGATTTAGGAAGTCCAAACTCTTACGAAGGTTTTGGAAGAGTTTATTTGGGAAGTTTGTTACAAAATCAAGATGGTACTCCATTGAACATTCTCGTGAAGGAACAATCCTTTAAAAGCATTTCAAATTCTCTCAAATTATGTTTCAAGAGAGTGAATGGAAACAACGCAATTCAAACTTCACCCATCTTTAAGGCCACTCTTGCATGGTATGATTATCCAGGAAGTGTTGCGGTTGTGCCTCAACTTTTGAGTGATTTGAACCTATTCATCAATACCTATGTGATCAACACTAATGTTTCAAAACTTTCAGTGATTGCTGGAAATTATGGAAACCAAGTGGACACGACGAATAATGTGGAAAGAATGGTGGAAGAATTACCCCATTCATCCTTGAAAGAGAGTTCTGTGTATGTGAGTGTGGCCGTCTATGTGACTTCAATCTTGAAAGCAAATCGACAACCTTTTGCTCTCTTAATCACCTATCCGAAAGAAATGTTTGAGGCAATGGATCCAACAAACCCTTCATGTCTCTATACCACTGATTTTCAACCCCCTCCACCTCTTTCAGATGAAGCTATTGTTGGAATTGTGATTGGAGTATTGTTGACAATAGTGTTGGTTGTGGGTTTGACGGCAGTGATGTATTTGGTCGTTGTGAAACGATGTCGATCACAAAAAAGTGCTGCTGCTGTTGCTGTTGGTCATGATGTAAATTCAGACTATTCTAGTGGAAGATAGATGTTGTAAAGAAGATCTCATTGGGGATAATCTTTTAACTCTTCAAGTGTGAGATAAAAACAGTTTGTTCTTTTTCACGAAAAATGTGAGCTCAATGATTGACCATTAAAAGTTAGGATGTAAATGTAATTCATGTCACAGCACCGAGTTTTGTTTTTTTGAAACTCGTGAAAGTCTTGTCAATGCAAAAAGACAACACTTATTGTAATATTAACACTTGGATCATGAACGCAGAGATTCCAATCATCAATTCATCAATTCAAAAAATGTCTAAAGAAGAAGAAGTGAGAATTGCTCTTGTTTCCTCACCAGAGGCATTTCAGAAAGTCATGTCGGTTCGGAGACAAGTCTTTGTGGAGGAGCAACACATTGATGCCTCTTCGGAATTTGATGAAAATGATTCAACGTTTTCCGAACAATTAAATTCATCCTTGTATCGGGATGATGTTCAACAAACAAATTCAATGATGAGATATTATCTGGCTGAATTGGTGCCAATTAATCATGATGGTCATGATGATGGTGGTGGTCATGATGATGAATCAAACTTGTCAAGAAGTTCATCAAAGATTGGAGGTACTTGTAGAGTCCGAAAGACAGGACCAAACGCTTGGAAGATGGAAAGGTTTGCCGTTCTCAAGGATTTACGTGGCTTTGGCATTGGTCGGAAATTATTGAGATTTGTGTTATTGGATTTGAGTACTAGGAATCAAGAACAACAACAACAAGAAAGCAAACCACCAAAAATCTACCTCCATGCACAACTGTCTGCTGTGCCATTCTATCAGAAATGCATTTTCCAAGAGGAGAGACTAAAAGGAAGATTTTTGATTGTGGGAGAGCCTTTCGAGGAAGCTTTTATCCCTCATTGCAAAATGGAATGGCAATGGGAATGAACAAAGGATCCATTGCCACTCTGAACCATCCATATGAACAAATGGATTTCAAAAAAGTAATTCAATAGGACCCAATGCACACACCAATTCACACCAATATTGTTGAATGACAAGTCGCTTCTGATGTGTTTTACACACACAACTTGACATTTGAAATCCCATGTTCTCTTTAATCAACAACAAGAAAAATTTTTTCACAACTCTTTCGTCACGTCATCATCTCTGACGATCATAAAAATCTGATAACCCACTCTCTTTTGCTCTCTCGCTCGCTCTTCTTTGACTCTTATCAAGACATCGAATAACACTCGGCTCCTGTTGTACCTTCACAACAACAACATAATAATTTTTCATAATCAACAATAACACACCACCACCAATCTTGTACCATCATCTATCCCTTTCGATTTCATCATCATCATCATCATCATCAACTCATCATCATTTAAAAAAATGTCTCAATTATCACCTGATGAAACTCTTCGTATTGTTCGTCATTTCCTTTTGAGCTCTCCTCCTGGACAATTCGAAGATGTATTGTATGATATCAGAGAATTGGTAGCCAATGATCAACTTTTAAACACTGGAGCCTTTGATATCTTCCGTACTTACAATGTTGAACAATTGATTCCTGTTGAAGTCCCTAATCAGACCTACAAGGTGATTTTGTCCAAGTACAATGAAATCACTCCACAGACTTATCTTGATCCAGTCTCTGATCAGGTTCTCACAGTGGATCATGTGAAGGGACAAGTTACCGGTGTTTCTCCTGCCTCGTCTGATATTCTCAACAACTCGTTGAAACAAAAGAAGGACAAACTTGTCAAGGCAATCCAAAAGTATGTGGATGACCACTACCTTTCCGGTATTTCCAGTGTTTTCCCATCACAAAGAGATGACCAAAAGGGTGAATTAATTATCTGTATTACAGCCAGCAAATTCAATGATAAGAACTTTTGGAGTGGTAGATGGAGAAGTGTCTATCGTGTGAGTTTTGCCGATGACAAGGTCAAAGTGTCTGGCTCCATGAAAGTCAATTGTCACTACTATGAGAACGGTAATGTTCAATTGAACACTTCAAAGGAGCACGCAGAAACTGTGGATGGTGGTGATTCTTTTGCTGACAATATTGTCAAGATGTTGGTTAAGGCTGAAGGTAACTTCCAAACTCAAATTGATACCTCTTGTGCCAACTTGAACGAAACATTCAAGAGTTTGAGACGTCCATTGCCAATGACCAAGACTTTGTTTGATTTTGCCTCCTCTCAACACAAATTGGCACGTGAATTTGGTGGTAATTAAATTATTATGATCAAGATGAAATGACACAAACACATATATGCGAGCAAAAGAGTTCATTTTGCTCTACTTGTTATTATAAATTATTATTATTATTATTATTGAATTTTATTTCACATTGTCGAGGGATTGTGAGAATGCATTTCCATTCGAAAATGCAGAGTTTGCATTCTTTATCAAAAGCAATGATGTAAAAAGGATTGCGTTATAGTTCAAGAATCATCAAATATGGGCAAGAAAGGATCCAAAAACAACAAAGCCAAGTTTGACATTCGAGTCCGTCCAATGGAAAGAGCTACCGAAAAGACTCTCTTCACACAAAATTGAGACAAGGTTGTCTCTTCTGATGAAGGCCGAGTAAGGAAGTGGATTGTGTGATTCAATGCGTATGGATGGAGCTACGTACCTCATCGTTTGCATTTCATGCATATCCAATCAGATTTCAAGTGTGTCACACGACGGTATATTTTCAAACCTTGAATCAGCAACAACCATTTGAATTAAACTCGAAGTGGTCAACTTCAATCATCTCCATATTTACACAATCGATGGTGGCAGATTGTTATTGAATGTATATTGAACTGCTGGCTGCTGCGACTCATGATTCACTCCCAATTGAATCGGTTGAACATTGCTCGTGGAGGGCATGACCACTCCAGGTTCTCTCATCACATAAGGTTGGTCCATCTGTGTTTGTTCATGCGTACCATGCATGGTGCTTCCGTCTTGTCTGAAATCTCTCACATTCGCATTCGGAGGCAATTTCATTTCTACCATTGTACCACTTCCTGAGATAGTGGTTGGCACTCGAATTGTTTCTGCATTCATAGCTCTCTCTAATTCCATTCTCTCTACTTCTGCTTGCTGTCGTTGTTCCATTCTTCGTCGAATCATTAGTTGATACCTCTTGATGAGTAAAATCAAAGACAAGACAAAGAGAACGACAGAAACAATGACCACATAGAGAGGCCATGAATAAAAGCCTTCCCAATTGATGGTGGTGGTACCTGTTTGCTCATTCTCATGTTCACGTTTCAAACTCACAACCACATACACCACATACACAATGACAAAGGCAATTAAACATGTTAAGGAACACAGAGTGACGAGGATAGAGGCTACCAAGAATTGAGTGTTTTGTCGATGGAGAAGAGTATTGGAAGGATCCACTGTGTGGGTAGTTGTTGTGCTAGTTGTGGTGGTGATGATTCGGTTTGGAGTGGTAGCAGTCGTTGAGGGAACGACTCGGGATGTGGTTGCTGGTGAGGTGGGCATCAATGAGTTAGGGTGTGTTCTGGTATTCAAGGGAATGATCAAAATGATGATGATACATCAATGATGTAATGAATGAATGAGTGAAAATAGGATGGTTCCTAAAAAGCAATCAATATTGGCTACGATAAAGAGGGTAATAAATATTTGATTAATCCAAATCGAGTAATGAACAAACGGTGGAGGCCAAGAGGATCTATGAGGTTTGATTTGATTATTACTACTATTATTATGCAAGGATGATTCTTTTCAACACAACAATGGTGTTTTCGGAAACTACTAATGTTGATCAACAGAGATCGGAGGCTTGAGAATAATTATTATTTGGAGTAAACACCTAAAGAAGATGATGTGAATCACAAGACACAATTTTTTCTCTTCTAGAAGCGCACACGAAAAAGGGGTTGTTCAATCCCGATTGGAAAAGGACTTTTTTCAAATCGATGCGATAAATGTGTTTTGTCGTTGAGACTTACTGTAAAGTGCTGCGAAAACCACAATGAGGGAACATGAATATCAGCTAAATGACAACCGTTTGGGTTAGATATATATTCTTCAGCGAGACATGTTGCAAGTTGCTGACCAGCATTGAAATCGCAGGATCTTTGGCCAATTTAGCAATTTTTCAAAAAGAAAAAAAAACCCCAAAAATATTGATCCAACATCGCTTTGAGCAAAATCATCACATGGTCCGAACACAGAAAATCATGATGGTAGTGGAACAGAAGGATCGTTTATTTATTAGTGATGAAAATGTACAAATGATAATTCTTGATTTTTCAAATTCCTCTTCTTCTGTTGGTGAAAATTGTGGAGATAATCTTTCGAGATGGGAACTATTATTGAGAAAGAAATTCTCACTTCAACAAGAAGGAAAAAAGAAATGGCTCGAAAATAGAGAATTGAAATATGAAAAGTTCTTCCCTGTAGAATTTATGAATGATAAAAAATTTGTTTTGAATTATATAAAAAAGTATGGTTATGGATTAGAATATGCATCAAAACAATTAAGGAAAGATCGAGAATTTGTCTTGGAAGTGGTTCAACAAAAGGGAGATGCATTTCAATTTGCAAGTAAGGCCATTCGTAGTGATAAAGAGGTTGCATTAGAGGCCACAAGATACAGCCCAAAAGTTTGGAAATATGTTTCTTCAGAGCTTCAAAACGACAAGAAACTTGCATTAGAGATGGTCCAACGGAATGGATTGGCTCTATATTACGCACCATATGAGCTTGAGATTGATAAAGAAATTGTTTTAACTGCTGTTAAGCAAAATGGTGAAGCATTGAAGTATGCGTATGATAATTTGAAATCAGATAAGGAAATTGCATTGGAAGCAGTCAAACAAAACAAGAGGGCACTTCGATTCGTACCCGATAATTTATTGTCAGATGATGAATTCATGTTGACAGTTCTCAAATTAATAGCTCCAGAATTTTCTTATTTAAATTCTTTTGATTATTCAAAAAAAGAAATCATGATAAAACTCGTTCAAGAAAATGGAATGTTACTTTCATTTGTAAGTGATGAGCTTAAGAAGGATCGAGATATTGTGTTGAATGCAGTCAAAAATAACGGCGGTTCCCTTGAATTTGCTTCTGATGAGTTGAGGAATGACAAAGAAATTGCACTACAAGCTGTTAAACAATTTATCTCTCTATTACGCTGTGCATTGTGTAATGTCTCTTCTGAATTGAGGAGAGACAAAGAAGTTGTGTTAAATGCTGTAACTCAAGACGGATTTTCACTTCAATATTCGTCAGATGAATTGAAGAATGACAAAGAGGTTGTATTAGCGGCTGTCAGACAATATGGGCCTGCTCTCAAATTTGCATCGAATGTATTGAAAAACGATCGAGAAGTAGTTTTGGAAGCAGTAAGAGAAAGTGGTTTTGCTCTCGATTTTGCGAGTGAAATGATGAAACGTGATCGAGAAATTGTTTTAGAAGCTATCAAGCAAACACCTTTGTCTGTGAATTATGTACCTCACGATCTATTGAACGACAAACAATTCTTGTTAGAAGTTGTTAAATATGAACGTCAGTATTTACTAGATTGTGCGCCAAAAGAAATTGCATTCGACAAAGAATTTTTATTACAAGCAATCAAACTCAATTGTCTTTCCATTATATCACCTCGAAGTAATGATTATATTTTATCAGATAAGGAACTCATGTTAGAAGCTGTGAAGAATAATGGATATGCATTGAAGTATGCAATTGAAGAATTTCAGAACGATACAGAACTTGAAATATAAGCTCTCAAATGCAATGGTTTTGTATTGAAATATAGTGATGAACTTTATCAAGCAAGAATGCAAAATTGTTATTACGGAGCTTATTTGGGAAATGATTATTGAATGCAAGCAAAACGGTCTTTCACATGTAGTTCCTTCATTCAATACATATTCTTCCTTGTTTCAGCCCACTTCCTTATACAGAGTAAAGTCAGTCCATCAAGTTTTATAAATGTTTTCATCTTTGAAATAGAAAGCACAATAAAATCCTTCGTCGTTCTTTTCAGAAGATTGATTCCAAAAATTATTTGAATTGAAAAAAAAATTGTTGGGCCATCATCCTTGTTCGACAACATTCCACATCATCACCGTCAAGGAATAACAACAACCATGGTAACCCGAGCAGATAGACTCCGTAGGAAAAAGAAGAACACTACCAAGGCGGTAGATACCATTGGTAAATTGAGAAAATTGAAAAAACACTTTCCCGAACTCACCCAACCTTTAAAGCCTAAACCTGGATTTACCAAACAACCCGAAGAGAGTTTTTCATCCATTACCAATGAAGAGGAATTGAGATTGGAGAGAGAACTTTCTGAAAATCCACTCTCCTATGATGCTCGGATGAAATTGAAGAGAGAAATTATGAAGAGAGAATTCCGTGATGATTTGAGTAAATTAATGAAAGAGGATGAGGCTAAATTTCAATTATCATTCACTCCGAAACCTACTGAATCATCAGTTAATAAGAAGAAGATGGAAAAGGATGAACAATCAACAACGAAAGGAGTGTCATCATCAACTGGATCCTCCGAAAGCAAGACCATTCCAAAAAAGAAAGTTAAAAAACATCTTCAAAAACCAATTACTTTCACCACGAATCATGTATTAAAGAGATTGAGCAGTGAGAGAGAAGCTTCAGACTCGTTGACAGATTTTTGGGAAGGAACGGACAACACAAAACGAAGAAAACCATCAGAGCCAGCACCGGAAATCGTGCGAGAGGTAAAGAAAGCATTCTATAACCCAGTCTCAGGTCAATCCTATAATCCATCACTGAAAGAATATAAAAAGGCCCTTACAATGGCTTCAAAAGGAGAATCTAAGATTTTTAACCAGTTGGATAGTGTACTGAATCAACTCACAAATAGACAAGATGATGTCACACCAAGTGCCACCTCTTCTCAAAATGTAGATCCATCTTCTCCAGAAGAGAATGAACGACAAGAAACCAGCATGGAGGAAAAAACACCAAGACCAAAACCAAAATTCTTAAAGAAAAAAAAGATTCTCAGTCTCACGAAGAGAAAGGGATTGAGACAACATAAGGGTGACCTTTTGCGCTCACTTCTTAAAAAAAAGAGAGCTGCTGAGGACACAATTAATGTTGCCAAGTTTGGTAAGAGATTATTGAAACATAGAGAAGAATTTGAAAAATTACTTCCAAAGATCAGGGAGAAGAGAGAGCAAGCCAGGTTAAAGACACTTAAAAAGGATCCAGTTCAATCATCGAATGATGTCATGATTCATTCTGAGAAGGATATTGACGAAGCTTTCAAGGCAAAGAAAGTTGATGAAACTACAACACTGTCATCTGTTTCATCCTTTAGACAAATACAAAATGGTAACTCGGAACAATTATGGGTTTCCTTCACGAAACGTTTCCATGACACAAAGACTGTGCATGATCGATCGTATTCGAAAGGTCATCGACGAGTTGGAGAATATATTATATAAAGTGATCAATTGGTCATTATTACAGATTTGTCGCATTTAAAAATGCCTTCGGTATTGACACAAATTTGATTCTTTTATTAAGGTTGACGAAAACTTCATGCTAGAATTTTCCACTTCTCAATTTCATTTTCAATTGTGAAGTTTCTTTTTCAATCTCTTCTAACCTGGACTCCAGGCTCATTTTCTGCTTTTTTGCTGCAATGCTCTTAATACCCATCGAAAGCAACTTTTGCATGTCACCTTCAAGCTTTGTTTTTTCAAGAGCTAGTTGCATGAGTTTGTCATCAATTTCTGCTGCTACATGATTTTTAGGAGCGTCCACAGCAAATGGTTTCAAGCTGTAGGAGGTTCCCATAATCTTGTTTCTGTTAGCTTGTCTCTCTTTTGGGCTTTCATGTTTACTATTGAGCATGGATAATGTGAAGGGAGTATCTTGCGATGATTTTGAAGAGGGAGTGGCCAGTATTGTTGACTCTGGTTTTGAGGAGGCATTAGTGGTATAGTTAGAGGTCGTTTTTGAGGTCGTTGAGAAACCTTTTTGGGAGCTGTTAGCAGGAGTGTGAGGTTGTGACAAAGTATCTACAACACTAGTTGAATAATCTGTATTGCTACCGTACGTAGATGTTGGATAGGAAGGAATTGAGGTGACATGAGAATTAAAATTGTTAGGTGCAAAATTGGAACTTGTTGTTGTTGCATATAAAATGTTCGTGTTTTTCCTATTGAAAGAGGAAGGCTGAGGTGCCTGATTGGTCGTATTATACAGTGTGTTGCTGGGTGTGTAGCTTGAGTTTTCATAGGACGAGCTCTGCGAGTTGAATGTATCAAGGGAAAGATGAGGACGTGATGGAGGTATTGAATTCACTGGTTGAGAAGCTGTAATACTATTAATATTGTTAAAACTGGTAAATTGTGGTTGATGGGAGAGCTGCTGTTGTTGCTGTGATGCAAGGAGAGCCTTTTCGTTTTTCAACATGTTAATTGTTTCTCGCAAATTTGCAATTTCTCTTCTTGACATGTCTAGTTCTTGTGAAAGTTGTTGTTGCTGATTGAACATGGCTTGTTCTCTCTCTTGATTGAACATGTTTTGATTGTGAGACATTCGCGAAATTTCTTCTTCCAATGTTTGCACACGAGCTCTCAATTGATCATTTGTCTTTTCAAGCTGAATTCGAACAGTATCTAAGGAATTATGTCTCTGTGTGATATTTTCATTTTCACGAAGAAGTTGTTTGGATTGATGTTCCAAATTTCGTAATTTTTCTTGTAATTGTTGATTATTTCGTTCACTCTCTGTGTACATGGCAAAAGCTTTCTCTCGTTCCTCAATGACCTTCATTTCCTTCTCTTTGAGAGATTTAATTTCTCGTTCTTGTGTCTCAATCTTGTTGCTGAGTCCGTTCAAATTGTCTTCCTTACTTCTGATCTTGGACTCCATTTCTTTGGATTGTCTTGTTGCTTCCGACAACAAGTGTTTCAGACGCTCAATTTCATCCTGAAGTGTTAATTTTTCATGTTCAAATTGTTGAAGAGATTTCCTCTTTTGTTCGAGCTCTTGAAGCAACTTGTTAGTGTCTTGACCGTCCTTACTTTTATCCAACAGTCCAATCTCTGACTTGAGCCTCTCATTTTCTCTTTGAAGCTCGGTTATTTTAGAATCTTTTTCATCCAAAATTTTTTCCATACGTTGTTGTTGAGATTGTATCTCCAAGTTATGTCTATCAGTGAGGCTGTGAATTTTGTCATTGTGAAGCTTTATCATTTCGTTTTTGTCTCGTTTCAGTTCATTGATCTCGCCCTGAAGTCGAAGATTTTCCTCTTGTAGTCGTTTCATTTCTTTCAGAGAGGAAGACGAAGGAGCTGATCTATTTCGAGAAAGTGTTTGTTTTTGAGATTTGTACTCGTGTTCTTCAGAATCTTCTTGGTCATTTGAAAAAACGAGATTATTGTTTTCTTCGATATGCTCTTGCTCATCTTCAACAATTTCATGCGTTGGTTTTTCTAGCAATTTTTAGGATATCGGGCTTGTTTCCTTAATGGTTTTTATCGTTCACATTGGGAGAATCCTCTTGAACTTTTGTCTCTTCGACCACCGGCGAACGATACTGCCTTGATTGTGGTGGCAACTGTGGAGGCGACGCCGAGTCGGAAGACGAGTCATTATCTCGTCTCTGGTTAAAATTATTGCTTGGCAAAATTCTTGATGATAGGGTTCTCCTATGCTTGGCTCCAGATCGAGGAGGTTGTCTTGCCTTAATTGGAGATTCATGAATCGAAGTAGGTGTGTCATCGTCTTGATCAAGTGTTTCATCTTGTTCTTCCACATCATGCATTTCCTGATGCTGATTATATTTTGCATGAATTGGAATTTCATCAAAATCATTTTTCATGCTTTGCTTAAGGACTGGCTTGAATAATTTTGTATTTTGTACCACAAAATTTTCATCCTCTTCATGATGGATAGACTCGTTGTTGGTTGAATTTTTCTTGTTCAAGTATCGTGTCATTTCGTACAAGGATGAAGGCTCCTCCTCCTCTTCGGAGATGACATTCTCTTCGTCCTCATCGATAGCGTTTTGAACGGAGGATGATGCAGAAGAGGGCCGTCGCTTAAGGCTCCCAATCATTCTGGAAGAAGAACTAGGAATATTTAATGGTTGTTGCTGCTGCTGATGAACTGCATGGTGATTATTTCTTCCTTGTTGACTCCGATGACTTGTGTGTGCTTGAGAGGATGAGATAGGTTCTCGATAGGAAGAGGCTCTCATCTGCGCAGATGTTGATGCAGTGGTAGCAGTGGATGACCTCCTACTCTCCACAATTTCAATTGGAATATCCCGAACCGATGATGAAACTGATGGTGTTTGTGTAGTAGAGGATTGAAAAAAGGCAGGATTCATCATTAACCGATGATGATGATGCGATTGAGGATTCTGATTGTTGTTGGGATTGAATTTGGACATCATTTTTTTTGGCGGGAAATGATTTTACATGTAATAATGTGTGGACAGGTGAAAAGTGAGATCTTCTTCACCATTCTCTTAGGCATGATGCGACAGGAAGTTTTTGGGTGACGTCAAGCCAGTTTCTCTGTAGAAAAGGACTTTCGATGGACTAATTCTACTATTCCATTATCCAATTCGTGAATCTCAGCTCACGAAAAACCCGTTTCGCAAAAGACTACTGTGTCGTTAGAGCTCTAGTTCAATCGTTCCAGATAAATTTTCGGTAAATGACAACATTCCGAACTGCAAAGAAGATCACACCCAGTTTTCTAACCATCAGGTCTTGATGAATGTTTATCACGCTTTGCTCTTTGCTGGTATTTTGAAATTTGAAACTTCTAAAGAATTTAACATGGACGTCATTCAAATTTAAAATCGAAGGAACAGAATTTGAGGGTGTCACTAGTCTCGATACCTATCAATGAACTGTTTTCCTCAACCTGTGAAGAACGATAGATATCAACTCTTATTTCCAAAGGCAGTCATTGATCAATATGTAAAATCTTCTGAAGCTTCTTCTCATACATATTCGATTTCACATATTTTTAAACAATATGGACCAATTCTTTCTTTGGGAAACATTATGGAACAGTTAACATTAGTTAACTTTATGTTTAGAATGAACTGGGGGTTAATTCAACGTTTAAATACAGGAGATGTTTTCCATTCTTAAAGAATACCTGTGTTGAAAGATCCAGAATTTTCTGCCTTTCCTCCGTGTAAAGCTCGAACGATTTCCAAACGTTGAACGTAACGACTTTGGACAAGAAGTGATTTTGATACAATTGACCACACAGCTGTTGTTCCTTGCAACAATCTGTGTTACATCCATTATAACATGGCCAATGACCACTTTTGGATGAACCCTTCGGACAACTGTCATCCAAAAAAATGGTTCAACAGTCTCCCCTATTCCACATCCATCTCTCCATATTGTTAGTGGCAGTATTTGTGATACTTTCCACATTACTCGTCATTCTCACCAGCATGGTTCACTCCTCAAATGCTTCTCCTCTACACATTCTCTCCAACAATAATCTCCGAAATATTGGTTCTTCCACAACATCAAACAATGGATGGACCGATCAACGTCATTTCCTTCGTTCCTTTTACTATTCCACAGGAGGTCCTTATTGGAGAAATAACACTAGATGGAACACTTTGGATACCAAAGAGGAGACGAATTATTGTTCATGGCGAGGTGTGACATGTGTCAAAGATGAATCGGTTCTTGCTATTGCTTTGGTGAATAATAACTTGACAGGTCTATTACCTTTAGGTGTTTCTGTTTTGAGGAATTTAATGATTTTGGATTTGGGTTTTAATAATTTATATGGACAAATTCCAAAGGAATATTCGGAATTGGAGAGTTTGAATGGTATTGCTATTGGAAGTAATCATTTTGAAGGAATGTTGCCAGAAGGATTTTGTAATATTTTGAGTTGTGACGCATATAATAATCCAAAATTGAAATGTCCTCCAAATAATTGCAGAAATAATCATTGTAATATGGCTCAATGTAATTGTGGAGGAATGCAAATGTGTAATGATGATCACGATTGTGCTGAAAAATTATGTAGCAAGTGCAAACAACAAGGATGTAATCCATGGTTTAAAATATGTCAATAAATTTTAACATGACACATTGATCAAAATCAACAAATACATGTCAAATTTCCTTCAAGGTCCTCTCACAAGCTTTCATCATCTCATCGTCACTCTTGTGACGCAAACTCTCGTCATTGTTCCTCAAAATCAGCACATGAGTATTTAATGGATTTTCAACTCGAATTTACTCTCGAAAAAGACCACTAATGCGTTGCCCCAAAACAATCCACATCATCCAGTTGAATCAAGAAAGTTCCTCATAAGCCTTTAAATTGTGCTTGGACATTGATTATAAACAAGCCTTACTCTATACAACAACATTTCAAAATCAAGACTTCATTCGTCATTTAATCATCACCTAAGTGCATACAACGACTCTCGTATTCACATTCAAAAAAAACAACAACACAACCTCTAATATGTTCAGTTGTGTGGTTTGTTATTGCCAAGATGAAATGCAATTCATTCATGGCACAATGTGGAACAAACGACCACTTGAAGGAGAAAACAACCATCTCTCATCTATGTGTATTCATTTCGTCCTCATTCACCATTGTTGTGGATTTGTGTGGAATATTGGACAAGGGATCATGTTTCCAAATATGGTTTTCTTTGAGGTGATAGGAAACGTTGAGACAATCATGATCGTTCTCATGCATCGTTATGCTTCTCATTCCTCAAGAAGAACTTACTGTCCCTCTCCTTCCAATCTTGACCATTCCTTTGAAATCTCATTAAACATGCTTCAAGATATTGAACAAGACCAATGCAAAGGTTTTAAATATCCCTTCACAAGAGTCGACGAGGAAGGTCGATGTGAAATGTGTAAGAATTACAAGTTGAAAATGCTGGCCAAGTCTTTGACTTGCTGTTGCGAAAAGGTTTGGGAGGAGGATAAGTATGGGGATTTTTTATTATTCTGAGATCAGAAACAGCAACAAAAGTCGGTTCAGCGTCAGCAGGTGTTGTTGAATGAGCAGCAACAGACACAACAAGTAACTCTGTTTCAGTTGAAGGAGTTGTTGGAGGAAATTAAAAATAATAAACATTAATTCCGTTTGTGTTCATTTCTCACAAAATTTCATTTGATCTATCTTTTATTCATTTTCATTACCACATTAGAGTACAGATACAACCTCTTCAGGCTTGACTTCTCACGTCTACTTTTGGGATCATATTTAATTCAAAACACATCCCACTTGATTCCTGAAAGAAAGAAAATAATTACACCCATTGTATCGAGGACCATCTTGAAATTAATCCAACCCCTGTAGCCACATCAAACAGTTACTTAGCATGTTCATACAGCCATCGGTATGGATTAACCTTAAATTGACTACTAAGGTCAAACAGATCAAAAAGCACTGCCCACCTTAAAAAAACCAGAAACTCAACACTTTTATTGAAAAGTACTTCCATGGTTGAGCAGTGAGCTCGAATAAATTCTTTTGATTCTTCAGAGTGAATGCATCCATGAACGCAATGCAGTGGATCCACAGCCATAATCGGAAAATCCATTTTAAAAACTTGATATGTATTGAAGTTGCAAATTCCATTAACAAGTGCAAGATATTGTTTACCGACTTGAATCAAATTAAAGAGTGACATACAACAATTTAATTCAAGCATAATCTTGCTTGCGAGTTTGTTGGCCATGTTACATTTTAATTTTGTAAAGAATTGAGTGTTTGAGAGGAACATTGATTCAGCTTTGTCATCCATATTGTTGCAGCGCCTTTTATTGTGCTTTCTTACAGGATAATTGTGTCAATGCATTCAGTACTTGAGAAATATTTGGTCTCTCTGAGGGATCCTGTTTCCAACACCATGAAATTAATTCTACAATCTCTAATTGTTGAGGAACAATAACAAGTTGAGGAGACAATTCGGGTCGTTCTCCATTAGCAACCTTCTCTAAAATTGTCTTGGGTTGTGTACCTTTCCATGGATTCCTCTGTGTAAATATTTCATATAGGACAATACCAAACGCAAAAATGTCCACAGCCGAAGTGAGTAAGTACTTCCGTTTAGGTAATAAAATTTGCTCTGGTGATTTATACTGCACCAGTACTGCTGTTTCTGCAGAACTAACATTTGGATTGTAATATTTGATTAATGCAGGTGGAATAATAAGATTTTCAGTTGATTGTGACGGCGAAATGTCGCTGATTGGTCCTGATGCTGCTAGATTACACACATAGCAAGTACTTGAGTCCACCAAGAACTTGGTTTGGAATTCATCAGCAAGCATAATGTTCGCGCTATTCACGTTAACATAAATCATTTTCTTTTCGGTATGTAAATAATGCAATGCCTTTGCAGCGCTAATAGCAACTCTATAAATGATCTCTGGATCCCTTAATTGCTCTTTCAAGTTGTTTGTGTCTAAACTTGATTTTTTCTTTGCTGGTGGTTTAAAAAGAATGTCATAAAGGAATCCATATTTGCAGTGCTCCATTAGAATTTTGAATTGAAATTTGTCAGCTCGAAGGCCATATCCAATATGATCAACAATAGATGGATGTTTCAATGTACAAAGCAAGAGAGCTTCTCTCTTCCACGATTCAAGCTGTTCTGGTTTTGAAAAAATAACTGTCCTCACAGCATAACATTGTTGGTTATATATACATGATCTTAATACATAATTGTGTCTTCTATCGACGACTTTTTTCTTCTATCACCATTGAATCATAATCTGGTAAGAAATATTGACTCTCTAGCTGTGTGAGCAGGTCTTTATCATTTCCAAATAGCATGGAAAGAGTATCACCTTGTTGAGATTCAAAATTTCTCTTTTCGGCATCAAAAATAAGTTTTTTCAAAAACTTGATTACCTCAGTTACTGATATCAAGGATGAATCGTTGTGTGAGGATCTGAGTTGGCTGTCAACAACACAATACTGTATAGATTGTTGATGGGTGAAATTTGAGGTTTTGTTTTGAAATGCCCCAGCTGCTGTGACGTTGTTGCTAATGTCAGCGGAAGGACTTGCACCTTGTTGTCGCGTGACACTATCCGTTATTCCTTGTCCATGAATGCTTATCAATGATATACTCAAATTCTTGTTTGGAAATTCAGGAGGAACAGTCACTGCAAATTTATAATGAGTATAGTTCAGCGAAGACTCAGTAGGACATGGCAACACATCCTCATCTCTATCCATGTCATCTGTGTTTTCAATGGGTTTTTTGTTTTCTCCTTTTGAAGCATTAATGATTTGAAGTTTTTGTACAGGAGTAATAATTTGTGTTGAGAAGCGAAGTTCAAACACGAGCAAATTGTTCACGTCAGGAAAGTTTAGTTCCGTGAAATAATACAAGCAGTAGTTCGTAGTTCCGGTACTTGATGAAGATATCGAACAGTCGTCGCCTCTTCCATTAATTTCATCATCGGCCACTGAGTGTCTATCGATGGGTATTGAAACTTGTTTTTGTATAATTTCCTGAATTTGAATTTTGGTTAGAAGGTTGGGTTTACTCAGTGGTGATACCGATTGAGGAGTGTCGGCTGCAGCTGCTGTGTGTTGTTGTTGTTGTTTAATATTTTCAATTTGTTTCTTTCTCCACATGATCTGTTGTTGTGCGTTGTTCACTATAATAAATAATATTATTAAAAGGGATGATGAAAGGACTTTAGGGTTATTGTTGTTGATGATGATGGCCGAAACGTTTTTTGAAATAAATTACGGTAATATTAAAATGTGTGATGGCTTGATAGTAATCTCTTTCGTGAATTTCAAATTTGGATGGCTCTCTCAATTTTGTGGTGTTCAAACAATACAAAAAGAGAAGCACCAAGGAGAGATGATGCAATTATTATTTTCTGAATCTCAAAATTGATGAAGCCTTGATTAGGGAATGGTTCAATGAAAGGTGTTGGTGATGGTGATGGAATGGTGATGAACACACGTAATTTTGTCTCGATTCAAACTCACAAGATAAATATAACTTGAAACTGCAAAGTCTTTTCTCTCTGATTGTTGTTCGATGATTTTTTTCAGCCATTTCTGTGTTTTGGGAAACTTCAACTTGGAAATTCGCATCCACATATTCTCTTCTTATTATCGAATTGTTCCTTTGAACAAGGCACAGTCCACACAGAGCTCGAGTAACTGCGTTGCTTTATCATGCTCTCGGTTGAAGACATGAGGTTTTGCTTCGGATCTGGGTGAGGAGAAGAATCTCTCAATTTGCACCAATTAAAAGTTAGATTCAGTTTATTTCCAAATAAAATCATTTGTCTTTGTGAATATAAAGTGACAAATTGATCAAAGTTTAAGCTGTCTTTAGATTCAACAACTTGATCACTCTTTGATGAAGCATTCAGATCGTTAATGAGATGACTAATATCCTTCTTGGTTGTTTCTTTTTTTCCTAACTTTGAAAACACGTCAGGGTTTTGTGCCTAATGGAAGATTTGAGTTGGCAAATTGATGCTAGATGTTGTGTACTCTATGCGCCGTTAGTTGAATAAACTCATAATTCTTCGATTTTACTCGTTGAATTGCTCAAATGTTGTTTCAGCAACAAATTCTTCTGCCTCTTCAGCTTTTATGAGCTTTTCAACTGTGCATAGGGAAACAATGTCGCTGCAATTAAGTTTGACTTTTGTGAGTTTTAAGATCTCTTCTATTGACATGTTGAAAGAATTAGCATTCCTACTCCCTGCTACATCCATATCTCATCACAGTTATAAGTTTTTTCTGGTGACGAGAACTTTGGTGCTTCTTGTTGTTGAGTATGCATATGATAGCAAAAATATGAAAATGCGCATCATCAAGCAGAAAATAAAATTCAAGAAGAAAAACAGAGAAAAGCATTAGAAGATTCGTCTAATTTAGAAAAAGTCTCAAAGTATTTCAACTTAAATAGTTCAACTTCAAAAGTTTTAGAAGAAATGGAAAGACGAAAAAAGAAAAAGTTAGAGAGCAATAAGGAAGAACAGATTTTGGAGGAATATCTTTCCTAAAAAGAAAAAAATCGATAGGAATAGATTAAGTAACCAACGTTGTCTTGATTGTTTTCTCTTGTTTCGAAGACGTAAACAACAAGAATCGTTTGGTTAATTTAGAGGAACAAATGGGTTTGTGGTCTCTCCAAACACCCGACCTTTATAAAGTCACTAAACAAATCACAACGCACGAATAAGCAGAAAATTTTTTGAGCATGAAAATATTGTTCGTTGCTCAACCGAACTCTTTTAATGTTTACAATCGAAACATTCATGCCCTTCACTTCGTTCAGAACATATCATGCAGCTTTTGTACTCATTCACAAACTCACACATGGTGGATCAGGAAGAATTATGAATGGAATAATGTGAAATAATTTTATTGCTCTTTCAAAATCCTTTCTCAGCCACTAAAAATTCTGCCGAAAAATATCTTTCAAGGCAGCAACGAAAAATCTTTATTGGAAGCTGTCAAAATACATCCTATCGCCTTGAGTTCGCAGACGAAAGAAAGTTTCGAATTCTTGTCCGAGTGAATTGAGCTCAATGGTTTTTGCCTTGAAGAAATGAGAGAAGATACAGAATATATGGAGGAAGCAGTGAAACAAAATGGTTATGCTTGACAATATTGCGAAGAGTTGTATCAATTACGAATGGAATCTTGTTATTTTGGAAATTACATTTTAAGAAATCGAAACTTTTTTGCAATCCTTTTTTTGAGAAGAGAGAAGAATAATGAAGATGTTGTTGAGTTGTGGAATGAGATGGAATATAATATATTGTTCGCAATCATGTTTTCTTTTTGTATTTCAAATTAATCAAATTATTCAGACAAATTTTGTGGATCCATAAAAAGGCTACAGCACTGCAGGTTCTCAAGTTGACTTCAACCTCAGTACTGATGCAGCTCGACGATGCTTAACTCTCAAATCGGACAGGATTCAATAATACTTTGCAGTTGTATTCAAAATCTCGATAAAAGCCGAAAAATATTTTCCAAGGCAGCAACGGGGGTCGAACCCGCGACCTTCTCCTTACGAGAGAGAAGCTCTACCACTGAGCTATACTGCCCTACGAGGATAGGGGGATGATGTTATTTCCGTGCTGAAAGATTGCAGACAGTAATGAACAACCGTTTCACATCACTCAACGAGACCTTCAAAACACATGTGGTGAATCACTCGATAAAAAATTTGTAAATATGAAACTGATTTGTCAATTTTTTAACACTTTCAAAAGTGTTCTCTCCCAACAAGTCTTGAATGGGTTTTTGTTATTTCAGTTCATTAGCAAGTTGTTGCAACTCAATATTGGTGAATTGGTTAGTTTGATTGAAGAAAATCCCTCGCTCAGGAACTTTTTGAAAAATGAGAGCGCTCAGATATCCGGTGCGAGAGAGTGGGATCAAGCTCACGATTCTGCCGGGCCCTCGACCAATGTCATTATCGACAACTAACTATCTCCATTTTTAGTAAATGATACAACAAGACCGCGCCAAAAGGAGGTCAAGCTTTACTCATCTCATCCAGCCTTATCACATTTTTACCGCTTAAATACTACAATCATGATTTGAAACCTTAATTGGTAACTTGTGCATGCTTTGAATGCCAAACCACAAAAAAAAACAATTAAAATATTCTCCAAATGTATTGGTGTGTGGCTTATAATTCCAAACCACCCCAAGAGCATTCTGGAGAGTTTGGATCGCAACTACTTGAGAGAGCATTTGCTCACAATTCAGCTTGGAGTATGTATATTCATTTATTCATTTTCCATTAAATAGAAAAATGGTTTGGTCTGGGGGTAAGTGTTTCTGTTCTTTGTTGAGGATTAGATTTCTGTAATGGCAACATTATAACAGTTTCTCATGGTGGTGAATTGTCATCCCTTCGAGAGATTCATTCAAGCATTGAAGAAATATAACCAATTCACTTTCTCTGCCTTTAAGACGAGATCGATTTAGAATGGCTTTCCAAAGACGAAATCGCTGCGATGAAAAGGATATTGGGACTTCTCCGTTCAACAGTATGGAGACTACTTTAATAGTGCAAATACAAAAATAGACACACTGACCTCAAAGTACATGTATTACAAATTGTAAGGATAAACGAACGTCTGGATTCTATTTTAAAGAATTGGAAGAGAAAGCTAATTCAACGTGTTCCAGCTTTGTGGCGATATTGAGGACTTGTTGAATGAAATAAAGAGTTCAGATTTTATTTCAGATAATGCCAACGATGAAATTAAAAGGAAAAGATTGATTGCTGATCATTTTCTACCAACCCCTGTAAACCAAAACGCTGCAAAATCAAATAATAAATCAAAGAATAGTTTTGGATGGAAATTCATGTAATGAACGATATATTAACACCTAAAAAAAGGACATGGAGGCCAATGATTGAAATAGTAGAATCTATTAATTCATCAATATCGACCCTGTATGAATGGGGAGAATGCATAACAATGCTTAATTCTCTTCGTTACCGAGAAAACTTTCTGCTGAGGATGCTAATAAACAAGGATCGCAGGATGATTTTATGATGGGTTCAAATCTGCCGATTCAATTTGTTGTTACTAATAGAGTGAGGGCCTCATCAAACCTGCGCCGCAGCGAACAACCATTAAGCCAGGATGGTCTTCGCTGCCAAAGTTGTTAACAGCTCCTCGAGGAAGCCATTTGGGAAAATATTTAATTCTGAGTACAAAGGATGGTTGCCAGTTATTCCTGCTGACTTCCAGAAATCCAGCTATTCTCAAACGATTTGCGGTCATTCTGTCCTGATTTGTTTTTGCATTTACAGAATCTGTTGGAGTCTGCACTTTTGAACCTAGAATTTAGTAATAAGGATTCTAAAGACAAGTGAATTAAGACATTACAAATATGTTTACGGATTGGCGTACACAAGAACATTCCAACTCAATACAGTGGTCTTATGAGTGAGCTGAGTTTTTTTAACTGAGTTTCAGATCTCTTCACATCCTGGCACTTATTCCAGACCCTTGTTCATTGGACTGCAGCAGTTCTTTCCCTCCATCATCACCACTGAACGTTGATGAAGACCTATCAATAAACCAACTCACCCTGTAAAGTGGTTACTGTTGTTGGTGTGCAAACGGTACATTTCGAACTTTCCATTACGGAATTGTCGAAGTTTCTTTTGATGCCTGTCTCACTGAGAAACTTTACAACTCCATGATCCTCATTGGTTCATTCAATCAGGGTTACTTTTTGACCACACCAATTCGAAATAAAACCCTCACACATCTATCATTTGGTGAAGGTTATACCAATCCAACTAAAAAAATGTCCGTTTTTGATGCCTTGATTACGTCACTGGTGTTGCATTATTCTCATCATTCGGATTGGAATACCCTCCAACCCTATCGAATCAGCAAGACTTTTTATCAGAGTTTTACATCCGAAGAATTTGCTCGAGAATACGTACGGAATGTATTCTCACTCAATGATCGGCAAACTCTAAAATTACACGAAATGATTCAATATGCCAATCAGTTCTTTCGAAGCTTGGAAGAATCATCACCAAGTAATGAAGAAAAACATTCACTCAAAACTGTTGGCATGCCAAAAAAGAAAAAAGAGAAAACAAAACTTCTGTTCACAACAAACATACACCTGTTGGTCCATTTTGAAAACATTTGTGAAATTATACAATACGGATCGTGTCAAGCAAATGAATCATTTCATGACCGATTATTCTTCCATGGCAAAGAAATGGCCAAGAACGAACATTTGTTTACAATTAGATCTGACAACAGACAAGGCAACGAATTGTCTTGAGAAAATGCAAGATTTACTCCATCGAGAACAACAACAAGTGGAATTAATGACGAGAATGCAAGATTTTTTCACAAATCCACAAACTATTTGTTATGACGAAAACATTGAAGTTTCCTCAGAATTGGTGAACAAACTTTTTGGAAAATTGAAGGGTGTGTTTTTGACAAATTTTGAAAACCGTGCCAATGAGAGGATGTTATTGGAATATGTTGTGTTTTGTGATTGTGGATTTCCTTTAACCATATTTACAGAGAGTTCTAAAAAAGTAGACACTTATCGACGAAGTGTTAGAGGAAGTGAATTAGTATCCATCAATTCCAAAACATTATTTACCAATAACAAATATTATGATGAACGTGGTGAACTCGAAACCGAATTTTCAACCACATACGACTTGAAATTGCTCGACTTTGTCAAGACAGTCCTTCTCGATACAAGTGAGATGAGTCCAGAAGATCATCAAGTCTTTGAATCATCCTCAACGATTGGCTTCAAGTATGGTATCATTTTGTTATTGAGCTCGTTTATCAATGTGGGTATTTTGTTGCCGATTGAGATTGATTTTCCAGAGGAGGGAAATTTGCAACAATTTCCGTATTGTCTTGCTCCACAAATGGATGAGCTTATGGATGATTTTATTGATGATTCAGAGGTGAATAATGAAGAAAGAAAGTCCTGGCAATATTTTTAATATTGGAAATCGTGTATTGACCAACAAAATGTTGAAATTGTGTGGAAATGCAAACACCGTAATCTCATCATGGTTATGTTTGTGGTGTTATTGAATATTAAAACATGAATGGTTTTGGAATCACACACATTTTGTAATCCAATCATTAATTTGCCATCATCCAATGAGGAAATTGAATAAGATCGGACTTTGGGATGCCAATGCTATTTAAATTGTCCATCGAATACCATTCAAACTTAAATTTCCATAAAAAAATGTCACGTCTTAATAGAACTAGTTCTCGTACTTGTCAAGGTCATTTTGCATGATTTCATCAAGCAAAAACAAGAGAGTCATGATGATGGAGATGGCATGAATCCACTCCTCCATCTCCATCATCTCATGCAACACTTTATTCAACACACTCAACACGAACGTTCCATTCTCCTTTCCGAGAAGATTCTTTTACTCCACTTGTTGCCATTCAAACCTTTCACTCTTCAGTACTTTCTCCAATCTGAACACAATCAAAACGATCCGGAAATCATGTCCCGAGCACTCTCCTCCGAAGGTTTATTATTGGAGTTGTTGGCTCATCGAATGAGTTTTGTTCTGAGTCCCATCGATCTACAGAGGCTGTCCCTGAGAATGGAGAGGCTTTGGAGTTCTTTCATTGGCCACCTAATTTCCCATCAAGTTTTCATGAGGAAATTATCAAAAAGGCCCTCAAAGGAGATGGTTTACGCCATGTCTTGGAAAAGGATTCATTGCCTCCTCCTCCTCACCACTAAAGAGTTGCTGTTGTTAGCCGTGAAAAGCAATGGTTTTGCTCTCCAGCTCATGGATGATCATGAACCTCATGTATTGAAGAAGTTTGTTCATACTCATCCCGAAATTGTCGAGGAAGCCATTTGGGAAGATCCATCATGATGGAGAATCCTTCCTTTCGTCCTCGTCATCAGGATTACCCTCACTACCATTACCCTCACTGGTCATGACGAGGACGAAAGGAAGGATTCACTGATTACAAGTATGGTAGTGAGGGTAATGATGGTGATGGTGATGGTGAATCTAGGTTTTATATTCTCTTTGAACATGTGTTTCGTTCCTTTCCCTTCTTATTGGACAATTGTTGGGAAGAATTTCGATGGAGTCATGAGGAACATATTCAACTCATTCAATTAGCCCTAGAATCATGTCCTGAATGTTAAGAATGTCTGCATGATGATCTGAACCTATCTCATACAAGCAGCGGCTCGAGACAATGAAATGATCATGATGTTGCTTCTGAATTACCAATTGATGATGATGAGGATGTTGAAAAAGTATTTAAAACCCTTCCATATGGAAGAGTGATTGCACTTTGTGGACAAGCCTTATGTTTTGCTTCGACCGAATACAAGAATCACAAACGAGTGGTTTTGAGAGCCGTTCAAAGTGATGGGTTGGCTCTCGAATATGCAAGTGAAACATTACAGAACGATCCAGAGATTGTTTATCAAGGAGGTGACATATAATGACATACATACATATTTCAAATATGCCGCAGAAATTTGGGTCGCCATTATATTATGGCATAGAAACTTTATGCCATTATAATCCGACATATTTTTCTGTCCATTAAGGTAAGGAGAGTTACTAAGGATGTAAATTATTTTCTCAAAAAGGAAAAAAATATAATATTATAATCGAAGTGAATACTGTTACATATTTTCCGTGAAAATATTTAAAGTCATCATTGTAATGTAAAATCTACATAATTTTCAGAAACAAAAAAAACTATGAGCACAAATGAACCATCAAATTCAGAACAAAATTGTGTGAGTGGTATGTTGCAGATGCAACTTAATATTGGAGTAACCTTTTGTGCTTCAGAATCCAAATATTCAAACTTGCTTCTCTTGAGAAGATGATTCCACTTGAAATGAACAAGGTTATTCTTTTTCCCAAATGCAACACTTTGTACCATTGGGAAAACTCAACAGGAGACAATGTGTATCAAAGTATACAGTATTCAATTTCTGGAAGGACAGACCGTACTATTACTTTCAAAGGAGAAAAGTGGTCTGTTATTCAAGGAAAATGTCGAGGAGTGAAAAAGTGTTTTGAATGCGGTGCTGTTCATTCAACCAAAACAAAATGGGCTGCTTGTGGTGTAAAGGATTGCAAAGGACGCCCTCAACGTGTAACTTGTAGTGTAAAATTGTACTACTTGAAAAAAGATAATGCGAGGTATGTGTTTTTGAGAGGAAATCACACGCATTCTGATCCACCTTCTCGTAAGATTTCTGATGATGATATAAAGATGTTGGTTGAAGCATTTAATCCAAATCCTACTCTTACAAAAGATGTATCGAAAGGTATTGGTGTTTCATTTCTCCCTTTTTTGGTTAACCCTGCATTGATTAACAAGGATAGAATTGACAATATATGAAAACAGGTACGTTATTTTAAATGAGACGTTTACTTTTCTTTTATAATTAGGCACTTTTAAAAAGATACAATTTGAATCTTCTTGATGGTGAAGATTTCACTAATATTATCAAAACTCAACATGATGAACTATTGGAAGAGTGGAAAAACACGGCTGTGCCTGGACTGTATGTCAATTTTGACACTATTATGGAAGTCTATGTAAGAGAATTTCTTGACACAGATGCTTTTTATGCATGTCATGTTGGTTTTCCCTTCCAAAGCATGGCTATTGTGTCTAGTGATTGCTTTTTCATGGATGTAATGCATAAATCTGCTAGTGGTCCCTGGACCCATCAAATGGGTAGAGTGGTGGAGTAATCAGAACATGATTCATATGCTTATTCATGATTCATCTACATCTCTTCCATCCGACACCAATACCATCGAGTCTCTCAATAGGCATAGTATTGCTACATGTAATGCAAATATGAAGGTTGAGATCGAAATGAATTTCAAAGAAGATGTTGCCTTTTGTCACGTTCTCCTTGCCCAGTCGCATAATATCAAATTTTCTTATCGCAACAATTCTAAGGAGAAGAGAGACGAAAGGAACAGAAGAAGGAAAAATCGCCATGAAGAAAGTCATCCACCAGAACGACGAAATCAAGGAATTGAAACTCAAGGAGAATTAGCTGTGAATTTATTGTCCAAATTCTTGGACGATGTAAATCAACAATCACTGTTTTCATCTTGGTCTTGTGGTCACATGTCGCGACGTTTGAGCGGATCACCCTTTCAAAACGACAAGGAAGTGGTTCTGAATGCCGTTCGAAACGATGGCACTGCTCTCGAATTTGCAAGCAAAAAGTTGAAACAAGATGAACAAGTGATACGAGAGGCCATTCAACAAAATCCATTTGCCATTCTTTATGTTCATGCACGAGTTCCACAGGGACGTGAAATGGTGAAGAATGTTTGCAGAGACAACCTAACATTTATGCCTACGGTCCTTCTAAATTGATTCCAAATACGGATCGAGAATTTGCGTTGGAAGCCTGTCGACTGTGTGGAACTAATCTCGCACATGTTTCTGACGAGTTGAAGAAGGATCGTGAAGTGGTTCTGAATGCCGTTCGAAATATTGGACTTTCTCTAGTTAAAAGACGATGAAGAGATTGTATTGACAGCTGTTTCAGAGAATGGTTTGGCTCTGACAGGTGTCTCAAAACGAATACAATATTCCTTGAAACATGTATTGCGAGCAATGAATACAGAAGATCAATTTGAGAAGTATTGGACACAGTATTGGGAGTCGAAATGGGAAGGATTTTTGAACAAGAGAGTCTGCAGAACAAATTGAAAAGAAAAGCGAATGAAAATGATAATAAGGATCATCCAATTGAGGACTTGGTGGCGAATGATGAACAGAACACTCCAAATTTGAGAAAATTTCACACACAATGCAATGACACCTTCTGATCCAATATAGTTATTACTCAGATTCAAACTTTTCAATCGACCTAAATGGGAACCTTGAGTGATAAGATCATGTACAAATTTTCTTCCGAAATGGTTCGAACTCAAATTGAGATGAGTCAAATTTGGAAAGATTGTTTGAGAGCTAAAGAAAGATGCTAGTGAGGGTTCGCAAAGTCTATTTCCACTCAAATCCAGTATTTGAAGTTTTTGAAAAGGATGCTTGTGCAATGCATAGCTGGAACAGTACTGAGTAATTCTTTGGCAAGTGTCTGCTATCAACAAGGAACATTTCAGTTTGGTCATGCTCGAAAAGTAAAATAACGGACAAAACTGTTGCTTCACAACATCTTTCGAATATTCCATATTGTCATTAAAATCGTCGTTGCCTTCACAAGAGGTTTTTACTTCATCACAATCCTCCTCGAAACTTGAAGGATGTACATCATTTCCTTCCTTGATTATTATTTCAAACTGTTCCAAACCCTTTATTTGCACTTCTCCAATATTAAGATCAAACAACAAATCTTCTTCTGCTACCTTTATGAAACTCTCAACATGTGGCATGGTATTAAAATTCAATTTGAGAAGCATTCCTCGAGATTCCATTCGAAACCATTTATTCCATTCTTTGCATACCAATGAATACTTGTAAATACATGTTTAAAATCGATGTAACTCCAAATGTGACAATGCACTTCGGGTGGTAGCATGAAGAACAATTGTTGTTGATCATCGCTACGAGAGGAACTGAAAAGATCTTGCCTTGTCATGACAATCGTGTTTTTTTTTGAAAATGAAAGTTTTTTCCTGGGGTCCTTCAATTCTCAAATTGAGTTCATGATTGTAAATTTCAATTTAAATCGATCTCATTCTTCTAGAAACTTTTTTTTGCAGGGACATAAATCGTGTCCTCGAAGCCCGGAGTGCACTTTCGCTGGCTGTCTTGCTATGACAAGTGGCTAGGTAAATACAAGAATATTTTTCGTGTTGTGGAATCCACCACTCCTTTTCTTTACAATGTACATTTCGAGTTAGTCCCAAAATGGAAAAGAAACAAACTGGTAAAACTATTAAACGCACGTTCATGCAATGATACTCCGAACGTTTCATCATCATCATCACCAACGATCAATCTTGAACAATTCATTACGGAAAAGTTGAATCTTACCACCTCTTACCTCTTTCCTGCTGGATTATTCTCTCCCGATCGGGTGAATATGCCAGTCTATAACACCACTCAACCTAAACAGGTTCCATTGTATATGATGGCTTTTTCCCAATTTCCTAATGATGAACCGGAGGATGCTGAATACGGGTTTGTAAGTCGTCATGAGGAAGACTCAGATGAATACTTTGAAGAGAGGGAAAAGTACATTACAAATCGAATTTCCTTCTTGATTTACAAGCTTGATGAATTACAATCATTCAGAGACCAGCTGATGGATAAGATGAAGCTATTAATTGCTGAACAACAAGAGGCTTCCAAGTCACAGGAACAGCAAGGTCTCAACTATGAACAAGTGTTACATTTACTTTTAGAACGACTCGATGAAGTACAATTGAAGATAGCAAAGTGTATTCGTGATTATAGTGATGCAGTACATCTGGATGATGAAGATGGTTCTTTAAGTGTTCATTTGAACATGCCAACGATCACAAGTATCGAAACAAAATTAACCTCACATTACTTCTCCAAACTGGATGAATTTACAAGAATGTTGTCACAATATAGAGATGGCGGAGCAGAAACAATGAGTCGCTATCAAGAAATGAAAAAAAAAGCGGCTCAATCTTCATTACCTAAACCAAGTGAATATACTTCTCCTTTGAGTGCTTTTTGCAAAGAATTTGATTCAAAAAGATCAATAGTTAGTAATTGTTACATGAGTTCACCTCGACGTAGAAATATTGTAGAGGCCAGATGTGACATGGATTGTCGAGTATATACATTTTATCCCAGAGCAAGTTTGAAAAATGCAACCTTGAAGAGTGACATTTATGCTATTCTTGAAAATGATGATGTTAACATATCTGCTGGTAATAATTTAACAAAGTTTTCAAATACAAGGATGAAAAATACAGACTATTGTTCCATCGATGCAGAACGACGTCGTTCCATATTCCTCTCCAACTCTACAAAGATCACAAGCTTTGAAATTGCCGAAAACAAAATGGGAAAGGAACAATTTTCAATCACACGACCATCAGAAAAAGTATTTTTCGGACGACACGTTTGCGAAAAGGAAATCTCTATTGTATTGATCAAAAGTTCCCATTCTATTACACCATACCAGTTTCAAATCCAAATACTATTCAAACAACAAGAATTTCACTTCTTGAAAAAACGCAAAGTGCATTCAAACTTGATTATCATGCTGCTCGAGACATGTTATACATTTTATTGAGAACTGTTGTTTTGCGTGTGGACATGGGAAGAGAATGTCAAACCTACATGACTGGTTTTGGTCACAACGCAACTGACATTGTATTTACAAATGACTTGATTGCCATTTCATGTTATGACTCTCTCGTTTACTTGTTTGATGCACGAACAAAATCCATTCCAACCATGAAGTTAAAAGGACATGGAGAGAATGTAAATGCATGTGAAATCGCAAACATTGATGGAACACCATTTGTTTTCAGTGGTGGTAAAGATCAATGTATTAGAGTTTGGGATATTCGGATGCAAGTACCATTGTATGAGCTTTCTGCTGGAAACAATGTTGTCACAGGCTTACATTGGCATGACGCATCTTCGACATTATTATGTGCCACCAATTATTGGCCAGAGTTTTCAGATCAGGATTATGATGAAAGTGATTGGAATTCCAATGCTTACCACTCAAAAACTCACTTTGCCAAGCATTTTCACCTTGAAAGAGGTGCTTTTGTGTGTTATCAATTTAAGGATATTATTGAAGGAAACAAGTTAGTGCAACAAACACGAACAACAAAATCTTCACCAACCAAAAGCAAACACCACAAAAGAAAATAATCTTGACATTTTTCAACTCCTCAATCTGTTTCTTCAGATCTCCATGATGGACTTCAAACTGATGAAAGCTCAGTAAAAATCCAAATCTAATTGTTCGTTGTTGGATTCCTTATTACTGATACATGATTTTGAAAATCAAAGAACTTGGTACTGCTTAAAAGGATCATGAATGATCAAGATAGATTTATTTAACAATTTAATTTAAATGAACAACATTATAAAGAAATTGGATTCAAAACTTCAAAAAAATGTCAGATTATGGCCATATCGATATTATTTTCCATTCTTTTCTTTTGCTTTTTCTTGAGCGATTCGTTCCCTGATTTCATCCCAATTTACTTCCATTTCTTGGAATTGTAAAAATTCGGGTTTAGTTTCCTCTTGACCTGATTCTGCTAAATACTTTCTCCGATAGGCAATCACCGTGTCAATATGAACTTTGAATCGTTTGGCCAAATCCAACGCACGTTCCCATTTGAATAATTTAATGTGCATTTTGATGGCTCTATAGATTAGCCGAGCTTGCAGCAAAATTGACTCTGCCTCTTCAATGTTCCTCATAAAGAGAGACAATGCTGCATTTTTGCCTTCTTGTGATGGAATTCTCTTGATTTTGGAAATGTATCGCAATTTGTCAACTTCTTCAAGAGCGGCCAAACCAACCTCTGCAGTATTGAGTTGATTCAATTTAATGGCCATTCCGACCAACGTTGCCCATATTGCCTTATCTTTAACAAATCGACACAACCGAATAGCTTGTTCCCACTTCTTATTTTCAATCAACTCGTACAATATGATGGGATAAGGATGAACAGCCTCAGTAATGACTGTTCCATCCACCCGTCGAATGTTAATTTTGGTGTCAAAGAAATCACGAATGGTAGATTGTTTACCAATGTCATCCTTCTCAAACCTTACATAGGGAAGCAAGTCTCGATCAACATAGACAATTCTTGGATAGTAGAAAATAATGAGCTGACCACCAGAAATTACTGAGAGCATGTCGGTTTGATCATTCCACATGGCAGAGTCTACCATAGTGGCTAATTTGAAAACATCACTTGGTTTCTTAGCTTGGCTAATATACAAATCACGGTTTCGGTCAATGAATGCAATACACCGGTCAGTCTTAGATCCAAATTGACTCACTTCCACTTGAACAATCTCCATATTATGCACGAGTTTGTCCAACTCCTTTCCACTCGTAACATCAAGAATTCTTATTGCTGTGGATTTTGCTTCCCCTTTGTCAATAATAGCAATAATGTCGTCACTCAAAGATACCGAGTAACTATTCAAAAACTCGGTCCTTAATCCTGAAAATTTTGGATTGCTCGTCAACCTTCCTTCATAATTATAGATTTGAATACCGCTGAAATTATCCATGGTTACGAAGGCATTTTTTGATTGCAGTATGAGATTAATATTATCTTTGACATCGAACACGTGAGGAGTGCTCAAATTCTTAATATCATAGACCCAGATTTGGCTCCATGTAGCTACAATTAATTTTCCAAATCCCAACGACCAATTAATAACCTTGTCACGGAATGTTAAATCTTCAGATCCCTCTGAAACAAGATCAAATACTTTCAAGGTAACATCATTTTCGAGAGTGATCAGTAAATTCTTCCAAGCCAATGATTTACCCACAAGGTTTCCAAAGCATACTCTCCCACTTCCTCCCGCTGCTGCTAATTGAGTTCCATCACTGGTCCATGAAATATCCATGATGGCTCCAGTGTTGTTGGTGGTTACTCTTGAGATGGTCCATCCTGACTTGTCACACACTTTTAAGGTATTGAAAGAACCTGCTGCAAATAATTCACCATTGGGTGACCATGAAACACTTGTAATGCTGTAATCAAAAGGAGCACTCGAGTATAATAGCCTTCCAAAATTGTCCCACACCTTGTATTTTCCATCTTCTCCTCCACTGACAATCATATTTGTAAGAGGATTCCAATCCACTTTTAAGATTTGAGCGTCATGTGCTTTCCATTGTATTTGTTTAGAAGAAACATGAATAGGTTTGATCACTAAATCTCTTCCATTCGTAAACAGAACTTCTTCACTGGATGGACCCCATGCTACCGAGTATACACTTTTTCCTATACTTGCCAGAGTTGATCGGAGCTGACCACCTCGTGACCAAATTCTCAAAACACCATCTTCTCCTGCTGTGACAAGTGCATTTCCTTCATAACTCCAACGGACCGTAACCACGGCTCCTTTGTGTGCATTTGCAACAGTTTTTTCGACTCTTCCAGTTTTCGACATTAATCGGAATGAGCCATCGGCACAGCTCACTGCAAAAACATCCGATGTGCTTGAAGCAAGTTTTTGCTATACGAAGGAAACCAGTGCATGTCCGTTATTAATACATCGAGATCACATAATTTAGATAAGGGTTCTCCATTCAAATTCCATCTCCAAATTTGTTTATCATCGGCAATACTATATAATTGATTTTCTCCTCTAGACCATCCAACACAAGTACAAACATTCTTGTCTGTACGGTGAAGTTGTATATGAAATTTTGAGCAAATTATTCATGATATTTATACACCCAAATCATATTTGGCGATGATATCGGAAGAGCACAAACCATGCCAGAAAGTGATTAAATTTGAATGGCCAGCGATTGGAACGTGATAAGAATCATACATCAATCACTTACGTTGTTGTACAGCATTTTCTGTCAGTTGCAATCTCATCGCTCAAGCTTTTTGGTTTTATATATTTTTTTCTCGTTTACATGTTGTAAATTTTGGCGGGGTGTGGATTTTTAATTCAATTTTCATTATTTCGTTCGATAATAAAAGTAAAATGGATAATTGAGTTCTCAACGAATCATGATATCTATATATTAGCTGGTAGCTTGCTCTCCCAATTACCCTCCATATATTCTTCCTTTATGATCCACAATGGTTGGAAGGAGGACAATGAACCCAAAAGGGATCCACCAATCCAGGCAGTAAACATTCTTTCAGGAGGAGCAATAACGTTAATATTCACAGAAGCAGGAGCCAAATTTGTCAATTCCTTGGTCATTCTTTCAGCAAAACCTTTGAACAAGGTAGAACCACCAGCCAAGACAACATTTTCAAACATTTTCTTTCTAATGTCAATATCGCAATTCTTGATGGTGTTGAAAATAGCTTCATGTATACCAGCTGCTTCCATACCAATCAAATTTGGTTGGAACAAGACTTCTGGACATTTGAATCTTTCGTGACCAATCGTAATCACCTTGCCATCTGGCAATTCATAAGACTGGTTGACTGGAGATGATTCAGAAGCAGCAGTCTCCCTTTCATAGTCTAATGCAATGTAACAAATCTTCCTTGATTTGTCTGCCATGCCAAATCGTTTCCATATCATCCCAGTTAGTGACCATGCCACGTTGAATTGGATGGTTCAAAGTCAACAAACTTCTCTTGGATAGAGCTTCATAACCAACATAGAAATCCTTCATCCAAGGTCGTTTTGGTCTACCAATGATGGAAGGGAAGACAGCTCTTGGTGCATCATCACCAGCGAAACCAGCCTTGCAAAATCTAGATCCATTATCGAAGACGACCTCGAAGTCAAGATTATCACATATTTTTTTGCAGTTGAGATTTCTGTTGTTGTGACAAGTGATCAGAACATTGCATCTTTCCTTTTTGTTGTGGGGATGGTGTGGTGAATTATTATTATGACCAAACCAGCATCATCCTCTCAATTCCAAAAGTTAGTTTTCTGAAAAGTCGGATTTTGTTGCGTTGCCAACCAACTTTGCAAAAGGTGCGAAAAAAATGTTCAAATCCCGATCGTTGATTCCACGCTTGCGAAGCCTTCAAAATCAGCAGCAGCAAACAAGCTTGATTCGTCTTGGAGATTCATCAATTGTATTATCATCATCATTAACATCTTGTGTTAATAATGTAAGGGAATTTTCATCATTACCTTGTGCTTCTTCGGATTTGAATGTTTCAACTAAAAGTATGAGGAGGATGATTGAATCAACAACGAGTAGTAGTGAAAATTACATTCGGAATTATCATTCATCGTCTCAAAGCAACTTCAATCCCACTTCCTCATCATCAACTACGAATGACAAAGAAAATAATCCGAATAGTAGTAGTACTTCTCAACAACACGTTAATTCAGCAAACAATAATAATGATTCATCATCATTCTCCTCTTCATCGGGTGAAGAAAAGAAATCCAAAATCAGTCCAACGGTGCGACGTGTTGGAATTGCTTGGGTCATCTTTTCAACCCTTTCATTGATGCTTCTAGGATTTAGTGTGAAGGACATTTTGTTCCTTGATGAGGAATTGATGGAAACGGAAAATGAATCATTGGGTGTTCCACACAATCAACCCTTCTATCAATATCACTTCAAAATGCCACACCAATTAGAATCGATCATTAAAATTATTCGATCTTTTGTGGCTTTGGGTATTGTGGTGGCCGATTATAAATTACATTTTAACAAATTGGACAATGTGGAAGGTGTGACTGAGGAGGAAATTTTGGAACACAAATCAGCAGTGCATCGAAGAAGTGCTCAACGCTTGGTACAATTATGTTTGGCCAATGGTGGCGTTTTTATTAAAGCTGGTCAACATATTGCATCTCTAAATCAAGTACTTCCAGTAGAATTTACTGAAGGCTTTAAGCCATGTCAGGATCGAGCACCCACTCGGCCTTGGTCAGTCATTGAAGCTTTCATTAGAGAGGAATTGACTGGAGTGAAACGTGTGGAAAAGGGAGCATCAGATCCTCTCTATGATGTATACTTTTCTCGAATTGAATCTAAACCAATTGCAGCTGGCTCTCTCGCTCAAGTTCATGTGGCTTATTTGAAAGGATCGGACAACAAGGTTGCTCTAAAAGTTCAATATCCTGACCTGAGAGAAACTCTCTCATCCGACACGAAATTATTGAAGAGACTCATTGCGATGGCCGAATTTGCCTTTAAAGATATCAAATTACAATGGATTTGCAACGAGTTTGAATTGAATTTACCTTTCGAATTGAATTTTTTCAATGAGGCCAAAATTGCTATTTATTGGGTCAGAAACTTGCGACAGTTCCCAAACTGAGAGATCACGTACGAACGCCCCATGTGTATTGGACTCATTGTACAGACAAGGTGCTAACCATTGAATTTGTGGATGGTTTCAAAGTCACTGATATTCATTCCATGCGTGAAAAAGGTATTGACATTGATGTGAGCTACATTAGCTATTTATTGTCACACGCATTCAGTGAACAAATCTTCTCAAAGGCATTTATTCATGCCGATCCACATCCAGGAAATATCATTTGTTGTCGAAAGAGAGGCCTATGGTCAGACAATATTGAATTGGTGCTCATTGATCACGGTCTGTATCATCAATTAGACAATGATTTTAGAATATTATATTGCAGATTATGGAAAGCTATTGTGGATTACAATAAGGAGGAATTGATTGAAGTTTCTAAACAATTGGGTCTCACAGACTCGAAAAATAAGCAAGATGGACCTCTCATGTCTGAATTGTTAAAAGTCATTCTCACGGCACGAGCTCATGATCCCAACGAAGATCTCTACACAGTTCACACACAAGGCTCTCAACAGAAACAACAATCGAAAAACAAACTCTTGGCCTACAGTCAACGACACTTTATGGATATTGCTAAAGTGTTGGGAGATTTGGATCGTAAAGTTTTGCTCTTACTCAAGTGCAACGATCTTTTAAGAAGTATTCAAATGGATTTAGGAGTTCCAGTCAATTATTTTATCATATTTGCTCAATATGCGATTAAGGCCATTCATGAAGACAGACTCACACGTGTCTTTGAGCAACACAGAAAACAAGGACTATTAATGTCCTATTTTAATTACTGCTTGACCTATCTCAAATGCAAGAAGGAGTATTTAATCTTTGACGCCAAATTGAAATTATATCTTCTTGCCACTTCCTTGATGGGATTTTATCAGAATTTCAAACGAGAATGGGCAGAATTGAAATTTATTGTGGAGACTTCACGAAATGCAAGAACATCGACCACTCACACCTTCTACAAGCTTGATCCATCTCATGACTTGTCAATTTTACAGAACCCATTTGCACATGCTTTGATTGTTTCACAATATGAGGCACATCATCACTAAACGTCACTATTAATCATGATATGAGGTTCAATTCATGTGGGAGGCCACGAATCTTCGTTCTTCCTCCTTGTTTTTTTTCGTCCTTTTAGTCGGCTTTTTCGAAATTCACTTATTATCCACTTACACTCAGTGCATTGTTGAAATTTGTCGCATTCATGAGGGAGGGATGATGCTGTTACCTTTAGAGATACCTGCAATATTAAATGCATGTTGGAAAATCACAATAGCACCTAACAGAATCTGATTGACAATGAGTTCAGTATTGCAATAATGGCTTCATAGTGTTTCATAGGACTCGTGAAAAACATTCATCAACTGAGGAATTGATTTAATTTATGTCAGTTGTCATTTCACAGGGACACATTTCAGTTGTAGGCAAGTTGTGTTTTTCATAGTAATGTCTGGCAAGTCTACATCCACAAGAGATTTGAGAATGCCCTAGCAAGGTTCGAACATAGTGTTTCACTTTGTGTTTACAGCCAGAACAAATTCTCACCGACTCTTCTCTGAACTTGGTCGGAGATGAGACTCCAAATAAATCAAACAATCGATTCACAACAGCATCTTCATATGCAGGGTCGAAAGGTGGCAATATGTGTTCAGCTGGTTCTTCTGTTTCAGTGGTTGATGGATGCACCTGTCCTTCGATTGATGTCCTTGTTGAAATTTGACTCAATTCATTCATGATGTCATCATAGGAAGGTCTTTCCTCAGGATTTTTGTTCAACATTCTTTCAATTAAGGAAATGAATGTATCACTGTACTTGATTCTCTGATGTTTCAAAAGATCATCTCGAACGAGACCTTGTGTTTTTGATAGTGATGCATAATTGGTTGAGACATCTCCAGTCATGAGTTGAGCCATTGTGACACCCAATGCAAAAATGTCAGATTTCACTGAATATGGAGAAGGCAGTGATTGTCTTTGTTGTGTTGGAGTCATTTGAAAGTGAAGAATTTCTGGAGCAGCAAAATGAATTGTTCCAATAAATCCCGTAGATGCACAAGAAGATCTCGAATGTGACCAAGAGGAGGATGAATTCAAAACTTCTTTCGCAGTTCCAAAGTCGCTCAAACAAACACAAATGTCATTTCTTGTTAAATTCATTCTTCGAATTAAAATATTTCCAGTTTTCACATCACGATGCAACACTCGAAAGTTTTCCCAAATATAACTCAACGCTGAACAAACTTGTTTCAAAATATTTCTCAAAATGTCTTCCTCGAAAGGTTCCGAATTTGTAACAACATCCGCAAGACTTCCAAGCTTCATATAATCCATTTCAATGATAATCACTGAAATTTCTTCACTTTGTTTCACGGACAAGACCTCATGCACAGGAAGAACATTTTCGTGTGCAAATTTCATGGTCACGAGAGCTTCCTTTTTTGCATCCTCAACAGACATGTCACTTTCTTCTTCATGGATGGGAATACATTTGATCGCTCGAAATAAATCTGAAGAAAGATGTTTCAATTGAACTTTGTACACCCTGCCATTTCCTCCTTCAGCAATAAATTCATGGGAATGATAGCGTTGTGTGAATTCGGGGCAAAGAGTGAACCTTTCTTTGGCACGAACTTTTGTGCATCGTGAAGTGTTTTGTGGAGATGGGAGCATGAGGATGATGATAGAGGTGTTACGGTTTGCTGTTGTTGGTTTGGATTTTTTTGAGTTTGATTTCAGTGACAATGTTATTAATAGCTCAAAACGTGAAAAAGGCGTCACTGGGACAAAAATACTTTGGACAGAGATTTGGCATATTTTCACGTAATGTGAAAGCTCAGTAATTGTATCGATTACTAATCTTATCCATGGCATTGAAAAATGTTTCGAATTCACTTTGTTTGGATGATAACTGTGGCAATTGAAGATGAATCATGTCTGGAAAACGATCCAATAGAGCTTTTTGACCTTTCTCATCGATTGAATTTCGTATTAAACTCAAATGTTTGAGTTTTTTCAAGTGTGGACATGAAGCAATTGAAGATGATCCAACATTTGTGATTCTATTGTGTGACAGTATTAATTTTTGTAAGTGAGACACTCTTGTGGAGCTTACGAGTGCTGAAACGGCCGAATCACCAATTCCATTCCTCGCCAAATTTAGACAAGTTAAATGATGAATATTTCCAGAAGCAAGTTGAATAATTCCAGAATCTAAAATTGAGCATCCATTGAGATCGAGAGTCTCCAATTTAGTGAAAACTCCATTGGCAAGATATTTCAATGCATGTTCATTGAGAGAGTTTTTAGATAGATTCAAATAGGTCAAATTTTGAAAAGCAGGACATGTGGAAAGAAATTGCATTCCATGTGTCGTAATACAGTTTTGGTTTAAATCCAAATAAGTCAATTGTGACAGAGTGACTTGAGAAGGCTGAATCGATAAATCCTCCAATCCAATTTGATTTTCTTGTAATTGCAGAGTAGTAATATTTGAAAAATAAGGAGACTTCACAATGGCTTCAAATCCTTCGGTATCTATCTTGTTCGAAGCCAAATTCAAATGTTTCAATTTTTTCAAACATTCCAATTGAGCTAACACAATAATCGCTGAATCACGAAGCATGTTAAACTTTAAATTCAAACCTGTCAATTCCGTAAACTTATGACCAAATTTTGCCCAATGCACAATTCCTCTCTTCGATAAACCATTAAAAGACAAATCCAAAGATTCAACATGTTCCAAATATAAATTTGAAAAAATTAAATCTCGTTTCGTGGATGTATCAGCCCGAATAGATAAATTCAGTAAGGAACATGTTGTTTTTTTCACGTACTCTTTCCACTGTTTTGAAACGAACATGCAAGTATTCAACAGAATTTTTCCTTCCAAAAAAGTAAAGATATGATCAAGCCAAATTTCGGAAGGAATTTCTTCAATCATCATCATTGGGGAAGAACTTGCGTGTTGTTCTTTTTGTATCTGATGCTGTACAGAGAGTATTTCTTCATGGAAATTCAAAGATTCTTGGTTTTTTGTTGGTGGTTCTTGTTTCCGATTAAGAAGAAGAGAATTAGAAGATGATGCCATTTTTTGTTAAAAGATGAAAATCCAAAGAATGGCAAATTGAGATCATAGACCTTTAATGACTCAAAACTTGAGTGTTGTTGAATACTCCAAAATAAGATGACACTTGTCAACCAAACAGAACAAAAAAATGTTATTCCTTTCACCATCACCACCACGATCCATCATGTCATCCCGATCATCACCAACAACAACAATATCATTTTCACAACATCCCATTTCAAACTACTTGATATTCACTCTATTCCTTGTTTTCATCATTGCATCAACGTCATCCTTCACACTGGCACAAGTGTCAACGAGTAGCACTTGTTCCGGTACGTGTATGGCTGTGGCAGATGTGTTGGCAAATGATGCCATCAAATCGGGTCTCACCATGTGCCAACATCATTTACCAAAATCTCAATATGTGTAGGTAGTTGTTTTGATGGAATTACCATGTATATTCATCTCTTCCACCACATGTCATTTATGTTTCATCAATTTGATACTTGTTGCACGAAATGTCATCACATTGTCATCTCAAATTCGAAACGAAAACGATGAAAATCAATCCTTGTAACACACAGTTGCATTACCCAAAACTATACGGCGGATGACCTTGCGTTGCAAAATAACTTTATCAAAAATTCGAAATTTCTTCCCGATGATGCAAGTTGCGTCTCTTCATGGAAATCATTTGCTTGTATGAGAGTATTTGCTTCGTGCTATCCTTCAAACAAAACCATTCTTCCAGTGTGTTATTCTGATTGTTTAAAATATACTGACAAGTAAGTACTTGCAAAAAGTATTAGGGTGACAATTTTACCAACATGGTTCTCATCTGTTAATTCTTCTAATCCAAAAATAATAACAACAATGAATTGTTTCAGCTGTTGGAATAGAGACAAAGGCTACAATCCTTTCAACTGGTTCTATCAAGGTGTATTCTTTTTAAATCCTGATCTAGATCTAAAGTTCAAATATTTCTGTGCTAAAAATTCAGCTGGACTCTTGGGACAGAGTGGTGATGTGATTGACTATACGGCTAGCCCAAATCCCTACTGTACAACATCTGCCGGAGTTTCGTTAGTGTCACTGATGAACAGTAGTGTCACAATTATTATAGTATTCATTATTCTTGCCTTAGCAATATGATAGACCTTAATTTCATCAAAACCTTAATTTGGAATAATATATTTTATCATTGAGGTTAAAAAGAAGTAGGATTCTATTTCTTTTCCAAGTTTCTAATTCTCTCCTGAAGAGATTTCATGTTATTATTAATGATAGCGAGATTTTCACTAAAATTTTGGTTGAAATTTTCCAAAACATCCGCATTTCCATGTAATAGCTCCATTAACTCCTCTTGTTGCTCTTTTAACTTTGTTACAGTGCCTGCAAAGTAAATGGCTTCATCATGTACAATTTTTAGAGTTTGCAAACGAGATACAATCATTGGCACCTGCATTGCCAGCTCATCCCATTTTCGTACTTTTTGATATAACCTGTCGACTTTTTCAGAGTTGAAGCCTATTCCCAGGTTTTCAGAAGAAGAAATAGAGTCCAATTCTTTTGAAATAAATTTCACTCTCGATTCTAAAGATTGCAAGAAGAATGGATCCAACATGTTAAGCTTTTTTTCAAGAGATGATAGGGCACCCTCAATGCTGTAGCTGATTTTGGTCGAATCAACAGGGAGTGGCTCGTCTCCATTTCCCACCAGTTTTTCTAGCAATGCTAATCGTTTTTCAAGCTTCAAAATTTTGCTCATATCCTCTCGATCCTGTTCTTCAGAGGATTTGGTCAAAGCATTTAAACTATTAGAAGTGTAAGGTCTTTCATTTTGTTGGTTCTCAAACAATATTCCAAGCTCTTGGTGAACGGTTTCAGCAGATAAAAGAACCTGCGATGCACTCGGTTCCTTCTCATCAATTGACAGCACTTCCGGTAAAATGTGATTTCTTTCTTTAAGGTCATTTAATTGTTGTTCAAGTTGCTGAGATTGCTTCAGCATGTCCCGATAATATGAAGTACTTTCAGAATGTAATTTCTTATTTGAAGATGCCAGATTTTCCATTTCTGAAACAAATGTTTCCACTTCATGTTTCAATCGTTGAAATTTTTCATAAGGAGATTCATCCAAATTGTGGTTTTTAGAATCGGTAGTTATTTGATAAATTGTAGATTTTCTTCTGGATCTATTTCCAGACGATTTAGGATTCAAAATTATTTCCTCAAAGAATTTGTATGATTTTGATGGATTTAAGGATTTTTCCTCGATTTCTTTCTGTGAGAATGAAGTAAGGATCAACTTTAAATCATAACTGAACAAAAAACACCTACCGATGAGCTAACACTCTTTTTTATAGCGCTTGGTTTTTCGTCTTTTTGAGGAATGTATTCAAATTGTTCTTGAGAAGATCGTTTCTGAACGGTTTATACGATCAATGATCAGATGTAAAACCAAAATTTGAAAAGCTCAACCACTTACAAATCCAGGAAGCCCCTCAAACAATGATTTTGAAATTAAAGATCCTCTTCGAAAAGTGGGGCTAGTTGGAGGAGAGGAAAATCTCCCCGGACGATTAACCGAAGAGGAGCTGTTATTCTCTAGGCCAATCTGGAGAAAGGGTGATACAGGCTGACTCGGCGAAGATTCGGCATTGATGATATTTCGATGGAGAAACGACATGGAACGACGTTTCTCGAGCCAAGGTGATGCCTTTTGCTTCTCCGAGTTATTGTTGTTGCCACTTCCATCATCAAAAACAGATGATAGTAACGAAGGGGAGGCCCGAGCTGGTTCATCCATTCTTAGTAACTCTCCGCTCTGATTATTGGATTTAAAAAGGCTCTTCTGGAAGATTCAATTGAGGTTGAAGGATCGTTTTCAGAGTCTCGCTGAAAGAAGAAGAGCCTTCATACAACCCTCAACAAGTTTCGAAACTATTTTTTTTTGAAAAGTAATACAAAACACCACTCCCATCAGCGTAAGAAAGTCAATTTGAGCGAATTGATTAATCAAACAAATTATCTATTATAGAATCAACACAAAATTCCAAATTTACTCGAGTCTCTTCGATAATTCCACTGCAGCGACAATCAAAGAAGCATGCGTATTGCAATGAATGAAATTTCCCAACATATTTCCAGTGAAAGAGGTAATCTCACTAAACAAATCCACATGATTACTAAAAGTGGAGATTTTTTCAAACATGAGTTGGGCTTGTCTGAGTTTCTTCTTGTCACGATCTCCCATGAGTGCCAACACTCTTAATAACCAAAACGAAAACATATTGTAGGTTCCTTCGGTGAAACGCATCGTCTTGTCTTGGTGATGAATATCATTGTTACGATAGACCAGTGAGGAACTCACAAGACCTCCTTCTTTGGGTTTACGATCAATGGTTTCAATGGTGCTGATCATTCGTGGATCACTAATGGAGAGGAAATTGACAAGAGGCATAATTAAGAGAGAGACATCGAGAGCATTCGATCCATACGATTGAACAAAGGATCCCAATTTCTCATTATATCCCTTTTTCATAATGTCTTCATAGATTTCATTTCGAGTTTTGAGCCAATGTTGAATGGGAGCTGGAAAACTTCTTCTTTCAGCGAGACGTATGGCTCGATCCAAACAACACCAAGCCATGACTTTGGAATAGACATAGTGAGCAGTGGCACTTGTCTTCTCCCAAATGGAATGGTCTGGATTTTTCCAATTCACAATGACAAATTCAACCATCTTTCTCAATTTGAGCCATAAATCATACGAGATTGGTCGTTTCGAATCATATGAATAAATAGCATCCATTAATTCTCCATAAATATCCAATTCAATATTTTGAGTGGCCATATTTCCAACTCGAACCGGTCGACTGTTACGAAAACCTGTAAAGGTTGTAATTTCCTCCACATGATCTAAAGATTTTCCGTCAATGGTGTAAATATTGTGAATGGGTGCTCTCATGGTTCCTGAGGTGGTGGTGACAATATCAATATCAGAGACTTGTTCTTCTGCAGCAACGATTGCAGGTACATCCATGTCTCTCTGCTTGTGTCTCTCTTCCATTTCATAATGAATCATTCGCTCAATGAAACCAATAATTTTAGCAGCGTCATCGATCATGGATGCTTGAAGAAAGGCATTAATGGCAAAGGTGCCATCTCTCATCCAAAAGTATCTGTAATCGTAATTTCGTTCTCCACCAATCACCTTTGGCAATGAAGTCGTAGGTGAGGAAATGATGGCACCTGTCTTTTCAAACATTAATAATTTGAGAGCAAGAAGAGATCGATTCACTTGTTCTCTGAAAATTCCCTGATATTCACTCCTTTTGATATAATTTTGCCAATATGTAATCGTTTCCACGGCGAGTTGATTGGTTTTGTGGACCAGTCCTGGAAGAATTCTGCAATACTTGTCACTGTCAACACTCTTCCTATGAGAGTCCTCTTCAGAGGTGTTGAAGGTTTCTTCGTGACGAGTCACTCCGGTTGTATCCTTCTCAACGTAGCTCAATAAAAATACACAACTCTTCTCAACATCTAATTCGCTCAGTTCCAAACTTCCAACAATTCCTCGACCATCTTCGGTCGCCTTCTCAAAACAAGCACGATTACATTGTAAAATTAATTTGTGACCACTTTCTTCAGCTGTGAAAACGACACATTTCCGATCATTAGAGATTTTCACAATATGTTTCTCTCTTCCATAGTTAAATACTGGTGTGCACTCCACAAGGAAATCAATGTGACCATGAACAATCTCCAATCTTCGAATAATTGAATGTGAAATCATCTTGTTGAATAAGTCATCATTGGGATCCAGTTTCATATGGGCTGATGAGGGAACTCGTCCTCTCATCAAATTCACTTGGTCTCCTCGAAAGAGTTTGGTGATTGGACAACATTCATCGGCACAAGGTAAATCCTCGGTCATACCCACAACATTGGTCACAGGTTTGGACACGTGTGGCTCAAAGTGATCACCACTTTGCTTTCCATCAGTTGTTGTCCTCATCAAGGGCATGAAATCGACCACTTGTCCAACTCCCTCACTCAACAAGAATTTTGTGACGAGCACATTCGAATCAGGAAAGTAATGCTGCTTATTGGTCGTATCCTCAATTCGAAGAGGATGAATGGAAAAGTAACCACACGTCTCACGTGACGCAGAAACGAGTTTAGAAAAGAGAGGAGGAGAATCGAATTGAGGAAAACAACAATAATCAATCGATCCATGAATACCCACAAGTGCTGTTGTGTGACAATTACCTATGAGAGCATAATCTTCGATATCTCCTTGATGTATGGATGAATCCGAGGCGGAGGAGGGTGTGGACATTTGAATCAGTTGTAAAGTGTGTCGCGTGTCGACGAGTCAAGCAGAGAAGGACAAGATGGTGTGAATGAACAAAAGTATACGTCCGGAGCAATGTTCTTAAGTAGTGATCACCGTGAGGTTGTTTTCAATTTCTGAGAAGGATTGAGCGTTGTGAATGTAACGCAAGAGTGTTTGTTCTTCTTTTCAAATTTTCGAGTTTGTCCACTAAAGGTTGATGTGTATGTAGAATATCCAGCATTAGAGAATGGGATGATCATCTTCAAATATTAAAGTCAATGTGAAAAAATGTTGGAAATTTACCTTAAATGTATAATTAATATAATTGCGTCAGGTCAATCGCTCAAAAAAATGAAAGAAATTACAAAATTTGAATTCCGGAAACATCGACAAGTCCAACCACGCCTCGAATGGCATTGAAACTCTTGACCAAGGTAAAATTATTCAAATCAATGAATCCAAGCTTGCCACGTTTTGTTCCGTAGGCAATGACATTCTCCTCTGTAGATTTTTCCCCAGTCGAAGAAATCACATGAAGTGTCTTAATTCCGTCCAAATTCACCTTAAAGGTTTGAACAGCATTCATCTCTGCACTTTTTAAAGTACTGTCTTGTAATTTCCTCACATCCCATAATTTGATCATACCATCATTGGAACAGGTCAGAAAATGATTGCCATCTCTATAGAGGCAAGATGAGTCGCTTTTTGGTTCCAGAGCAATAATTTTGTTAATATAATTGGAATGCGCTTGAGACAGTGATATTGAGGGTTTGTGTTGTCGATGATCCCAACCTTTCATTTCCTTAAAGCTGCCAGTGAATAGGAGTGGCTGTGAAAGTTGTAAAAATTCACATGCATAAATTTCATCGTTGTGAGCCTTATCCCTCACGTTCACACACTTTTCCAAATCCCACTCATAAATACTCATGTCAGATCCGACAGAAATTAAGCTTGGTTGTTGGTTATTTCTTAAATTGTACGTTGTGGCTAATGCATAGACATTTCCACTCTCATGCTCAAATTGTTTGACACATTCGAAAGAGGATCTTTTCCACACTTTCACCGATTTGTTGTAGCTTCCTGACGCAAATAAATCATCCATATTTAGGGAACTATTAAAGACATTAGGAAATAACTTTAAACATTTCACTCGATCCTTGTGGGCAATAGCACGAAGCAACTCCTTGAAAGAATGTCCACCTTCTCTTCTCAACTTGACTATTTCTCCTGAATTGAGTCCAAGAATAATTTCTTCTTTAGAAAGAGGTAATAATTGTTCACATGTTAAATCTGATTTTAGATCCAATAAATAAGGCATATTTGAGAGAACATCGAAAGGTCCGCTCTTCTTTTCGTCCACTGGAAAAATTCTCAAATTGGAACTCCACCAACTCGAAACCAGTAACAAGCGTCCATTCGTGTTTGTCGATAAATTCTGTTGTGAGATGGTTGATGGTGAGGAAGAAAATGATGAGCTGGAGTCTGTTTTTCGTATAGTGGTTCTCATTCCTTGATTTGATACAATGTTAAAGCGCAAATCGTCAACCAGTTTCAGCAGTTTCTCATTTCCTTCTTGCATTATTTGTAAATTGTATTGTGAGAGAATGAGTAAAACGTCATTAACATATGGCTTGAGAGATTTTGATGACAGCAAATATTCGATAGAATGTCTCTTTTTTGGATCCAAGTCAAACATTTGCATGATCAGATCGATCAACTCCATACACTCAACTTTTTCATCCTCGTTCAATTTGTCACTAATGAGAGCACTCTCGAGAGAGCTCTTAATGATGACATATTCATTTCTGTATGCCATCATTGCTATGGGCTTTGGTACTCCAGTAGCTAATTGATAAATACTGACACCCATTGACCAAATGTCAGCATCTAATTGGTAGGATTCTCCATACATGATTTCAGGTGACATGTAAAATTGAGAGCCTACCATGGTTCTAATCATGGATCCTTCGTTAAATTTTCGAACTGTTCCAAAATCACCTAAAATAACAATGACAGAGCTGAGTGCTGGATCAATTTGATTTTGTGGAATAAATGAATTTTTTAAAGAATATAAGGAATCAATGAAAATGTTTTGTGGTTTGATATCTCTATTGGTGAGAGAATGGGATGTAAATTCATGTGAATTCAAACATTTAAAATTCATAAATAGAAGAGGTTAGAATTTCCTAGAAAATTACCAAAATGCTGATCCTTACCTGTGCAACAAATTTCTAGAATGGAGATATTGCAATACCAAACATAATTGAATCATGACTGATTTCACTGTCTTGTACGAAATATTGCCCTTATTCTTGTAAATATAATCAGCCAAACTGCCATTTTCATAAAACTTCATCGTATATGCCACATTCTTAATTGCTCCTTGCTGTAACGATTTTTCGTCATCAAACATCAAGAATGCTTCCCTCACTTTAACAATACATGGATGATCAAGCCCTTTCAATGTGAAGAACTCGTTTAAATTTTCAGTCGCTCTCTTTCCGATTATTGCAGTTTTAGAGGATGATGATGTCACGGACGATGATGACATGGATGTCGTGTTCTTTCCATTACCATCCACCTCCACCTCTTCCTCCTCTAAATGATTCATTGAAATTCTTTTGAGAGCGACAATTTCCTTTGTAGATTTAATTTTCACTTTATAGACACTACCAAAGGATCCCTCCCCGATTTTGCTTTTAATTTTGAACAGGTCCAGAATGTTATTATTATTTGAAGTGTTAAAGCTCGACATGAGTAGTTGCTGCAGTGATGATTCCAACAAGTTAGAATAATCATGATTGGGCATTACGATTGGAGGAAGAACATGAAATTCCTGTTCTTGTTGCAATACAAGCCTTTTCAATGCAAGAATGGATGATTCTGACATTATGGAATTTTGAAAAAGTAAAGATCCTCCGAGAGTGAATGGTCCATCTTTTGTCCCTGATCCAAGGATCATCATGGTTGGTGTTTGGATGGAACCCAATGATGATGATGAAGGCTCCATCTGCGGAGAGGAAGGGAAATCGGAAGTGTTTGGTGTGGACTGCATTTTTTGTTGATCAACAAAGAGACAGGAACTCTGTGACAATTTGACGATATTTCTGAATTCATCATCATCATTGATTCAAGTATTTCACTAAACTCGACTTTGGAATTGAACTTATCAATTCTTGCAAAGTGAAGAGGGAGAAAAATTGGACTCTCAAGCATGTATGAACTTGTGAAAATAATAATTATTTATTTACAAAGCCAATGCTAAAATCCATGGAAGGAGGGCAATTCCAATCACAACAGTTCCAATCACAATTCCACCAATAATCATCCATCTCTTCATCATGGACCATTTCAACTTCCTTCCTCCCTCTCTCCACAATTCACCTTGTTCTCTCAATGAATCTGTCTCTACAATCAATTCATGCATCTTTTTATGGTTCTCAAGAATTTTATCAACATTAATCATCATGGCATTCTTCGTCTCCTCAATGGCATGATGTAATTTTATCATTCTCTGGATTTTTATGATATTTCATTAGGGACTTTAAAGAATTGATATCCGTACGCCCATTCTTCATGATCAAGGAATCATGATAATCGCGAGACATGGCCTCAATCATCGTCCAACACATGCGATGTCGTGTCGAGAGAGCAATCTCTTGTTCGTGATCATGAGTAGAAATCACCACATATTAAATTTCCTTTTGAAACTTGGAATTGAGATTATTCTCTTCACGTTCAATGTAAAAGGTGAACATGTCATGAGTGGGGACAAGTCTCGAATGTTGGAGAGTGGTACATGTATCCATCATTTCTTCTGAAGAATTGATCCATTTGGGAATAATTTTCTGTTCAACGATGGATCTTAGAGTGCGTTGTCTGGAAGTTTCTGAAATGACATGAATGGTGAGTGGAGAAGAGCCAAGAGTAGTCAATGATAATGATGTTTGAGGAGCATGCTGACACTCTGAAATTAAAGCATAGGAGATTGTCATGAAGTGTTTTCACGAATGGGTTTGCATGTTCACCAGGAAAGTGCATGCATTTTGCAACGGTCAACTTCCCTCAACGGTGCAAATGGTGAGTGGAATTTAACATTCAGACAAGAAAACGAATAACCACCACAAAAAAAGAATACTTTACTCTTTGGGAATGGTGAAAAGTGCTTAGGATTTGGCTCAATCACTGTCATAATAGTGGTTGACATCGATAAATACTTAGGTTTCACTTTGTTTTTACTTGACAATCAATAATGTCTTCATCTTCCATGTCGTGGTCCTCAGGAGTGTCATTTAAATCAAGAACCATTCCATCTAACAGTAACTTGACTTTTGAGTCATCCACGTTCAGCTGTTTTGAAACATACTTTGCAATCTTTGAAAATTTGTCCGTCGTGCTGATCTTGACTGGAAATGTCTTTTCTTTTGCCCTTACATTAATGGTAACTTTGGTGGCCGTATCATCAATAATCTCAATGGCTGTCGAGGGCTTTTTGGAAGAAGACAAGGATGATGTAATTATTTTCGAAATTGGTTTGGATTTGTCAATTTTACAATCAATAATATCATCTGTTTCCATCCCTTGTTCCTCCGGTGTTGAATTTAAATCTAAAGACATTCCATCAAAGATCAAAGTGACTTGATCAGTATGAGCATCAAATTGTTTTGCCACTGCTTTTTTCAGCTTTTGGAATTTGTCTGTTACAGTCATGTTAATAGGAACTACTTTTTCATTCCATCTCACTCTAATGATAATTTTTTCTCCCTTATTGTCTGCTTCCTCTTCTTGATCAATTAATGTTGAATCGTCAAGCTTGAGCTCAGGCCTCAATTCCTCTAATTGTTTTTTGAGAGACTGTTCGATACGCTGTCTTTCTTTTTCTGAGAGCTCTGTTGCCGACTTATCAATAGTTTCGAATTTTTCAAACACTGACTCGGTGCTGCTTTCCAATAATGTATCGAGCTTTCTCTGTAAATCATTTTTAGAGCGTTCATAAAAGAAGTCTCCTGGATTATACGATGGGTAGGGGCTAATGGTACGGAATGGATTTGAAAAAGTTGGAGTTGACCGACCAAACATGGTCGAACTTGATGAAAATGTGCTACCCATGTTTCCAAACAATGTGCTTGTTGTTGCAGTAGGAAAAGTGCTAGAACTACTTGGTGCATTTTCTACTGTCGTCGGAGTAAGATCGTCATCGATTGAAATGATATCTTCCGGAGGAATCGACGAGCTATGAGTGTGTTTTGTTCGCTTCTGTTCTCTTCTTTGCTTTTTTTGTTCTAATATAATTTTCTTTAATTCTTCATCCGTTGGTTTTCGTTTTTTTTTGGAATCTTCATCGGTGACTGAATTTCTTTTCGCATTCTTTTTATGAAGCTCGTTTTTATACATATCCACTTGCAGCTCTAATAGTAAGTCTTCATTATTGGTCGTTTCCTCCTTTTTAGCTTCAGTACTTTTTGAGTTTGGAGAGGAAGCTTTTGCAATTTCCAATAGATTCTTCTTCTTGTTAGGCTCACTTGGTGATGTTGGAGGAGCATGTGAATATTTCCATGTTGATTGTTTGTACGATTTTGCAGCTTTGTGATGAAATAAATCATCATCGGAAGATGAATCGTCTGAAGAGTCAGATTCCGATGAGACTTTCTTTGGCTTGTCTTTGGTTTTGTTTGAAGACATTTTTTTATATTTATAATTAAATTCAAATTTCAAAAATTTATCAAATCAAACCAAAAATTTTGTTGATGATCTTATTTTGGAGGACCACACGTTTTGTATGCATTCAACTTCTCGTTTTTACTGACTAAAATCAAAGAATGGATGTCCAGAAAGAAGAAGATCGAGATCTTGAAGTATTGGCTATGTACATTTGACTCTCACCAATATCATGTCATAATGATGATGGTTGAAGATTTTTATTTTGAAAATCAATCACCAAAAAATGGCCAAGACTGGTAAGTGTGTGAGATTGTCATCCTCGTGTCGTTACGAATCAGTTCGATCGTTCTTGTCATCATCAAATCTTCCCGTTTCATTGATTCTTTAATTACTGTTTTTTTATATCAATCTCTTGATCCGGCTCTATGATGTCAATGGATGAATCGTGGAAACCAAAATCATCATCAATTTCATTTAATTATGATTCTCTTCCTTCTCATCGTCATCCTCTCGTCAATAACAACAACACCCATGATAGGAATTGAACTCTCCCAACAAGCCTTGAATGCCTTCCTCCGAGCAAAATCAGCCTCTGATTCTCTCCTAAATTCCAACTCCACTCCCATTCAGCCTTTCACTCAAGCCGATAAACTCAGATGGTTGAAAGTAAGAATTCAATTAGACCAAGAACCACCCGTGATGGATCTCGTTGAGACTCATCCTCTCTCTTCTTCCATTGAGAATGACTATAATGCCATGTCTGAGAGTTGTTCTCGTGAAGGTGGTCTCTTGCCTTGTTACTTCTTCTTCCGTTTGGATTCTACAGTGGGTTGTAGCAGTGGTACGAGCTCATCTCCTGTTCCTTCCACAAGTTATGAATGGTTGTTGATTTGGTACGTTCCTGAACGTGCTAAAGTGAGAGAGAAAATGTTGTACTCATCTTCCATGGCTGGCTTGAAGGCACAAATTGGCTTCTCGAACTCTGTGTATGGAGTTGGGTTGTGGGCTGGCGATTATCACACCGTGACTTTGGATGATTTAAAGTACAAGAATTTCAATTTTGTTCACAAGTCACAGCGCCACATTCATGACATTGAGTTGTACACTGAACAAGAGAGACAAAAGATTTTAGAAGAAAAGGAAGCTTTTGATCAAATTGAAAAGCAAGCAGAATCAACTGTGACTGCATCATCACCAACAACATCATCTAATGCTCCACGTGGTGTTGAATTTCCATTTGAATCAGCTGCACAAAAAGCTATCCAAAATTTTGTGAATGGTTCTTCCATGATGGTGGTCTTGAAAGTTGATATTGAGAATGAGAAAATTTTGTTGTGCCAAGAACACAAAGATTCAAGCCCAATTAGTGTGGACGAATTGAAACAAATGATTGCTGACAATGAACCTCGTTATATCTTTTTCCATTTTGAATATGAGCATGAAGAGGCAGAAGATTCCAAGAACAAGAAGACAATCTTTATTTATTCATGCCCAACAAAATCCAAGGTCAAACAAAGAATGTTGGCAAGTGCGAGCAAGTCACACGTTCTTTCAACTGTTACTGCTTCAGACACCGTTAAGATTGAAGCAAGTTTGGAAATTTCTGATGTTTCCGATTTAACTCATGATTTCCTTGTAAAATATCTCCATCCTCCAAAGCAAGAATCAATCACAAAATTCAGCAAACCAAAGAGGCCAGGAAGAGGAACTGCAAGAGTTGCAAAGGAAGAGGACAAGTAAATTATTCAAACAAGATTCTTTCGATCATAAGTTATGAATAAATTATCATGTGACATAGTTTTTTGCATATAATTGGCTTTGTCCATGAGTTTCATAACTTTCATTTGGATGGTGGTTCGTATTGTAAGTACTTAAAATGGTGTTTTGTAATTTAAATAATTTGAAAAAATGCTCAAACTGTTGTTTGGAGTTTCCATGGCAGTTGGTGCGAACCAATTATTGTCATGTGATAACCCCCTTTCGCGAAGAATACATCCCGATGAAGGGAAGGAAGCATGGATTGATATTTACTCTGTTAAATTAACCAAGAGATATATTGTCCTTTCTGAAGAAAAGATATCCATTCCTAAATCTTGTATTTTAAATCAAAATGAATTACATTTAAATACGAATGATGGCGATGACGACGATCAACAACACAGTTCCGATCCCAATGAAGACATCTCTTCGGATGATGAGGACGACAAAATTGCAAATTTATCGGTGGACGCATTCGTTCAAGGAATGAAATCAGGCTCCATCAATTATCATACATTACCTCCCATACGAGTCATACAGCACGGATCTCACTATATTTCTGTAGATCATAGCGATGCTTATGTGTACGCATTACAACAGTTAGTACAAGAGGCATTACCATTTAGAGATTTGAAATTCAGAGCCATTATTCTGAAAGAGGCTTTCGCTCACGTCCAACTCATGAGTTTGTGGGATCAATCGACCCATTCAAAACCAACTAACGAAGATATTGTACTCTATGATTTGAAATATATCCAATTACTCAAAGAAAACCCCCAACAAGGCGATGAACAAATTTGGAACAGAACATACTCTCGAAAACTCAAAAGCAAATCAGAACCGGTGAGTTTAGTGAAAGCAGTTGGAGTGGGAGCCTTGGTAGGAGCTGTTGGCTTCATTCCAACTGCCGTGGTAGGAGGTTTTGGTTATCTTGGCTATAAGGCATACAAATCCATGTATCCTGATGCTGTTAGTTTTGGTCACATTCAACCCATTATTCCAAACATTGAAGAGTACTTGGATGAATCACGAAAAAACACGTTATTACAAGTCATGCCTAAATACGAGCCAGGAAAGTACAAACCTATGCAAGTGTGTCATGACCAAGGTGTTTTTTATACATGCGATATTGAACTCTATTCAATTTATAAGGACATTGTGGATCAGAGAAAAATTCTTGGTATTCGAAAAGAACTGATGATTCCCGTCACTCATTCTGATCTCAAACTTCGAGAGGTTAAATTATTGTTTCTTAAAACACATTTTAGAAATATTCAACAAGGATCTCTCAATACCGTTCTTAATGTCGAAAGAAATAAGGTCGAAGATCAAGAACTTTCTGATGCAAAGGAAGATACGACCAATACTCAACCCATTGATGATCAGGAATGCATGATTTGCATGGAACAACACAGGGATTGTGCCTTAAATTGTGGCCATGTATATTGCTCTAGATGTGCTGACCTACTGAAACGATGTCCATTATGTGACAAAGTAGTGTCGAGTAGACTCAAGCTCTACCTGTAAAATCAAGCTGTATTATTATTATCCAATGAACTAATATTAATTATTATTATTAATTGCTGTTTCTTGATTAAGTATTGTTACATGGAATGATCATCTCATAATAATGAGTGGTCAATAAATTCAGTATTCTCCTTTTTTTCTTTTTTGAAAATGGTTGAGATGCAACATGTATGGTGCAACGTGCGATCGCATCTCAATTGTTCACCATCATTAACCCTTCCACCTATCGAAAAATAAAAATTGAAAGGGTTTCCCCTGTATTTTCAATCATTTATTAAGCAGCCTATAGGCTGCGAGTGTAGATATTGAATTTTGATTTTTGTTAGGGGCACCAGTTGAATTAGAAGCTGAGTGGCAAATAATAGTACAGTCCCTAATTCAGTAAAGGTGTGAAACAAAAACAAAATTAGTATCCGAGAATTCCACTTCCTTTGTCTCAAACAGATCAACTCATCCAAGGTCGCTAATGACATTATATGTTCACCACGCAACATCTTCACCTTTTCGAAAAACCCAATCAAATTAATGACTTGTGCGTTTCTTTTTGACAATTGTGACTGTGAATCAAGTGAAGTATTGCTACTCCCCAATCAACGACAACCCACAACGGCCAGAATCATCAACTAGGAGTTTTACGTCCCAAATGATAATTTTTTTCGGTGTTGGAATCATATCAACTGTTTTCCACAAAGTCCATAGTCATCTCGGACAGCAACAATGATTTAGTATAATATGGTTTTGAGTTCGTGGTGTGCCAGGAAACATTTCAAATGTAAATGTACTCCGCATGCAGTACATTTGTAACCACATTTAGAGTTTGATCTCTTGCAGTAAGCACAACAATTATGACTTTTGTCAGTATTCTCAATTGGAAAATGCTTTAGCAGAATCGTCTCTTTCATATGAATAAAACTCTTCTAGTAGTTGCGTTTGGTCTTCATCGTTTAAAGTCCAATCTAATTCCGGTTCATTGTCTTGAGATGTTTCGGTGTTGTGATCCTTGTTGATCTGTTCGAGAGTCTGTGAATGAAATGATGTCATGAAACTTGCATCATTTGTGTAAGTGCTTAAATCTAGGCTCTCAGAGGCAAGTGTGTGACTATCGGAACAAGATGGGTTGGAGCCTTCAACACTTACATCGCCAAAACCTGGGTAGAAGGGTTAATCTGAAGATAATGAGGTCAGTTAAGGCATTGGTTTGCCTTCATCTCCTGTCAAAAGTCGGTCCATCTCCACAAAAGGCCCTTTCGCGTCGCTCATCAAACAACAACAAAAAAATGGACGTCATTAAATGTGTCTGTGTTGGTGATGGTGCCGTAGGAAAAACCAATCTTCTCATCTCCTACACTTGCGATGGTATTTTCCCTGAAGATTATGTTCCAACCGTTTTAGATAATTATTGTAAAACTGTTGAAGCGGTGGTTCCACAACAAAAAGTACCATCGGTCATGATGAATAATTCAAATCAACAACAACCACAACAACAACAGATTGAAGAGGAATTGGCAAAGATGACAAAACCAGTTGAAGATAATCATACAACAAAATCTCCAAATTTGTCAATTACTTCTTCCAATGTCATGATGAAAAATACTGAACAACAACAACCTTCTTCATCATCATCCACGAGTCAGAATCCTTCTACTAGTCCTCGTTTTGCTTCTAACAAATTGAATGAAAGTAATCTCTCGTCAACCTTGTCCACAACCACCACTGATGACATGGCGCCATTTGAAAAGGAAGAAACGACGTTTATTTCATTGCAATTATGCGATACTTCGGGACAAGAAGAGTAAGTACTTGGTGTCACCCTATATGTGAAAGCATTTGATTCAATATGATATGAATTGAAAATAATGTTGTTTTTTGAATTATTGTGCAATAATTATCGCGCACCAAATCAAAATATTTTTGGAAATTTGTCAAATTTCAAAATTGGGTTCAAATCATTCACACACCTTTCCTCTCGTAATGACCATTCAACACAAACCTATGCATCAAAACAGATATGACCGATTACGTTCTGATTTATCAGATTATGCCTCTGCTGATGTATTTCTATTTTGTTTCTCTTTGGATGATCCACGCTCTCTTGAAAATCTTCATGCCAAGTGGTACGATGAAGTCACCTCCTATTTCCAAACTCATAAACATCAAGGAGGTGGTGTCTTGTCACTCTTTGGAGCTATATATTCGTATTTCGGATTTGGAGGAGGTTCCACCACTGAAGAAGGAGCTGTCACTGATTCCTCCACAGTCACAACAAACGGTGACAGTCAAGTGACATCCGCTGGTCACAACATTATGGATAATATTCCACCAATTATTCTCGTCGGAACCAAGTTGGATATTGTTAAAACAGATTCACAATCAACCTCTCTCAATCATTCAGAAATTAATTCGACTTCCGATGCTCCAAATTCTTCATCGATATCATCGTCATCCATTTCACCTTCCTCTCTCTCGCCCTCTTTCATGAATAACAAAATTCCAACCGATACTCGTCGACGTAATCAATCCATTTATCACATGTTTGGAAATATTCCCAAGACCAGCGAAAGTCCACAATTACAAAAAATTAGAGAACATGCACTCAAAGTCAAGAAAGAAATTAAGGCAGTGGCTTATGTGGAATTGAGTGCCAAGACTATGGAGAATGTGAATGAAATGTTTGAACAAATTGTCATTCCAGTCGTATTAAAGAGAAGAAGAGCGATCGAACGAAAGCGAAATACGAAATCGGTGACAAGTACTTCATCCTCTTCCTCTCATTCGACACATTCACATTGATTCACACATGTCTAATCTACCCAAATATATATATATGTATATTTATATCATTTATTGTGGTGGTATTATTGAAGGATATAAAACTATCATATGGGTATCGATCATTCACTTCCACTAGTACTCGTGGTGGTATCATTGAAATTTGGAAAATCAAAATGCATCGGTTGAAAATTCATAAACATTCAACCTTAACTTAGAGTTTTCGTTTTTGTTTACAAAAAAAATGATTCCACCACAAACACAGAATTCATCCATCTCCTCCTCTTCCACAATAACTAAAATCACTGTAAATTCTCCTCAGTACATTCCCATTCCAAGTTATACCCAGTACCATCCCGAAGAACAATTCCGAGAGGGATGGTATCAAGAAAAATCGGAAGCCTTTCTTGATGATTATTATTTGGATGTTTGGAATGAATTTGGAAATAAAACATTGAGTAAGAGAAATTTCATGGTGGATGATGTCTTTCTTGTTCAGATACCTCTTGAGAATAGAAATAAGATCATTGTACCATCCATTCAGAAGAGTAGTGCGGATAATGTACAAGTTTCATCCTTATGGGAATCGATTGGACGTTCCGGACATGTAGGTCATCATGGCAATCAATTTAGATACATTGATTTCGGAGGTCGTTACAGTAGAGAGTTTTTAATGTTGGACGAGAGAAATTCCTATGTATGGTTTGAATATTTTGATAATCATTCCATGTTTATGGATCTTCGGGATTATCAAACCTTTTACAATTTTGCAACAACGAACATTGGTATTGAAAATTATAGAGCCCATCCGAATAATATGATATATTTCAGAAAAGGAAATTCATTGTATGGTTATGATGTAGTTAATCGATTTATGGTATCTCTGACTGATTCGAACCATGGAGTGGATTTTCACTATTGCTTATATGAAGGTGAATACTTGACCTATATGTATCCATATACGGATGTTAATTTCTTTGGATTTTTCACATCATTGGGAAGATTTATGTTTCCATCAGGTGACAAGATATTCATTCTTGATACGTTTGAATATGAACCGTTTTATGCGCAATCTTGGATGGCTCATGATTCAGGATTCACATTATTTTATATCATTAGTCATCAAGGTTATTTATTCCGATTGGAAAAGCATGGAAATAATATTTCAATTGTGAGAGAAGAATCTGTGAGAGATCGTCTCTCGTACATGACAAAGCTACACAAAGGAACGTGTTTGTTTAAAACAAAAAGCGGAGAATGGATATTTAACAGTAAGGCTGCAAAAGGTAATTCATTTCCCTTCCTCAAATCGAAACAAACCTTTGGACGACTAGAAAATCTTCACATATTACTTGGATTAAAAGAGAAGGAACGTCGAAAAACAAAAAACAACGTAATAAGAGGCCACAACATAACATTGGAAGAAAATACACTTCCACTCTGCATTGACATCAGTGGTGATGAAGAAAATGTCATTGGATTTTTAATGGAAGATTATTCGTTCTATGTATCGAATTTTGCAGACTCGAAGAAGAAACAATTGAAATTTACTTTTACAAAAATTGATGTCTTTCAGTATTTGACTTCGTTTGGGCTCACGAGACATCAACTGACAAAACCGAGTACTTCATTTGAGCAAAGACAGGTGAACATTTATTTGACTGGTACAAGTTTGAGAAATATCTCAATTAGAGTGTACGTAGAAAGACGATCCACAATAACCAATGAGTTACTGAGCTTTTTCGAAAAATTGCATAACCGATTGATAGAGTGTACTCTGCAGCAAGAAACTTCAAATATTCCCCCTTTGTGTGATATCGTGCTTACCACTTTTGAAGGAAAGGAATGTTGAGTTTTACTATTAAATAATGAGTTGTGTTTTACAAGTTGAGGAAGGATAATACCGAGTTAATACCTCCAAGGTCATTTCGTTGTTGAGGATTGGGAGTGACTGATTGTTTCTTAATAGAAAAGGTGCTACTATGCTCTGGTGTTCGGTCAACATTAACTGCAGAAATTGCATTACCGTTTGTGGTTGTTGAAACGGATAAATTTTTCACTTGACCAGGTGTTGGTGATGAAACGGGATAGAAGACCATAAACGATGAACATTTGCAGTTACATCCAGCAGGACAGGCTTCATGGCTCTTAAACCAATTTTGAATATGTTCCACATGTCCACCATGATTGCAATTAGGACAATATGAAACAAGTCCCTTCACAGGTATTCTACATAGAGAGCAATGCAAAAAGGATTTCTTAGGATTCACAGGTGCATTCATCATGGGTTGATGGGAATGAGGAGTCAGAGGAGATTGAAGTGATGTAGTGTTTGAGGTGGTGCTGTTACTTCTTCTTGTGCCACTACTGTCAATGTTGCTGACTGTGGCTGGAGAAATAGCTGTTGTTTCGACATCAATCACACACTCTGAAGTTCCATTCATAAAACGTCGTGATGCTTGACTGGATTCGTTATATTTCATAATTTCACATCTTTGTAAATGAAGACCCCAACTTTGAAGGAGTTTTGCATAACACAATCGAACGTGGGTCATCACTGGTTTCAAATCCTTCTCAAGCAAGTCTGTACTGGCAATAAGCTCAATTTTTTCTTTCGACATTTCCGCATTGTTAGAAGTAATTGGAATAAAGTCCCACGGACGTGATTTTGGTCCAACATCAAAATTCAAATGTTGATTGAGGATAATATTAGGAGTTTGTGAGTTGGAGACAATTTCTAAAGAGACCAATTGATAGGACAGCTTCAACACACAAGAAATAATGGCACATGTCTGAATATCATGCTTGGAGAGAAAGTGTGTCAATAGTTTTTTCACAAAACGTCTCCCTAAAGCATGATTTGACCAAACTGCAGAAGCCTTCACAGTATTTGATTTCGTTCGATCGTAAAAGAGTCGTGGATCCAAAATAAGAGAGAGAATTTTCCACATCTTGGCAAGTTCATGATTACCCTCGTCGAGACAAACCTGAGAATTGTACAAGCATACATCGACGGCACTATTTCCAATAACTCGATACTTTTGAGCAAGGGAATAAGAAACAGGTAATAGATACTTGCTATCATAGATGTGAATTCTTGGATCTGTTCGAGTATCATTGAAGAAAATATGTCTCTTTTGATCTGCTGAAAAGTTACTATCTTCTCCATTTTCCTCTTCGCCCATGTATCCATGATTGGAGAAGTAGGAGGTATGACCTTCCTCGCTTGAGTCATCATCAAACTCGGCAGAGTAATAGGAATCTTCTTCTGTAGAGTCATCATGATAATCATTGTAGACCGATGAAAAGTAGTTGTTGTCTCGTTCCTTGTCCATATCCTTAATTCCGTCAATAAGGTCAGAGCTATCGTGCTTCATGTCACTGTTAGTACTTAAATCTTGTGAAATGGTCATGGCTTCGTTCATGCTACTGTTCATTGAGTTAGTTATGCCATTCTTTAAGTATTTCTTGTCTTTTTTGGTGCTTTTTTTTCTTCGTTTTTCTTGAGTTTCATCCCCATGCTCTTTGCTTCGGCTTTTAATCGATAAAGAGAAAGGAGTTTTCAATTCTTGAACCATATCCAAGTAGTATCTATAACCAAAATCTACATCATTTCTTCTCTTATCATTCTTATTTGAAGCGTCCTCTCTGTTTTTTCTGCTACGTAAACTGCATGAGTTAAAATAAATAAGATCTCCTGACGGAGAAAATCGAGCTCCGCTTATTGGATGTGCGATATAGTTGTGCTCGTCTTGTGAAACTGGTTTGTCTTTCAATAAATTGACAACGCTGTCTGGAGTGTTTTCAGTTGACTGCTGCTGCTTGTCATTCATGTCATCACTGTCGAATGCTTTTGAAAAATTTGTGGCAACCAAGTTTGCACTACTCAGAACTTTTGGCATCCCAAGGGAAGAGGGAGAATTGAATGAGTTCATTCCAATCGCAGAGATACTATCTTGTTCATTTTCTCTACGCTCTCTCCATTTCAACTTTCCAAGTATGGATACTAGCGATCTGAAACAGCTCAGCATGCAGTTGTGATGTTTCAGAACATCATCATGGGCAGCTGTTGTGAGGGCTTGTTTGATTGTCTTCAAGTCTTGCACCGAAATAAAGGATCGTGATGGAAGAAAATCGAATGATGGAGCAGCGTTAATCGGATACAGTTTGGGGAAAGTGACTTTAAGCTTTAGGTCGTTAATTGCTACTGGCAAGTTTGGAGAGCTAGCTGCTCTGACAATCATTATTATGCCAAGAATGCAATATCGAGCCTGTTCACTCTTATCCATCTTTTCTAGAGTTATCTTGGTCTCGCATTCTATATTTTCCGATTTATCGTTCTGATTTGCCTTAACTCTGGTACAGAACTTTAAATTGTTAAAAACAGAAATGATTTTTTCAATTTCCTGATCGAATGTTAATCTTGTCACTGGACTTCCAATAACAGTTTGTTCAAATAAAGCCGATGGATCTGTTTCAAAAATGTGATCTGGAACGCTGGTTATACTCCATTCATTTCCCAACAAATGAAGGCTCATCATTCCTATCGGTGATCTTGAAGGGATGAAATTTTTGTCTAAGCTACTTGAATTATTATCCTTGCTGTTATTGGCCGAAGTGATACCATCAACATTGCTAGTCAAATCCTCCATAATTTGTTGTGTAAAATTCCAAAATCTAATGGACATATCTTTTGACCACGTAACTAATTGATGTTGATTGTTACTTTCGATAGTTCTGAAATCTAGGCACTTAATCTCATCTGTATGCCCAGAAAAAATGCTGATATTCTCGATTGGCTCCACACTGGTAGCAGATGAAGTAGAAGGGCTTTCTTTGGGCATGTGGTTGCTTGATCCTCCTTGTGGATGATTTAATCTCCAAACTCTTACTTGATTATCTTTTTTAGAAATTGATACTAATCCTTTTCCAAATGGTGTGTACTTAATTTTCCAGACTGGGAATGCTACACGTTGAGACATTATTGTTTGATGTTGTTCATAGTCCCACACTTTGATAAACTTATCTTGTGAACCTGCAGTCACCAATTCTGTTGCACTTGTTGGGCTCCAATCCATAGAGGAAATTAGAGGATGGTGAGCTGAAATGAAAGTTAGGAATTTGTTTGTTGGTGTTGTTGACGAAGTGCAGGTTCTAATATCCCAAATCCTGACATCCACGTTGTGAGCGGATGCTATTATATGAGAGTCAATTGGATTCCAAGCAACTAGGCTTGGAATATCTGTATATGAAATGAAACTTGCGACTTTACATTGATTTCTACCCGTACAAAATATTTGAAATAAATGTAGTAGTGTAAAATTTAGAAAAAATTATTCGCGACAATATTGGATAAAAATTGGAGATCATATATCTTTTCACACGAAAATGAATTGGTTGACACTTACGAAGGCAGTCTAGTATCCCAAATATTTACATATCCATCGCCACTGCAAGTTGCAATTTTAGAATAAGATGCATCGTGAGGACACCAAGAAATTGCGTTGATACTTCTCTGATGCGCTTGAAAAGATCTATTTTGTTCAACATCTGTAGAGAGTGTAGGTTGACTATTCAAAAAGCTGCCAGTGCTTGTGAGAGATGATCCCAAAACTCCTCCTGATGAATTGATAAATTGTGAATTAGAAGAGGTTCGCCCTCTAACTCCAGAGGATCCACCAGCAATTGTTGAAGATGTTGATGAAATGGATGATAAAGAGGAATTTGAGCTGAGGGAAGTTTGTAAAGTTGATGAAGAAAGAAAACGAGTTGTGTCCCATATTTGAAGTACATCTCCTGTACTACAAGCCAATAATGGTCTATTGAAATCATGCCCAAACTGAACACATAAAACTTCATTCTTCTTACTCTTTTGGAGGAGAAGAGTGGGCTGAGAAGATGTACTGACATTAGCAGAGGTGAGGGAAGAAAATTGTGAATTAGTGCTGGTGAGAGAAGAGGAGAGATTAGAGGATGATGATGATAGAGTATTGTTGATAGTATTCGGTGTTGGCAATCGAAACACTAACAAGCCGTTCCGACTAGTGGATAATTATGATATTGCAATTAAATTAATAAATTATTGTTATTATTGAAAGTGCCGCTTGGCCACCTACTCACCTTCCTAGAGCCATCAATTCACCACTAGCATCAATGGAAAGATCATTGACACCTTGAACTTGTCGAAGAGAAAATTTTGTACTTTCTTCGTTACGGGCCGAGTGTTGTTTGTTGTTATTATTATTATTTGAAGATGTGTTCATTGTTTTTGTTTGATCGTTGGAAGAAGTGTGGATATTTTGCTAAATTAAATATTTGATGAAGAAATTTCTTGAGATGAATATAATTTGGCTCAGAAGGAGGATCCGATAATGATTGATTCAATACGCATGTGTTATTGTTCTTATGTTGTTGATACAATCCGCCAATGTTGGTTTTTTCAATTATTATTATTTCTGTTTGTACTGCTCCTGTGATCGGATAGTGATAATAATAATGATGAGTTGTACTAATGGCAATAATAATACTAATGATAAAGCAGACCCAACACAAGCCTTTTGCTCTTCCGACAAAACAACTCTCTTCAAAGAAAAATAAAATTCGTTTGCACTTGTTGAGCCAAACCAAACTCTATTTTTTTGCAAACTTCTTGTTTCCTTATTTTGAAACGGATGGCATGATCAGAGTTTGTGGTGGCGATAATTGAGAAAGTTACTATTGTATGAAGCTTCTTCTTGATGGATTTGCAAAATAAACCCATGAATCCAAAAAAAGTAATGTATCATTCATGGTCAAATTAAATAAATTGGGTCGAAAGACCATAAAAGAACGCAAGCACAAACAACACTCATTGTAAAGCCACCGGCGATACAAATCTCTCAAATCCATAGATTGAAAATCAAGAGTCAGTGATAGGAGCCATGAAAAGTTAAAACAATAATTATTTGAATGAATTGTTATTTAAAGTGCCCATTGTTTTAGATTTAGTTAAACATGTTTCACCAGAAAATCATGTTTTAGGAATCGACAATTATTAAGGATCATTAGATCTTGCGAGAGAATTGGTGAATCATGGATGGATATTTGTTATGACTGTCCGTAACAATCGTCCTTCTTATCTATTCTCAGAAGGATTGCAGAAAAAACTCCCTGGTAGCAAAACTAGAAAATGGATCCATGCTGTAAATAAGGAGAACTTTAGTGGTATTGTCAATTAATGACAACAAACGAGTTAATTTTTTGACAAATTTAGGAAGCAGTCAATTAATCAAAAACAAACCATACGTTCAAGAAATGTATAACAAATCAATGGGATGTGTTGACAAATCTTGAATTTTCTTGCATTGCACTCATCCTCCTTTTAGAAACAAAAACTGGAAAACTGTCCATTTATTGCAGATGATGAAGACTTCGTTTGTCAACCAGTATATCATATTTAAGCATCACATTAATTCCCAGGTTTAACTCTTTGCTACTACTTCAAGCACAGCCTTGCTCAAACTGTGACCTTTTGTAACCCTTATTTCACCAGAACAACTCACTTCCCCATGAAACTCAAAAAGTTGGAACGGTATCAATTATGCTCTCATTGTAAAGACTCTTCTTCGAGATGTGGATACAAATGCATGGGATGTGGATGCTATCTCCATTTACATTGCTTTACTGCCTATCATGACCCCAAATTTATTTATTACTAAAATTTAATTACGTTCCCTATCCAGGATGCCCATTAACAACATGCAACAAAGTAAAGTTGAATCCAGTAACCTGCCTACTGGATCAGTAGGGTGTTATTGTGAAAGCGTTAAACCTTGAGCAGTAGCATAACCGTTTCCATCGAGTTGCTCTTGATTCAAGTCAATATGTGACGAGATGAAAACAGTTCATTGAGTGCATGAGATCGATATTGATCAATTGTAAATGTGCTCCCTTAGTGTGATTATAGTTTTGTGCGGTGGTGTCAACCACTAACGACCATTGGAGAATGCTGCCCTGTTGGAGATGGAATTCCTGGATTCCACTTGTTGTTCTTGTCAGAACTTGTGCTGAATTTGGAGAATCGATATTTTACCCAGAATTCTTCTCGTTCATGCACCGCCCCAGATATCGCATCTTTCTTTCACAGTATACATACAGATAATAAATGATTGAAATACTGGGGGAACTTTTTCAATTTTTATTTTTCGATAGGCGGAAGGGTTAATAAATCTTTGTAAAAACATCACCGTTGCTCAATGGCAAGGAAGCCAAACTGTTCGTGACAATCTTCAACAAGTGATCTTGACCATTGTTATGGAAGTTGATAAAAACAGTGTACATTCCATTGGTTGGATCTCTTGAGAAGTAACCGTCAGCATTTCTTCCATCTTGTTGATTGTGCAAAACGAAGGAGGATGGACTTGACGCTGTCACTTGCCAAATCTTTCCACTCTTTTCTTGATAGCCACCGAATGGAGCTTCAGCAACCAATGGATGAACTCTTGTGAAAGTATCACTTGGTCCGTGCAATTGATTATGATCTGGAGATGGTTTCAACAACCAATGCACAGAATTGTCAAAAGTCAAAACGACAGCAAAATCAGATGAGTTCACCTTTGGAACAGCAATACCAGTGGCAACTCTTCCGGTGCCTTCTTGAGTCCATGTGAAATGATGTCCGTTTTGAGTGCAGTGCCAGACTCTGCCACCATTTTCTCTCCATTGGCCAGTGAGGTTGAGATCAACAATGTGTGGAACAGTGATCATTGTTTTGTTGAATATTGTTTGAAGATGTTTTTTTTGATGGTGAAAAGTTTCAAAGAAAGTGACAGGTCTTTTTAAAGCGAGGAAGGTTCAAAAGGACTGAACTACACTTTACAATATGAAGAATCACATCAAAGAGTGTTACAGATCGATGTCTCTCACTTTGAGGGAGCGTTTCTTTTCGTTGGTGGGCGATGAACTTGGAATTTACAACGACACTCGCTCACTACAGTTTCCATGAAGGTCAAACACACTATTGGATGACATTTTGTCGTTGTTTATTCAAGTTCATTAACATTAGTGATTGTTCTTGCTAAGGGACACAATTCACAAAATGCACGACCGGGTGAAGAATTCAACAACAAAGGACGTCCACCTCTTTCATTGAACACGAACTTTGAACAAGGATACAAAAAAAAATGAAACGATTTTCTAGACATCACTGTGTCCACACACTCAACCTTCCTCATGTATTGCTTCAGTCATCATCATTTTCATGTACTCACACATTGAGGAAGAAGCAACAACCTTGTGGAGTATTATGGAAGCGCATGCATCTTGGAAGTGTTTTTTCCGATTTGATGAGCACCCGAGAATTTTCATCTCATCATCCCCATCAAGGAACTGCTGAAAATAATATCACTTTTTCTGATGATTTAAATATTAAATTCTCGTTTGATTATCGGGATATTTATACAATGATTCGTGAAGTAAATGACCGTAATATTCAGTTTGTGTTTGATACATCAAGAAGGCAACAGTTATTGGACACTCTTGAGATTGGAATGAGAATTTTGTCATCTTCCAATGCCGAAGAAAAAGTCTCTCTGACTCATCAGGCTCGTTTTTTACCTTCCAACAGAGATCATGAAGGTCTAAGAATCCAGGAGGAAAGATCCTTAATCAATACAACTGATGAAGATGAATTTGAAAAACAAGTGTCAGAGTTAAGGAAGAAATATTTGAATGAATTCTGTGGAGATCACTACATGCCTGGTCGGCCTGAAAAACCACTTTTGATTGAGGACATGAAACAAATTCCAACAAGCTACAAACAAGCTGGAGTTAGTCTTCCCATATTTTTACTGCACAACATGGCTCATATCGAGCTAAATGCCATTGATTTATGTTGGCATACCTTGATTATGTGTTTACTTAATCCAATTAAGGAGAGTGTATTATATAGTGAATCGAATAATGATATACATGATCATGAAACACATCAGCTCAATCTTTTTGAATTTATGAATGATTTTATAAAAATTGCAAAAGATGAGGCGAGACACTTTAAAGAGCTTTCAGAGAGATTGAATGTACTAGGCAGTTCCTACGGTGCGGTGACAAGTCATAAGGCTATATGGAATTTGGCTCGAGATACTCAATATTCGCTTCTCGAGCGAGTAGTTATCGGTAATTGTGTGCTGGAGGGTAGAGGCCTTGACTCTGGTGATCGACTCATTTCCAAAATGATTGGATGTGGTGACATGATCTCATGCAATATTGTAAGGACAATATGTCATGAAGAAGAGGATCATGTTCGAATTGGAGTGAAATGGTTCAACAACATTTCACAATTACTGTTCAAGAATATGGAAGGACTTACCTCGGTATTACCGTCACAATTTGACAATTTTCAAAAACAATTATTTCAACAAATTGTTTTGAAATATTATGGACCTCTTCCAGGTCCATTTAATCATGAGGCTAGAGGTGCTGCAAACATGAAATTGGATTGGTACGAAGAGATTTCAAGAAATAAGATTATGAAAAAGTAATGCGGAAACCGGGTTTATTATCCGAGAATAGTTTAGACAAATTTTACTCTAGAGTTATTTTGAATATTGACGTCAAAAGTAGGATATTCATACTTAAACAAACACATGGGATTAGATAGAACGCACCAACTTTATTTACATTCAAAAAATTTAAATTATTTCTTTTGAGGAGCAGATCCCTTTGAAGTTTCTCTAATATTTGCTTTGAATTGTACAAGATGATTGGCAAATAATGTCTCCTCACAACTCTTTTTTGGCTTGTGAGAATGAGTGGTTCGCAGAGATGTATCTTGCTGATGGAACCATCCTACTGTTTGAGCACTTGTTTGTGGCTTGGAAAATCGTTCTGTTGGTTTTTTGGAAAGGTTTTCTCTGGTCTCTAAAAACAAACGGTCTTGCTCACGAGCAGTTCTGAGCATTTCTTCCTTCTCCGGTGTGGTTGGCTTTTGACTCTTTGAAAGTAGAGTATTGACAGGCTCACCAACGGTCTGCTCAAATTTCTCGACTTGCTCTGGGGTGAGTCGCGAAATGATGCTCTCAATGAGAGCTTGATCCTTATCTAAAAAATGTTTTCCTCTCTTATTGGGTTTATCTGTGACCACGTCAACTAGGAAAATAAATTCATCACAGAAAATTTCCGAATTGATAATGAGAATTTCGAAATTATTATGATTATTAATTACATCACGTTCAGAAGTTAATTTTCAATGAATTTTATAATTTTTAAACTCCTAATTTGTAAAACCTACTTCTGCCGGGATGTGTCGTATATTCCTCCTTCAATTTATAATTATGTTGTTCCTTTTTGAATGTTTCTGTATAAATCGAATTCAGAGCTACCGCATCAAATTTATCTTCCCACGACTTTCCTGTTGTTGCTTTTGTTCCGGGCATGTCAATGATGATATGTACAATACTTTGAAGACAATGATGACTTCTTCCTGTATTTATAATAAAACAAAAGAGATGTATTGCGTTGTTGATAAGAGTTGATTTTTTTAAAATTGGAAAACGCTTGAAACCGTAAACCGAAAGTGGCGCGATTTTTTGTGCAAACCACTTCTTGCGTCCTCTCGAAATTCAAAAAAATTTGGTGCAACATTTTGCATGGAACAAACGCGTGTGTGGATTCAAAGATTTAAATTGCTCGTTTTTGAAAAAACATCAAAAAAACATAACTACCACGTTGTTGATGTTCACAAATCAACCACCTTTTCTATTCTCTATTCATTATATTTATTAATTGATTATACACAACATTATAATAATATTTCATACATACGTCATCTAGAATTATTCTAGAAAAACATAAATCATATATTACCATCCTCATCAACATATTCCTATTTTTCAACATCAAGAACCCATCACCATATAGATCATCATCCGAGAAACCCATGCCCCCCAAGAAAGTATCTACTTCTTCCACTCCCATAAAAACCAGAATGGCTCAAAAGACTCCTCGTTCTTCTTCTTCCTCCATCGGAGCAAAGATTGAAACCGTTACTCCAAGAAGATCGAGCAGTAGTAGTAGTAGTCAAACCCCTTTGATCACCACTCCACAACACTCCTCCTCCACAAAGAAGGAACGATCCTCCTCTAAAGAACTCAAGGCAGAGCCTTCTTCGTCCTATAAAGACTCCCGAATCAAGAAGCCATCTAAAACGACAAAGAGAGAAGCATCAAGAAAAGATGATGATGATTTGGAGAATCAAAAGATCAAGGCGTCTTCCATAAAGAGATGTGCACGAATGGTTGGAATTACTCGCCTCGCAAAGGATCATTTGGAAGAAGCTAGGAAGTTGATTGATGATAATTTGGGTATGGTATTGAAAAGGGCAGCGATTGTCACGGTACACAAGAGAAAGAAAACCATCCAGCATGAGGTGCTTGGAAAGGCTGTGGAAGATTTGTGGGGCGTCAAGTTGTATCCATTGACAGATAGGAATGTAAATTGGTCTTCTGCAGTGGAGGATGAAGATGAAGATTTTTATATCAAAGATGAGGACGAGGAGGATGATGCTGAACTCATTGAGGAACTCTGAATAAGCAGCAATCAAAATACGTTTGTGTAAATAAAACTATTTATTATTTGATTCAGAAATTGAAATACATTTACAAAGACCAAGAAAACATTTTACACAGCAATTAATAATTTGATCTATCATTATTTAACATTGTACATCGCGATAATTTAATCAAAGTATATACAACAGAAAGATCTAGATAAAGACAAAACCGTAACAACAAAACTGATACAACTTCATATTTTTGCATGACAAAACAAAATTAAATCAAAGATACTCTCTCTTCAACATGATAGAATCCATCACTACCATTTGGTCCTTTCATTCGACACAACAAAATTTCTCCTATTGTCTCAATGCCTTGATCGGTGTCTGTCTCTCCAAACACAGTGTCACATTTGTGACGATACAAATATTCTGGGAAGGCTTTTGGTGAATTTTTCTTTTTCGACTTGCTTGTCTTTGCTAATGTACAGTGGATTTGAGTATTGATCGAAGCGTCAACTTTGATGTGATTTTCCTTGAGTTTTTGATAAATACAATTCGATAAATCCAAAAAGGTTTTCTGCCCATTCTGATGAGTGAAAGCTGGCTCTGAAAAAATCACTCTTCCCTTCTTGAATTCTTTATCCTCAAAGGTATGTACTCCAGACAACTTGAAAGTGAAAGGTAATTGTTCCAAATTAGTTTGCATAATCTTCTTCAATTCCTCTTGACAACTTTTAAATATTTGAATGCAATTATTCAGATCATCCTGTGTATCAAGGGTCAGGACAAACATGGTGAAATGCATCTTTTCACGTTCAATGAGATAATCTTCCAAATCAAACTGTTGTGTTGATGTTTGCACTCTATTCTTGTGTTCAAGTAATGCTGAGGCTTGCCAATTCATGAGATCATCCAAAATAGATGTCGAGTTAATTTTCACAGCAAAGAAGTGAGTGGGTCTGGAGTCATTATTATTGGATGATGAATTTTTGTGGTAACCTCCTCTTCCTCCACCTCTTCCACCTCCTCTGGAGCCTCCTCTGGAGCCTCCGCCACCTCTTCCACCTCCTCTATAACTATTAGTATTGTTACTGTTTGGTGTTGATGATGATGAACTCATGTTTGTTGGTAATATTATTGATGATGATGAATAGCCTTCGTGATGATAATGAATAATAATATGAAAATTTCTACTACGAGGGTATAATTCTTCTTGCAAAAATCTCCAAGTCGTAAAATAATTTCCTTTTTCTCGGAGTGGAGTGAACACTGACCAATAATGATAGTATCGATGATGATGATGATGATCACAACAACAAGGTTTCCAAACAATACGCTTCACTTGTTTCAGATGGATATTTTTTAAAGTCATTTTTTAAATGTTTTGTAAAGATCTTATGGTGAACCTTGAATCCAATTTCCTTTTTCGTAGTAGACCACAACAATTTCCATCTTGAAGAATCATAACTATTCCCCAGAATGTTTCAAAATACTCCTCTCAATAATCACTCGCTTTCATTAAAATTGTGGCCAACTGTTTCAAATACTTTCCATCCACTTCCATTGAGAATTGATCCAAAGCTGTTGAATCGACATCAATCAATCCAATCAAATCCTCGTTCTCCTCTTCTTCTTTCTTTTCTGACGAGAAACCACTTTCTGTTGTGACCTTTCTTGTCAATTTTAGGGGAACACAAATTTCAGAATTTGATGCACTGTCACATGCAATATGTCCTGAAAATTCATGAACATTCTTGACCACAATGATTTGTTTTGAAACAATACAAGTTCCACACACACCTTTTCCAAATTTAATTCGAGTACAGGCGAGTTTACCATGAAATGGACCCAATACTAATTCATCTTGTTGTGAAGATGGTTCAGAATTCTTCTTCTGATCAATGAGATAGAAACCAAACCAATTGATGGGATGATGAAATTCCTCTCTCAAAGTATGATAAAAAAGAGAGGCACAATTGGCGAGATTGGCCACAAGATTTCTCTCTCCACTCACAATACTCTCAATTTCTGAAAGAAGACGTTGATAGGTCTCTTCGGAGATGGGTTTCTTTTCATCGGGTATGTGACAGGAGTGGTGATTGTGCGGTGATGGTGGAGACATTTTTTTCAATGATTTTAGATGCCCGCATATGGCCGAGTGGTTTTTCTGGAACTGTGGCAGCCAACTGGTCCAGCGTTCGAATCCCAGGGGTTGCTGCTGTTATCGTGAGCAGTTTAAACACCTTTACTTCCGGGGTGCCTGCTAGGAAGTCACTACGTATCTTACGTTCGGCTTTTAAATAATGTACATAAAACCATCGAACAACGTTTATCATCGAATAAACCCATCCCTGAATTTTTTTTTAAGAGGTGGATCATTCTCGACTCTTGCTTGACCTAAGGCAGAGATGGTCATGTCCTAGGACTCCGACACCAATCCAATGAATCCTTTTGGCGGAGTTCAGCATGACCTTCTTGTTACCAGTTAGTTGGTTACTATTGAAACACCAAAGTAAACAATAATTTTGTGAAATTGCTTCAACCTCTTGTCCAAGAATCGTCATGAAAGTGTGTGTATTGCTTAATGAGACAAAGTGTGAATGAAAATGTCAGTAAATGCTCCTCCTTCTTCTGCACTGTGCAATATCTTACTTGTGTTCGGAAAGAGTTTCGACATGGATGGTCTCAAATTGCAATTGAAAACAACGAGGGAAGAACTTTCCCATTGTCGTGTATGACCTGTCCTTCAAAATTCAAGAAAAAAAATGAGCCAAAACGTTAAAGCGAAATTACGCAAACAACTCCAAGCAGCAGCAACAGCAGCAACCAGTAAGAACAAGACTGTTGTTGGAATGAAGCATTCTGTTGTTGCGAGTAGTAGTAGTGGTAGCACAGGAGGAGGGGAAAAAAGAAATTCCTCGGAGGATGGGATGGAGGAGGATTTTGATGAATCGTTTTTCAGTTATATGAATGAGGATTCTTCCGATGATGAAATGTCTATGGGATATAAATTTGATCCATCCATCTATGGACAAGTAGAAAAGAAGAATGGTAATAAGGAGAGTAGTGTTTTTGAACTGGCTGGTGAAAATGATAGTGAGGACGAATTGGCCAAACACTTGGTGTTTTCCACAAACAGTGATAGTAGCGATGAAGAAATCCAAGTGAAAGACCTCAAGAAAAACAAGAGACAAAAGAAGGAAAAGCAATCAAAACAACAACAAGAAGAAGAAATTTCTGAAATGCAAGAAGTTGAGGAAACTGATGAAATGGAACATGACGATGAGGTTATTCCACAATCTTCTTCTGAAAACACAAAATCAAGCAAAGATGAAAATGAATGGACAGAAAGTGAATTGGCAGAAATGGAAAAGAAACAAAAAGGTGCTTGGAAAAAAGTTAATTTAGCCGATGAAGATGTTTTTGCATGTGAGGGTTTATATTCGCTTGAAGTGATGGACGCCAATGACGAGAGTTACCAAGAAATCATGAGAAAACTTTACGGAGACGATTTTGATAAATTCACTACTACTGCTTCAGCAACAAAGAAAGAAAACAATGAAGATCATCAAGAAGAAAAAGCCACCACAGATACAAAAACAACGGAAGCAAACCAAAGTAGAACACCTGAGGAAATAAGAAAGGAACGAAATAGAAAGAAGAGAGAGCGAAAGAAGAAAGCTCAGGAAAAGAAGTTAGCTGCTGCGGCTGCATCTGGCCAAAGTGACAGCTCTACTTCAAACGATAAACTAGAAGGAGATTCACTAGAGGAAGATGCACCAGAATCCAACGCTGTTGAAGAGTCTGAAGAAACAGTGACAGCTTCAAACGAAGAGCAACCAAAACAATCAAAATCTCAAGAAACCAAGACGGAACCGGAAAAGAAAAAGAAGGAAAAGGCAGCTGACCTAAAAGTTGTAAATGAAGATGCTGATTCCATTTCCTTAGACGAGCTGAACGAAAAGATGAAGGCATGGAATTTTGATTCACAATTCATGCTTCACGAACAAATTATTCGTAATTTATATCGATTGGGTTTTTACACACCAACGCCCATTCAAGAGGCATCCATTCCAAAGGCCTTGACAGAGAAGGCTGATGTTTTAGCAGCAGCAGAGACAGGGTCTGGTAAAACTCTAGCATTTGCTCTTCCAATAATTGAAGAGTTACTTCGATTGAAAGAAAAAGGTGGAGATACTCTTTCAACATTTGAAGATACTTCCTCCACACACACAGCAGTCGACGGTGTTGATCTTAACGAAATTGGTGTTAATAACAAGCGAAAGAAAATGCTACGTGACGTGAAAAAGGACATGTTTAGACTGAAATCTCTCATTTTGTTACCAACCAGAGAATTAGCAGTCCAAGTGTCTACTCACATCCAAGCAGTGATTAGAAATACCCCTATTAAGGTAGTGAGCTTGCTCGGAGGTCTAAACGAAGAGAAACAAATCAGAGAAATTCATATGTTGAAACCAGATATTATTGTAGCCACTCCTGGAAGATATTGGTATTATATTGACAAGGGAATGTTTGCTTCCAACTCCATTCTCGGTCTTCGATTTTTGGTAATTGATGAAGCCGATAGAATGGTTGCTGATGCTCACTTTTTCGAATTGCAATCCATTTTGAGATATATCACTGTAGAACGATTCAAGAGAAGCCAACAGGCAAATATTTCACCAGAAGAAGTTCCCTCACTTCGAAAGTTTATCTCATCAGCCACTCTCACATTCATTGATGACAAATGGAAACAAAAACTTCAAGCCATGTCACAAGAAGAACAAACAAAGCTTCAAACCGATGCCGACAACTACACGTCTACACTGGACGAAGAAGACGAAGAAGAAGAACAGCAACCACATGAAGAAGCAACTTCCGCAGAACATAAGGTTGACAAACAAAAGAAGAAAAAGAAGAAGGAAAGCAAAATTCAAAAGATTATTCAAAAGATATTGGCCATCCTGGACATGCAAAATCCACTCATTGTAGATCTCACCACGTCCAATCTCCTTGCTCACACTCTGCAAGAAGCTCACATTGAAAGCACAAGAGAAGACAAAGTCTTGTACCTGTACTACTTTATCACACTCTATTCTGGACGTACGGTAGTTTTCACCAATAATATTAAGGCAGTGAGATTTATTGGAAATGTTTTGAAGGAATTATTTATTAAGGGACCAAATGCAAGTGAAAACAAAGCGAGTATTGTTTCGCTGCATGGTAAGATGGATCAACAAGCAAGATTTAAAAATTTGGAAAAATTCAAGAAACTAGAAAATTGTATTCTCATCACTACCGATGTGTTTGCTCGAGGTATTGATATTCCAGATGTGGAAAATGTGGTTCACTTTAATTTACCTGCTGATACCAAGACATACATTCATCGGTGTGGCCGTTCAGGACGTGCAGGTAAACAAGGTTTCAGTTTAGCAATTGTTGCTCCAGAGGAACGTAAACAATATTTCCATATTCTTCGTGACACAAACAGAGAAGAATCTGGATTACCAACATTCCCAATTTCAAACCCAGACTTGCTTGAAGTTTTACGTAAGCGTATTCGTCTTGCCATTGAAATTGTAAAGCTTGAAGAAAAGAAAGCAGCCAAAACACAAGAACAAGATTGGTTCACAAAACAAGCCAAAGCATTGGATATTGAATTAGATGACACCTTCTTTAGAGATTTGAAACGAGATCGTGATTCAAAGATGAAAGGACTCTCTAAACAGCAAGAACAAAATCTTGCAAGAATGAAGAACGAGCTGGCAGCTCTATTGAAACAAAATGTGTTCATGCAAACGAAAACAAGTCAGAGTGGATCCTCTCGATTGTTCACTGTAGGTGATCCAAGAAGTATTGATCTCATTAAGGCACGTTTAAGCAAAGCGAGAACGGAGAGAGCAAGAAGTGATTTGGAAAGACAAATGGCTGCTGATGAAGAAAAGAAACAGAAACAATCTGGGGAAGGATCGAAAAAGAGAAAGAGAAAATCAAAGAAAGCCAAAGACTGTAAGAAGTTGAAACAAAACGATGACATGGAGGATGATGAATAAATTCAATGAATTTTGACGAATTTGAGAGCAGTTTTAACAGTTAAACTGTCACTTCAGAGTGATGATATTTGTTTGATAAATAATTAATTTATTGACCTCTCGCTGAGTATCTAGCGTGATTAGCTTAGGCTTGTTTGGAAATATAATAAACTTCATTGGATTGAATTCATCGAAATTATGATTTGGTTCATGATTTTGTAAAACATATCCCGAATTAATTATATTACGAATAATGTTTCAAAATTAATTATATTTTGAAATAATCGTGTTCATCCAAAATTAAATAACAATTTCTCTTGTACTGTCATGATGCCGCCATCACGAACATACCATTATTTCCTCTAATAAAAGCATCCTCATAATTTCCGGTTAAAACACCATCCACATATTCTTTTGTCTGTTCCAGTGCTACATTCATATATCCATCCAAACAAGTTAAAATTCCTCTATATTCCGTTCCTGAATTCAATTTTACAATCACTGGCTTTCCTACAATTTCACTCCGTAAAAATTGAGTCGGATCCACATTATTGGATGATGATGATGGAGGTAATGAAGACATTTTTATTATTGGAAATGATTTTATTTAATAAAATAAATTGTTAGGCCTAATAATATTGAAATTAATTCATCAAACAAAAATGGAATCTCTCAAACACAAACTTTCAGAGGTGGTTCATCACTTCATCGATGAAAGTAGTACATCGGAGGATCAAGGAACAAGATTTAATCATCATCATCATCACCATTCACATCAACAACAACCACACGACCAACATCATCTCGCCCATCACGAAATGAATTCAGAAGATGTTCACCATCATCCTTGCGATCAATCCACGAGATTTAACGAAAGCAATCATCATCATCAGCACCAGGATTCATCAGCACCATCGGAAGAAGAATACCCACACCATGAACATCATACGAGCCAATCCACAAGAATGGATCATCATGAATCTCCTCATCGTCATCATGAAAAGAAATGAATCTCTCTCTGTAACAATTATTTCCGTAAATAACTGATCAATCAGTTTAAAATTATAAATTCATTCATTCATCAATTCATTTATTCCAATCGCTCATTAACCTTTCATTCCTGCTCGGACATGGCTTTTTGTAATTGATTAGTAAACTGTTCAATCATCTTTTCATAGCCTGAACCCAATTTCTTACAACAATGAATGGCTAATCGGATCGTGTCTACATTATTGGGCTCAATAGCAAGACTTTCTTCACAGGCTTCCAGTGCCTCGTCAAACCTTTGCAAATCCCGATAATTGATGGCAATATTATCCCATGCCTCAAACAACTTGGGATGAATTTTCAAACATTCTTTGTAGAGGGCAATTCCTTCTTCAAGAGTGCTGCAATTCAATGCTTGATCAAAGAGTGCAGAATACTTGTCAAAGACTTCATCAAAGGTCTGCGCCTTATTGAGCACGAGCAAATAACGAGAATAATCGGTGAGTTCCAAGTAGGTGAGAAATCCTTTGAGCTCCGATTCTTGAATGGGCTCTTGACCATACAGAATGATTTCCTTCCCACCATCGTTGTTGTCATCCTCATCATTCGAATCAAAACTCATGACAGAACTCAACGGAGAATGCATGACAAGCATGTTGCAATGTTTGTCGAGATATTCACTTTGTGCATGAGTCCATGGTTGATTTCGAACCTTCTCTAAAATGTTTTGCATTTGTTTCTTAATTGGTTCATCTTCATCGGTGGTGGTGTCGCCTGAGTGCATGAGCTTTTTCGTGAGTGCATCATAGGATTTGTAAATGGATTGTGGATTTGCCTCGAGGAGAGTCTCCCATCGTTCGGGGGGTTCTGTATTGCTCGTTCTCAGGGACATGTGGTAACAATAATTTAAGCCATCACCCCATGAATCGATTTCAAGAATTTTTGAAATTATAAAGGATGGGGATTCTGATGAATTCTTTTCTTTGCTGATGATTACATCTCCTTTCTGAAAGAGAGACATTTTTAAGAGGTTGACAATTTGTGCCATGTGTTTGCTTCCACTTCGTTTTTGAAGGTGCATTGTTTGTTGTCGTGTGAGGGAGAATGTCCTCTTAGTGTTCGTTGTCACTCATCGGCAAGAGTTCCCTTATTCGTTTCCATCTTGACGGCTTCATCCTCATCGACGTATCACGAGGGAGGTTTACAATAATTTTCATTGTTTCGAATATTTTCCAACTCATTCTTCTTGAATAGCTCAATAAATTCCACTGCACGATCAAGCACCTCATGGGATGCCAAATTATCAACACTAATCACAACAAATTCCTTTCCACTCTTTACAATATTATCCATTTGCAGATTTCTGTACTTTTCATAATATTTCCAAATGAGAGAGTCGAATTTTTGTGAAAATTCATTAAAGTCATCTCCTCGGTTTGGATGTTTGGTAATCGTTCGATTCCATCTTCGTTTTTTCGCAACCTCACGATCAGTGGTATCCAAGAAAATGATGGCGTCAAAGCATCGAGTGACAAGGTCTCGTTGACAACAAGACAAATAACCTTCTGCAAAGAGGAGACGATTGTTTCTAAAGTTTGAGAGCTTGTTGTTGATTTCTTTTTCGAATTTGTCGAAATCCACTGATTCCATGCATTCCATATTACCTTTCAATTCCGGATCTTTAATTTCATCAAACGTTTTACTGGATGAATTCCCAAAAAGAATGTGTGGATCCAAATGACTCACAAGTTCTAGAGAGGCTAGACACAACCTACCTTCTGCATAAATCTTGGCAAACCGAGACCACACCATACCGTTTATTGAGAGCTTTTGCCAATGTTGACTTTCTATCAAAGGAATAGCAGAGTCCAATCAATAGTTTCAAATTCATCACCTATTGAAAACAGTATTGTCAAAACCTACCCCGAAGATGTTGATCCACAAATACAAATAACTTTTGTCTTTTCTTCACAATAGGGCTGTTCTTGTTGAGACATTTTTTGTGATCATGATTTTTACAGCCTTCTTCAGATGATCTATTGATCTTCTTCAATTATGATTTTCGGAATTGAACCTGATTCACTCTCCAATCTGTCCACAACACGTCTTGCTATTTTCACGAACGCTGCAGCCCTTTCACTTTGAGGATCGGAAATTACAACCGGTCTTCCAGTATCACTTGTTTCACAAATTTGAGTATGCAATGGGATTTCACCAATGAATTCCAGTCCCATTTCTTTTGCAGTTTTCCTGGCTCCATGATGACCGAAAATGTGTTCTTCATGTCCACAATTCGAGCACTTAAAATAGCTCATATTTTCAACAATTCCAAGAATTGGAACAGACAATTTTCGGAACATGTTGACACCTCTTCTGACATCAATCAAAGCAATATCTTGTGGTGTGCTTACAATAACAGCACCAGAAAGTTGAACTCTTTGACAAATTGAAAGTTGTGCATCTCCTATTGTCAAGGTTTGATGATAGTAATAAGAACAATGATATCAATTATTGTGATGCAAATGTATAACTGTCATTCCACATCAAGAAATGAAACTCACCTGTTCCAGGAGGTAAATCAATGACCAAAATATCCAATTCACCCCATTCCACTTGTGTCAATAATTGATCCACAGCACCCATCACCATCGGACCTCTCCAAATGGTTGGTGCATCTTCTTGCACTAAAAATCCCATACTCATCACTCTCACTCCATAATTTGATTTTGGAATGATTTTTCTTGTTTCTTCATTCATATTAGGCTTTCCACTCACATTCATCATTCGGTGTATGCTCGGACCATAGATATCTGCATCCATTAAGCCGACCGATTTTTGGCAGAAGGAGGAGAGAGCAAGTGCCAAATTGGTCGCTACGGTACTCTTACCAACACCTCCTTTTCCACTACTCACGACAATAATGTGTTTAATGCCTGGAAGAGGATTTGAAGCAGGTTTAGCGCTCGTGGGTGATGATGTTGGTGGTGTTTGGGTGGCTGGTGGTTGTATGGAATAACTGTGATCGGAGTGGAAAGATGAAAGGATGCCAGTGGAGAAATTCCTGATGTTGTTGTTGTTGTTATCATCATGACTCAATGGAGTAGTTATTAACTTGCTTTTCAGAAAGGAACAAGCCCTTCTTGATGATCCAAACACCTTGTTGTTACCACTCACACAACAAAGAACTGAAGTAAGTTTTTTCATTTTTTAAGGCTTTAATTTGGAAAATCTCTCCTTTAGATGCTCTTTTGTGTTGGCAATTCATCATGACAATAAATGGAATATAGTATCGAGTGAAAATTAATTGTTTATAAGGTTATTTTTGAGAGATTGGCCTGAATTCGAGAGCAATACTTTTGGACGCCTGCATCGTCTTGGTTCTTCGTCATTATTTCTGCAATAGTTTTTTCAAAGTTCAGTTGTTTCAACATCACACAACATTCATCATATTGACAAAAGTTACCTAAAGAAAATAAGGCAATTTTTTTAGCACTGGAATTCTCGTCATTCAGCGTCTTGACCAATGCTTCAATAGCTCCACTTTTAAGCAAGTCTTTCACTAATTCATTTGAATTTCTAACCAGATTCCCGAGAGCTCCCGCAGCATTGGCCTTTGTCTTTTCATCTGAATTTTCAGACAGCAAGTCAATAAGGGGTGGAATGCATGGAGCCAATGGTTTGTACAAGTTATTATTGTGGAAGCAAGCGTTTCCAATTGCAAAGCAAGCAAATTTACGAGTGTTTGCGTCCAAGTCCTTACATCGCTGAATAAGATCCGGAATGAGAGAATATTGTTCTAAAGCTTCATAGAAGAATGCTGAGTGTCGGCACATGTTACCGATAAGGTTGCAAACTTTTGCTCTCACTTCGCTCTCCTTGTGTCGTAATAACTCCTTAATGATGGTATAAATTTTAGCTTGATGAATTTGTTTGTAGTAATCTTTGCTCATTCTTGCGATTTGGCTCAGAATTGAAAGTCCATCCATGATAATAGCAGGAGGATTGGAAGGATCAATTACTTTCTGAACAAACTCGGGTTGTAATCCTCCATACTTAATGTATTGCTTAGTAAAATAGTTTGATGTTAAAACCATGCTTGCCAAAAAGTTTAACGATGATCCAAAATTATCCATTGACACAAAATCCAAAATGGAAATGCAGTATTTCACAAGCTCTTCTTTGTGCATGATCTTAATCAACTCAGCCAATAATTTTTCATTTTCTTTTTCCTGCATACTGGCTTGGTTGTAAAGTAAATGTAAAAATCCAACGGTTGCATTGATTAGATTGCTTAAATAGATGCCTCCTCCGTTTCGTGATACTGGCCATTTTGAAAAAGATTGTAAAATTTTGTCCTTTAAGGCTTGAATTAGTGCTCTTACTATGCTCATATCTCCAACCAAATTGGCAATATTCTCAGGATTACCTGTTGCAATGTCATACATTAATTTCAGGGATGCAAGGACCGCGTCGGTAGAGAGTTCAATGTCGCTTGACTTTAGTCTTTCACATACAGATTTCCAAGTCCCGGTTTTAACAAGCAAATTGTTAAATGAGACATTCCATAATTCAGACACCTGATTGAATAATGTAATGACACCATCCAACAGACCGACATCTGGGAATCCAAAGCCAGATCCTTCCACTCGTTTGACTTCATGCAACTGATAAATGGAAAACTGTAATACAGAATTAGTTGAATATGCATTCGCAACCATGAACAACTTACATCTTTGATAAGGATATCATTAATTTTACCCAAGCCTACAGGTGTTAATAACTCGGAAATAATCCTCTTCTTCAATGAAGTATCTTGAGCGAGCCGAGAAAGTAAAAGTACACAAAAACATTTCAGCCTTTCGTCAAGAGATGTGTTAATCATGACGATACAATTTCCAACCAAAGCATCAGTATCTTTTCCAAGTTGGCTAATTATTTTCGGAGAGTCCTTGAAAATAATTGAAATCGTCAGAGCAGACAATTCTGTCTCATACATTGCCTTAATATCAGTTGTATCCTTTACAAGGCTTATTAATGATTGCAAAATAGAGGTATCTGTTGAAATTTGATGAGAAAATTCGGTTGAAAATCTGCAGAGTTGGTACGTAGTTCTCAGTGCTGCCACCCTCACATTTGCCTCTTGATGTGTAAAGAGCTCTGTCAAAACTGGGAGAATATTTTGTTTCAAGGCTGCTTTTGCTAGAGCCGCTCTTATGGTGTTGTCTTGACTACACTCAATTATTTCTGTGCTTAGAGTATTTTCAGTTTGGAAAATTGAAGGAAATTGGAAAATTTCTCCTTCCACAGGATGAACAAGTTCTGCTAGTGCCTTAATGGCCGTTGTTGTTAAGTGTTGAACGAACTTTTTCTCGGTCTTTACAATTTTTAAATCTAGACAGGTGCATACAGCATCATGCCATTGCAATTCTTTCAAGGATTCGAATACTTGGCTTGTTTGGAACGGTACGAAACCGATTTTGGTTGATAATTCTTTGAGACATTTCATTGTATATATTTGGACAGACAGGGTGCTGTCATATCTATAATCAACTAGCGCAGGTAAAATTGTGAAGAAATCTGTGATGACAGACGAGATATTTTCAATACCGTATGGAAGTGCAAAATGAAGAGCAATGAGAGCATCTTGAACTGTAGGTTTTGTATCGAATTTAGCTCCTGCAAATTCTGTTTGCGTTACATGTGAGTTTATGGTGAACAGTCAACATGGCTAAAAACATACCTTTCAGAAATGCTAAAAGACTTGTTACGATGTTTGCGTCGATGAGGTTATCAGAATCTTCTTCTTCGCATTTTTCGAGAGCTTTTGCCAAAATTTTGAGAGAGGTCTGCACAATTTTTGCTGATTTTGTTTTGAATGCAGTTTGATTCACCTTAATAGTATTCGCAAGTTTGTCCAAATACTCAACATTTTTCATAACTGTCTTTGGACCATTTTCATCCTTAATTAAAGTGACTTCAATATCAGTAATGGAGACTGTCAAGAAAGATATTTTTAGGTTTTGAAGAATATGAGTGCGTGATAAAGAGTACTTACTTTCTTGTTTTGGCTCAATTTTTTTCTTGACTCTAGTTTGCGTAAGGTTTTTCGCTGGAGTTTTTGGTTTTTTCTTGGCTTTTTCGTCCATCTGTTGTTTGTGACTGAGAGCTACAATTTGCTCAAACATTTCAAGACGCTTTCTTCCAATATTTTCTTGTAGCATTCGTTCTCTCAATTCTCTACAATAAAAATATGATAACCTTTTAAATTGAGGAATTTTTCAGCTTACCTTTCTTCTTTTGTTTCTCTCACGAATGGATGATCCAATAATTTTGGCCAATCCAATCGTTGTTTCGGTGCCTTGTTTAACAATCCTCTAAGGAAGCTTTTCATCGGAGGGCTGATGTATGGTGGATATTTTACAGGATCCTTTACAATGAATTGAATGAGAGAGAAGAAGTTGTTAGTGAAGAAGGGAGGCTTTCCGACAACAAGTTCATACAAAATCACACCCAATGACCACAAGTCCGCAGTGTGATTGTAGGGTTGTTCTTGAACTAATTCCGGGGCCATATACAACGGCGTGCCTTTGATGGATGTGAGTACCATCGTATTGCACGACATGACTCTGGCAAACCCAAAATCACACAACTTTATGGCACCATCGGAACCAATTAAAATGTTTTGTGGTTTCATGTCTGTGAGAAAGGAAAGAAGACTTGTAAATAATCCTATTAACGAAAGGACCTACCTCTGTGTATAATTCTGTTGGAGTGCAAGTAATGCAACGCTCTAACCAATTGCTTGGCAATTTTGGCGACAACATCCTCAGGCAAACGTTCGTCATCTTCCAAAATTTCGAAAAGTTCTCCCTGTGCATATTCCATCACCACACAAAATTCTTCCTTCGTTTCAAACGAATCCAGAAGCAAAATTATATTCTCATGGTTAAGCTTTTTTAAAATGTTGATCTCCTGACGTAGGTTGTATAACTCTTTTTCATTCTTTCCCTTCTTCGGAATAAATTTCATTGCAACTATTTGGCTCGTATATTTTCTTCGGCCCTTAAACACTTTTCCAAAAGAACCCTCTCCAATCAACTCTAGTACATGATAGTCATCAATTGAACTCGAATATGTTTTTCCAGTGTGATTATTTGATGAGCTGGCTTCTGATGGTTGTTGTTGTTTGATCATATTTTTTGTAGTTTGCTAAAAATTTCTTGGCGCCAAAACTGAAACAAACGAGATTGTGTTCCGCAATGAGTGCTTGCTGAGAGGACGTCCATAAATTTGAATTATCTTCTCCAATGTCGATTGGAGAATGTATTGGACTGTGGTGATTCATGTGATAGTGATGACCGATAGTGACTTGGCAGCCAATATCGAAGAGACTCAGGGAATGATTTTTGTATCAACAACAGCACTTGTTTTCGATGGAGTGGAAATTCGAACCAACATTTTTCTTTCCATCAACATAAAAAATGAAACGAACCAATGAAGGGGATTTCAAACACAAGGACGAACATGACCTGAATCATCATCAACAAGAATCATCATCATCATCGGCCATGGTTGATGAAGAACCTACTCAAGGTTCATCATCCGAAGTCATCAACACAAACGTTCAAGTTTTTCCAACCATTTCCTATCGAGAAAAAAAGAAAGCCTCTTCCAAAGAGCAATATTCACGATTTCCGGTTCGTGTAAGAGCTCACTGCAATCCATTGAGTGATGAATTTTTTGATTATCCTAAACGCCCTAGTGATGTGAATTGGCAAGAAATGTACCCAAAGATGAAGATTGAAACGGAGAAGGTTCAAATTTTGGATGTCGGATGTGCCTATGGAGGATTAATCACCTCTATTGCTCCAGTATTTCCAAAAACCTATATTTTAGGAGTTGAAATTAGAAAGAAAGTTGCCGAGTTTACTCAACAACGAATTTTGGCACTTCGAGAAGGAAAGGCACTCGATGAAACACCCCAAGATAAAGCGAAAGTTGAGACTGGTCACGATTTTCACAATGTTTGGGCAATACGATCTAATGCAATGAAATTCCTTCCAAACTACTTTAAGAAAGGACAATTGAAAAAGATATTGTTCATGTTTCCAGATCCACATTTCAAGAAGAAGAATCATAGAAGAAGAATTGTGAGTCCATCTCTCATTCCAGAATATTCTTATCTTTTAGAAGTTGGAGGATTGATTTATACAATTACGGACGTACAAGAACTAGGAGAATGGATGGCCAAGAGTTTTGAAGAGGAGTTGGTTCCTTTGGGTGCCTTTGAAAGAGTATCTCAAGAAGAGCTCGATAACGATCCACTCATTCCATTCATTATGATCTCGAGCGAGGACGGACAGAGAACCAGCGAGCAGCATTTGTCGAAACATTTGGCAGTATTCAGAAAACTCAAATAAATTATTTTGTCAATTTTGGTGTTCATGTTTTGCCTTTAATATTCGTTGTTACATCCATTTAAACAATTTTCATTTTGATAAAGGATATCAATTGAAAATATTATGAAAACAAGGTTCTATTCACAAAGAAAGGGTATCTGCCATCACTTCCACATCCAAAGCTTTGCAAGGAATTATCAACCGTTTGTGCGAAATTATGGATTCCTCCTGGAGGAACTTGACATATCCATTCCGAGACGAAAATCCTGACCCTTTTCCAAGGCATAGACCTGTCCATCAATAGCAAAAAGCTTCCACCAGCACCCACTTGGATGACTCTTGTATGGAAGAGAGGTGATGGAGGTTGTTCCACCATTGATTTCCTCCAACAACTCGCGCAACACGTTTAACATCACCTGCTGATGCTCGTCCGACTTGCGTTGCTGTTCCTGCAACACGTTCAACATTTCCTGTTGCCCTTCGTCTGACTTTTTGGCAAAATTGTTAAGTTCCAAAAGAGCCTTTTGAATGATGGTAAGGCTTGACATTGTTTTTTGGTTAGGGCGGATTCAATTTCATCCACATCTCCTGATTCCTCAAAATGGTGGAACAACCTCCGTAATTTTACTTATGAGGCAAAACGGAGGTGTTGTAATCGAGAACCGCTAATAAATAGCCTATAAAATTCTCTACACAACTCCATATATATATTTGCAAAAGATTGTTCCATTGATGAGAATAAGAACATGAAAGATCGCGATCCCCTATTAATATGATTGAGTTATATTGAGAAAGGGGTGTTAATTTCAAACAAAAGAGCTCTTCCTTCGATTTTGCTGCTGCAAGAATTTGAAAAAATGCAAAAACGTCCAACACCACCACTCGTGAGTAGCGCCCGTAACATTCAGGGAAGTGTTGCCTCCTCATTGTCGGACCACCACTTTGACCACTCTGGTGGCAGTCTTCACTTAGAGGATGAATATGCATCTTCGGCTTCCTCCTCCTTGTTTGGATTTGGAACCAATCAAAATAACCACAATAACATTCATTTTCCGTTCTCTTCTTCTCCCTATTCAACCTCTCCCAACATGTTTCTTCAACAAAATTCCATCTTAAAGACTCATCATCACTCCAATTTTTATTTGTGCACGTTTGATGCGAGATTATTATCGAGTCCGGAAGGCTTGAATTTCATCTTGTCTGCAATTACGTCAGAGAAGCAAAAACTATCCGAAAGGGATGAAAAGGGTAAAATTGTTCTGGTAGTTCCATCGAATCTTGGTCTAAACGAGAATCAACACTTGTTGAAAATTGTTGGAAAATTAGCCAAGCAATCCGAACATGATTTTATTTCATCAGCATCAACGGATAGAAGAAATTCGAGTGATAGTGATGAGTCATCAGGAAATGCATCACATTCAAATCGTTTATCGTCTCCGGCCACACCTCCAACACAGAATGACCAACTTTCAACTATTGTGGATGAGTATCTCGATGAATTATTACGTCCTCTTCAACAACTCTACAAACAATACAATTCACTCGACACCCATACCTTCTCAGAGTATAGAGCAAAATTAAGAAACCTATTTATTGGTGTTAGCTTATTGGCAGATGCAGCTCCGAAAGTTATTGCGAAAATAGTTGGATGTTACAGCGAAATGGTTTGCAATTTCTTGTTGGAGTATTTGCAATTTGAAGGAGAACGTAATTCTCTTACTGTTGCATTGATAGATAGTAAGAAATACCTCGTGACAGCGATTGAAGAAGTTACCCATAGTGACAAGGTTAACTTTACCATTTATGAGCAAAGAAAGAAAGACCAATATTTAAGAGCTCATTATGATTCACCTCTGGTTGATACTGATTTAATTGAAGAATTGAATGGACATGTTGCCGATGTTTTGATTGCACCAGGAAATATTGGATGTGACAATAAGGGTGATATTGTGCTGTTTGACATTAGCCCAAATTCTGACATGTCAGTGGCTATTTTTGCCACCAAGCTCGACATTGGCAGTGTTGATTTTTGGACAAAGGATGGTGGTATTTTCACCTGCTCCGAGATGAAAACTACAAATGCAAAATTCGTTTTTGAGTTATCTTATCATGAGGCACTAGAAATAGCTACTTCTGACAATTTCAAAGTATTGCAACCCAGAAGTCTCAAAATCTTGCAGGAATCGGATATTCAAATTAGAATACGATCCGTAAAACTTTTCAATCGATTCTCAAAAGGCTATCTTGACAAGGAATACATAACAGTCATTAAGAGCGAATCTTCCAATGACGATACCGACAATGAACAACATGACCATGTCACTAGCTTGACCTATGAAGAAAAAGTGCCACATGTAAAGTGCATTTGTATCCGACGAGATATTCTGATGCTTTCAATTGATACGTTGGACATGTGGCAAAAAGTTGGTTTCTTGGCTGATGTTTTTGGAAAATTCAAAAAGTATAACATTTCGGTGGATTTTGTTACAACCTCAGAGGCCAACATTACCATCACTTTGGATGCAACCAATAAGCTTGATAATGAAGTTCTTAACAAGTTAGTGAACGATTTGAGATCCATGAATTGTAGAGTTGAAATAATTGGGCCTTGTTCTGCCTTATCTCTCATAGGAAAGAATATTAGATCATTCTTACCTCGCCTCTCATCAGGGTTAACCTATTTCTCTGGACAAAAGATTCATTCTGTGGCACTTGCTGCATCCGATGTGAATTTGACCTTTTTACTTGACCAAAATAATTCCAATGAACAATTATTGAAGGAATTACATGACTGGGTCTTTATTAAGCAATCCATAGATTCACATTACATTGGACCTACATGGTCTGAACTCTTTGAAACACAAACACAGAAAGTGAATGATGTGAGTGGAAAGCATGTCTGGTGGCGTCGCAAGAGACAGCAATTACTTGATCTCATTGAGAAGGAAGATCAAGCCATCTATGTCTACGATGTTGAACAATTCTTAGCAAATGCACAAAAACTCATTAACATTTCCATTAGGAATAATGGTCCAGTTGATCAAATTTTCTTTGCTCTCAAATCGAATCCACATCCAGAAATACTCAAAATTTTTGAGAGTGTTGGTTTTGGTTTGGAATGTGTTTCGATCGATGAGGTTCGAATGGTTTGCTCCTTATTCCCAAATATAGATCGAGCAAATAGAATTCTCTTCACACCTAATTTTGCTCCCAAGAAGGAATATCGTGAAGCCCTGAGTCTTGGTGTCATGCTCACGATTGACTCATTGTATCCTCTCATGAACTGGGGAGAGTTATTGCGAGGTAAATCTGTCCTGTTGAGAATTGATCCAGGAGCAGGCAAGGGACATCATGCCAAAGTTAAGACAAGTGGTGTTCAGTCCAAGTTTGGAATTCATATTAGCGATATCCCTCAAGCAGTCAAGTTATGTGCTCAATACAATATTACAGTGATAGGTCTTCATGCTCATGTTGGAAGCGGAATTTTGGATGAAGCAGAAGCATGGAAGAAGACAGCTGTCACATTAGCTCAACTTATTGCTGAACATCCAAAACTCATGAACGATGTGAAAATGATTGACTGTGGAGGAGGTTTAGGAGTTCCATATGTTCCATACAAACAAACAGAGCTTGATTTATCGGAAGTAGCAAAAGCAATGATCGACTTTAAAAAGAATCACAATCCTACCAATGTCAAATTATGTATGGAACCAGGTCGTTTCCTGACTGCGAATGCTGGAGTTTTGCTGGCAAGAGTGACACAAATCAAGAATAAGATGAACAAGTTATTTGTTGGAATAGAGACTGGTATGAATTCCTTAATTCGACCAACGCTGTATGATGCTCATCATGAAATTGTGAACCTCTCAAAAATTAGCGATCCCAACAGTGATGACCCAGCTGAAAGTACCATGATTGCTGATATTGTTGGACCCATTTGTGAGAGTGGTGATGTCTTTGGAACAGATCGAGCCATTTCTAGTGAAACACGTGAGGGTGACGTTTTGTGCATTTGTACGGCTGGAAGTTATGGTTACAGTATGTCCTCTCATTACAACAATCGAGTTCCTGCCAAGGAGATTTTTATTTTGCCTCAAAATACCAAGAATCAATAGAGCAAGTTTAGCAAGATCTTTGTCGTATATTTTGTGACTAGTTGTGATAAAAGAATTGAATTCTCCAAATTTATTCATTACTCACAGTTTGCTCCGCAGATTCTGTAGTAGACGCCTGAGTGGCCTTCTTCTTCTTCTTTTTAGGTTTCTTTAAATCCATTGCATTATCCATGAATTGTTTCTTTTCCTTTTGTTTCTCTCTTCTCTTTCTCTTCTTTTCCATAATTGCTGCATTCCTCAAAATGCTCTGTTTAATGGGTTGCGGGAATTTAATCTTCTTTGATTCTTGTTTTTTCTTAATGAGTTCAATATGATGTTCAAAGGTTTGCTTTGGAATGGAGGCAATTGGTAACGTGACCAAAATAATGCCATTCTTCAAAAATTGTGCATTTGCCTTCTCCTTATTCACTTTAATGAGACCTGGATACTTTCGTTGAATCCACAACTTTTTAGTATATCCCAATGTATCGACTGTGAATTCTCCATCTTCGACATCAATTCTCACAAACATTTCTGGTATTTTGTGCAAAATTATAACAATCTTTAAAAACTTTCTCACAATATTCACTCGGAATGAAACTGGAACTTTTTGATATTTCTGTGAATTTTCAGATGAAATGATTAAATCGTCGTCCTTCTCTGGAACTTTTTCTTCCGTGATTGGGATTTTCTTTGATTTGGCCAAAGAGGATGATGCATTCATTTCCGAAACCATTTCAAATTGTGCTTCAATTTCCTTGAGAAAATCCTCTTCTGGAAAGTCCATCGTGTTCATGCCATCATCATCATCATCACCTTCTCCCATCACATGAGGTTCCTTCTGTGCTGATGCTGCTGGTGTTTTTGCTGATGTTTTTTCTATTGTTGTTTTCATTTCAGATTCATCTACTTCAGAGGTTGTTGATGCCAATTCTTCTTCTTCTTCGGAACTTGTTTTTCTCTTCTTTTTGTTCATTACTTTTCGCGAGGATTGTTCAGACATTTTTTTGAAGTTGTTGTTCATTTTCAATTAATTAATTAAAAAATTTTGTTGTTGAATCTATTAACAATTCAACATTTTTCACCACTCACAGAATTCATAATGACACAGTTTGATTGAACAGCAACATGAAAGATCAAGGCTCTCCCCATGTGGACCTACTACTTACTCTGCCATTACAACTGTTCTAATAATAATTGGCCAAATCTCACCAAACTCCTGTTCTGTCAAATCACAGGTTACTTACAAATTATTATTCATTAATATACCTAAAGGATGTAAAGTACTCAGAACGCTACTCATGGAGCGAATGATGAATTTTGAGCCAAAATCCAAATTCTACAATTCATTACATCCTGGAGCTTTGAAACATTTGTAATGCAAGTGTTCGGAGCGGATGAAGTTGTAAAGAGATGCAACAAAGTCTAGAGCATATATCGAAATGAGCGAATTTAAAGACATTTAAATCAGGAAACTTGTAACCGAAACCATTGCACATGATGCATGGGGCTCATGAATTTAGAAAATTATCATTTTTGGAAATTAAGGTAGGAACACTGTAAAGATCTTTCAGATCCTTAAGAGTGTTAACTACAAGGTTAAACATACCTCGTGGACACATGATCTCAATTCTTTCCGATGACCATTTTATTAACACGTGTTCCTCAAGGACATGTTCCAAATTTGGAATTTGGGAATTCCCAACCCAACCATGAGAAAGAAGATCCACAAAGCCATCCAAGGGGTCAAGCTGTGTCAACCAAAGAAGAGATTTAACACACTTCTTGATTTTCATGGAGAATCAAAAAAAAATCTTTCCCAGTGAAATGTTGCAAGCTCAACAACCACTACCATCACCATCACTTCATGGTGATGAGAGCCAGCAATACAAGGATCTTCTTCAAAGTCAGAGTAAAAAGTATCGTGAAATTAACGACCAACTGTCGAGTGTGTTGAGTCAATATGAAGATCTTCGTCCTCCTAATATTGTAGTGATTGGAGAACAAAGTGCTGGAAAGAGCTCTGTCTTGGAATATTTGAGTGGTATTCGATTTGTCACTGGTAAGTCTTTTCACAGAAAATTGTTGTTGCTGACCCTGTGAAAAAACTGATGAATATTGATTGTTGAATTCATCTTGGACTGACTGTCCTTAAATCTCACGTCTATCTTCAACAACACTCTTTCCCCAAACGTATTGAAAATCCACATCTCCCGGAAGGGGCTGCTCAACTCGAAAAAGCCATTGATGATTTGACAAAACTCCATCTTCAGTTTGAAGGAAACAATAGTTGTATTTCGAATCAACTCATTGAGGTCGAAGTGACTTCTCCACATGTGCCAGATCTCACATTGATCGATCTTCATGGTTTTATTGCAACCTCAGGTGTTGACAATCCAACCTTAAAAGATGACATTCGACAATTAGTCAAACAAAATCTCACCGATCGAGATTGTATCCTGATTGTGGGTGAAGCAGGTCGAGATTTACAAACCATTGTGGGATTTGAGGAAGCAAGAGAGAAGGATCCTTCTCAGAAAAGAACATTGTGTGCCTTCCAAAGGGATCTAAAGGAAGAAGGGTAAGTGGTCATGACTTGATCTTCTTGTTATTCTTGATCAAATTCACATCACTACCACATGAACCACATACACACATCACCGTAGGCCTTAATAGAGAAACTCACATCCATTCATCTCAAAGAGAAGCTTTTAGAGGAGCTGAAACGTGTGAATCAGACATTGCTGATCATTCCTTCCTTTCTCTCTCTCAGTTCTCAACCATCATGGAAGAAATGAATCGTACCTTGAGACAAAGCAAGTGAACTTCAATTGGAAGAAGGAAGATGTTATCTGACACTCACCATCAAAATTCTTGAAAAACAGAAGGGATATCCAGGATTGCCTGATTGTCCATTGCCCACTTGTCTTTTAGAATTGTTAAAGTTAAAACTCCCAACCATGAAAAAGAGTGTCCAAGCAATCCATGAAGAAATGTTGGAAAAATGGAAAAACCTAATCTTGAATTCGATCATTCCAAAATGTGTGAACAAAGTGGTGGAGAAGGATTCAACAACTGAATTATTGAGACATCATGTGTCGACTTTGTTGGAGGAAGTCGGTGAGGAATCGAACAAGTTCATTGAGGACTATTTCAAAACGGAGTTGAATAGAACGAGTACGTTGAATACAGCTTACTACAGTGATCTTGTGACCTCTATGACTTAATACTTGAGTGCTCTTGAGGAACTGGACATGGGCAAGACTCAGAGACAAACTGTTGAACAAACAAAGAAACGTTTGGCAGGAAAAGACCAAGCATTGTCGGTCACTTCTCTGAAAAGCAAAAGAAAAAACAAGACATCGAGCATGCTATTAAGATTCTTAATAATAATTTCATCTAATTCAAGTATGAGGTGAAATAAATATTTTCAATTGTGTGTGAAATGATGTCACTACAACAATAGATGTTCTGTCAGGCTTAACTTCGTTTTTTTGAGAACAATGTCAAAGGAATTTTGTCTCAATCCGACGTGGATGTTATGGTTTTGCTTTATCGAGAAGTTCTGACTTAATTTCTTCAATCAGACAGTTATTGTTTAGAGTGGTAAGCTGATACCTGCAATAAAATACTTGTGTGTTGTTGTTGTCATTCCTTCCTCCAAACTTGAAATTAATATAATTTGAATAATCATAAATAATGACCCGATCCAATTTTTTTGGCATCAGTACGTGGTGTGGAGTAGGGGCGGGAGTAAACACATATTCATCTTCACCTGCATCGCTAAAATATTTGTCATAAAGATCATTATTGAGATGATTCTGAAGCAAAGTTGCTTTGTGGAAATACTGTAAGGACAAATATGTTCCATGAAACTTGTCCGGATTATTGACATCTGTTCTTATAACTTCATAAATTCTGGCCAAAAATTTGGTTGGTCCGTTCTGTAAGGAAATTTCTATTTGTACATGATCACCAGTATTAAATGTTTCACCATTTAGAACAAATTTTCGATAAATATAAAATGTAGAGTTATTGGCTCTCTGAATAAGTGGTGGATCCGGAAATTCTAGCGCTTCGGTGTTGCTTATTTGCTTCAAGAGTTGCACAGAATCCTCGCTAACGTCTTCTTCTTCTGCATATTTCATGCATTCTCGTTCTTCTTCAATAATTTTAGAAACATCCAAATTGTGGTCATTAACTTTGTGTAAAATGTTGAGAGAGATGGACTTATTGCCATGAATTAATTTTTCAATCCCTGAAGTTTTTGTCTTCTTTTCTTTTGGTTCAAATATTGTCTTTCGTCTGTTTTGTTGATCCAGTTTCTGTCTCAAATGTAAGTTTTGAGCTCTCATATTTGAAACATCTTGCCTTAATGTTTTTATCCTCTGATTGATTGAACCATTCCAAAATTCAAAAAGAAATGATTGATACTTTGACATTATGTACAATTGTTTTTCCAAGTTATTCTCATGTATTGATTCTTCCATGAGCCTCGCATAGGTTTCCTTTGCCTCTTGGAAGCATGTCTTCATGGTATTCACCATTTCTATCTGGGACTCTAACTTTAAACATCCAAAATTGTTAATAGAATACTCTACTTTAAGAGCTGTGAATGTTCCCTGCCTTTCCTGAACTCTGAAACAATTAATATAGAAATTTTGGAAATCGCTCTTTTGTTGGTTGTTCCTTCCAGAAAAGAAAGAAGAGCAAATGATACCAAACGAATATGCGGCTTGCATTTGCATTTCATATTGCATTTGTAAATCCTTCATGGAAGGAAAAGGTGGTATTCGAGGGCTGAAAATTTGGAATGCAACACCAAAATGAAATACATTTGTTATGGCATATTTTCAAAAAATAAATACATACTGTGAGTGATACCATCCACAAAATGTTAAATCTCTGTAAGTAAAAATTGAAGATCAATTAGTTACAGAGTACCTGAGATGCAGGGAGACACTTACTTGGTTTGAAAAAACTCCTGAGCCTTAATGATTTCGTGAGGGCTACCTGTGACTCCATCAATAGCAATATTCTCTACCTCTCTGTATGATATTCAATAATTCATGTAAGAACAAACTGTATATTCATACTAACCTTGCTAGGGCCTTAAAACAACTGACATAAACAGTGTTTGTTTTTGCATCGTGAAATCCTCCCAATAATCCAATAATCTTTTTTTGTTTGTTATTTCCAAACAATTTCTTTCTGTTAAGAACATACCTCATTGTGATGATCCGAGTAGGCATGGTCAATTATTCCACAAATTACCGATTGTTCAATGATGACACTGTAACCACTGTACAAGTAAAATAACGAAATGTACCACATCGGAACAGAATGTTGATATTGTTGTGTGTTCAAGAAGAAGAATTGAAAACCTACCCTTTTTCTTCTTTCATATAACAAATGGTTCTGTCAGAGGAAAAATCTCCCTTTTTCACAATATATACGCTATTATCATCACTCTTTTCTTCTACAGAGATTGTTCTGATTGTTCTCGGAGGTTCTGTATTCGTGGTGTTCGTGTTGGTTTTTACCACGGTAGGATTGTTATTGTTACCATTCCTATTCTCTGGTATGGTAATGATCGGCTTTCTTTGAGCTGAATAATCTTCTTCTATGATATTGTCATCATCCTCTCGCTTTTCTTTTCTCCGATGGTGGATTGTTGCTCATACTAATCTTGATTAGAAAAAGGCTGATGATCGTGTTTTGGAATAATAAATTACTTTTAATTGGTGAGAGAGTGCGGTGAGTGGAACAAATAATCTCGGGAAGGTATTACTCGACAATGATGGCCGTGATTATTATTGAACGAGAAGGATTCTGAATTAGCTTAGAGGTGTTGAATGGACACCTGTATCTTCGGAAGATTTCGATTTGCAATATTTTTTTTTTTCGAATGGCTGGAAGAACGACCTTTTTGGCCAATTTTCTTTTTAATGCGAACCACGATCATCAAATGCCCATGCATGCAACACGACAGAAAATGGGCACTCATGGTCATGGAAATGGTCACTGCTTGAAAAAAGCACGACTCTTTGAGAAGGTTTCAAAATCTTCAATTTCAACTGTGTAATCATTCTCAATTCTCTCTTTCAGGTTGTGAACACAAGAGCTTGTGTTTGTTTGACAAGATGATCGGTCGTCATTACTACTCAATATGGAATTCGTTTGCTTTTTCTTGGTAAATGTCGTTGGTAATTGAGAAGATGAAAATTTGCTACTTTTGACTTGTGAAGGTTTTGCAGACATGCCAATTTTCTCCATATTTTGGATGGAAGAGCTCTTTTGGGCTGAAAGAGGTCGTATGGATGTGGTGGTACATTCTTGAGCTGATATGGATATATTCTTTCTATGATTCATCTTTTCGTCTAATCTATTCGTATTATTTTGCTGATGATCACGACACTGTTGCTGAACAACTTCTCGTACAGACTTTCGAATGTGTTGTATAACTTTCTCTTCATCAATGATAGGAAAGATATCATCATCCTTCATTGAAACATCCTCATTGTTTTCGACCAACTGCACAGTTTTCTTCTTTGGCGTGGATTGTATCAAAGAAAACTTGTTAAATCTACTACTACTTTTTGGAGAGGCCACACACGAAGAAGTATCTAATTGTTTTCGCATTTTCAAAATGTCAGTTTCCATTGTTTCCACAATTTGATTCGTCTCCTTAGAAAAGGTCGTTAAAGAATTAAGGTATTGCTGCTGTTTTTTGGATTCTTCTTGCAAATAATTTTCAAGAATTGAGGCATCTTTCTGCCCCAATACCGACAGCGTGCTGTGTGTGGTCTTGCCCATCACTTGTTCAACTGCTTGTTGTGTGCTGTGATGCCGTATCAGTGTCTGGAGAGTGGAGAGTTGTTTGGTCCAATTCTCAACCATGAGAGGAAGATTAAGTTTTGGCTTTCCATTATAACTATTTACAAATTTCTCAAAATGTACAGACTCTTTGTAAATTTCATACAAATATTGAATGATGAAATGACAATTTCTTCAACCAATCATTTGAAATTCACTCAATTACGTACGGTTTTGTTTTGTAAGATCCTCTTTGAAAATTTTCACTCTTCCATCTCTTCCATTGGAAATATCACTAACGATGTCTCTCATATCTACAGAATCTTCATGATGCAATTCAAGCTTTTTAAACAAAGTGGAAATATTATAAAGTTGATTAGATCGATCTGTTGCACTGGCATCATTAAACAAACTCTGATCTATTTTGCTATTGAAAGCTCGTTCAGAAATTTCCAATTCAGCTTCTTGCTTATTCATGCTTTTGTATTCATTGGTTAATGTTTGTGCCAATTCTTGCCATCGCTCTTGTTTTTCAGCTGTATGTTTTGCATATTGAACTAATTTTCGTGTTTGATTTCTAATGTGAAGCTATAGCGACCATGAACCCAATATTTACAAAGTAATAAAGCCCGTTATTGGTACATATTGGTGGTAACAATTCGAATAGTTAAATTGAGAACAATGACCATTCAAAAACATACCATAATTACGTTTTTTGCTGCCTTTGTTTCTTGTAATTGTGTCATATTCTCAAAATTAGCAAAGAATGTTTTTGAGATTGCCTTTTCCAAGTAGCCAGGATATTCTCGTTCGAAACATGTTCTCAAGACATGAGTCGATACTTGAAGGAGTAATGTGTAAAGACTTTTCATGATGATGATTGCCATGACGTATTCGCAAATTCAAACACACGAGTTCACAACATCCAGCGAACGAAAGTAAATAAAATCCCAAAATGCATCAATATTTCACAACACTATTTCACACAACTAGAAACACCTACTTTTCTCCATAAGCCGATTGCAACAATGTTGGCTGTAAATTGAGCACATAAATTTGACCTCTATCTTTCATTTCCTTAAGCCATTGCAAAGCGACCGATCGGAAAGCAGTCCGTTGCTTCTTATCCGACACAGGAAACAATTGTTGAAAATCTTTCTCTGTTCGTTTCATATCCAATTTGCTAAATAGAAAATACATGATAATTTCCATGCCTTTGATGTTGGTGTTTTTGAACATGTCCTTGTGGAAAGCAAGATTATACTTTTCTTCATAGGCATTCGGATCGAATCCAAGCAAGAGTAAATTTGAAAATAAAACCGATTCAGGTCCAATGCCATCATGAGAATATTGTTGCACGAGTTGAAGAGATGCGTCCCTTTGTGAGGTTTCCGAAGTCATTTTGACGAATTATTATTAAAAGCCAGATAATTTTTTGTGATGAACCAACGGCGAGTTTTGGCGCCAACTTGCAAATTGAACGGTAGTAAAGTCCAATACGGACTTTGTCTCATGATCGATAGCCTTCCCATCAATGATCAAGTTAGTAGAACCACAAAATGCACGCTAGAAACATGATGAGAGATTATTGATGCAAGAAGTTTTTCTGTTCAATAATCTTTCATCCCATTACATATTTGTTTGACCCTGCTTCGGGAGGAACATACCTTCGTGCAAGTTGTTTTCAACAACAACAAAAAAAAATTGTGTGACCTTGCAGCACATCACCACACAAAAAATTCCACGACGAACTTTTCATCACGCAGCTCGGAACCGTTGAGACAATCATCTTAAATAATTATAATAACATTCTAACCGCACCAATTACCACCACTCTCCTTTATTGTTGTAAATATCCATATTATTTATTATTTCCATCATCATGAGTAAGAGAAAAAGAGTACCAAGTGTTCATCAAGAAGAAAGCGATGGAGATGAGTTCCTTCGAAAAGAAGATCTTGGAATCCCGTCAACACCTCCATCTCAAATGGTCGATTCCGATAATGAGGAAGAAGACATCTCTGCAACCCAACAGAAATCAAAGAAAACAAAAAAGAGAAAGGAATCTTCCGACTCGTTAGATGATGAAGAGGACGGAAAAGATCTTGAAGCTGGTATTATTGAAGTTTTAAAGCTGAAAAACTTTATGTGTCACCCATCATTAAAAGTTGAATTCCACGACAGAACCACAATCATTCATGGCGAAAATGGAAGCGGAAAGTCAGCAATTCTTACAGCCATCCAGGTATGTTTGGGCGCAAAGGCTAAAAACACGAACAGAGGTAAATCCATTAAAGATTTAGTTATGACAGGAAAAGAGCAAGCAGAGATTTCAATCCAGCTTCGGAATCAAGGAAAAGATGCATACAAGAAGCATTTGTATGGGAAATCTATTACCATTGTAAAAACAATCTCCAAGTCAGGATCATCATCGCTCAAAATTCAGAATACAAGAGGAAAGACTGTTGAGAAAACAAATGACGAGCTTCGTCAAATTTTACACTGCTTCAACATTCAAATTGACAACCCAACTACTTGTATGACTCAGGATATCAGTAGAGAATTCCTGGCTGGATCATCTGAGGCCAAGAAGTTCGAGTTTTTCTTAAAAGCCACCCAGTTACAACAAATGATGGACTACTTTAAGCAGTCACAAGAAAGCATGAGCAAAACTGAGCTTTTATTGGAAGAAAAAGGCAAATCACTTGAAGAAAGCAAGGAAGAACTCGACAGAAGAAAAGAATTGTATGAAAATGCACAACATATTGACACTCTCATCAACGAAATCGAGCGTTTGAAGGCTGAAAAGATGTGGGCAGCATATTATGACGCTAAAAAAAAATATGACACTCAATACAAAGTACTGGAAGAAAAGAAAAGAGAACTTCAACAATTAATTTCGCAACGTGACTCTTCTACGAACGAAAAGCTAAATGAGTTAAACAGAAAAAAAGCTGAATTAGAAGAGGAGAATAATCAAATCACAATTTCCTTAACCGAAATTGAAAGAAGAGTCAATGATTTGGCTAACAAAAAAAAAGATATTGAACATAAGGCTCAAACCATTTATAAGAACAGAGCAACTTTGAAGAGCGAGCAAACAAAATGCAACCAAGAGATTAATATTTTAGAAAAAATTAAAGCTGAAACACTCTCGAAGAACAAGATTGACAAAGAGTCGATAATTAAGGGAAAACAAGAAGAGGTTGAGAAACTATCTGCTGATCTGGAAAGCTACAAACAACAAAAAGCCTCCATTGATGAATCCTTAAAATCAGATAAGAGCGCAAAAAGAGAATCTCACCAATGAATACAATGAAGTGAAAAACGAAAAGAATTCATTGCAACTCGAAATTAGACAAGCTGAAACAGAAATGCAGAATATACAACGCAGTCGGACAGACAAATTTGCAGTTTTGGGCGGAGATGCAATGAAAAGATTTCTTAGTGATGTTCAATCCAACATTAAGAAGTTTAGTAAGCCTCCAATAGGACCTGTTGGACTTCTATTGAAAGTGAAGGATGAATATATTCAATGGGCTCCATGTGTTCAACATGCTCTCAACAAATACTTGTTCGTGTTTATTGTCGATAACTTCAAGGACGGGGAAGAACTACAAAAGCTAAAGAATAAGCATAACTTACGTGCTACTCACATTATTCAGAAATATAGTAACGAGATTTATGACGTAAGTCATAACAGCCCTATGGATCAGCTGACTATTTTCAAAGTTTTAGATATCGACATTCACTCGATAAAACATTCTCCAATCAAGTATGACGACCTTCAAGCTCTTAAGGCTACCATAATTAATACTGTAATTGATCAAGCTCGTGTAGAGGCATCAGTACTCATCGAAAAGAGAGAGGACGCTGATCAATACATGTTTGGAAACCAGCCTCCAATGTTTGTGAACGATTGTTTCACCATTACAGGAACAAAATTGATTGTAAGAGGAAAATCTAAAATTACAGACACTGCCAACGTTACAAGAAGTAGTTTATGGACCAAAAATGTAGAAGACCAAATTAATGAAATAGATAATAATATTAAGGAGTTGACCAAGAACCTTCCAAGATTTACAGAGAAAGAGCGTCAAATTCAAAACGAAATTAATAGAATAAATGAGTCTATTAAGAAGAAGACTAATCAAAGTCACGAACTAACAAAGAAAATAGAGAGGGCTGAGAAATCTATTGAAGACAAGAAGAAAGACATCCAAGAAGAGCTTAACGATACTGACGATGCAGATCAGAAAGTGATTCAAGAGCTTAACCAAAAAATTGAAAAACACAAGGAAAGGGTAGAGCATTTGAATGAAAAGATTCAAGAAGACGACCAAAAAATTGCAGAGTTAAAAGCAGAAAGTGAAGAAATTACCAAAAAAATAGCTATCACAAGAAAGGAAGTTCAAGACGCAACCAGAAAACATGATGAAAAGAATGAAGAAATTCTTGCTGTTCTCGAAGAAATCCGTACCGTTCAAGCAAACTCAAGAGGATTTGAAAATAGAATTGCTCAGGAACAAAGAGCAGTTGCAGAAGAACAAAGAATTGTCACCAACTTGGAACAACAAATGAACAATTCAAAAGAGGTTGCATTGAATCACTCAAATCAAGAGGAAATTCAACCTTCTGGAACTATGAATGAAATAACTGCCAAAATTTCTCAAAAGAAAAGGCAACTAGAACTTGAACGTGAAAAACTCGGTGAAATGAACATTGCTGAAATCAAAAACAGATATTTGCAATATTACAGAGAGTATGAACAGAAACGGGAAGCATTTGAATGTTCAAAAAAAGCCTGCGAGGTCGTGAAACAGGGCCTGACCGAAAGATACAAAAATTGGAGAAAGCTAAAAGCAGGCAATATCAATACTGTCTCGACCCTTTTCGATGTTTACATGAGTCAAAAGGACACTCAGGTAAAATTCGTGTAGATGACCAGAGCGGCACCCTCAAATTCGATATTCACATGGCAACACATGGAACCAAGGTGCAAGTGTCTGACACCAAGTCTCTATCAGGAGGTGAAAAGTCATACACAACGGTGAGCTTTTTATTAGCAATTTGGGAATTGGTTGATACTCCGTTTAGAGCTGTCGATGAATTTGACGTTTTTATGGACAGCATGTATAGAAAGACAGCAATGGATTTAATTTTAGAGACAGCCAAAGAGAAGCATCATTCTAAGCAACTGATTTTAATTACACCTCAAGATGTGTCGATTGTAAAGAAGGATCCTGAATTTTTGAAGATTATCAAGTTACAACCACCCAAGAGAGATGAAAATCAGAGAACCATGGATGAGTTTATGCATCAGCATGAACAATAAGAAGAAAGAATGATAATATTTGTGTAAATTTCCTGTCCTCAGAAGATCAGAATTAGAATCATACTTTAATTGAAGTTTCAATTAAACACACAATATTGTCACGCTCAATCAAAAACACCAATCCCAAAAACGAAATTGCAGTTCCAACAACAAAAAAATGATGAAATCAAAGCCATTGTTGGCCATTGTTTCTGGAGGTTCTCGCGGCATCGGAGAGGCCATTGTCAAACAATTATCAGAGAGTGGCATTCATTGTGCCACATTGAGTCGATCCAAAAACGTTGATATTCTTCATCCCAATCAAACACATTTTCAATGTGATGTTTCCAATGCTGCCCAAGTTTCCGAAACGATTAAAACTATCACACAACACTATCACAAAACTCATGCCATGAATATTCTGATCAATGCAGCCGGAGTCTCTCACGATGGCTTACTCGTTCGATTTCCACAAGATGAGCTCGAGAAAATCATTGCCATCAATTTACAAGGAACAATGAATGTTTGCAAAAGTTCACTCCGATACTTTATGTTGAGTCATTCAAGTGCAGAATCACCATCATGCATCATTAATATTTCGAGTATTATTGGAGGATCTCCTAACATGACAAATGTTGGACAATCCATCTATGCTGCTTCCAAGGCAGGTGTTATCGCCTTTTCACAACATTTAGCTCGGGAATTATTAGGAAAACATATTCGTGTGAATTGTGTGAGTCCTGGATTCATTGAAACAGAAATGACTCGCAATTTACAACAGCAACAACAACAACTATTACAAAAACAGGAGCAAAACACATGTGTGTCGAATCTTGAAGCTATGAGTGTCAGACAAAAATTGGAAAAAGTCCAAATAGGAAAACCTCATCATGTGGCGAATCTTGTGCAATTTCTGATTTCTCCTCAGGCAGAGTATATTAACGGACAGAATATCATTGTTGATGGTGGATTATCTATTTTATAATTGACAACGTTTCATTTAGCTAAAAATGTTTGCGTGTGAGGAAAGTTTCACACACACTCAATGCCTTAATTGGAACCTCAAGTGGAATTCACAAATAACCATGACACTTGTCTAGAGAAAATATTCGTGAATACACATTATGGCTCACAATATATTTTTGAACACACAAAATCTGTTCATAGTTTTGATCTCAATCACTGCCTATTCGAATGCACGAACAGGACTTGTCATTCTTAATCAGCTTTTGGGAAGAGGAAGTCAGTCGTTAGGGCAAGTTTACAATTATCCAAAAGGGTCTTTTTCAAATTTTCATCATTCACAACCCATACATTTGTCACATAACCTCTCTTTTGCAATTGTTGAAGATACTCGACTTGAGCAAGACTCGTGTCAAAACCCAATACCGCTGCACCAATAAAGGAAGGTATTATGGTCGTGTTAGCTTGATACCATAAATAGTCAATCATGGATGTCAAGTATTTGAGAGAATTGTAGGTAATCTTGTCCTTCAGGTTACTTGAAGAACCTTCTGAAATTTCTTGTAAAATCGATGGAAAGTCTCCAGAATAAACTCTTCGAAGACCTGGTCCATTCTTTTTCACTTTTGGAACACTATGTTTCATCCAATCAGCAAAAAGACCTCTCTTGAAAAGTAAATTGGTCACAATCTTTGGATTTCTCTTACGAACTACATAGAGCAAAGCAGGGTTGAAAGAAGCCACAGTTGTTTGAGTATACAATTGTGGATATTTGTGATACAGCTCATCAAGCTTTTCTGCCATCAAAGCCAATCGTGTGTATTGTTTGACCTCAATCATAATGATTTGTTTGGGGTCCAAACTGAACACAAATTGAATGTATTCCTCAAGAGTTGGAATTCTTTCCTCTCCACTATCATCATCAATATATCTGTAATAATTCTTGATTTCGTCGAGAGTGAGATTACCAATTCCAATATCTGTTTTTCCTTCCATAGGGCCAATACCATACGCTACTCTAGCCATAGACAAGGTGTCGTGGAATACAACGATGTGGCCATCCTTTGTCAATTGACAATCTAACTCAACTCCATCACTACCATGTTCAATTGAGTAACGGACAGCATTCAGAGAATTCTCTGGAATGTTTTGAGTTTTAATATGGCGACATCCTCTATGACCAATGAGAATGTCGTTGAAGAATTCGGCAGAGGGAGATTTCTCAGCTCGGAAGAAGTAGAAGAGAATCAATCCCAATACAACAACGAATACAGTTGTATACAATGAAAATAACAGTAGGAAGAATAACATGAAAGGAATTGATGAGAATGATGAAGAAAGTGTGAAGAGAGAGGTGGTGATTATAATAAGACACAACCAGTCAAATGAAAGACCTTTGTCTTTGAGAGATCAGAAGAGAACAACGCAGAGATGATGGCGAGAGAGTGAGACCAACAATGGATGGTGAATTCACACACTCAACCGTCGTGAGAGGAAGAGAGAGGTGTTTTTTTGTTCTTGTTTTGTTCGTCGGTACGGACTAAAAAAGTACCCGATCCAGATGACGATGAAGACGATGATGTCCTAAAGACACACAAGGAGCAAATGGATTGAAGAGGTGTTCTTGTTTCATTCAATAATGGGTAATGGAAAATTCCTTGTAGATTTTAAATTGCAGAATGTGATCCTCTTTCTAAATGTGTGTGATTTGGGGTGGTGACCAAGCGGAGGTTATCTCTGTTGAAAAGAGGGTTGTATCAAGAGTTTTAATATATTACTAGCAGTAAGAATGATTTAATATATGAATATTACTGTGGAGAAGTACGATTGGGAAATTGTGTAGGAAATAGAGTATTTTTAAATTATTGAAGTTGTTGATTTTGCATCACAAGGGAAATTTCCTTTTGAGCATCAAAGAATTTATCCACACATGAATCGACACATTTCTTCTCATAGTCATCGAGGTCCTTTCCATAGGCAGTGAGACATTTCTTGTTGCAGACAGTAAGCATGCTGTTAAGATGAATTCATGGCCACGAGTGATGAGTATTAATAACATCGATGCCATCCATATGAAAATGTAAAGATGTCCAAATCGTTCCGAAATTAATAATGAAAATAATTTCATGAAATAAAAACCACCAATAATAACAATAATCAACTCATTTCCACAATAAAACAACAATTAAATTGTACATACTTGAAGTAGAGTGTTCGGAAAGCCTCCAATTCAACCATTGAAACTCCTTGCCCAAGACCAGCTGGATTGTTCATTTTTTATTTTGTTGTGTGTGACGCATTTTGATTGGCTGAATTAGGCTCTGGAGAAACGAGTCTGACAGACAAACTTGTGAATCTTATGATTTGTTGTTGTTCAGTTTATTATTGGTGAATCTAAGCTGATTCCAAATGCATCTCTTAATAGTCACAATTTGTGGCTCTAAAGGTAGATATAAAACCGCATCTTGAGGTATTAAATTTGCACAATGGTTCCTGTGTTAACTCCACAATCTCCAACACAGCCTCCTTGTGTTCCAACTGATGTAATAACAAAATCAATTCTGACCTTATTTCCGGTTACAGGGCCTTTGTAAGTGGCTGCTCTTCCGTCATCCCAAGTTACTTTGACATCCAAATAATTGTTGATAAAGGTTCCAGAGTAGTATTTTGTAATGGAACTACCTTCGTTTTTGTTACTTCCTGATACATTTCCATACTCTGTTGAAAATTAGTATTCGAACCATGCATGTTCCAAATACTTACGATCTACTTGAAATTTCATTTCCCAACCTTTCACTACGGAATTCTAGTGTTGTTAACATAGGTAATGAGTAGTGATCGATATGGAATATATATGAGGTACGCCTTACTTACTGTTGGTACGCCTTTCCATCTTGTCCACTGCATAATGTTCAAGGATAATGTTTTGATTGCATTAAAAAATTTTCACACAACCGAAACTTACTGTGGTTACACCGTCATTTCCACCTCCAACTTTATAGTTTTTGGTGTTAGGGTCTTCAAATGTCTCAAATAATGTTCCAGTGTTAACTCCACAATCTCCAACACAGCCTCCTTGTGTTCCAACTGATGTAATAACAAAATCAATTCTGACCTTATTTCCGGTAACTGTGCCTTTGTAAGTGGCAGCTCTTCCGTCATCCCAAGTTACTTTGGCATCCAAGTAATTGTTGATAAAGGTTCCAGAGTAGTGTTTTGTGATAGCTCCTGCGTTATCGTTCTTATTACTTCCCGATATGTTTCCATATTCTGGCGAAATATATCCAAATTGAGCGTTTCACAATAAACATTACATTAAAACATACGATCGACTTTGAATTTCATTTCCCATCCATCTACATTGGTGTTCTAATGGAATTTCAATATATTTTTTGTGATCCTCAATAATTATGTGATGGAATGCTTATACTTACACACTGCCCATCAAGTAGTAAGTAAGGTAAGATTTTGATGAAAATGAAAGAAAGTACATACTGCTCTTCCACCCCATCTGGTCCAAGTGGTGATACCATCCTTTCCTCCACCGATACGAAGAATGCGTGTTAGTGGAAGTGAAATTGGTTGAATCTGTGGCTGTTGATAGACTTGTTGAGGATAATATGGTTGTTGATAACCTTGATTTGGAATTATGGTTGAAGGGGGTTGCACGACATGAGGATAAGAAGGCACGGTTGGAACTGAGGACTGTGGTGGATACATCACACTTCCTGTGTATGATGGTATATTGTTTCTTCTGAAAACATCTCCATTTGGTAAAGGCAACACATTCATGTCATTGGTTTCAACTCTCATGATGACATCTGTTCCATTGTTTCCATGAAATACCAAGTACACAACATAGGTATATCTCGATGGATCTCTAACAACAAATCCCTCGCACTTTCTGCCATCTGATTGATTTTGCAAGACAAAGTATCCACCTCCATGCATTAAACAAGACCAAAACTTGCCAGAATTCTCCACAAAATTTGCTCCAATGAGGGATGGAACGTCAGTGATAACACTAGCACAAGGGTTCATGATTGGAGTTGTTGGCATGGTCATTCTTGTAAAGATATCGCTTGGTCCTATAAGTTGGGAGCCATCCATCGATGGAGTGAGTTTCCAGTGAGTGATACCGTCAAATCTGTTGTTGTTTTTGGAATTATTGAGATCCCGAAAAAGTATCAATAATTGGTAATTATTGTCCATTAAATTGATATCATTTCATTCCATTCAGCCGTCATTCATTGCAAAGGTTTTCATCGGCAATTGGATTGTATCAGAGAAGAAATTATTATAATATTGAATTACATACGTGATGAACACAGTCCAACTCAATCCACCATTCAAGGGTACAGCAATACCAGTTGCAACTCTTCCAGTGCCATCTTGGATCCATTTGAAGGTATTTCCGCATGGTGTGCTCGTCCAAATTCTTCCCGATCTCTCAATAAACGAGCCATCAAGTCTTGGTGCAATATTTCCCATGATGGTGATACGAATGCAGTTGGTGATTTTTACAGTTTTTTTAAAACTTGTAACCTCGAGATGAAACTGATTGAGATGTTTCATCAAGCCGAGGTGACGATGTTCACAAAGGTTTTCAGAGAGCTCTGAAATCTTGCTGCTTTTTGGAATTTGCAGAAAATTTTGTTTCAGCACACACCTTTATGTCCAAAGCCAAATCAAATCCTGAATACTGAATTTTCATCCAACGCAAAAAAATTGACAAATTCTCTAGTTCGAGAGAATGACCCGACCATCATCAAAGAAGAATCAACCTTGTCCTTCATCCAAGATTCGGAAACACACAACGAATGACGACAAGACTCCTCACATCATCGTTCGATTACCATTGCCTCCTCCTCTTCAACAAACGATATCGTTGGCTTCTTCCGACACGATCACCTCTTCGGATCACCATCATGGAATGACCATCAAGAAAAAACACAAGAAACGAAAGCCCATCCATTGTTCGACGAGTCATTCACCCTCATCACTATTGCCACACCATCACAGCCTACCACCACCACCACCACCACCACCACTACAGACTCCACCACCATCACACTTCGACGAGTCTTCCACTCAATCCGATGATGTGAGCTTGGACTTTACTCCAAAAACTTCTCCACATGCAATATTGGCAATTCAAAATCTCGATGGCACAACCGATGCATCATGGTCGGAGACTCCAAGCATTCAAGATGATCATCGCGTCGATGTCACCATGCAACAATCGATGCCACCTTCCAATGAGGTTGATGACCTTCTCGATTATGACTGGAAAAATCCTCATGCATCATCAGCAGTGGTGATGACCAACTTGAATAATGCTAACAACAGCAGCAATAGTGACAACAGCCTTTGCAGTGAGACACCAATTTTAGATGAAATGTTGAAACTTGCCCAAGAGATGCAGCAAGAACGGGAGGAACGAGAGAAACAGAGAGAGCTCACACGACAAGCGCTTGTAAAGATGGGCCTCGATCCTTCCATTCCCATCGAAGAACATATTGAGATTATTTCAAATCGATCAAACTTGATGAATTCTCAATCTTGTCATTCCCATGGAGGATTATTAGACCGTGACACAGTGGATAAAGGATTCCTTTTGACACATTATCACAGTGAATGCAAAAAAGTGGACTGGGAAGTTCACCACTCGCCGAAAGACATAATTGGAGATGATAATGTTCGTTTTGAGACAACCATTATTTGTGTTGCCTCTGATAATCTTTCATTCAAGAATAAGGTTCCCTTTGAGATTTATTCGGGTACGTATGAATTAAGAGTTAAGAAAGATATTGAAATTGATCCCTTTTGCATCTTGCAAGTGAAATCTGAGAGCCAGAGATGGCGTACCTCTCTCAACAGCCGAATGGAACAAGATGAAAAAGTCTATGTGGGATATCAAGATGTTACTTTTCAGAGTAGTCAAAATGAAAGTTGTTCCTTACACTTGTCACTCTTCCATGACCACAAGAATGGAAAAAAAGAGGAAATACGATGCCTCTCTTGCTGTGTCAAAATTAGTAATTTGAGAGAATTTGCGACCTCATCGATGAATTATGAAAAATTTCCATGCAGCTCCCAAACAATCTCTGTTTTCAGAACTGTTAAGATTTAATATTTTCAATTTTAGCAAGTTGAACATTCAAAGAGAATTGAAAGATGAAACCATTTCATGGAATGATATTCAAAAGCAATTGCAACAAGGACAGCACTCCTTAGAGAGGTACAATTGCATAGAGTCCAACGTTCTGTATTATTCATTACCACATCCATGTACATTTCAATCACTAGATCGTGATATGGATTTGGAAGATGTAAGGACCAGCTTTGAGCAACTTGGTGTGGATGTGTATGGAAATGGCTACACTCACAATTGGTCCCATGAGAACTTTGAGATATCATGTCCTGAAGAAGTGATACCCATGTATCAAACGGTTGCAGCAAAATATTCGAGACAGGCTTGGTTCTTGTATGCAAAGCTCCTGAATATGCAGTGCCAAATGTCTTCTCTCAATGATCGACAACGTGAATATTTGGCATTGTTTTATGTGATGCTTAATATTTCTACATTTGTGAATCCTCAAGTGACTACTATTCTCAGTCCATTTGATCTACCTGAAGAGATGAGTACTACGAAGGATCACCAATATTCAGCAAAGCTAAGAAATAAGGTTAACCAAAGGATGGGTGATTATTTCCCTCAGTGTATCAGTTTGAGTGCTGACAATCAATTTTTTGAACAAGTCTTCCAAATGTTAAGTCCAGACTCGATCCAAACCATCATGCGAGCGCTCCTCACAAAGTTTGGATACAATCTTGGACCAGAAGAAAAAGAAGTAAGCAGCGACTCGAAAGAAATTTCCATCTCGACACTCATTCGTCTCTTTCCACCACTCATGATCAACTTTATACGGAGTGGTGTGATGAATAGTCGTCCTTTGGCCATTCGATCCTTCTTTGGAAAATTCTTTACCATTCTACTATGTAAGGTGACGCATCATTTCAGTGAGGATTTACAACAGAGGATTTGTTGTATTGATGTGAACCAAGAAAATGACGCTGATTCAGAAATGATTGATCAAATCGCAGCGCAAGCTTTGAATTATCTATCTAGCATCCTGACCATTCAAAAAGAAAACATTTCCTATGAAGAAATCCATTTTATTAGAAGCTCTCTCACTTTACTGCATCAAGTGTTGCATTTTGGTAGAATGTTGACATTGAAAAAGTTCCAACTCACAATTCATGCCTTCCTTCGCTTGAAAGACCTTGCAGTACGAATACCATCAGCTGGAGATTCAATGGACATGATGGTATTCGAATTGACTCCTCTAAAGGTTGTGTTAGGCATTCATTTTGACTTGAAACAACACGAAAAGCAGTGTTCTATTTCTTCTTCCATGGCGGATGATGAGTAGTTGACTCATGTTTGATGCACGTCTGTATTGATCTTGAGCGATTACCGACTTCTTCCACAAGTTGGTAGAACCGTTATAAAAATAAAAAATTTCAAAAAAAAAATGCCAAGAGGCAAACCTGGAATTAAACGGAAGGCTGATCCTTCATCATCGGGAGGAACAACGCCCAAAAGCACAAAATCCGTTACAAGCTCATCGACGAGTAAAGGAAGGCAAACATCCATCACTACATTTTGCAAGACACGTAAATTGGAGACTCAACTCAGTGCGGCTTCCACCAAAACAATTTCGTACGATGATGATGATGATGCTAATATCAAGGAAAGAGAGGAATCACCCGTGAAAGTCATCATCCCTGAGTCTTATTCACTCTCATTGAACATTATTACGTCTAGCAGTAATGCCCCAGAGGAAGAGAAAATTCCGAACAATTGCTCCAAGTCGGATGAGGAATCAACAACAACATCAAGTACATCTCCGATTCCCTCTGTGACTGTCAATGACATTGAAGCATTAACTAGAAATAGCAGCAGTAACAGACTCTCTCCTGTGTCAGAGATTGAACCAAAAAGCATTGATGATGAGTATGATATCTTTGAGGACACGACATTCGATAAATTCTTTTCCTCTACTGCAACTTTCAATGCCAACATTGAGTCCATCCATGATTCCCTAAAAGAAGTGCAGGAAACAGCAAGAGAGCTTGTAGAACTGAGAAAAGAAATTGCATTAAGTGCTGAGTTAGATCATCAAATAAGAATTGAAATGGAGAAACGAGCAAAAAGACAATCATTAAGCGATTCTGAAAATTTATCCAAACTAGAGCACATCTTAGCGGAAGATGGTACAGCAATTACGTTTGATCGCTCCTTGTTACAACCCTCGAATGACTATGACGGCTTTGTGACACAGTTAAAAATTTCGTCTCTGTTCGAAGAGATGAGAAGGTTTTACATACTCAAGCTTGATAAATGCGGTTTGACGCGAAATCAAAAAACACAATCAACCTTAGAAGAAATTAAGAAAGAATTAAGACATGTTGTTCCCAAAGACAGCTCTTCTATATTTGAATGGGAAAGACTGAAAATCATTAAGAAGCACTTCTCTTATCGGTGCAATGCCTTACCAGCAGAAATCAAGACATTAATGTTCAAACATATCAGCATAACAGAATTTGAAAAATATTTAGGAAGAGTCGGTATCCAGCTCGATTGTACTCGGAAAGATGCCACTACTAATGATGACTCTATTGAGTGTATTGAGTTTTTATGTCCTGAGGAAATGCTGATTGTGTATTCATCTGTACAACGCACTTGTTGTACTTTTGTGAACCATTTATTGAAACGTTTTTTAGAAACACTCTCTGAGAACAAGTCCCATCCAAACTCTGTACAGCACTTTTTACCATTTCTCATCTCTGTATATATGTCCAGACATTACTTTAGACCTGACAATGTATTGCAATCAAATCCAAATTGGTTTGCTCTAGCACCGCTTTCAGAGAACCTGCAACCCCTTGCTGATTCTTTGGTGGATCATTCTATTGGGCAATCACCAATGATTATGGAACTCATTGGAAAAATATTTGACCTTCATGACATTTCTTCCATGAAGGATGTCGTCACCACTATTTTGCAATATTTTAGATTTGAGGAAGTAGATGCAGAGAAATTGCCCATTCTGACAGATCAGTCAGAACTGTCACACGAGAATTTGCTAAAACTCATTCGTGTGTACTGCCCTCCCCTATTTTCATGCTTTATTCAACAAAGGCCTTGGTTGCACAAAAGATACAAGAACATTGAGATAGTTTTTAAGTCACTCATGCTGATTATTCTAGTCAAAATTACTAACAACAAAAAAGTATCGATCAATGAAATTCTAGAATACATGACAAACCACAACACAGCCAACGATAGAATTGAGGAGTCAATATTGTTACATGCGCTACAGTTCATCAAAAACCTATCGCCCGTGTGTCCATCACAGAAGAGTTCGGTTTTCCCATTTTACTACCTGTTGGATAATGTCATTTCTCTGATGTTGTGTTTAGATTTGAATTCTATCCAGCGTTGCATGAGCAAAGAAACCTTGTCCTTGTGTGAAGATTTGTCCAAATCGATTCACTCTTCCCTTCGAACACTATTACCCAAAGTTGAGTATAATCATTTCTTTCTTCGTTTTGGAGACATTACTAGGAAAATCATCCCTCTTAAAATCAAAGCTGCCAAAGCACCTCTAACCCAGCAAACTCTCTCTTTCCAAATGCATGCTTGTACGGCAAGCGTTGTTCAGCAATAAATTATTACATGCACCTTCGTGATCCATAAAACTGATTTTTTAATGGAATGTATTAGATTGGATGGATTACTCGACCTTACCTTCCATCGACCAGCCAAGCGTTCCTTTGTTCCTTTAGTCTAGGTGCTCAATCCACCTTCTTAAGTATTGAAACAATAATGGAGAGAAGAATTTGTCTTCATTATTTTCATAAGGAGCGCGGTCGATGGAAGAACTCGTTGTTGGTCCTTACGGTCTTGGATCCACCTTGAGCCCGACGTTTAATGCTCACGATTCATGAGAATTGTCATAATACTATTAATGTGAGCCCTCCTAGCTCAGTCGGTAGAGCGTTGGACTTTTAATCCAACGGTCGTGGGTTCGAGCCCCACGGAGGGCGAAAGAAATTTTTTGTTCGCTCCCACTTCGCTTACCATCAAGTTGAAGCGCTTCAACTCCACAATAATATTAGGCAAACTTTGTTTCAATAGATTTGTGCAAGAAAACAACAATGTCCACCTCACCCAAGAACCTCTTGCGTTTCGGTATTTTCTCAACAGGAGACATCGCTTACACTTTCACCGAATCACTCTTGAAAAACAATTATGGTGAGGAACATCAAATTCAAGTGGTGGCCGTCGTTTCGAGAGAATTGGAAAAGGCTCAACAATTTGCCAATCATTTCTCTTCAAAAGTAACAACAACAACAGAAACAAATTCTCTTCAATCTCCATCCCCCATCAATCCTCACCTCGATGACATGTCTTCCGAAGAGAGATCGATTAAAGCCTATCATAATTATGAACAATTTTTCAACGATGATTCCATTGATATTGTCTATATTGCATCACCGCATTATTTTCATTATGAACATTGTAAAATGGCATTGGAGTAAGTGACATGTCTTGTTGTGGTGAGATTTTGCAACTATCCACATTCAAATCTTTGCGTATATATGGATTTTTCACTCCTTGTCAATAATTCAAATTTATTTCTGATTGGCACAACAGACATGGAAAGAATGTATTGTGTGAAAAGGCATTTACGATCAATGCAAAAGAAGCTGCTGAATTAATTGAATTGGCAAGAAAAAAGAATTTATTTCTCATGGAGGCAATGGTATGTTTGTTTGAGAATGACTTTATACAATGTGAGAGCGAATTGCAATTTGGACGCGTCCATGGTTGATCACACGACAATCATCATCAATATTTGTTGGATCTTGATATTTATAACATTCCTATAACATTTCCTGATGTGATTATTCCTAATCATTTTCCATTTCCTGATGTGATTGTTTTATTCATTCACAATATATATTTTCAAATCCATTCACAAAGTGGACAAGATTTTTCCCAGCCAATCGACAAATGATGCAACTCATTAAAAATGGAGAAATTGGTCAAATTACACATATTAATGTGAGCTTGGGATTTGTTGGAACAAAACGTCAACCTTCAAAGGATCATCGATTGTATAAATTAGAGAGTGGAGGAGGATCTTTATTGGATTGTGGAGTTTATTGCATTTCAGCAATTATTCAAGTTGTGAATGGTATTGGTTGTGAAAAAGTTTCAAAAATTCAATCGCTCATGAATATGGATTCACAAACTGGAACAGACACTCAATGTAGTGCTCTGATTGAATTTGAGAGATTTGATTCTCACACCAATTCCTCTCAACCCATCTATGCCACTTTTCATTGCAGTTTTGTCAATGAATTTTCAAGAATTTTAGAAATTTGTGGCACTGAAGGAATCATTCAAGTTCATAATAGTTTTCACAGACCTACAAGTTTTACTTTAATCAAACAAGGCACCAGTGGCATCACAACTAAAACCTATGAATTTCCAAAAGACTATCAAGAAGGATCTGGCTTTTTCTATGAAATTCAACACATTTTAGAATTGTGGAAAGAACATCAAATAGAAAGTCCACTCATGCCACATCATGAAACACTCGCTGTCATGCAAGTGATGGACACCATTCGACAAGCTCATCAATTTTACTATCCCAAAGAACACAATCATTAAATTGATTTTTTGTTTGTTTTCACATTTCAACGAGTAACAATGGTTCAGTTTCCATGAAGTGATCCTGTGATCTTTTTCAAAATTCCTTCCACATCACATCTGTGGATCAACCTTTAGATTGCTTTCAAAATCCCAATTCGAGAACCAAAAAAATGACCAAGAAAAGTTCAGGCTCAAAATTCCGTCTTCCGTTTTTTCATATTTCTTCCAAGGATAAAACCATCATGGTACAGAGTACCTCGAATGATGCCGATGATGTAGATATTCGAGTGTTTGATCCAGAGTTTAAAGTACCATCATCATCAACGATAACTTCTCCATCGTTAACAAGTCCCGGAGGAGGAAATAGTACGAGTCATATGGGACACGTCGTGATGAATAGTAATATTGGGCATAATGGTGTACATCCAAATCATCATCAACAACAACAAGGATCAACAACAATTCACTCGCCGGGTAGTGCCGGCTCGACACCGCATCAACAATTTCCTTCATCAGTAAAAACACCAACCACTCCAATCAGCGAAGAAGACGTTGAGAGAGTTCTTGATACGGTGAAAGTCATTGATGAGCCTGAAGAAGCCTCATCGGTAAAAAGCACCAAAGGAATTGGAGTGTTTAGTGGCATATAAAGATATGAATAGAATTACTAAAATTAATTTGCGAGGAACTTTGGATGATGCTATCAACAAGTGCAAATCAATATACAAGATTGATCAAAATACAAATGTCAGACTTGATGTTTTGGATCCGAGAGTTGATGAATATATTGTTGCAGAGTCAGTCGATCACATTAAAAAGTGCAAACAGAAACTGTCAGCCAAACCTGTAAAATTACGGTTAGAAGAAAACAAACAAGCTACTGTATCGTTCGAGGATCAGATGGGTTGGATCGAAATGAAAGTGTTGGGATCAGGTGCTTTTGGTGAGGTAAAAATGGTTTATGACAGAATTCATTCAAAGACGTTTGCTGTCAAGAAAATTCACTTTTCAAAAGCGGTATGTAACTGATATGTGTTGCTATTACCACTGTATTTACATCTATTCTATATACATTTACATTTTATCGTGATGGTTCACATTGCGTTTTTGGAAATATTTCATTTTGATTTATCTCATCATTGTGATTATGTTTTTTTATTACTTACTTTATGAATGTTATTCATTACATCTCTGCTGTCAATATTGACATTTAAATACTCAACAATTATGCGTTATTGTTCGGTATTTCTAACTTAACAGCAAAAAGAATATAAGGAAAAAATTGAAAAAGAAATACAGGTCATGCAGTCACTGGATCATCCAAATATTGTCAAATGCTATGGATATCATGAACATGGAGAATTTTTCTATATCATGATGGAATTAATGCTCGGAGGATCTCTAAAGAGTGTCATGAAACGAATTGGAAAAGGCCTCACCGAAGATGTCATACAAGATTATGCCAAACAAATTTTTTCTGCTCTTGTATATATTCATGAAGAGTTACCTACACATGTATATCACAGAGATTTGAAATGTGACAATTTCCTTTTAGCAGGTAATTTGATAAAAATTGCAGATTTCGGAGAAGCGAAAGTGATTCAGAAAGGACAAACATTTTCTCAAACAAGGAATTCTGTTGTGGGAACGATAACCTTTTGCAGTCCTGAAATGTTACGAGGAGACCCAACTTACAAACGATCTCACGCTCCTGATATTTGGAGTATGGGGATGGCAATTCTTGAAATGATTCATGGTTATAATGTATGGGAACGTGAGTTTAGGAAGAGTATTCTCTCAGATAGCTCAGATAGTGCTGAAACAGACAATGAAGCCTTGTATAGTGAATATCGATTGATTGACTTTATTCTTAAGAATCTTCACTTGTTACAGGAGAAGATTATTCCTGAATTGACGGTTTCAGATGAGTTGAAAGATTTATTACTTCAATGCCTCAAAGAGTAAGTAGTTTGCAGTGTCAAAGCGTCATTATGCTTATGTGTATTGCCGATAACAGAGATCCAAGCCAACGACCAAAAGCCAGTGAATTGCTCAAACATCAATTTTTCTCGAAAACATTTCCCAGAGGAACACTCAAGGAAGAAATTCTTGCCCAATTTCACTTTTTCACGGACGAATGTGAAAAGCTTCAACAAAAAGCTCTTCCCACTTATCATTCTACCATTTTTGATCCAAATACTAAAAGTTTGACACAAAAAGATCAAGAAGAACCAGAATATAGTGCAGACTATTTTGAATGACTCACAAAACAACATAATATCACCACCAATCATCCATCTTATTATGAGTATTAAATTTAATTTATAATATGTACATAAAGAAAACAATACGTTCTTGAGCAAGATTCACTGATCATGTTCTTTGGTTGAAAGTTTGGAAGCCGATTTTTTTTCCATAGTAGCTCTGTGAAATGCTGTCTCGAATTCTTTCTCTGCTTTTTTTCGTTCCTCTGGTCCAAGATTGTGAGTGACAATTCGAAATGCAGCTAGGTATTGTTGTTTGGAAAATCTCGTCATTGATTTGACATGATATAATAGTTGAATCTTTTCCAAAAGCAACAAGTTGTAAAATTCAATAGCGTTGTTGAAGTGATGTTCATGCTTTTGCGTTATGGAGCTTATTTGTTGTTGAAGGGCAGAAATGTTGCTTTTCATTATTTCAACACCAGCCCTAGAGAAAGTTGGAACCATTGTTGACTGGTTGTCTGTTGTTGTATTGTCATTATTGACGCAATGTGAAACCACAGTACCAACTAAGAGATCGGATACAAACTTGCCCAACCCTCCGAATACATAAGTCATCTTCTCTTCAGAGAGATGCATGCTTAACGCCCGATGAATACCATGTATATCCTTGTTGAATTCTTCAACAAAAGACTCAGGTAAATCAATTTGTTCTTCACAGTCATAGGCACCCTCCTTAATGTTCTCACTAAAGCCTCTGTTAATGTAATAGAAACAACGAATTCTCAAATCTATTTTAAGAGCCAGTAAGCAATCATTATATATCGAAACAAATTTGTCATAATAGTCTTCCAAATGTTTCACAATTTGGAAACTAGAATTAGCCAGCAAGGTGACTACTGTGTTCGGATTACTTAATAATCTCCTTGGTTTGGATTTTGTGTTATTTTGTGAATTGTTTGTTGATGACGGTAAATTCTGAACAGTCTCATAGTGGAACCTGTAAAGATTTTCCAAAACCCATTCTAAGGTATTGTTTAAAGTTGCAAGTGATATGAAGCCACTAGTTCGATCAATTATATGTGACTTTCGGGATGGATCGAAAACTAAATTTCTGATAGGAATGTCTATATATTGTTCAAAGAGCCTTCGAATATGTTCGACGTCTGTCTGTGCTTGTTTTAGTTGCTGAGGTCTCCACTGTTGTGCTTTGACAAATAATGCTTCACTAATCAAGAATGGTAAGACTTCTCTGCATTGTTTCAAAATTTGTTGACAATAGCTTGTGGAAATTGCTAAATCGAAAAATGTAGTGTTTTCGTCTAAATATCTCTTTAACAATTGCTCAACCACTCCATAAAAATCAGGTTTTTGAACTGGAATTGTTCTTGCAATGCTAATGGTTTCATAAATCCATCTTAAACAGCAAAGAGAGCTATAAAAAACAGTTCTGGTTGTTCCACTTGTGTTCAAAATGACCGTGTAGTCTTCAAAATCTTTGAGGTGAATGCTTGTGAATGCATGTGAATTTTTCCTAAATAGCTCGCTAATTTTTGTTCTATAATCATTTCTAACAATTGATAACAGAAAATGTCGTACTGTCTCATCACAAAATTCTTTCAGTGATGTATATTCAGATGATGACGACTCTGATTCATCAAAAATAATGTTGTTGCACTTTTCAATGAAACCTGTAACTTCCTTATACGCCCAAAGTAGGTTATACGGTGAAAGAACAAAATGTTGTGAAAGAGCAGTAGAAATAATGGAGCTCGAATCTATGGTCTTTTCCTCTTGCATGTGCTCATAAACGTCAATATTGTTACAATACTTGAAAGAAACAGAAAAGTCGTCAGAACCTGTTGGAACTCCAGGATCTTTTGTCTTTGCAGAATCCATACCATTTGATTTTTCAGAGCCGCCAAAAAGGGACATGTTAGAGAGGCCAAATAAATCGCGCAACACTGTTTTGATTTCTTCTTGGGCAGTTTTCCAAACATAGGTTGCCGTGAAAGTGTGTGGGCATGACGAATCAGAGACTGTTTCCGTAATTAAATGTACAAATTTTTCCTTTACAATTTCAATGGCTGATAGATTTTGTCGTGTCGTTTTGAGGACCATTTGATTTTCAAACAGAGAAATTATGTCTCTCACGTATAAATCTTCCTCTAATTTGGTGTTTAAAAAGTTGTTCAAAAGCTCTTCAAGCGTTGTGGCATATAATTTGTGAACTTCCTTGGCATTTGATTTGGGATTGGTGTTTTTTAAATGCTCTAATTTTTGTTTGACCTCTTCCTTAATCTTTGACAATACCGGCTTTGAAACTTTTATATCCAAAGGCGTTGCAATGAGGTCACTACTGCTTTGCGCTAAGCTGCTAAAATCGAGGCTGGCAGCTCTCAACTCCATGATTCCAATCATAAAGTTATACTTCTTCAAAAGATTAACAATATTGTCAAATATTTTCTGAAATAGCTTTTGCAAAGTTTTTCCTTGGATAATTGCGATAATAAATGGCACCTCTCCTCGCAAACCAACGTTTGAATTGGTTATTTTGTGAAATTGGTCTTTGAAAGTTTGGGGCTGGTTTTTAGACAGCACGTTCTTCTCATTCATGTGAGATACAAAATCAAGAATGTGTTTTTCAATTAAAGAACGAATGTCGAATTGTAAGCTATGAACCATTCTTGATTGAAGAAGGGAAAGTTTGCCTAAAGTATCCAAACCATCGATCAACATGGACAAGAAGTAATTACTGTCTTGTTCTGGATCAAATGATAGATCCGTGTCAAACTCAAAATCTAGATTGAGAGAAGGATTTAGGCCCATCATAAATTCATTCGTGATTGTTCTTCCAAGTTTACGATTGTATTCCTGTCTATCAATTTCTTTTCTAATTATTTCATTGTTGATGGAAGCAGGTCTTTGATGAATTGGTTGAATATTGGTATCCTTGAATGAACTGATGTTTCTAGTGTCTACTTTGCACTTTTCAACGTCCACACTGTACAAGTGAGTGGTGAGAACATTTATCATCAACTCGGGCAATTTTTTTTCATAGTTTTTGATTTGGCTTCGAATTTCTTCGAGACCTTTGATGAATTTCACTTCTTCGCTGTTTTTTAAAAAGACACAGCTTCTCTGAATAAGCTTGATGGCACTCGAGAAGTGTTTTTTTTCAATAAGGAATGCAATTTTTTCGGGAACGGACTTCATCTGGTGAACAATGTTTAGAATTCTTAAGTATTCTGAATGTTGGAGGAAATTGGTGTACAACGATGAGAGGTCTACTGCATGAGACGTTAAACATGACTTTGTTTTCCTTACTTCGTTCCTTAATTGTTGGATTTTCGATTGCGATTCCTTGAGCTCCTCAAGTATATCTGAGAAGTTTCTGATGGATTTGTTAAACTCTTGGTAATTGAAAGCAACCAACTTTGACAAAGCTTCCGAAAGATTTTCGTAGTGATCAGTCAACTCGTTGAGATCATCAATATGTGTCCCATGAATTAAAGATTGCGCTACTATTGTAATGTGGTTTGTTTTAAGTTGGGAGTACAACGTCGGAACGAGTTCCATTGCATGGATAACTTCTTCTTCTAATTCTTTCATTTCTTCAAGTTTTTCATCATACTCCTCTTCCTTGTCCGTTTCTACCTCTTCATCCTCATTATGTTCCTCGGGTTTGTCATCCTCATGTTCTTCATCTTCGTGATGGACATCCTCTTCCTCTTCATCTTGAATATTATCCTCATCATCATGTTCTTCTTCATGATATTCATGCTGATCTTCATGATATTCCTCTTGCTGTTCCTCATCCTCTTTCTGATCCTCTTCCTCCTCCTCTTCATTGTCTTCAACATCGTCTTCTTCCTCCGTTTCTCTGGACCTGTTGCTGTACAAGTAAGGCATTTTTTTCAGTGAATCTTTAAATTGGCCTTAAAAATATTGTTTAGCCTTAACCTGTCAATCCACCAATGATGAATGAATGGATTGCAATGCATTGACTGAGGCAGAGAATCAATTTAATGATTCAAATGCTACAAAAGATGGAGATTGCCAAAAAGTATGAAATTACAAAAAAATGAAAGCCAACAACACCCAGCAAACAGTGGTTGCGGGTGGAAAGAGTGGCAGCACTGTGATTTTGGACAACATTGAAGCTGCTCTCACCATCGGAAATATTCTTAGAACTACTTATGGGCCATTTGGACGAGATAAATTATTTTGTGAAAGTGAAACAGGACAAATCATTATATCTAATGATGGAGCAACGATTTTACAATATTTAAAAAAGAAGATTAAAAACAATCGCTCGGATCGTAATTCAAAAATGTCCAAAGAGGAAACTATACGATGGGCATTCAGTACGGAGCCTGTCATTGATTTGTTGGTGAATATAAGTGAAACACAGGATGCACAAGTTGGAGATGGTACTACGAGTGTAGTTTTATTCACATGTGCCTTGTTAAAACAGGCAAGAAAGCTGATATCTTTAGGTTTTAGTCCACATAGTATCATTCAAAGCTATAGGGTGAGTTTTTGAATTTTGTTATTGCTTGGTAACTTATTGGTGTTAGCTTGGGCATCAATTTATTTCAAGAAAACTGTCACAAATCGAGCTATGCATTGACTTATCGGACCTTTCCGAACAATCGGTAAATGTGCTTGGAGAACTTGTGAAAATTCCATTCAACAGCAAGGTGTTGAAAAATATGAGCTTTTTCTTTTCACAATTACTTGTTGATGCGTATGCGAAATTTAGTGAAATTCAACAGAAAAAATATACTAGCAATAGATCTGTACAAAGTCTCTTCACACGACAAAATATACTGTTTTGTAGTATCCCTGGAGGTTCCATTCAAGACTCCTTTTTACTAAACGGGATTTGTTTTAAGAGAACTTTCTACTATGCTGGTTATGAACAACAGCAAAAGCGAATTGAGAATCCAAAGATATTAATTTTGAACCATGAGCTAGAGCTTAAACATCAAAAAGAATTTGCAAGAATTGTCATTAATGATCCTAGTTTATATCACAGTTTCTTGGAATCCGAATGGGATTTGTTAAACAAAAAACTGGAGACAATTGTGAAAACAGGCTGTGATGTTGTTCTAAATCTTCAAACAATTGGAGACATTGCTACGCAATACTTCACTCAGCATGGATTGACATCTATCGGGCGAATTGACGAATCCACACTGAGAAGCATTGTAAAATCACTTGGAGGAGAAATTATTTCATCTCTTGAAGACTTAGAAACTCTTATGAGCAGTGAAACCTCTGTGGACGATTTTTCTTATATATATGGGACATGCGATCTCTTTGAAGAGAAATGTATTGGAGAAGATTTTTATTGTGTGCTTTCGGGTCTTAAATGCGTTGGTCACGATGAAAGGATTACCATTGTTCTTCGAGGAGAGGAAAATATTCTAGAAGAAGCAAAACGTAGTCTGCACGATGCACTGTGTATTCTTGAGAATGTGGTTCACATACCTGTTTGTCACCTCGGAGGAGGAGCCACAGAACTCTACCTTAAAACTAGCCTTAAACAATACTGCAATCAAAGCTCATTATCCACATGTAATGAACATGCATTATCGATCATTGAAGGATTGAATCATTACGCTTCAGCATTGGAGGAATTGGTATTCATTTTGTGCGATAATGCAGGACTAAATGCCTCCAAGGTCATTGACATGCTAACTTCTCTCCATGAAAAAGGAGAAACATACAAATATTATGGTCTTAACTTGGATAAGAATGCTATTATGAATTTATTACCATCTGCTATGTGCAAAATAGATGAGTCCACTCAAAAAACTTTCATTAGAGATATTCCTCAAGAATATAAGAACATAACCGTCTTAGAACCTTGCAGTGTGAAGCGAAATATTTTTCAGTCAGCCACCGAAGCTGCTTGCTTCATTCTCTCTATTGATTACGTGGTAGTGATGCCACCTTTGGAAACAGAGAAAGAAAGAAGCGAACGACTTGCCAAATCATACTCGCAACAACAAGCTCTGCAAAAACAATGGTCCCAACACATCAAATCAGAAGAAAAGAAGCAACATGAATATTTTCTGTGAATCAAATGATGCAGCAAGTTGAATATTGGCATTTGAAAAACAGAGAGAGATTGAAATGTGTTGACAAGGGATGCCCGAGATTAATTCTTCCTTACAAAAAATGTTGAATACATCTTTTTCGATCAGTAACAACAACAATACGCCTTTGATGAATTCGAGCATGTCTCTTCAGGGGAGTAAGGTGCGAGTAGTCTGTAGAGTGAGGCCACTACTCGAGTCGGAAAGTGGAGGGAAAATGTGTTTGGAAGTACCCGATCGAGAAAGTGTTGTAGTAACGAGCAAAGCCTTGACTTTCTCATATGATGAGGTGTTTAATGCAGTAACCTCTCAATCGGAAGTGTTTGAAACAGTCGGAAGACCTCTCATTGATGATATCATCAAGGGTTATAATTGTACAATATTTGCTTATGGACAAACTTCATCAGGAAAGACCTACAGCATGATGAACCTTCCTAAAGATCCATACAGTGTACGTTTTAGAGTTTGAATAACCAGAAATGACTTGATTTAATAACGCAACACTTTGTTTTCGATCGACAGGAAGAAAGAGGAATTGCACCAAGGATAGTATGCTCTCTGTTTGAAGCAATAGACCAATCTCCAGAAAATATAGAATTCACTGTAAAAGTATCCTTTTTTGAAATTTATATGGAGAAGATATTTGATTTATTTGAGCGTAAGTGTGCTCGAAATATTTCTAGATTGACTGACTCGAGATTGCATTATTTTCAGCGTCAAAACAAAATTTGGCTGTAAAAGAAGACACCAACGAAAAGACTTTTTATGTCGAGGATCTGTCTGAATTATATGTTTCAAGCGAGGAAGAGGTGTTGCGTCTCATAAAAATAGGAGGCAAAAACAAAAAAATATCATCTACAAGTAAGTGTTGCATTCTACCATTTGGTATATTAATTAATGTTTAAACATTAATTTATTTAGAAATGAACAGAGATAGTAGCAGAAGTCATACAATCTTTTCGATGACAGTGACACAACACGATACAAAGAAAGGTCAAAAAATAAGCTCAAAGCTTTATCTTGTAGATTTAGCTGGAAGTGTAAGTACAATTTTACGAATACTCCATAATTTACCATTTCATATTATTAGGAAAAAGTGTGCAAAACTGAAGCTACTGGCTTAAGGTTAGAAGAGGCAAAAACCATCAACAAAAGTTTAGCAACACTGGCGAAGGTCATTCAAGCTCTAACAGAAAAAAATGTATGTTTTTTGATGTTGAATAACCATCATTTGATAACCATCGCACTATTTAGCCTCACATACCATATAGAGAAAGTAAATTGACAAAGCTCTTGCAAGACGCATTGGGTGGTAACACAAGAACTACACTATTGATCAATTGCTCGCCGAGTATTTTAAATGAGGACGAAACCATTTCAACACTAAGGTTTGGACTAACAGCAAACAGTATTAAAAACAAGCCAAAGGTGAATTTTGAAACAAGCGATACAGAGTACAAAAAGCAGTTGACTTTGGCACGAAATGAAATACTTGCTCTCAAAACAAAGAACATGCAGTTGGAAGCAGAGGTCGTGACACTAAAAGCTTCACACTCAAATTATGAAAAATTGAGTTTTGCCAATAGTTTGCTCATAAAACAAGCGCAACAAAAAGACGACAACATTGAAGCTCTCAATTTAGAAATTTCAAAATTAAGGAGAGAGTTGGAATTAATGAAAGGAAAACACGAGCAACTAAATATTGCAATGGGAGAAAAGACATCATCCCTTATTTCGGAGCTAGTCGAGTACAAGAAACAATGTTCAGAATTGCAATCTAACAATGAGAATCTCAAACAACAAATTTCTAATCAACAAGTATCATCTTTGATTGATAATATTCCAACAGATTCAAATGCGCCTCTTTCGGTTGAGAATGGGTTGGACACAACTTCTGACAACCCTGGCAAGTATTCAAAGGCGGTTGATATTGTATTAGACGAGTTAATGAGGATCAAAATGGACAGAAACGAAATTCAAGGCATGGTTGCAAATGCGTCAAGCGAGATTCGCGATTATATGGACCAAATACTTTCCGGTCAGCCATTGAGCGAACAAGAAGTGCAATATGATTCTCTTTCTAAAATTTCAGAAAAGGATGTGAATGAACTTGAAATGAATTTCTCAGCTCAAGAACTAAAGGATTATGTTCAAATGTTGGAAGAGCAAAACAACAGCATTAAGAATGAGCTAGAAAACTTCTTACACGAACATCCAGAAGCGAGTCAAGAGATCGATGACACAGATCAAAGCTCTTACTCGGATGCCAAAGAATCTCTCAAGCATGGAGCGAAGGTTGTAGTTCCTCTAAAAGGAGGTTTTAAGAGACAGCAAAAAACCTTAAATGATTCTCTTGATGAGGAGGAGGAAATTATTGGTAGTGAAATGGTGAAATGTGGTCAAGCGCTCATTCTGTCAAAAAGTGATGTGAGTATTTCTTTGTTTAAATTACTTTATTAACAACAGCTTTCAATAATAATGGTTGCCACCTCAGAAATCAAGTAAGGCTGTCTGGAAAATACGTTGGTTAGTCATAGGATACCAAAATCCTCAAATCAAGATCTACAAGACCATCAAATCCATCACCGCACAATCCATATCGCTTTCCCCTCAATCCACGTTGAGCACGAACGACTCTGAAAACAGTATATGTCTCTCTGACACCAGTATTGGACTCCTTCACATGAAATTTTCATCCGCGCAAGACCTTAAAGAATGGAACCAAGTGATTCTTGATGTGTTGGACCTTGCCAACAATGCTGGATCCAAGTAAAATTTTGTCTCCAAACTATAGGACCACCAAAGTTCAAAAGATTATCCTCTTTCTTCGAACGACCACCTTTGTATTTAAAAATAGACTAAAAAAAATATGCCAACAACCCAATCGCTTCCTCAGCGTTCGGGTTCCGGCTCGGCTCCCCATCAGAAGATGGCTGTTCAGGCTGGACAAAGCACTACTAGTAGTGGAGGGAAAAGCGATTTGCCGTCGTCATCATCGACCTACTCTCAGGCAAATCCCTCGACAAACAATAACACCAATCAACAAAGAGGACATAGTCCGACGATAAATAATTTGCAACAAAATAAGAATAACAACGCCAATGGGAGATCAAAGTTTTCGTCGAATCATCTTCCAACCGTATCATCATCAAACAACAGACCCACTCGTTGGAATAACACAACAACAGAATTTGCTCAAACTCCCAAGTTATTGATCAATCCTGCATCAAGATCAGCATCATCAGTCAATGAAAAAAACAAAACCAAATTACAACTGGCTTTCATCAAACAAATCGAAGAGCAATATCTTCAATTCTTATCGGATAACAAGAAATTTGCGAACATTGCCGAAAGTATTGAAGTAGATCAAACATCCGATACCATGCAAGATTTTTCAAGCGTTAGAAAACGTTGTATTGAACATTACCAAAATATAGCACTCCAAGATACAGAGTACGATAAAACCTACGACATTATTTCTCATATTTGGAAGGTATATTACTACAAGGTCATCGATTTGTTCAGAAGAAATACAATCTTGAAAGAACAGAAGGATCTTTATCTTAAATTCCTTAATGATAGTATTGAAGAATACAAAGAATTTTACAAGAAAATTATCGAAATATTTCAAAAGGAAAAGGTGCTTATTCATCGTGGGGACTTATTTCGCTATAAAATTCTCTTGAACAACAAAAACATGGATTTTTCAAAAAGTGAAAAGTATTACAATAAGGCCTTACAACTTTCAAGAGATTATGGAAATGCTTGGAATCAATTAGCAGTAATTTCTACATATAAGAATGACATTTTCCTTGCAATTTATAGATATTACAGAAGTTTAGGTTGTATCCATAGACCATTCAAGTCTGCAAGGGAAAATGTTATTTTGTTGTTCAAGAACAATGTTCCAAAAATGCAAGGACGGAGTAGTTTTCACTTTTTAACGTTGCATGGCAAGTTATTTCAACAAATCACTCCAATCGAGGAGTTAGAAGATGATAATGCGCCTTCCATCATTAATGACTGTTTCAATGAGATTACTGGCAACGACAAAAATTATTTATTCAAGGCTACAATTATGAATCTATTTGTTGATCAACAGAGCAACTCTTACTTCTACTCCAAGATATTCAACGAGATGTTCTTTGCTCGATTGGTTGATATTTATTGCGACAACCAAAAAATTACATCCAATGAGGATGTTTATGCATATCTTGCTCTCTACATTGAGTACTTCCTTCAAAACCGAGCCAAGTATTTGCATGAAAACGAAAACTTTTGTCAAGTCCTCTGCCATTTATTTTCTAGGATAATCAATGACCAGGAAATTTCAAAGCAAACAGAGGAGAACAATTTCTATACAGATGTGTTGGGATATAGCCCATTGAATGGTAATCTTGGAACCTTTACAACTAGAAATGAAAATTCTGCTCTCAAACAATCCCTTGCTCAATTATTCGACAAACAAAAGAATGAGCTTGTGAGTGATGCTCTCATTCCATTATTTTATCATGAGAAGAGCAAAACTTTCTCAATCAATCAAATTGAAGACGATGAAAGTATAATGTTAAATGGCGACGTTTTGGATGAATTAAATGGTGGTGATGAGTTGATCCTCAATGATGACGACATGACAGACATCTCCCACCAAAAGGATCGACCTGTCCACAATGTGACTCCACCACCTTCAACTAAACAAATTTCAACAACTGCCACGAATAACATTTGGCAATCTGACACTGCTCTTCCCGAGACCAAAAACGAAAGTCCATCATCGTTGACAAAGCTTAATGTGACAAGTCCATTATTGCACAGTAATTTTATAGAATCTCCATTCAGAACCAATACATATGATGACAATGACCAATTGTTCAATCAAAGAATATCCACTCCCACCAACAATGGAATGAGCTCTCCTCTCATTGAGAAATCTACATTGATGAGCAAAATTTTGAGCTCACCACCCAAGAGCGCTACAACCACAACACCTAACACTGCACAGAGAGCATCTACACCCTCCGTCTTTGACTCTATCTTTGGCTCAGCAGCAGTCACTACGAGCAATGATATGTGGAATAAGCAACCTGTGAGTAATGGCCCTATTGGTTCGCAAGCAAATTGGGGAGTTCCTTCGTTCCTGGGTGGCTATAATGTTGGTGCTCCGAACAACAACGTGATTTATAATCCATTTGGATTCAACTATCCGTCCATGTATGGTGGTGGAGTGGCATATCCTTTTCCTCAACAACTGCAACAGCAATCACCACCACTACAAGCACCTTCACAACAATATCAGGCAGGTGTTTCGAGTGTGAATCAAGCAAACAGTGGAGGAGTCATTGCCTTTCCATTTAGAAACAGTAGCGGAACCTCATCATCTTCATCATCATCGACTTCGAGTACCTTTAATCTGTTTGATTAGATGCTGTGAAAGGATTCTTTTGTACACAAATAGTGAATGACCTCTAAATTTTACGAACGTGGACCTCAAACATTGTGGAAATAAGCTATAGTTTCGCAAGTCCTTATGTCAAGACGTCAAGATTGGAATTTTAGTGAAATGTTTTCCATATTAATTCCTCTTATGCATGAAATCTGTCCACCGTAATTTACGAAATGTAAAATCTGCCACCGATAAATGCAGAAGTTCATTACGTCGTGCATCACAAGGAGAACATTTCACTTTTCACAATGGTAACCGTAACAGTCAAATGAAACGTTTGTGTAATGACCACAAAACCATATTCCACCTTGCCAGAACTATTATAGCTACTCAACTTGTTCCAATTCATTTACTCCACAGCAATATCTCTATGTTTATTCATATAATTGGACTTGCGATAGAAAACTTGTTTCAGAACATTGTTCAAACAAAAAATTCCTGAAATCAATTACCAGAACTATCCAACACTGGTTAGTGATTCATTCTAATAAAGTCGTACACCACAACATCCCGCCAACAGAAAACGTTTAAAAAATTAAATAAAAAAAATGCAATCAAACGCAAAGCCCTCCAACAAGAAGGTAAGCCTTTCGTACTAAGGATGATCATCGTAAAAGTTTTTGTATGTTCCATTATGGAAACGAATGTATGGATTATATTCAACTATCATGATGATGGAATATAATTTGGACCAAACTTAATTCTGAAAACAGGGATCCATAGAAAAGAAGGTTCTCGCTCTCAAGGAGAGAAACGAGATATTGGAAGGAACCAACACACAACTCTCGAATATCATATCACAACAACAGCAAGAAATTCGAACATTGGAAACAGCGCTCGAGTTGGCTTCTGGAAAAGATGCACAACAATTCTACAACTTCGGGGCTTATCAACTCGAAAATCAAAAACTAAGAGAAGAATATCAGAGAATACATGCAGAGATGGAGCAGCTTCATTCCGAAAATGATTCATTCGAAAATGAGTTGGAAATTAAAAAACAAGAAATTGCAGAACTGGAAATGCAAAAAGAAAACCTCATGTCTCTTGTGGAGAATCAAAACAAGGAATTGTCTGCCTTCAAGAATGTTTCCGAGTTGCTAAAAGAAAAGGCTTCTCTTCTCAAGAGATCCGATACAGAGCTTGTAAAAACACGCAAGGAATTAGAGGGCCTCCGTTCTCAACTTCAAACCTTAGAACAAGATCTTGTCTCTGAAAGAGAACAACGCGAGCAAGCAGAAAAGCGTTTTTCGGAACTGAAGCAATCTTCGGAGAATGAAACTGGATCGCTGCGAGAGCAACTAGACACCTTTGCAGATATGAATTTTAAATATCAAAAACAGTTGAATGAGTTGAAATCTGAAAATGTCCAAATGAGAGAAATGTCAGACACAATGTCTCTCAAAACGAAGGAGCTTGAAGAGGTTATAAAATTACTTAAGGAAGAACGAAAGAGCTCTGAAGAAGAATTATGTAATCGATTGAAAGAAAGAATTTCACAACTAACGCAACTTAACAGCGAGAAGGATGCAATTCTGAACTCGCAAAAGGAGCTTCAATTCAAGCTGATGGAAAAGGAGGAGGCGTTGAGACAAAAAGAAGATCACTTGAACAAGTTGGAGCAGCAAATCACAAACCAGGGAGAAAATAAGAAGATTATGCAAAAAACATTACTACAACAATTGGAAACACTTCGGAAGGAGATTCAAGACAAAGATACTGAAATATCTAGCCTCAAAGAATACATTGAGAACATGGAGAAGGACAATAACAAGCTCAAAATTCTAGTCAAGGCCTTAAAGAGAAATCAAGAGCAACGGTCACAGCTTCTTGGAAAAGAAAAAGGAGTAACGGCAGTGTTGGGAGGAAGCTCTGTCAATTCATCCCAAATTACGAATGTTTCTGCAGTGGTGGATACACAGGAAGAAGACGTTAAAAGCATCTGTTCATCCGTGTCCAACTATGGAAGAGAAACTGAAAAGCAGCCCCCATTGAGTGCATCGTCCAAAACAGCATCCACTAGAATTGATTCCAGCTATGCAACCATCTCTCCAAAGTCTGTCACCGAGCAAGACACTCCCACTCGTCAACTAAGCTATGGAAGCCCAAGCATGAACCAGTCACAACAAGGAGAAGAGACTCTGAATGAATCGGAGGTTTCAGTGGATGAAAGAACCACTGCCAGTGTCACAGCTCCAATTAATTCTACTAATAAGCATCAGTCCATCTCATCAGATGTAATCGTACCCCAACAACAGCCTCAAGAACAAACCAAACCAGCTTCATTTACATCCACAAAACCTTCTCTCAAAGTGGTGAACACTGCTGCCGTGCCAACTGTCCTCAACACCAATTTAATGATCAACAACACTTACATGCACCCATCAATATCCATGAATATGGCCGCGTCTTCAACTGTGAATAATGAGAATGTTGGTGTGACCTCAATGAAGCCAACACTTCTTGAAAAAGCAAATTCAACTCCTAACAAATCTTCCCATCAACAAAATGGCAACCAAAACCCTTCTAATGCAACCTCAAGAAAACCTCTTGCACTCATTTCAAATAATAGCAACATGAACAACAGCCAACAAGTGCTGTCAAGTATTCAACAGCCCATAAAGAAGACAACATCCACCTTTAAGCAGTACAACAATGCCTCTCCACTTCCAACTCCTCAACACCATATGCCAGCTTCAAAAACCTTGGATGAGCTAGCAGCGACACCTTCACCATTTTCTAACTTTTCACAAACCAAAAAAGAAATGGACATGAGTGTTTTAAGCACGCCTACATTCCAGAGAATGGATCTCTTTGAATTGGCAGAAATGAAATGACTTGGATACTAGTCCTCACAAATGTAATTTTACAAACAAGACAAATGAACAAAGGAGAATGAAGGGGAAACAGTGTCACGTTCCACAATAAAAAACACGTGTTTTTCACCGAATCGTATTAAATACCGTTTCTCTTTTTGAAAGCGCATAAATAGTTCAATACTAATTTTCATTCAAAAAATGTCCACTTCACAACAGCAGCATCCGCCACATGCATCGGAAGAACACTCAAACACTCCTGCCTCTTCTCCTCGTTCATCAACACCACGGCATGATGAATCCAATAAAGAATGGCAACGAATGATTTCAGGAGAAATGTACAATGCCATGGATGATTTCCTCGTTCAGGCTCGTCGCAAATGTCGTCTCGAATTTCTCTTTCCATTCAACAACCTTTCGGAACAGCAACAAGATCCTCCGAAATTCCGAGAGTCACTCATGAAACAATTCATGGGTCATCACGGAGAGAATTCTTATATTGAACCTCCATTCCGATGTGATTATGGATCCAATATTTACTATGGAAAGAACTTTTATGCCAATTTCAATTGTTGCATGTTGGATGTGTGTGAAATTCGGATCGGAGATTATGTCATGTTTGGTCCGAATGTGCAAATCTATACGGCCACACATCCGACAGATCCCTTCGAACGAACTCAAAGTGGATTGGAGTATGGAAAACCCATTACCATTGGAGATTATGTTTGGCTCGGAGGTGGAGTGATTGTGAATCCGGGAGTGACGATCGGAGAAGGAAGTACCATCGGAAGTGGATCGGTGGTCACAAGAGATATTCCTCCCTATGTCGTGGCTGCTGGAAATCCATGTCGAGTGATTAAATATTTAGAGAGACCTTCAACACAAGCAGAAAGCAGGCAACAACACGACCAGCATCATGATGAATGAGAAGAAGGAGGAGCAAAACCAAGCAAAATTAAGAGAAGTCCAAAAGAATTGAATGGAAAATGAGATTGGTATTAATTAACCCAAGAGTTTGCTAGAAGAAATGTCTTCCCTTCAGAAGTTGCCAACTTGCTCTTAGAGCCATCAAGTTCAAGTCGAAGAAGAAAATTAAAATCAATTTTTGAAAAAAAAATTGAACCCAAAAATTTATTATTCACCTTCGGAAACCGGATCATGGTTGCGATCCTCTCTTGTCACAGCATTACATTGGTAGTGGTTTCACATTAGCGTCGTAAGACTCCCTCCAACCGGTGTCGTAGGTTCGTTAATGAGATCTATGATGTAGGGTGGAGTTATTGCCCTGCCGTATTTCAGTGAATAGCACGGACCACCCCCAGAATTCCCATAACAGGTTCATCTCAACACTGATCTCATAGAGTAGGCACGCAAATCCCTAAGCTATATAGATTCAAATCACAGGTCCCATAGACCTTCGTTGAATCTAGAAACATCTCCGAATCTTATATGTGTATCATGACGCTGCTAGTTCATTCAGGCTCCCCGGCGATTGCTCATTACTCGCCACCCCCACCATAGCCCGTACATCGTCGATACCGAGAATCTACCTTTACCCCGCAGGAAGGTTGTCGAGCCTATGACCACCATCATTGATGGTTTCTTTAATAGTATCTCGACTCGATTCATTTGCAAGACAGTTGCCGGCTTGCCATAATATCGATCACCCTGTCTACATTGTGCAACTTGGCTTTGTCAAAAATTGTAACAACACATTGTATTCTTGGAATACAACACGTTCAAGTGTTCCCGTAGGAGACTTGGGTATCTCTCGCAGGCACCTTGAGATAAAGGCGTAGAAACTAACTTTCGTCAGCCACCACAGGACCAGTTACGGCATTTTTTTGAAAGCGATTTTTGAAAAAAAATGCTTCAAACATCCGCTGCCACTTCCACTTCGGACAACAACAACAACACTAAAATTCAACAACCATCGTCATCTTCAAATACAACATCATCGGAACAACCAAAATTTCAAGAAAAGGCTCATGCATTGAATCATGTCTTTGATGAGTTGGATTCTAAATTGAGAAAGGACTCCAACAAGAGTAGCACCAACAACAACACCACAAATTCATTTTCAACAGTTAAGATGCCTCCTGGACTCTCCCTTGAGGACATGTCTTTTTGGTTAAATTATAGACAAGAAATTGATTATTCAAAACCAACACCTTTTGCATGTCCACCCATTGGTGCATCTTATCAATATACCTCTTCGGAGCCTTCGGAACAAGAGAATCCTAAACGTAAAATTAAAGCTAAATCATCACAGAAAAGAAAACAACAAAATAATGCAACTTTGCTCAATCATGATGATGATGATAATATTCTTTCAACAAAAGTTTTTTGCATTAAAAGAAAAAGAAACGAAGAACCTATTGAAACATTTTACATTCCCTCCATTCAACAAACAAAGAAAACTAAAATTTCTGACTTGGAAAAGCATTTAGCTAATGCAACCATTCTAGGAGATGATTCATCCAAGAAAAAGGAACATGATTTTTCAATCAGTCCTAATGTGTCACTTTTCAAATTCACTTTATTGAAAACTCCAGATGAAAAACCTCAAGAAAATATTGTAAAGAAAAAACAAGAAGCACACTCAGCATCGTTAAAACAAACTGCTGCGATTGATAGCAAATCTAAAACAACGGATAGATTGAAGAGTCACCAGGAATCTCTCAAACAAAAACGTCTACTCAGAATTAATGAAAAGAGACGAGAGGGCGATAAGGAAATTGTGGAATTTGGTTTTGTTCAGGAAAAACCAAAGAAAACTACTGAGGAATTACTCTCTCCCTATGAATCATTATTAAAGCAGGCCTATGGAAATGACTCACTTGAAGAATTGAAAAAGCATGAACAAGAACAGGAGGATGATTTTGAAATTGATTACTATACGGTTGAAACTACAAATGAAATGCAAGATGAAGATGAACAACCTCATGCAAACACTGTTTTGAGATTTGAAAGTTTTGATGATCAATTATGGCTAGAAAACACACTGGACGATGGATTATTTAATGACGAGGATGAATATGACTCTGAAGATTCTAACGCTTCAGGAAATCCAAATAATGACTACCCTGATGAAGAGGAAGAAGATGATGAATATTATGACGAAGACTACTATGGAGGAAACCAATACTATGATGACGGCGAAGAACAATATTATGACGAAGATGAAGGGGATGACGCGGATGAAGATTATTATTAGATCCTACCTCAATGAAGATTTTCACAATGTTATTCATGACAGTCTATGTTAAGGAATCACAAGAGCATATTTATTACTAACTGTCTACCTTGAAAAGAGTCACCGAATTGACGTGATCGTTGCGGCTAATGACCTCGAAAATGCAGTTTTTAAACGCATAGAACTTGGTTCCTCCAAACGGATTATTTGCTCTAGTATGGTCATGCACTATTGGTTTGCTGCATGGAGTGCCTTCAAGTGATTGCTGAACGGTTGAAAATTTGACATCAGGTCCAATAAACTCTCTCTTGTTTTCTTGTCCCTCAAATTGATTAACGGCAATAGAAAAATTACACTTGACATAAACATTGAAATCCACACTTCCAGGCACATTGGTGTGAAGAATAATTTTCTGAACTGTGTGAGTGGATCCACCAAACATGATATCAAATCCCAATGAAAAATAATTGTAAAAATAGTCATTTCCAACGTTTTGCTTAATTCTATTTTTGAGAGAAGGAGCCACCAAAGTAGTGAGACTAATACCACCATCATTTTCAAAGAACTTTTCTTTTGGTTTTGCTGTTTTTTCTCCGTTCATACTTCTATCATTGCTCACGACATGACCTGAGAGATGACCTGCACCAATGGCATGAATCTTCAATTTGTCATTTCTTTTGTAATAAATTTTGTCTGGAGGGCCTAGAATCATTAATACATCCTGTGTTGTGTATCCAAATTTAATCTTCTTTTTTCTATCAGATAATTCAATACCTTTTCCGAGATTGACTTGGATTGGTTCAAAATAGTAATTCACTTCATCCCGTGGTGAGAGAGCTTTCTTGTTTGATTTGTTCTTCTTTTCTTCAATGAAATTAGAATTTTCGTACTTGACAGGAAATGTATTTTGCTGTTTGGATTGAGAGTTTGTAGGACTCACACCATTTGAAGTGGTTTTCAATGACTCATTGATGGAAGGTTTCACAGGAGGTAGTTTTGGATTTTTCAAGTCGTGACCATGAAATAAATAAATCCTGGTAGCAATTGGAGTAGTATTATTGGGAAATTCGATTGGCATTTCTTGTCCATCCTTGTAGAGATGAGCATACATGGGAGGAATTGGAAAGACGAATGTCAATCCTGGATAGGTTAAAATGTAGGTGTTCGATTTTGTGTCGAACTCTCCTGGATATGTTGGGCCAAAGACATTGTAAATACTAGAGTTGAATAATCGATATAAATCGATGAGTTGTCATTATGATAGTCATTGCGTATGACGTTGATGATAAATGATACAACGAATGATTGTCATGTTTTCAGTGAGTGACCCATGGTCCAGTAAATTATTATGAAATAAAGAACCATACCGTGATGGAATGTGATTATCAACTTGTTATTCGAATCAATTACAATATCCCAATAAACTTACTTTACAAAACTAGCATCAATGTTTGGTCCACTGAAAATTGTTCCACTATAGGATAATTTAACTTTTGTTACATTATTAATTTGTATCAATTTCAAACGTTGCGTTTGAGATTCAAAATATAGTACAATATCTTCCTCCACGATTTTCACAATTATATCGTTGTTGAGAGGCTCCTTTTCATTGTACAGAATTTCTACATCATTGACTTGTTCATCGAGTGTAACAATTGAAAAAGACGGAACATTTTCTGTTGATGGGGATGATGAATTCGGTGAGGAAGAGATGGACGATGATGAATTTTGCACCATCACCAATTCAGAGGATTTGGGATATCTGTTGATTTGCTCCACATATTGCTTCAAGTGCCGAATGGCCTCGGAAATGGGCATTCCAATTTTAAAACTTCCCATCGAGAAGCCTGGCTCTACTGGCAAGGTGAGCATGTTGTTGTGCTTGTTGAATCTATTTTGTTTTGTTATAAATTATTCTTTTCCTTTAAATTAATGCTGATGATGATAATAACAACGATCAAAGTGATACCTTTTTTGATCAAGGTGATACCTTTTTTACTCCGCAATCAAAGACCACCTGATGATGATCAGAGAAATTGAATTATGTCTCTACTACTATTATTACACGTGTAGTTGAATCTAGAGTGTCCCGAACTTGGAATGCAATCAAAAGGATCGAGGACAACGAAAGAAAAACACTACAATATTATTATTATTATTATTACTGGCTGTTGTTGTAGTGGTGTTGTTTCAACGGATTCACCACTTGTGGATGTTCAATAATTCTTGAGAGAGATATTAACTGCCACCACGAGGCTCTTTTCACGTTAATGGTTGCTGTTGATATTCGTTGTTGTTGTTGTTGATCAATTTTTAACTGTTGTTATTGCTGTTGGATTGTCTCTATTAATATCTTCATTGGGTTTATTAGTAATCCGAAATCGTTCATTCAATCGATGAAAACGGTTTTATGAGAGAGGAAGGAAATGAAAAGGAACGGGTTTGGAGGATGAATCCAGTACTTGCTTTGCAAGTATTTAAAATCCTCGCTAGCTCGAAGGATCATTCATCCTCCATTCCGGATGTAACAATCGATTGAATGATCGAGCTGCACCTCTTTTGATCAACTCAATTCGTATGAACTGTAGATATTCGTTTCCAAATTCTATTTGAATTCCATTGGTTATCTCATCTTCACTCATCCATTTTGAAAGCATTGAAGACCGACTACACTTTATACTATGTTCTTTGATATATTTACACAGATACACTTGATCATCCTCCAATCATTCCTTTTCCTTACCTTCCTCAATGACTATTTTGATTTTTACAACAGTTATCGTTCTATCTTTTGAAAAATGTTTAGGACCTAATTCCAATATCTTCTTTCAAATATCCTTCCTTTAGATACATTTTGTTTTCTCGACAGCACCAGATCATAAAAATAAATCAAAAAAAAACAACAAACAATCACCTAACCGATCTGAACAATATTGTCCTCATCAATGTCAAGCACAACCCAAAGCACCAGAAATTCTCTTGTATCATCCGAGAGAATGACTCCTCTTTCTGGAAAACCATTAGACCACTATCTCTTTGTCTGGTTCTCCAATTTCTTTGAATTCATTCAAAAACATCAACAACAAGCTCACAAGATTCTGATCCACACAAATCACAACAACTTGTCATTTCCATGATCAAGGAATTTCTTTCATCCATCACCCATTTAGACTTGAATATGTACCCTTTCCAAGTCAGATATTCTCTTGAAACTGTTCTTTATCGAATGAGAGAGTACGAACGTGAAAACTTCTCTGATCCAAGTAGCATCATGTTGAAAATATCAACCTTGATGGAATGTTTAGAAGAATATGGCTTGTTTTATTTGTTCCTCAAAAAGAGAGCCATAGAAAGCAAATCTCTTTCAAGAGTGGCAGAGGTGGGTGAATTTCCAAATCCTTCTTCTTCTTCTCATACGAATGCTGTTGGTGTAATTGAGAATCATGACAGTGGCTGTCACTCCTCTGAAGCAGCAACCACATCAACTAATACCTTAACCCCAAGAAATGCACCTCTCTCGACGACAATTGCTGCTGAACCTTCTCATTCAACACCAGAGAAAGATCTTTCTGAGATACCAGACAAGTCTCTTGAGGTAATCACCACTCCAAGAAAAGGTACTTCCTCCTCTACTGCTGCTGCTGTTGCTGTTGCTTCTTCTTCCAATACAAAGAATTGCCAAACTCCAAAGAGAAAATGGAATGAAGCTTGTGACCTCTCAATCTTGTCCTTCCTCTCGCATGAAATCATCTTCCTCATCGCCTTCTTTGAACAGTCTCAACAATTATGAAAAGGCACCAAAAACAAGAAAAACTGTTCTCACAGACAAGAAGGCTTCTAAAAGCTCCAATCCTTGTAGAAGTTTCGAACAACAATGGCCCAAAACCTTCGAAAGGAAAAGCTTGATATTGGAATCCTCGGACCTTGAATCGGATCCGAGCAGCGATGACGATGATGAAGAGGATGACTTTCATTCACACCATCAAAAGGAAACAACAACAAGAAGAAACCAATCATCCACCTTAAACGTTCCAAGAATGCAAAAGTGAATTCAAACTCAAAGGAAACAACAACATCGGCATCATCACCACATTCCTGTAGTAAACCTTCTTCTACTGCTGTCATTGCTTCTTCAGCAAGTTTGAACGAGGAAGACTCTGCGGATACCGAATTGGAAACGGACGACATGCCTGTTCCCATTCAGGAAGTGGTTGAGAGGCAAATTCTTTGAATTCACGTAAACACGATGGATTCCAATGGAATTTTGTGTTTTGTAGAGGACTTTCTTTTGGTGGTGTTGGTTTTGAAAGTCTTGAAATTGCGTTCAAGAATTATTTGGCCTTCAAAACAATCCAAGTACGAGGAATTTCAAAAGACAAGAATGATGGTCCAATGATTCATAGTGTGTCCTAAGGATCTCTAACCTGCTGGAACGTGTGTCCTAAGGATGATCATCATCATGTCATGAGTACCTTAACACTAATTCATGACCCACATGTGTATATCTTTTCGATAAAAGTCGTATGTTAATTTTAAAAATTCCAACAATTCTTCCATAAAGAACCATATGTGAGTCACACAAATTCAAGCTTCTAATTCATCGAACGCGGTGTGGTCGGTTCGGTTCGGTTCACAAAGCACTGCTGACGAGACTCCGATTCCGAACCCCACACCATGACAGAGGTCACCACCATCACCACCACCACTCCATCACATTCGCAAATGATTCTTCCTTTTAAAAAAATCAACACTTGATTCACACAGGATTCTCAATATTTAGAAGCATCATTGTGTGGAGTTTCGTTCACTCAATTATATAATTACATCGATTGACGTTGTTTCTAAAAATTTCATCAACACGTCCAACACTCTTGCACAACAACAACAAGGTGTTTTTGCATGATTATATTCTACACACATCAACAACAACAACAAGCAGCAAACCAACAAACCAACCATTCAACAAACATCAATTTTGGAGAGTTTAGAAACATCAATTTTTCACCAAAAGCACCCAATCGCATTGAAACCAAATTTGGATATTCCATCCACAACGAAAAAAATCAATTGATTTTTAGATTTTTCACGCTACTATTAACTCTCTTTCATCCGTTATTATATATTGTTATTATTATATACCGTTATTATTTTATATTTTAATTATTATTGATTATCATGCTGTGGATTGTCATTGTTTCGGGAATTATTTCATTTGTGCTTTCATGTGGAATGGGAGCCAATGATGTTGCCAATTCGTTTGGTACCATTGTGGGAACCAAGACATTGAGTTTGAAATGGTCCATTGTGATTGCGAGTATATTTGAATTTTTAGGAGCGATGGGTAGGTGAAAAAGCTCAAATATATATATTTGGAAATATTACAAAAAATATTACAAAATATTTTACAATAATTTAATAATTTTTTAAATGAAACATTCAATGAAATATTTATCAAAAGTCATGGGAGATTACGTCAGTGGCACTCTTCGAACAGGAATCATTGTCGAAGGTTACTTCCGACCTGGAGAGGAAAACATTTACATGGTCGGAATGATGTGTGTCTTGCTAGGTCCAACTGCATGGCTCATTCTCTCCACTTATTGGTCACTTCCAGTCTCCACTACTCACAGTGTGGTTGGTGGAATTGTCGGATTTGTCATTGCCTTAAAAGGATATAAAGCCATTCAATGGATAAGTATTGGAAAAATTGCCTTGTCATGGGCGGTGAGCCCATTGTTGGGAGGATTGGCATCGGCTCCTTTGTATTTCTTTATTAAGAAAGTTGTGTTGAGAGGAAATGTGGAAAAGAGAACGTTGATTTTCTTTCCATTTATTACAGGTGAGTGAATTCAAGTGTTTTTTTTAATATTTACTAAACAAGGAGATGCGTGTCTACAACATGTGTTCATTATACTGTGAATGGATCGCTGGATGGAATGATTGAATATTTTTTTTAAAACAATCCATTCACACAACTTTTTGGAATTCATGTTCTTCTTCCTTTTTTGGAATTCTCAAATGACACAATTCACATACTCTTCTACACCAAACTGAATTGTGACACGTAATGATCATTCAGCTCTCACTGTGACCATGATCTTTGGTTCTCTCTTCATCATGGGTTCTCCAGCTCTCTATCTCGATAAGGTTCCTCTCGAAGCCTCCATTCCTACCACCATTGGAGTGGGTCTCATTTGTGGAATTGTTTGTGCTTGTCTCATTCCTCTCATTAAGAAACAATTACATAAATTGGCCATTAAGAGAAGAGCTCGTCAACCATTAAGAGAGGATCAACAAGTTGAAATCACCACAACTCGTGAACCGATTCATCAAGAGCATCATGAAATGATGATCACAACAACAAACACACATTCGAATGATCATGACACTGAGAACCATGATTCTACGACGAGAATGAATTCTTCTCAACATCCAATGAATCATCATCATTCATTAGTGGTTTCACAATCTCAACAAGAGCTTAATGTTGTGGGAATGGCTGGAACGAATGATTCCATGCCCTTGTTGGATCATCACCAGGAAGGAATGGCAATGAAATATGCATCGACAGAAGAAGAAGAAGAAGAAAATCCTGTGACTACAGTGGTTTCAAGAGATGAATTCAATCAACCAAATATGGAAACAAGTTTGGAAGAAAAAATTCAATATTTTGAAACTCATGAAATGCCTTTGGAAACTCAAAAGGAAAATTCGGATATTATTTATAGAGGATTGATGATCTTTTGTGGTGCATTGACAAGTTTTTCACATGGAGCAAATGATGTTTCAAATGCTGTGGGTAAGTAATCATTTCGTTTGTGGTATATCAATATTATCCAATTGTCATATATATCAATATATTATCAAATGGGTTCGATTTTATTTACAATGGAAATCATTATTCAACATGCATGCACAACAACAACAAACACCATCAACAACCAAATGGGACAGGCCCTTTCAGTGCCATATTTTCCGTGTATATTCAAGGAAATTTACAGATTGGAGCTTTCATTCCTTATTGGATTCTCTTAATCGGTGCTGTGGGTATTGTGGTGGGATTAATTTTATTTGGTTCAAGAGTGATCAAAACAGTTGGAAATGGATTGAATAAGAAACAATTAGTACCTTCCCAAGGATTTTCAAGTCAGTTATGTGGAGCTTCCTTTGTGTTAATTGCCTCCAAGTTGGGAATCCCTGTATCGACGACAAATGCTCTCGTTGGAGCAGTCATTGGAGTTGGTATTGTGGAAGACTTTGGTGGAGTTCAATGGAAATTATTGGTTGAGGTTGTGGGTAAGTAGTACTACATGAAAGAGTGACTCATTTCAGAGAACTATTAATCATTAGTTGGATGGATCACTACTTTGCCAGTGTCAGCCATGCTGTCAGCTGCTCTTTTTTCATTCCTTAAATGGACAGTTTTATAAGCAATTTGAAATTGCGCAATGCGTTCCTGCAACAAGAAGAATTTCCATGAATGTTATGAAACAGTGAATTATGTTGTTGTGGTTTTATGTACAATTAAACATCAGCTGAGGCCACTCTTGTTTGTGGTTGAACTTCAGTCAAGGCACCTCCGTTAAATTCATAATAAATTTCTGATAAAGTAATGTTTACGGCATTAATTTCTGCCATTCTTATCACTTTGGTGTTCGTCTTATTACAAACCATTTGGATTGGAATGTGTATCTTGACAGATGACTTGGTATTATCAAAATCCTTAGTGTTGAATTCGTATGAAGGGTCTGGAATGCCAGCAATAAGAGGGTACAAATAAGGACAGAACAGCTGTAATTCGTTTGGTTGAACTTTGGTCTTTCCCTTTGTGTCTGGTACATAGACCTTAGCCTTTTCATACTTGTGCTTCTTCTCCTCCATGTGTTTGCTCAGCGAAGATGGGCTGACAAAGGATGTAATTTGCTTGGAATTATTGTGTCGTTGGGATGTGACACTCTTTGGCTTTGATGGCTTTCGAATTGCGCCAATAGGTGAAGTAGAATTATTTTCATAACTTCTGATGTGAGCTGTCTCTGAAATGTTGTGCTTTTGGCCATTGAAGGATTGGAATTCTCTAAAGTGACGCTTAATTTTTGTTGGATAGAATACATCATAAGTGTACATGCCATCGCCATTGAATTCATCCAACATTTCACCCATTTCCATTGTATTCTCAACGTACACTGGCTCATGTAAAGGATAGTTGGAAAATTGTTCTTGATGTTGTTGATATTCTTTGGGTGGTGTTGTGTTAACCACCTCTCGAACAGACTTTGAACTAGGATTAGTGTTAGGTTGATTTGACTCGGTAGAAGTGTTATTAATGGTGAGAAGACCTCTAGCGACACGTCTGGCAGCAATACGTTGGTCAGATATGGTGGATTTCATTGTGGATGAAAACTTGTAAGAACCTGACAAGAAGGCCAGCAATCCAATAAATACGAATACACCAATAAATACGATTAGAGATTTGAGGGCTGTTCTACTAGGTCTCACTTGAGAGTTGACAATTTGTGCCAATCTGTTCAATTCTAGATTGAGACGATTAACTGTCTGTACATGCTCTTCACATTGTTTTTTCAATGAATCACGTTCTTTTCTAAGGTTTTCGTTTTCGTTTCTGAGATCTTCGAGTTCCTTCTTTTTTCTGTCTCTCGAGACCTTGGCTGTATATCTATTTCTCAATTTCTTCTTTTCTTCTTTTTGTTCTGCTGTCAGTTCTGTTTGTTGATCTAAATCCTGAAGTCGTTTCATGTCGTCCTCGATTTCTTCTTGCTTTCTTCTGTGGGCCTTCTTTCTCTTTGATTCTTCACTATCTGATCCAGAGCTGTGGTCTGTTTTGTTTGTTGCCTTCTTTCTCGTGGTTACCTTCTTCTTTTTCTTTGGAGGTTCGTTTTTATCTGTTTGGCATGCACTGCTGGAGGTTGAGTTCGAATCGACGCTTTCCAAGCTTGATGATGTTGGCAAAAGAATAATTGGCTTGTCCGTGTCAACATTCAACAATGATGTGTTGGCAAGAGGTATCGAATCAATTGAACTATTGGGGCTCAAGCTGTTGGTTGGACTGGAGAAAGCATTCGAGTTTGCCAAGAGAGTGCCACACACTGGGAACATGCTGGCGACGGTTGTTTGTGGGATCATGGCATGCATAAAGTAGTTTGGGAGAAGAGCATATGCTGTAGGAGGCAAGGCACCAAAATCAACGGTAGCAAATTGTTGTTGCTGTTGTGGTTGTTGTATTTGGAAGGAATTGGTCAAGTACATGTTGTTGGGATCGGCCATGGACGAAGCTTGAGTGGTGGTGGTTTCATCTGTATACGGAGCAGATCCCTGTTCCAAGTTTAAAACACTATCGGAAGATTCATTGAGGAACTCAAACCAACAACCATCATCCTCAAAGTTGTTGTTTGTGCTGGCCATCTTTGTGTGCGTTCGTTGTTGTTTTGTTGTTGTTGTTGTACAATCAAAAACTAACAAAATTTCAAGCTGATGATTTCAGTGATGATGAAACGTTTCCGATTCGAAAAAGAACAGAAGCGGCAATGATCGTTGTTGCTGGTAAAAAGATGAAGAGTAACAACAACAACAAGGTGATGTTACTTTTGCTTCTCGGCTAGAAACCGTTGTTATTGTTTGCTTGCGTTTCAAATTATAGACAGCGAGCCTTTTCTCAGTTCCGAACCTCTTCGATGCTAAAAATAAAATTTCAATTTTTTTTTGTGGTGTTGGATAATCCGTGAAAGCGACCGACCCTGCAAGGACGAAAAACACGTGTTTGATTTTAAGGTTCCTATGAATTGTATACAATCATCATCATCATTGGTGTCATGTTGGATTCGAATTGGGTCTCCATCGTCGCGATTGTTAATTTTACAATAGAGTTTTGAAGGTTTAACAAGCTAATTTCTTGTTTTGTATGATTGTCGTCATGAGAACGAACATTACGGTTTCAAATTATGTTGTGAATGGTCTTCGGAACGAGAAATGCTCTTCTTCCAACCTGCCTTTGTATTAATAAGGAAAAACTTTCATTCCGAGAGAGACAGCTCTCTTATAAAATGTCTCAACAGCAGACGACTCTGCCTGAAATTTCAATTGAGGATATTCAAACAGATTATTGGTTGATTATTGATTCAAAAGTGGTAGACCTCTCGGACTTTTTGTGGAAGCATCCTGGTAGGTCAAAGAAAATGTTTTCATGAAATTGGAATTCATGATGAATTATGACTATTCGGAATTAAACATTTGAATCATTTCAAACATTGAAAAATGTTCAACAATACACGATTGATTTCTCCTCATCCATCACATACTTCAATTTGCAATTTCAATTCTTTAGGAGGTCCTGGTTATTTGAAGGATTATTTACATAAAGATGCCTCTGAAAAATTCCATTATTTTGGTCACAGTGAACGAGCAATCGAAATGGTCAACGAAATGGCTATTGGTATATTAAAAAAAGAAATGTAATTCAAACACAAATCTGCCAGTCTCAAGAGTGTCTATTTCTCAATCGTTGATGGATTAAAATTAAATTGTAAATCAAATAAAAAGAAAAAAAATGATTTTTTATCTCTGTGGTGCTTTTGTTGCTCTCTTGATGGTTCGACTTTATCAAATACTTCCGGATCGAATCAAAAATTCAAACAAACATTTAAAGAAAGACTTGAGTAATAATACAAGTAATGCAGAGCCCTCGCGACAGTCTTCGTCATTACGAAAAATTAAAACTCTGGTTGTACTCGGATCAGGTGGCCATACTGGAGAAATGATGGATATGATTCAGTCACTCGATCCCAACAAATATTCCTTTGAATTTGTACTGGCTCAAACTGACGAGGGAAGTGAAAAATCAGTACGACATTTATTAAAAGACAAGCCACAGTTTCATCCTCTCTCATTTCATAGAATTCCAAGAAGCAGAGAAGTTCATCAATCTTACTTTACATCGGTATTTACAACTATTAGGGCATTTCTCTACACTACATTTATCACAAACTTTACGATTAACCCAGATCTGGTAAGTGACTGCAAGAACATAGATTGTCAGGAATGTCTTTGTAACAAATGTGTTTTTAATAATTTCAAGATCATTGTAAATGGTCCAGGAACATGCATTCCAGTTTGTTTATCTTCATACATCACTCGAGTAAGTACTTTCAAGTCACACAACCACTGACATGCTCATTATGAAAACACCCAAGTTTCTTGGTATTAAGCGAGTGAAAATAATTTTCGTGGAGAGCGTGTGCCGTGTTGAATCTCTTTCTGTTTCAGGTAAAATCATGTATTTATTGGCTGATCGATTTCTTGTACACTGGCCTCAACTTCAAAACAAATACTCAAAGGTGGAATACTATGGACGACTGTGTTACTAAAATTACTAAAGTTACAAGAGATCAAACCATGCTATCACAAATCCCGACCGAGAGGATGAGGTGTTGTTCAGTCGTGTGTTGTTATTAATCCTATCTCTCTCCTATCTCTATAAAAATGCATCAGCAAGTGGTTGCTTCCTATTCCTCGTCGCGAGAGGAGGCAAATGAGCACTCTGCACGAGCATCCTCACAGACACCCTCTCGAGAGGGTGATACTCGAGGAGTTACAAGTAGTACTAAGGACCCTGTGGATTTATCATCCAATTCTGAGGTAAATAGAAATCCTCAAAGAAGGACATTCACAGAAACGACCGCTGTTGAGATGGAATCTTCACCTGCCGATGTTTATCATGATAGTTCGGAACAGACTCATAGTTCGGCTGCCTTAGATGAAGATGATGATGAATTTACAAGCACTTCTCTCTCTAGCAACAACATGAATAATAGTGAGAAATATATTAATGATTTAATTATGGATGAAGAGGAATGGAGAAAGCAGTTGGATGATATACAGAAAGATCTGTCCTCATCCAAACAACATGATGAAACTAAAGGTTCTGAAATAGCTGGAGTTTCATCACCAGTATACATGGATCATCATAATGATCTCTCACCCAAGAATGAGTACCTCACCGAGGTTCAAAATCTATTGGTGAAGATCAAGCATGAGAGGGAGAAAACAAGTCCACTCCGAGATCGTCATCCCCACTTCAAACCTCCATCAGAAGTAACCAGCAGTACAGGTATCCTTACCAAGATTATGAGAAAGAATTTAGATGATGATTTGGAAAATGTGATTGAGGAAAGTACGAGATTATTGAGAGAAGAACTTCCCATGTTTTCATACGAGCTTAAATCCCCAAAGACATTAGCCTTTTCGGAGCTAGTTGTAAAATCACAGCGAGAAAAACGTCGCAAATCACCATCGTCCTATAGTATTCGTCATACACCAACTCTTTCAAAACCTGTGAATGATTTTCCATTTCACTTACTTGAATATTCAAATTATGACGTCTCGAGAGGAATTTTCAAGGACAGCAATTATAGAAGATATCATTTCTCTTCGAGTCATGAGGACGAAGATGGTGATGATCTTTCAACAAAATTCTTTCCTCACCTTAATGAGACAATCCAAAAAGCAACACCAAGCAGTAAGAGACGCCTCAAATCTAATGTTGTTCTCACCAAAAACACAATTACAACACCAGACAAGAGAGAATACTATGCGAATTCTACCGAAATTCTTCCAAGTAATCTTTCAAGTAAGCACATCTATGAGATGGAAGATGACAACTCTCCCAACAACATCAACAATATCACACCAAAGACATTATCCAGCGACATTGCAAAAGAAGTATCATCTCCAAACATAAAACATTCTCCAACTATTCCAGTGTTAGCATCGAAACCTACAAACGGGGAGGTAGCTAGCTCATCATTGATGGAAAAGGTGGATCAAGCAGAGGAGCAAAGTGACAAAGAGGCAAATCGCTCTGAAACTCAACAAGTGATAACCATGTCACAAGTCACGGGAGCTGAACCTTCAATTCAAATTACAACTTTCAATGACGAACAATTGCTGGATAGTGGCAAGAGCATTCAAGAAGATTCTCTTAGAACAAATATTGAAACTCCTCCTCAAGCTCTTCCAGATATTTTAAGAGGTGAAGACCATAATAACTCGATCCTGGCATCCAATACTCTTGAGACTCCAAGCAATCTATTATCTCAAAAACCAGAAGAGATTAGAGAAATAGCAACAGGTTTAGAGCACGTACCCCATGTCGAAATTATGTCCTTAGAAACAGTAAATGAGGCACACGGCTTGAATAATGAAATTTGCCATTCTCCAAACGATGCAACACATGAAATCACGCCAAGCCACAATAACACGCATCCTCATGAACATGGTAATCAGCATATTCGAGAATTATTGATTGTTTCAACCCCTGTCATAGACATTGAGCCTTCATTAACCTCCCACCACGAAGCTGACCTATCGACTGACCATGTTGATGAGGCAACCAGCACAGATGATAACATTGAGCTAACTCCAACATTCCATACCAAAAAATGTGAAGACAAAGGTACCTCTCCAGATAATTTTTCTGAATATCCTGTCAATTCCGATCATGATGATGATGTCAATTCTTCAGAGAAAGTACACCCTGGCAATGAAGATGAAACACATATAATTGGCTTAGAAGTAGACGAAAATCATGAGATAGATGAAGAAGAGATTTTAAATTCTTCTCATGACTACATTTATGACATTTCATCACTGAGTGGAATTAAATTAGAGAACTTTCATAATTTAGAATTTCTTGAGCCTGAAGGAGACAGTCCCATTCATCATCAAGTCGAACAGCCAAAAGAGCAGACCACTGCATGGCGTGATAAAACTAGAAATGAAGATCATCTTGATGACGAACAAGACCGTATTCCATCCTGTTCAAATCATTACAATCACCCTTCTGAAAAGTATCGTGAGATAAACAGCTCCACCCCATCTGGCTATGAAAGAAACTATTCTCCCTCAATTAAGAATGAAGTAATCAAAAGTACAATTACTAAAAAGGAGTCAGCACCAAAGGATCTCGACACCATTGGTTTTCAAGACATTATTCGATCTCTCAATGAAAGCCAACAGTCAATCCTTAACATTAGTCATTCAAGAGAAAAGAGCTCAGCTTCTTCCTACACCGACAATAATACCATGCATTCAGCAACTCCAAATAAGACTGACTCGTCTGTACCAACTCTTTTAATGGATGACACTGAAATGCTTCTATCACCAATCTTCCATGAGAGTAATCACAGCCCTACTCTCACCAACAAATACAACACAACTACTCCTCCACGTCACACATCGAGTGTCAACCGATCCTCAAACTCATCACCAAATCATGACAACATGTCTACCAATTCCATATCACCCAAACGAAGGTCTTCAATCACCAAGAAATCAACAAGCACATCAGACAATAAGGTGATTCCATATTCTGATGTAAGGCATTTACAAAAGCAAACGTATAATCACTCGACCATTGGATGGTATCTCAATTTATGCAGTGATAAATACAGTAGGACTCCACAACCCTCTGAAAAATCCGTCAAGTGGGTGTGATTTCAGTCACTGTGGCAATCCATTCAGAGTGAGTTTGTGTGTGTTGTAAAACTATTTCTAATGGCAAATAAAAATATGTTCAAAATTAAAACATTAAAAAAATTCATGATTACTCGGCGGGTTGTTTCAAAAGGACCTATCGAACAACTTCCACTCTCGTATTTTCTTCTCCGAGCACAGGCTCTCAAACTCTATCGACAAATATTGAAAGAAATTAAACAAATACAAAGAGAAGATACACGTTTAGAAATTAAACAACAAGCCAAGGATCAATTTCTTCAATACAAGGACAATAGGGACGTTGAGAAGGGAAGACGAGCACTTGCGGAAGGTCATTCTCAACTAAAAGAATTAAGACAAATTATTTACATGTCTCAATAGTGATTGAAAGACACTGTTTTTTATCAAGAACGACAATATATTATTCATTTAAATTATAATAATTTAATATTTAATCAACCAATTAATATCAAAAGAATACCACAGTCTCCATTCAACATTTATTCTATCAAAATAGCTCCACATCTGATCAATTAGAATCAAACCAATATCACAATGAATGCAACAACCACCACAACAGCGAGCAAACAATTTTCCTCACTCATGACATCATCATGCACAAAATTTCTAAGTCATCTTTTCACAAAACATCAAATAGCATGTGAAGCTAAAGGATATCACAATTCAAAAGTAATTAATAGTACATTCTCTCCGTATCCCTTGATTGGACTTGATTTAGGAACAAAGTATATGGGAGTAGCTCTGACAGTGAAACAAAAATATCAAAACTCAAATAATTTACATTTAATTGCTCAAAATCTCATGAAAAATCAAATTTCAAATTCTAGTTCAATTCCAAAATATAGAATAGTTTCAAAGCCAATGATGTCTGTGGATATTTTTGATCGTCATGAAGTCAACATGAGTAAAAAACTTGTGAACTCGATCAATATTGAGAATGCAAGAAAAGCTTTGGAAGCACTTTGTTCGAGACATGGGGTTAAAGGAGTTGTGGCTGGTTATCAGAAAAATTTTGAATTTTCAGACCAATTACTAAACATTTTAAGAGCAATATTTATGCAAAGTGAGTTGCTGTCATCACTTCCAATTTTACTACAAAATGAATCAAGGTCATCTTTGGAATCATATATGCACGTCATGGATAAAAAATCAAATGGAGTCGGAGGCATGGAAGTTATTGACGCGTTTAAAAATTATAAACAGGATCTATCCTCCATGAATAAGCAAGAAAAGCAGGATTTGAATTCACAAAGCGCTGCCATAATTTTAGATCGAGCCATTAGGTCAATCAATACTCAGCTTTCTCAACATGGAATGACCAATTATTAAACAGAATCGATTCACAAAAGAAGCAGCACTTTATTCAAAAATTAACAAGGTCTTGTCCAATCCACAGCTTGCAATTTGAGAACCATCAGGATTCCACACGACGCCTGTTGCAGAGGTAGAATGTCCATTCACTACTAAACAAGAGGAGCCCATTGCCTTAGTGGATGTAGGAGTTAAGGACCAAATGAAAATCTTTCCATTGGTACCTCCTGAAGCACAATATTCTCCACAAGGAGAGAAGCAAGCCTTATTATATACAATGGTGTTCTTGTAATCGGGATGTTTCAATGAGTCTAGAACCCTATTTGACATTCTTGTATCATAAATATTTAGCAAGTTATCTTTTCCATTAGAAAGTAATTTGGTGCCGTCCTTTGAGAAACTGACGCTTGTGACTTGTTGTCCATCATGAGCTCTCTCAATTTCAGCAATGGACTTGTAAGTTCTCATGTCCCACAATCTTATGGCTGAATCAAAGTGAGCACTAGCAACAACATCACCTCCTCTTGAAACTTCAACGTCATTTACACTTGATTTGCAAGTGAGAAGTGTTTTTTCACATGTACCGAATTGGAGTTCCCAAAACTTGATTGTTCTATCGTGGGCTCCTGTCACCACTTTTTTAGCATCTGGAGAGAAATCAGCACCATAAATCTTCTTGGTGTGACCCGTTAGAGTATGCTTGACACGATCATTTCCCAAGTTCCAGATTCTGCAAATAGAGTCAGCACATGCTCCAAGCGCTAATTGACCTACTAAACTGAATTTCACCTTAATAACGCTATCTGTAGAGCCATGGAGTACGTTAGAAAATGATCCTGATTTTGAATTGAAAATTCTGATGGTCTTGTCGCTACATGCAATTGCAACACTGTGTGTATCATCAGAAAAGTCGATGCCATTAATTTGTGTATCTATGGTTTGCTTAGAGACTATTGTTTTTGGAGGAGTGATGAGAATCTTATTTTGCTCATTGCTGCTGCTTGATACTGTGCTAATGTTCATCGAAGTAGGAAGGTTGCTCGAGCTCGATGAGGATTGAGTAGTGTTACCGACATTTCTAATCTTATCAAGGAATGAAAAAAATGCATTTTCGTTCTTCTTTTCAGGTTTCTCTTCTTGACTTGGTGAGGAGACAGCTCCTACGACATCCACGCCAGTCAAATCGACACTTCCAGTCTTATACTTTGCCTGCAAGAGTTGCAGTTGTTGCTTTTGTTGCATGAAACTCTTGTATAATTCATTGACTTGATTCATAGCATCAACTTGTTTTTGTTTTTGATCTACAACACGTTCCACCATCTTCTTGTTTTCTTCAGTCAACTGTTCAACTTGTTTGTCTTTTTCTCTGAGCTCAGAAAGTAGAGTGTCTCGTTCACCCTTCAATAACTCAATAGCACTCTCCTTCTTTTGTAATTTTTCTTCGAGTCCTCTATTTGTTTCTTTCAAGTTTTCAAGTTCAATGACGAGCTTTTCGTATCTACAATATTCAATGAAATTATAAAGTTAAATATTTTTCATTGATGGAAGTCACATTTTGATCAAAAGAAATTGTGTCATTAGCTACCACTTACTGTAACTTTTGTTCTTGCTCCTGGGTTTTCAATCTTTTGACTTCATTGTTTAAGTCTAAAAGACTTTGAGCAGATTCCACTTTGGCTCTGAAAGCAGATGTCAATTCTTCCTGAAGACAATAAACTTTCTCTTCCAACTCTTTAACTCTTGCAGAGCTTACTCCAGAAGGAGATGGAACACCGGGAGAGTTGGTTGTTTTTAATTTAGAATATTCCTCCTTGTAATGTTCATACTCGACTTGAATGGAGTTGAGCTTTTCCTTGGTTGTTTGATGTTGTTTTTTCGTTTTTCTCAATTCGTTGCATAAATTCTCGTCTATTGCAATTTAACATACGTCATATAATTTCATGTTCAATAAAGTTATAAAGTAAATTATCACAATGATGTTGATCAATCAAAATCATCAATCAATATAGTGGTGGAGATGATCGATCGTTCCGAACAAGTACCAATTTACATATTACCGATCAATCCTTTAGAAAATCTCCAGCATCGTGATGATTGATACATACACTGTTGAACTAAACTTTGGAAGGGCTTACTCTCCTCTTCATTTCTTTGTTGAATGATCTGAGAGAAGTTTGTTTTCCAGCAAGGAGAGGTTGTCAGAGTGCTCATTTTTTTATTATTGGAATTTCGAAATAGAAGGTTGGGAGAAAACTCGGAACATGCAAGTCCATTTGTTGTCAATCTTTGATATAATTTTAAATATTTTCTTTATTGAGGGTTTATTGCAAAGTAACAGCGAAACGTCTGACTGGGAAGTTGGCTTCCTTCTTTTGAGTCTTCAACAACTTTTTCTTCAATTGGTATGTCTTCAAAGTTCTTCTGAAAGCACGGGTTTGTTTGCTTCTCAAGTCCTTTGGCTTGAACTTTGCGTTAGCGTAGACCTTCTTCAATTCATCTCTTTGTTTTTGAACGAGGACTGTCTTAATTCTAGCAATGTTCTTTCTGATGACCTTGATGTTCAAGAGATTGGCAGCAGAAGCACCAGTAACCTTTTGGACTCTCAATTGGAACAACTCTTGTTTCATGCTGTCCAATTGCTTCTTGAGTTCATCGTTGGTCTTGGTTCTCAATTCGAAGGCCTTGACTTTTTGTACCATGATGACGGGATTGTGATGAGTTGTGGCGTATTTTTTTCAACAAATTTTGTTAAAATATTTGGTAAACCGAATTGTATAGTTTACAACACAAGCGAAAAAAATGAGCAGCTTGCCCAACAGTTCTATCGGCAGCAAGTCTCCCCTGAAAGGAAGCACCGTTTTAAAGTCTTCATCATCATCATCATCAGTAAAGGACTACCATGGGAGAATATATCTGTTTAGCCAAAAGGATTCGAATGATACTGATACAGCAAAAATTAAACAATTAATTGAGCAATCGGGAGGAGAAATCTCTGAAATCAAAGTAGACGGAAAGCCCTACTTACAGACTTTTATGAAGAAAATTCTTGGAGAAGCCACTAAACCTCCACATGTATTCTTCAACGATGAATATGTTGGAGTATGTTTCTCAGAATTTATGAATTCATAATTGTTTAACGATATTAATAATTATTCATCATTTAACTATTTTTGGATGTATATCGGAACGGATTAATACCATCCATGATTCGAAACTCTATAATATTATTTTTAAAACAAATTATCGGAATTGAAATTCAACAACTGGTTAAACTAAAATATTTTACAGGGATGGGAACAGATCAAAGCCATGAGCGAGAACGGACAACTCGGGCTGAAGATTCAAACTTGCAAAAACGCACTTTCTCCTGGAGAACTCTACAAAGTATATCGTAAACAAGGAGATTTATTTGTCATCAGCCCAGGCCATTTGTACTTCCCTCGTAAGTTTTAATCCTTACTGTATGTGAGATGTCAACAAATTTGATGGTATTCCAATCATTTGAAACATAAATAGCTCCAACAAAAAGACTTATCACATGCATGATCACTCTGTATAATAGAACTGACAAATATACTGCATACAAGCTCAAAACTACATGTCCAAATAGGTATATTGTGAAACCAAAGAAAGGAATTGCACCACCAAATGGAACAGTTCACGTGGAAATAACAATGCAAAAACCAGTGACGGAAAACGAGAAGGGAGACAAGTTTCGAGTTGAGTCTCTTGCCCTTCAATATTATAAAACAGAAATGGAAGATAAAGTAGACGAATTATTTAAAGAAGCAGATGCAAAGAGAGTTGTAAAACAAAAAATTTCATGCCTTTTTGAGAATCCGCCTTTGGATTTTAACCTCGTTACTTTAAATGATGGATCTCTGTTAGTGTCCAAAAATATTAGTGTAGTAGACATCTATGATGGATTTCCAATTGAACAGTTTGCACAAGCTGTGTCAAAACAGAGAGAACTGATATTTGGATCAAAGAAGCCTCAACTTTCGATCCATAATGAAGACAAGCCACCACAACCATCAAGTGTCACAGAGACCACTCCTGCCAACAAAGAACATATCATGATTAACAGTGCACCAGCTACCTCTTCAGTTACTGAGGCAATTTTTGAATCTCCAAGAAATTTAGAAAGTGCTCGTAGCATAGAGACTGAGGAGTTATCTGATATCGAGAAGAGCCCAATACCAAAATCAGACTCTTCAGAAGAGGAGATCTCAAAGATACAAGCATTGAAGAACGCTTCTGAGAAGATTGTTGCTCAAAAAACGAATCAAAAATTAGAAGCATCTAAGGGACTAGAAGAGCTCTATAAAGAGGAATACAATAGATTGGAGAAGGAGTACGAACAAATTATTAACAAACTTAAGGTGTCAGAACAACGGATTAAAGAGTATGAGCTCACTATTGATGAGCTAAATGTAAAACTAAGAGAGTCAGAGCAAGCCTTACAGAGAGAACGAGCACAGCAACAGAAGAGAAGAAATGAGAACACCATTTTTGAATCGTTGGGACGACAAGTTTCCACTCCTACTGACATTGACGCAAAAGAAGGATATTCTCTTGCAGCCCTAATTGCCATTGCTCTTATTTGTCTACTAATCGGTAAATTAATGTAAATATAATTGTAAAGTATATTCGAAAAAGTATTCACAATGTTGTTCAAATTGTTATTCACAATTTTGAATCAGTTCAAAAATGTTGAAATGAAGAAATTGTGGTCAAAGTGAAGGATTTCTTATCCACAACATCCATGCTCTGTTGGTTTCTTTTCATTGTCATTGAGGGAAGTAGTGTTTGGGCTGTTCGACAGATTTTTCTTGCCCAATGCCTGTTTTTTTATGCAACTCTCTATCAGCTTTCGGAATGCAATGTGAATATTATCACTTGTTTTTGCCGATGTTTCGAAGAATGCAATTCCGAGTTGGCTGGCAAGTTTTTCTCCTTCTGCGGTTGAAACCACTCGATCCTTTTCAATATCTGCCTTATTTCCGCACATAATAATACAAACGCCTTCTTGCGTATTTTGCTTCACTTCATCATACCAGCTCTTTACATGTTCGAAAGATTCTCGATTTGTGACGTCATATACAATTAAAACTCCCTGCGCTCCTTTGTAGTATCCAGCAGTGATTGATCTGAATCTCTCCTGACCAGCTGTTGTTTTTGTTGTTGAATTAGCCAAATTTAATGTCAGTTAGTTAATGATATTGTTCGATTGATTTAATTGTTCCACTATTGCCATCATAATATGCTTACTAAATTGTCATCGTCAGCATTATAATCATCATTGTCCCATCAACACATACCCTGTATCCCAAATCTGAATTTTTGCCTTGTAGTTTCCTACAGTCTCTTTTTTCAATTTGAAATCCACTCCAATACTGCATGTTGTTGATTTACAAGACATCGAATCATGAACATGATTACTGATGAACAAACAAACGACTTACGTTGCCATGTGATTCTAGAAATGGCAAAACAAAAATATAAATATATTTGAATCAAATCACGTCTCGTAACCAATGAGTCATATTTCACCATCGTACTCACCTCTAAAAACCTATCATCACTATACCTCAAAAGCATACAACTTTTTCCAACGGAGCTATCACCAATGACCAATAATTTACAAATAACGTCGTAATCAGAATCCATGATTATTATTCAATGATGGGGAGGATGATGCGAAAAATATCAATTAATAACACTCTCACAGATTTTAATTCTGGTAGTAGAGAAAAACACAATGCACTTGAAGTGATGAATACTACTTCGACTCGTTGATGTTCTTCTTGCTGTTCCGATGTTTCACGTTCAGTTACTCCAACTATAAGAACGTAAGTGTTCTTGAAAAACTATTTTTTTCGGTGTGATGGTGTCTGTTTTCGGAACCCTAAAACGCTTTTTTGAAACTTCTCCTTTGGAATTCATTTGGAATCTATGGAAAAAGTCTATTTTGCAGTGAGAACAGAGGGTAAGCAAACAAGGATGACGCAGCTTGCTGTCGAAAAAGCGATTGGAACTATTCTCACAGGTGTTAACAACAATTTTGTTGATATGAGTCGTGGAGTCATTGTCAATAACCATTCTGATGAGAGAATGAAAGTACATCCATCACCAAGAATGACTTTAGGACCATTTGGAATAAAAGAGGCAATCATTCTCATTACATGTTTAACTTCACATTGGGGATGCCACTTGAGAACGGTTGGTACGGGTCTCTCCGCAAGATTACAAAACTCATTTTGAAACTTTTCTGAGTCTAAAAAATGCCTTGAGAGAGGACAGGTTTGTTGTTCATCTTGTTGTTTTTGTGGTTTGTATGATTCAAGAAAGCAAAACTCGTTAACGAGAAGAGAACATCATTACTCTTTATTCTCTTTTCCGTATCATTGAAAAGCATTTTCTCTTTTCATGATGTCCCTCTTATTCAATAATTATAATTTTTAATATATTTATATTATATTTATATATTTATATTTATACAATTATAATTATTGAATGAGAGAGATATCATTTTAATGGTCAGACAATACCTCTAAAGCCTTATTCCATATGATCCTTTTTGGTCCCCACTGTTTACAAAAACCGCGGTTAGAATACAGTTCCGTAAATCCGAATATTAGGAATGGCTTCATTCTGGATATGAGGAACATTCGTTTGATGACTTTTACCAAATTCTTAAAATTGCTTGTAAGAGTGAGTTCAAAAATTTCCAATTTACGAATTTAGCAAATTTCGAACCAGAGACCATTTTATTGTTTATTGCATACTTCCATACCTTTCGTTCATCCAGACCAATACCTTTCATGATCAAGGAGCGCTCAGCCGCAAGTATTTATTTCAACTGCTACTTCAACATTCGAGTTGGCTCTATCAAAAAAAGTTGAAGTAACCGAACATCACCTGTGGCACCCAATTAACAAAAAGCCCTCTCTTTTGATTTCTTTACCCAACAACATCCACATTTCAACGATAGACACCACCACACATTATTCCAGCTCGTTGAAAATGGTCTCAGAAAGGTACCATTCTCTTGGGTCAGTGGTCACATGCCTTCTTATATTGATGTGTTCTGTCCTGCTGCTGTCCTCCTCCACGAATGCTCAATCCACTCAACTTGTCATTACGGTGAACAGAATTGTTCTATTCAACGGTGATGCAGTGACAATCACAAGTAATGAATTACAATCGACACTGAATGGAGTTCCAAGCCCACCTCGAATTATTTACAATGTACTCTCCATTTCTAATGGCCAATTCCAAGTAAGCAATGGAAACAATACGTTCACTCCTGTCACACAATTCACACAGAATCAAGTCAACTTGGGACTTGTTCGTTTTGTGCATGCCAATAACTTGCAAATTCCATCTTACACTCTCAATGCTTTTGATCCTGTATTGGGCATAACAAGTGCTCCCTCTCAAGCAGTTGTTACTTTCACTGCTTTCAACAGAGATGTTATTGGTGCTCCACGTCCAGTGTTTGATGCATCTGTGGATCCATCCACTCTCATTGTTACGCTCAGCATTACCATGTTTAAATTGGGAGGTGTCTTCAACACAAGCGATACTGGAAGCTCTGTCAACTTTAATATTGGTTTGTCCTCCAAGTACACTTGTTTGAGTAATGATTTGATTCGAGATGGATTTGCATTGACAACCTCTACTTCGTGGTATAACACTTATCAATTACGTCTTTCATTGAATGATTTCATTGCCAATCCAAATGTTCAATGGGTTTCTAATGGAGGTGTTGTTGACTTGGTTGCTGTCATGTTTGCCGATTACATGATTCATTTGTCACAAGTACCTGGAACCACAGCAATCAGCCAAAAGTCATGCTATGAAGTAATTTTCACACAACGTTACATCTTAACCTTAACACTTGCAGTTACAAGAATCAACTTTGGTACACAACAACCAAATATTTTCATGAAACCAAAGAGAATCTTTGTCAATGACTTGAATCGATTGGAAATTAGATTGGAAGTCTCAACCACAGTTTCACAGAATATTTCCTCATGGTTCGTATCTGGTCCTCAGGTCTTTACTGTGACCGATGCGATCTTCACTGGAGTTGTGAATGGAACATTTGTTTACCAAATTGTCATGCAATCAAATGTCATTACGGGACAAACTAATTTCTTTGGTGACTATACTCTGTCATTTAGAACGGTTCAACAAAACACTTTCAGCATTCCATACACCTTGCAATATCTCGTACCATTCCCACCAATTCAAGAAGAATTGATATTCAACACAAGTGCTCAAACCTTTGGTGATGCACGTTTCACACAACCTCAAAATCAATTCTCTCCAACAGACACCATTTTCGTCCGAGTTGAAGCACCGGACATCCCAGTGATTCCTGGTCAAACCATTATTCCTTTCAATGTCATTATGTGCTGCTTTGCTTCCATTCAAACCATTCCTGCTGTGGTGGACTGTAGAAATTCAACTCGGTCTGATTTCTCAAATAACATTTTCGTGATGGGACAAGCAGTTAGAGCAGGAGGAATCAATGCTCAGGTGGACTTCTCTGCAAACACAACCTATGGCTTTAATTTTGGACTTCCATTTGCCATTCGTGACAATGTTGAGAGATGCTTCTTGACAATTGAAAGCGCATACTCCAGCAGAAATAATCTTAGAAAGTTGGAAGAAACTAAGGCTAGTACTGTTCAATCGCTCACTTACAGAGTTTTGGATATTGTCAAGAGTGGAAAGAAGACTGGAATTACAAATAGTGGTAATAGCCATCACGATCAGTTGTCATTTGTTTTGGTAGCTCTCGAGTTACTTTCCTTTGCTTTGCTTTGGTTTGGTGCAATTTTGATTTAATTTCAGTTTTGGTTACAAAAGAGCGTCAATGAGCACCAAACATCTTTGCGGATTCGAATAGACCAATTTTGTAGAAATCATATTCATATTCAATAAACTCGGATAGTGTGACTGCATTCATTAAACGATTCAAGATTTATCATTAAAATGTTTGCCCTTCGCTTCCATGATAACCAACGCTTCAGATTCTCATGGTGCCAATGACATTTGACTTTACTTGTAATTAATACAGAGAACTTCTCTGACTTTATTGATTCTTAAAGCATGAAGTGAAAGAATTGGCCTTAGCATCATTTCTTCCAAGAGTTCCTAATTGGAAGTTCTCTTCAATGGTTCTCAACAATGAGTAGTGATTGTAAGTATTTCTATCCTCAATACCAGTCTTCACCATGTCACCAATCACAACAGCATAAATATGATTTTCAAACAAGTAGTCATCTTCATCAAATGTAATAAAGATCAAAGTTCCTCTCATGAAATTAGGATTGTTCAATCGAACTGGCAACCACTTGGCCAACCAATCATTAGCATAATTCAAACCAGTATCATGACCGTCGTTGTCAATATTTGGAGTGTAATACATTACATTTGGAAGCTTTCCAGAGGCAATGTCAATATCCAATTGTTCTCCAGATACAATATTTCTACATCTATTTGGGTTGTTTCGAATATTGTCAAATGTCATGAAAGGATTGTGTTTTCTGTAGTACAATTTCTGATAGTTTGCTCCAACAAAACATGATCCAGTACCAGAGTTTTCTTTTGGATAATTTTCTTGGTAGGACTTCCAGGTCAAACCCTATTCCATCAACAACGACATTTTTAAAATTATTTTAAATAATTTCATCATGACGTTGATCATCACTCCAACATGATCATCACGATATTACAAACCTTTGCTTCCAACAAATCCACCAAAGTGGTAGCATTCACATTGACATTACTATCTGAATTATGTCCAAAATAATCTCCGGCAATTTGGCACAAATAATTTGGTTGAGAAGGATGAGTAATGGCATAGTATTGACCCAACAAGGCTCCGACTTTATAGGCTACATAATTAAAGTACTCATGAAGGAGAGTGAGTTGTAAAGGTTGATTCTCAAAATTAACGATGAGAATTCGTTCAAAAGTACCTGGAAGAGTATGATTACCCGAAGATGATGATGAAGCTTGTGGTTGTCCTCCTCGTAATATATTGATGGTATTGGCATTCACTCCTTTTGTCGTAGAAGTGAGAAGAGTGGAAACCATCAGCACCACCACCACAAGAAGGAAAGCAAGGGAAATGACAGATTTGGACATTCGTTTTTTGACTGAGTAGATAGTGTGAGGAGTTGCTCATGATTGAATCTCCGAAGACCGTGAAGAAGGTTCAGAAAATTTGGGAGAACATCGAGGTCACTACTTGGAAGATTACTTTTGAACCCTTACGCTTTTTCCATCATCAGACTCTCCTGAGTGTGGTTTAGTATGAACATCAATATAGCCGTAGAAGTGTCTTTGAGAGCGCGAAGAAGGAAGAAAATTTAATGTTGTTCGGTTCTAGAAACTCTGAATTTGGATTCTAAATCAAAAATTGCAATTTCACACTTTACAATCACCACCACTAGTTAACATGTTTAAATGTACTACCAAAAACTCGTAGAGAGAGCGTTTCACCCTTTTATAGTGCTTAATGGATTGTGGGTATTTAGACACGAATGGAATGATAGACATCAATGTCACTTTTCCGAATATTTATGGTTCTCTCTTACAGCCAATTACCACCCACGATGAATATCCCAATAAGGATCAATACAAGCACAGATATAATCAATAAATAGCCAACACATCTTCAAATACTCTTCTCCAATTTTTTACATTAGCCTCAGAGAGGTTTGTTGGTGCTCGCGCATGATTAGAGAAGACTTGATTTTGGAAGATCTGTTCTTTCATATTGAAAAAAACACAAATATTCTCATTCTTGATTGTTGTTGGAGAGTTGTCTCTGAGAAATCACACTTTGACGACACGACAACGAATACCATAACTTTGTGGGACATTCCTTTGTGTTTTTGCTTTCTTGTAATATTACTAGTTGTGATTGATCCTTTTTGCTTGTTCGTTCGGTTCATTATTTCTAAATAAGTCAAATAATACAAAGAGAAAAAGTTGTTGGATCCCTTGCATTGCCCATCATCAACACATCCAATCAAACACCGTTTTTCGTGCAATGACCGTTTCCAATACCTCGTCCACACCAACCACAAATAACAGCACAACTTCAGTGGCCCAATCTACCTCCACAGTGAATCACAGCACCACAACAAACTCTGAAACAATTCTGAAAGGAGGAAATGCAGACACCACCAATACCAAAACCACCACTCAATCTCAAAACAACACGAATGAAGAATTGAAGAATGGTGACGGAGATCCTCGCTCCCTTGAATATGCATCGACGTCTTCAAGCTCCTCGTCTTCTTCTGATATTGGAGAAGGTGAATCGAGTGTGGAGGAATTTCCTCCTTCCAATATTGAAGAGGAAGAGTTGACAGCGAATCACAACAATGACTCTAACCCTTCACAAACCTCCTATGTGGAGAGAGAAGCTCCTAGATTGGATTTGAATACTGTCAAGTTGTTTGTTGGACAAATTCCATATTCGTACACGGAGGAAAATTTGTATCCCTTATTTACACAATTTGGACAAGTGGCAGAAATTGTGGTCATTCGAGATCGATTCACACAGAAATCGAGAGGTTGTGCCTTTGTGAGTTTCCGTGATAAGGAAGGAGCAGATTTGTGTATTAAGGAGTTGAATCAGAGATTTAAATTGCCACCAGTAAGTAACACTTGACGTTCACATTCATGTTCACTCCACAACAACAACTTATTCCCAACAAATTCCATTAATGCAGCTCAATACACCCATGCGTGTGAAATATGCCTTCACCGAGCAACAATACGAATCGTTTAGTGCCGAGTCGGAGAATTCTCCAAGTGGAAATGACTCCTCCTCAACATCTAACGAAGGTGTCATTGCTCATTCTTCCACCTTTCTTAGTACCCTAAATGAAAAGTTTGATTTTGGTCAACCTCATCCTGAGAACAAACTTTTCATTCGGAACATACCAAAAAGTGTCACTGAAGAAGAACTCTCGCAAGTGTTTGAACCATTTGGAGAGATTCAAGACACTGTTGTCTTGAGAACTACCATTCACACTTCCAAAGGTTGTGGATTTGTCAAATTTGTGCATGCAGAGTCAGCTCAGCGTTGTGTCGACGCTTTCCGAAATGAAATTATTCAACCTCTTCAAGAGAAGATTTGGTCACAATTTAAGGACACAGCCACTGAATCAACAACAACAACAACAACTGCAACGACTGCTACTCCAACAGCTCCCAATAATAATAATAACAATGGAGAGTCCTCTCAAGCACAACCATCTTCTCCTCCTCAATCACAACAAGCACAACCTCGTGTCCTCTCACAAGAACAAATTTCCATGGTCGATTCCATCTTTAAGAAGAGTAGTTTCTTGATTGAGGGAGCCATCACTCCTCTCGTAGTGAGATACGCCGATGACGACACGAAATTACAACCAACTCAGAATGAATCCTATACCAATTCCACAACAAGATCATCAGCGACGAGGAAATCTAGTTATTCTTCACAATATCAAGGTACGCCTTCCTCCTCAAATGCTTATTACTCTCAATATGGTGGTAGTGGTGGACAACATAGACAGAGACGTCACTCCACACCTTCACATTATCGATTCTCGAATCCCTACCTCCAATATCAACGTGGAGTTGCCACTGGATACTATTATGTTCCACAGATCAGTACGGGCTCAGGAATTGGAGGAGTAGCAACCGCTTGGGGCTATGGAGATCCTTCCACTTTTTATGGCTATCACACAGGAGGAACAAATTCCCAATCCAACAGCAACACTGGAGGATCTTCCAATGCTGCCGGAGAGGAAACAGTCCAGTTCTACTACACACCAGCATCACCTGGTGCCATGTATGGACATCCAGCTTCAGCAGCCACTTATGCAAATGGAGGAGGAGGAGCACCCTTGTTGTACTCACAAGTGGCCTCTCAACAAGCAAGCTCCACGAATGGAACTGCTACTTCTGGTGGTAGTGGAAATTCATCATCATCTTCGGTGGTGTATCATGGCACAAGCTCAGGTTCCAATGAGGAGAATGGCAGAAGTATTTCTCAACAACAGCCTCAACAACCCTTAATGTATTACTATTATTATTATCCTCCTTCACAGAATCCTTACAAGTATGATGGAGTTATCAACAATAATTCAGTCGGTGAGACACCACAAGGAGGTGTGTATGCCTATCCTCAGGTCAATCGCAGTGGATACTATCCACAACAGCAACAACAACATTCGTATCCTGTCTATGCTTCATCAGGTTATTCCAAGAAGAGGCAGAATCAGAAATCGAATCGAATGGAACACAACAAAGGAGCTTCTCCTCAGAACAACACAACCAACTACAAATTATTTGAAGAAAATGGTAATCATAGTAATCAGAAAAAGCAAACCTCTAATTCAGATGCATAAATAAATTATTTCTAGTCATGTATTTAATCATATGAACTTGCTGATCAGCAAGGATTACTTTTGCATTTCATTGGATGATGCGGCTGTTGTGGAAGAAGTGGACGATGGGGAAGCGGCTGTGGGTTTCCTAAATGATTTTGAGGGAATTCCAATCATACTTTCTTTTTCCTTATTCCAAATTCTAAACTTTCCGAAAGCATCTGGATTTGTCAAGTCAGGTAACTCGAGACCTGAGCCAGCAGTATAAAGAGCTCGAAGTGCTTCTTTTTGAAGCCGTAAATTAGGAGTTAACTTGGGATGCTTTTTATCAAATTCCTCATCCGCATGATTTAAATATTTCTCAACCAATTCGTGAATTTCCTGTTCGGAACAGCTCGTCTTCTTCACTCGGATATCTTCTCCAAAGATTTGGTCATGAATGAATTTATATCGTTTCCATGTAGGAGTCATTTTGTTCTCTCGTATTTGCTTTTGCTCCTTCTTTTTAATTTTATGAAGACCTTGTTTCTTCATCTCGAGTGCTTTTCGGGATTTTGGATGAACTGCATTTTGGTTTGCTTGTTGAGAATTTCCTTTTGTCATGATGATCAGTGCAATGTGTGTTTGGTGGTGGTAATATTTTTTGTTGAACTTCAAATAGAAAACTAAACCTGGAAAATCTCTGGTTCATTGGATAAACTCACGAAAGTAAGGTACTGCTTCTTCTATTACACAATGAACACCTGAACGCTATCTAAAGAAAGTATTCAGCAGAACCATTGACACTTGTTTCAAAATCTCATCTCCCATCTGCAGAACAATTTACAAAAAAAATTGCTTAATTATTGTCCATCCTGTTATCATCACCAGTGAATATCGTCAATTTACAAAAAACACAGAATGTCTTCTCAAACAGGTCAATCAGCGTTACGTTTGGCAAAGGAGTTGAAGGAATTACAAAAGAATCCAGTGGAAGGCTTTAGTGCTGGATTGAAGGACGAAAATAATTTGTATGAATGGGATATTTTGATCAGTATGTATGATTGAACCGATTTACATATTGATTAGAACTGTTATTTGATGATGTTTTGTTGTATTATCATCATTGTGAATTATTATTATGTTGATGTTGATGGCACTTCAATGCTATCGGCCGATACATTCACGGATTTAAATTTTCAATCACCAAAATTTGATAATTATAATTTATAATAGTTGGTCCACCGGAAACACTTTATGAAGGAGGAATGGTAAGCTTTCTTCTTGAATTTATATTATAGATGACTGAGATGATTGATGAAACAACTAATTGATCAACTGCAACAATTTACGACATTTTACGATCGCTATCAATCAACAACTCTAGTTCCGTGCGATTATGACATTCCCTGAAGATTATCCAAACTCTCCTCCAAAACTTCAATTCACAACTCCAATCTGGCATCCAAATATTTATTCAGATGGTAGAGTGTGTATTTCAATCCTCCACCCACCAGGAGAAGATGAATGGGGCTATGAAAAGGCTAGTGAACGTTGGTTGGTATGTAGAACATATGTTATTGATGCAATTGAATCTTTATGTAACAAATGACTGTTGTCAACTAGCCAATTCATTCAGTGGAGTCCATCTTGATTTCTGTCATTTCCATGTTGAGCAATCCAAACGATGAATCACCAGCAAACTTGGACGCTGCCAAGCAATGGAGAGAAGACAAGGAGGGATACAAAAAGAAAGTCCGAAGATTAGTGAACGATTCTATTGAGAATTTTTATTAAGGGAAAGTTTATTCCACCAATCATCAGAAAATAAATTGATTGTTATTCATGTATATTTGTTCTAACGCTTCTTTAGTAAGGGAGTTGTTTGATTTCAAAACCGTATCAGTTTCTTGTGAAAATTATGTAAAATCTTTTGGTCAACTGAAAACTTTATTTAAAGTTCCTGGTTGACTGAGGTATTGGTTTCGGAAATGCACAATTGCTCGTACTTGTTGCTTCCACATATAAAAAGTTGGTTCCTCCTTTGAAGAATAAACTTGCCACAAATGCAAATCAATAAAATTATTAAGCGTATTGTAAAATCTCTTGAATGCCAATTTGAACAGTTCGGAGAGGGCCGACTTGTATACACATTCCTATCGACAAGGTGACACCGAGCCAAAAGGATTTCCAGCCTTACTCCTCTCAATTCAGCCTTACCTCATTTTTACCGCTTAAATACTACATGATCATGGTTTGAAACCACCATAAATGGTGACTTGTGCATGCTTTGCCAAACCATCAACAAAAAAACAATTAAAATATTCTTCAGATGTATTGGTGTGTGGCTTGTAATTCCAAACCACCCCAAGAGAATTCTGAAGGGTTTGGATCGCAACTACTTGAGAGAGCATTTGCTCACAAGGCAGCTTGGAGTGTGTATATTCATTTATTCATTTTCCATAAAATAGAAGAATGGTTTGGCCCGAGTATAAGTGACTATTCTGTTCTTTGTTAAGGATTAGACTTCTGTAATGGCAACATTATAACAATTTCTCATGGTAGTGAATTGTCATCCCTTCGAGAGAATTCAAACATTGAAGGAATATGACCAATTCACATGCTCTGTCCCTTTAAGACGAGGTCGATTTAGGATGCCTTCCCTCGATGAAAAGTATATTGGAAATTCTCCATTCAACAATAATGACACTGGAGTACCATTGGGACAATTGTTGGCTCTTTCAAGTCAGAAATGAACATATTTCCTGGTGCATGTGTAATACAAAGATCTGCCTCCTGTATAGATAGTGCTGCAATTGAACTAGTAACACCACCTATAAAATTTCATAAAATTATAAAATTTAAATAATAATTTAACACAAGCGTACTGATGACACTTACAGGCCCAAACTATTTGATGGGAATTTAGTTCATTATTAATTGAAAATATTGCTACTTACAGCAGGGAATTTCCCCTTCATGAATAGTGACGCTTTCACCATAATCTACTCGATCTTTATGAACACAAATTGACATGAAATTGATTGTAGAAGTTTCCAACTATACTTACTCAAATCTGAAATACCAATTTCATTTGGATCCCCACAATGCACTGGTCCTCCATGGGTAGTCGTGAATTGTTCTGTAATTTTCACTGCCAAATCAACCTTATCTTTTGGGATGGGTCTCATGGAAACCACCATTGGAATAGGTTTTCGATTAAGGTATTTAAATTCGCTACTCGTTTTGCAAATCATATTCGTATTATACATGGACACGTTTTTCTTTTCTGTGATGTTTCGCACTTCAATGCCATTCTGTTGCAATGCTCTCTCAAACGAAAAACTACATCCAATCAAAAAAGTGACTAAATCATCTCTCCAATAATTACTGACATCACTAGTTTCCTCAACAAAGACACCATTCTTGTAAACCCGATATTTTGGAATATCCTTTCTAATGTCACATTCATTTTCCTCATGAATCAGTAATTTTGGTTTAATTTCTCCAGGCTGCAATTTTTCAAGAACAGGACATGGAGCATGATTGAGCTTACAAAATTGCTCAAATTCATCCGCAAATTTTTGTGGAAGAATGACTAAATTCGCTTGAATATATCCTGTTGTAACATTAATGGAACAATGTAATTATTATTATAATTCAAATTCAATATAATATATTTGTGAATATACGTATATAAACAAGAGATTCATTATATTCAAATCCATCGTGATGACCACTATTATTTTCTAAACTGATCCTTTTCATCATACCTTCACAATAACCAGAAGTAATGGATCGAAACTCTCCGGAACGAATTAATTTTCTAAATTCATTCGGAGTGAAAGAAGAAACAGTCTTTTCGACAAATGATTTTTGCATTTTTAAAAATCACGGGTGGCCAACTCAAGCGTATTTTTTCGTGAACACATCAAGCTGCAAGAGAGAATTTCGCTGGGGATTTTTAATAAAGCTACGATCATAGTATGATTTTATGATGATTTCAACCCCTCAAAACTTGCCAATGCAAAATATTGTTGCTGACACGTGAAGGAAACACTACTTAATTATTGGTGCGTCAATAAGTTGAATTGGCATTACAAGAGCCGTGGTAGTAACGTCCTAAAACTTTGTTACGTCCAGGGTTGTATAGTATTGAAGGGGCCCTTTCCCCTCTTTGTCACATTATCAACACCATCTCTCTCAAACCACAACTCTTACATTGAGAAACGTGTTATGAAATTGTTGCTAAAATGTTTTCAAACTTCTCTTCGAAAAGGGTTTTAAAAAAAATTTCAATTTGTGGAGTTCAATATGATTGAGAAGAGTTTGAAATTAACACCAAGCCCGTCAAAAGTGCACAACGAATAGAACATCCTTGAGTGTAAAGTGGTCTGTCGTTCTAGAATTTCATGCTGCTTGTTTGCACTTTACACGGGCTTTATGTTTAATTCAGCCAAAGTCAGTGACACCTTTTTTTAAGGGCTGTTATTAATTGAATATTAGGTCTCACAATACCAAACAAAAGAATCTGAAACTAGACGGAAAGAAGCATCTACCATATGAAAATCTTGGTTTCAGCATGCTTAATTGTAGAACAGTTCAAGTCTGAAACAAAATTTGAATAATGGTCGGTGTTATTAATCGAGTAAAAAATAAAAGTGCGCTCGTAAAGAATCTTGTCTCGAATCTTGGTCATTTTTACCGAAGGAGGAGCCCTTAAAAAATACCGCAAGACGAACATCAGAATTGACTCTTGCATGCTCCACAGCCTGGAAAGACGTTTGGAAAGAATTGAACAACAAGCGAATTACATTTCAGCTACCCTCAAACAATTAAACGCCAAACTTAATGAATATATACGAAATGAAGAGAACAGAAATTGCGAAGAAAAGGCACGGAAGCCATTAGATCATTCGCATCACTTGTTACAATCTTTACAACATCATCTATGTGACGCAATCACCTTTAGAGAAAATCCATCAGTTGAGAAAACTAACAATCCACCAGTTGAGAAAGATGAGAATACATTATCAACATTGAATCAACCAACTCCATCAAAACAAGAAAAAGAATACAAGCCAAAGAACAAACCTCGCAAAACAAGAAGGACCACACAAGCTAAAAAACAATCATCCACCGACAAAGCCAAGCCAAAAAGAAAAACAAAGCAAAAGAAAAAACTTCACGATCATACTAATCATGGACAAAAAGGCAAGATACTATATTTGTATTATGATGATCAGTGCTATCAACAATTCGATAAGAAACGTGTAATGAATGTAAGAACAAGAAAGAAGCATCTCACCTTATACTGGATCCAAGACTGCTCTCCGCCCTTCAACATTATTAATTGTTGTGACTTAGAACTTTGAAGACAATGCTGGTAATCGATATCATTATTAACATATCATTATTAACATATCATATCCATCAACACTATATATACCTATTCATGACCTTTTTACAATAATTGACGACTCAACCTTACAAACCAACGAAAACCATATGCATTAACAGACAAAACACTGCTTTATTTTTGCCTTCTGTTTGAATCATGGACTCAACCCATGTTAACAATTGCTCAACACAAGCATGTAATCTGTTAATATTTGATATATCCTGTTAAAAACATTCGACATTTAGAAGTAGTATCTTTACGAAAATGAAGTCCAATGTTGTTTTATGACAAGTATTGAGGCACCGAAGGGCCAATAAACAATATTTAATTTTTACTGAAGGAGTTGGCCACCCGTGTTAAAAATGATCAATATCCTACCTATGAAATAATATTGTAATATTAATAACAATTAAATTAATAATTAAATTAATAACAATTAAATTCATTCAAATAATAATAATTATTAAATTTATTCAAAATTCTAAAAAATTACTTTTTCAATGCCACTTCTCTAAGAATGGTAAAGTTTGGAACTCCCCAACCACTCACAGCATCATAGCCACTGGTTGCTGGAAATCCCACTGGACATGGTGCTGCTGCATTATATCCATGGACAATATCAAAGAAAGCTCCACGAGTTTGTGACATGGTTTGATACAAGTAAATATTTAAAAATCCTAAAGGTTTCTTTCCAACACTGAAACGTGCGTCATTCATCAAGCTCACAATACCTGCAAAGCAAGGACATGCTGCGCTAGTGCCACCTACAGGACGCATGCTACCTCCAACCACGACTTGATAATTGACTCCCAAGGCAGCAACATCAGGATAGGCTAAAATGTCACAAATGTGTCAAAAAACAGTATTGATGGATATAATTAAGATGGGCCGTAGAAGTAATAATATAAATAAATAAGAATATAAATAAATAATAATGATCCATATAATATTCATGTATGAAAAGAAAAATAAGAAGTGTGAATCCATGAAGGTGTTTTTTAACACGTGAAGGAAATTTGATAGATCCATGTATTAAGAAACACGGAATAAAAAAACATTGAACCATTCATTTCAAAATTCGCTCTTTTTGAACATACCTCTTCCATTGACATTAAAGAATGAAGAAGGTGGAATTCCACTCTTGCTCAAATAATGTGAAATGGCATCTTTTTGCCAAGTTGGAGCTTGATAGAGAGTGGAGAAGCCACCACCACTCCAGAAAACACTATCTTCCCAGTATTGATCAGAGGGTTGAGTAGAACCGACAGATGTCACCCACCTTCAATATTGTTGTTTCGATAATTTTCATGAAATACATTCATAAAAGTTCATGTTGTCCACACAGTGTGGAATGAATCACACAATACTTACCAGCTTGTATTTGGCCATCTAGAGGTGCGTGTGTATGATCACAGATCAACATGTTGAATTCATTGATTTTCATGATGAAGAATGAAACAAAACGTGTCAGTTTCTGATGAAATTTTAAAAAACATACGTTGGTGAAAATTTTGTTCCCTTATGATTGCATTGCGCCCCATCATCTCCAGATGCAATGGTGACTGTTCTTCCACTTGCTGCAAATTTCAAAATTCAACATCTAATTGAGCAGCCAATGCATTAGTTACTGTGTTTTCATCATCTCCATAACTCACAGAATGAACCCAAGGAGAAGCATCTCCCATTTCTTGTTGTTTAATGATCCAATCAATGAATGGTTCTTGCTGTGTGATGTTTGAAATTCCTGGAGTCGAAACAATGAGTGTATTGATTTTATATCCTACACCCATGATCTGTAAATGGTTCATCAACATGGCATGAGATTTTTCACACAAATTTCACATAAGAAGAAAATCTTCAATAAAAATTACATGAAACACACACTTAAAAACATATTGAACATCCAATGACGCTTCAACACCTGGTTGAGATTCATCGTTTGGTCCCATCACAGATGGACTTTGTCTCACTAAATTAAATGCAGATTGAAATTGTGACAAATCCTTATAACTAAAATATTGACCCAAGAAGGATGCAACAGCTTGTGAACTCTGAGAATTAATCATGGTTGACATGGTAATGTTATACCTCTTCCAAATTACATGAGGAGTAATTGGAATATTCGAATCAGAGACTCTGTTTGATTTCACAAAATATTTCATATTTGGAATACGAACAATTCCACTCACAAATGAAACAATTTGAGAAATTTCATAAGGTAATGAATATCCAATCTCCATGGATCGATACAAGACAGTTCTACTCTCTTGATGCACATAAGGTTGCATATTTGCTTTCAAATACTTATTCACTGATGAAATGGGCAACAAACATGAAATAAAATTCTCATGTTTTGACACATGCAACACGACAGCACCTGGAATGGTTCGAATGTAATGCAAAACCAATTCCTGATGTTGTGGAGAGGGTTTAGTGAGTTGTGAAATTTCTCTCATGGTTAAATAATTTTCATGGTCGGGATGTGAAGGATCACTCACACTCATGGCTTTTTGTTGTAACCATTCCAAATTTTGAGATTTCAATGCAAAGGTTAAATGTACCATTTGTTGTTGTTGTTGTGGTTGTTGTTGTTGAGAGGATGATGACACTTGTCGTGGTTAAGACTTTAATTTCTTCCATCCTTTGGATTCATAGTGTTTTTGAAGAGACTCTACAGAAATACTTCGAGTAGCATGATACATGGAAGCAGCATTTGGAATATTCAAAAAAGGACAATGTCATATCCTGATGGAAATTGGGATCATCGGCCAAGGTTGGAGAATGTCCAAGAACGAATGTAATGGTTGTTGTTGATATGATACTGAAACAGAGGAGGCCTATTATTGCCAAGAGCAATGCAAGAGCACGCATTTGGAACTTTTTTTTTTCATGGAAAGGAGCAAGTTGGGAGTTGTAAAAAAGCTCCGCCTTATTTTCGGAGTTGACCATTTCCATGTTCGTCCAATTACAATTTCTTTGCATGAATATCTTCTGTTTATTTTTGTGGTTGGTTCTTTCGCAAGATCTTTCGTTGGACCATGTGTTTCACAATGTTTTTAGGGCAATAAATTGAATGAAGGAATGAATGGCCGAGTCAGGTTTATGAATGTTCAATGTGGTT